AGGCAAAAAAATCCGAGCCGTCATTTCGAGCCGTCAGATTCCTGGGCTCATTTTTCAGCTCTGTAACAGCTCTGTAAGCATCACATTTCTGGGGGGGCAAAGCACTGGGGGTGACTTCCATATTGTACCAGCAACTTGGCTGTTGACTTAGATTTGATGGACCCACTGGCGTACTGTGCAACTTGGGCGCTGTGGGTTTTCTTTGCCCATTGCTGGCCAGGAAGGTTTCAAGTTCTGCCTGCAGAATCTCCGCACCAGGGTCAAATCACATGGCTTACTACGTGGTAATCCATTAAAACAAAAACACGCCCAAACAAAATGGATAACCACCACAACTATATTTGAAATAATAATGGATAATTATGTGGTAATCCATATCTATTTGGTGATGCCATAACATGCCATAACCATAGTTCCCTGATGTGACTTGTGGATTGATAACGCGGCTTGCCATCCATGGTCAAGGTTTTCACTGCATAAACAACATATATATATATATATTATATGGAGATGAATGAATGATACCCTATGAGATGTTTGGGTACCCCATTTTCAAGTCCATATTCTGACATTGGAAGGGTAAACTGCTCAAACCTATAAATTTTGATGTTTCTTGCTCTGTTAATTAACGTCTTGCACGAGAAGGCACGCAGAGATGACATCGGGACAAATCTAATGTTCCTGCTTATATAAGGATAAACAAAAATTAAATAAATATTAAAATATATATAATCGACTATATTTGCAGTATGATGCCTTGTTACTTTGTAAGCAACGGAGTTGAAATGTCAATGACAAATCAAACCTTTGACTTTATTTGGAGAACTGATTGACAGCGAAGCATTTTCTTCATCTGAAGAAAGCTATAAAGCAAATTCATCAGTCGAAACGCCAACAAAATTCCAGTGGAGAAAGCAGGATGACGGATACTACAACAGAAAACTGAACGACGAAAAGTACGTCCAGAAATATTACCAAGAGAAAATGAAACAACCTTGCGTATGCGATATATGCGGCTCTGACTTAAGTTGTAAATCAAACTTGGCAAAGTGGCAAAGCACAAGAAAACGAAGAAGCGCCAAAGGTGCTTAGTATAAGTTCACTATGATTTTATGATACAAGAACGTATCATCAAATCATAATGTAAGTGTTTTAATAACTAGATTGGAAGAAGAAAAGGTATCGTAACAAAAACACATACAATGTGGAGGATGGTTTTGGTTCGGTGAGAGACTTATACGAAAAGGCTAGGAAAGTCGATGTCGGCATAACTTTGGACATGGTATCTACATGAATGAGGGCGCAACCGAACAAGCAAACAAGAAACTACAAGAACTACAATTCCTACACTGCACCGTTTCCCAAGTATGAATTCCAAATCGACTTGATGGATGTTACCAGTTTGTTGCGAAACCTAGGTTCTGAAATCAAACGTCAACTAAGATATGGTTTAATATGCATAGAAATGTTCAGCAAAAAATGTCACATAGTCCCTATCGAGAATAAAGATGGTGCTGACGTTGATAAAGCAGTCATGAAATGTTTTAAGATGTTTTAAGGTATAAGTATAAATTAATTAGGTCAGCCTTTATCATCCTTTATCGATTTACAGCGACGACGAAGTGAGGGACAGGCATGCACACCCCAACCTCAATGTTTTCCCGGCTTTCTTGGGCAGAGTCATTGTCAGAGTAGTCTGAGTTGTGGTCAGGAAGAAGATCCATTGAAGAGGGACGCAGGGGCCCTAACCGCACTTGCAGAAGGTGCCACACCCGGGCCACTAGAGATTGCAGCGGTCAGACGAGTGAGTGGAACCCAGAACAGCGTGAGGGATAAAGCCCAAAGAAGGTCAGCAAGGGTCAAGGCAAGCATGTGCTGTGAACTAAGCCTAAAGCAAAATTCTAGAAAGAAGAGCAGATGGCATGCCAAACACTGGAAGATGAGAGAGGTGATCTAGTAACGGACCAAAAAGGAGTAAATACAAGGAAGGGAGGAGGAGGCATCAAACTTGAAAAATAGCATGTCAATGCATGTCATGTGTCACATGCAGGCCTGTCTTAACTTGTGAGAGCCGATCTCATGTTGCAGGTGCTCAAATGCAAATCCTGGTGTAGCATGTTCACATGCAAAAGAGCACCATGTCTAGTTGTCTTGCAAACAAGGAAAAACTGGCTCCGTGTTTGGGAAAAACAGGCTCCGTTTGTGAAAAAAAAAACGTCTCCGTGTTTGGGAAAAACAGGCTCCGTTTTTGGGACAAACTGGCTCCGTTTTCGGGGAAAACCTGGTTCGGTCTTTGGGAAAAACTGGCTTGGTTTTTGGGAAAAATTGGCTTGGTTTTTGGGAAAAACTGGCTCCGTGTATGGGAAAAACAGGCTCCGTTTTGGGGAAAAACTGGCTCGGTTTGAGGGGAAAAGTTGCTCGGTTTTTGGATTGGCTTGGGACAAAGCTCAAGTCTCACTGTTTTGAACGCTAAGCATGTTTGGGTTTGGATTTTTGAGGTTTTAGGACTGGGTGTCTCTAAGAAGGGATATTCTGACTGGAACAATCTGGAATGTTTTAAGATTATGTATATAAGTTCAATAAGTTGCAAGTTGCTGCAGGACGCATGGATCCTAATGGTCAGGGATTCAGGCGTTATCCTGGAGCGACTCATTCAGCATAATGGCAAGATTCAATTACCATTCAGCACAATTTTTTTTTGACTGGCTGTTGAAACCACAACGGCTTTAGAAACCGTATCTTCCGGAGCCCTTGTTCGACTTTCATTGATCAGGAGGATGATTGAAACCAGAAATAAAAAAACATCATGATCTTATATCGTATAACTTCATCCCTCAAGAAACACATGCTCGACACCCAACCAAAGCCCGCCACTCGCCTCAGTCCATAAGCGTGCTTCTGGAGGAATCGCTCCTGTGACACGACAAGAATCCACCAACCCACCACCTTTTAGGGACCAACAGCCAGAAGTGCCAGCACAACCCCCAGCCCATATTAAAGGTCCACCATGATATACCATGTACCCTCAATGTACCCATCAATCAACATGGGTACAAATACCAAATTCACGGGCAAAATCATCGACATACACCTATATAGCCTATATGTTTATCTTGGTATGAGACAAAACCCTGTATCCTCCTGTTAACACCAAATATAATTGAGATTTATGCATGTTCAACCACTCAAAATATCATAGAAGGTTCATTGGTTAAACCCTTTCTCATATTTAAGTATGTTGGGCGTATAGTCTTAGCGTATATGCTGTTGTTGATCAATCCCCATATTAGCCATAATATCGCCAACCAACATAACTATTTCATACCTTTATTGTTGAGAAAATACCATCCAAGATTAGTCGATTCGTATGTTGATTCGGTCTTTCTTCCAATCACGGTAACCTAATAATGGTAAAACCTAAAGTATTATAGTTGATGGTAAACCATTATTAACAATCATTAACCATTATTAACCATTATTAACCATTATTAACCGTCATTAACCATTAATTCACCATTTGTTCACCATTTATTCATCATGTATTCACAATTATTTTCCATTAATCATTCAATTATCACTAACCATGATTATCCATAATCAACCATCATTAACCATCATTAACTATTAAAATCGAATTGATAGTTATCCCATTATGAACCATTATTCAATTACTATAGTTGATAACAATCATTAACTATTGTCCATTGTTAACCATCTGTCATCTATTATGGTTGATCCAATTGCCGAATCGAGTTCGCCAATCTCTGCCGAAAACCGCCATCGCGCCGCGCCGCTGTCCTTTGAAGCGCGGATACTTCCGCAGCAGCTCCTCCGGGCTGCGAAAAAGGTGTGCGAAAAGCCGCAGTAATCAAACATGGGGTTATATGGGTTATATAATGTTATATAATATATATATATATATGATATGATATGATCTGATATGATATGATATGATCTGATATGATATGATATAATATGGTATGATATGATATGATATGATATGAAATATATATATATATATATATATATGGGGGGTTCCACAAATGGTGGTTTCCATAAATGGATGGTTTATAAAGGAAAGTCCTATTAACATGGATGATTTAGGGGTACCCCTATTTTAGCAAACCTCCATGTATACATATATATATAAACTACTTACTAAGTGGGATGCACATCCAAGTATTGGCCCTACTTCCGAAGGTACCGCTGGATCCATATAGGGAAGTGGTCGCTTTTGGCGATGTATGACCTAATATCCAGATATATAGGTGTGCAAATGATCCCATTCGACAAACGTCAACATGCTGACCTTGTTTTCAGACTAGGATCTACAGTAATTGGTGGTTTCAACCCCCCTGAAAAATATTAGTCAGATTGGATCATCATCCCAATTATTGGGGAAAATACAAAATGTTCCAAACCACCAACCAGTATATTATATGTTTGTTATTATTGTTATTTCCTCACAGGACCATCATTTGTTGTGAAGTGCATGTGAGCTTTGCATTTCATCAACTTCTTCTACTCGACGATGGCGGCAACATGAAACCATGGACGTTAGTTCCAAAGATAGACATGTCTTGCGATTTTCCCTTGAACCAATCCTATCCAATTCCTACCTTCACAAAGAGACCACACACAGTCAGTTAGAACATATTATGACATGTTATAAGCCCAGCCTTTGGAAGAATCACCCCATGGTCTAACCGTGTCTAACCATGTATCACTGCAATTTCGGGCCAAAAAACTGCAGCCACCTGAAGTGGAGTCTCCACGCCTCCACTTCAGTCTCCTCTAAGAGAGGGCCGCCCAAAATGCTCATCTGACGCGATCCGAGGTTCGATGTTTCAGACTTAACATAGGGTTACCCTCTGGTTATTTAACATAGCCATGGTATAGATGGCCCATTGAAATAGATGGTTTACCTATAAAAAATGGTGGATCTTTCCATGGCTATGTTAGTCATAACCAGGTGGCAATAGATTTACAAAGATTAACCTCACTGGTAAATTAATAATAGTTGATAGCTAATGGCTAACCTCAATGGTAAATGGCTAATAGGTGAAGAATGGTGAACCTCAATGGTTATGATCATGGTTTATACCAGTTGATAACTAATAGTGAATAAGGGCTACCCTCCGGAGATCGAACATGGCAAAGACACGCCAGCGCCATAGAGGATGGACCCATGGGATTTTCCCATTCAAAGCTCCATGGATAGTTCGGTGTTTTCCCAGCTAGCAACGCTTGATGAAACCGGAGAGTACCCTCTGGTAAACTAACATAACTATGGAAAATCACCATTTTTAATGGGTAAATCCACTATAAATGGCCATTTTCAATAGCTATGTTAATTTACCAGAGGGTCAATGGCATGTTTCCTAAAATGAGGTACACCCCTCAAATGGTGATTACAACATCATCGGGAAAATCGTACAATTCAGTGGTAGATTTAGTATAGCTCTATACAGACCGAAGTGGGCGGGTGTTTCCTTGAATATCTTGCATGGGGGACCCACATTTCACTAATTGGTCATGTTCCATGGGGAAAACGCCATGAGAACGGATCCCAATTTCAAGTAATTCCTGAAATGGGCGTTGTTCGGTTTCTCCCTTTTGTTGTCAGATAATTATAAATCCACCCAATGATGATGCTTTCCACGGGAAGCTTTTTGCTACCCAACCCCTGACCTTGGCTCTTCAAACCAGCTAGGCTCTTGGTCAATGCTCAGGCATGTCCATAGCATGTGGAGTAGGACAAAATGATACAAAATGTGGGATGTGATTCTGATGTGATCTGAACTTATCTCAACAAAGATTTTGCGATTCGGTGCTGGGACATTGGCAATGGCTATCAATGGCTATGGCTATGATAATCCACGTACGCTGATTGTCACCCCGTATGCATACGTATCAATGGCATGGCTTGTTCTGTAAATAGGCTACCAATGGGTACCCCTAAATCCCCTGGACAATCATCATGTCCTCTATGCAATTGAAATTTGGGGCTATACACCATTTCCAAACACACCCCAAAACCATATTGCTTAATATCCCATTAAACCCACATTTTTCCTACATACCCCATGGTAAACTAACATAGACTGTAACATAGATGTAGAACATCTACCATTTAAATCATTTAAAAATTATTTTCTGCATAAGCCGTGCGTTTTCCACATCTATGTTAGTTTGCCCAGGGTAATTCCTCATTTTATTTAGCTGATCTGGGATGTGATGGCTGCAGAAACACAACCTCCGATCCAACCTCATCCACGCCTTGCCATGGCAGCACGCAGCCGCCGGCTGTGCTGAGCCCAAAGGTGTGCGCCAATTCATTGAGTTTCTCCAAAAACCACAAGACCAATAAGTTCGGGAAGTGCTTCGTTTGAAAGCTTCCCAACCATGTTGGTTGGCGGTTTCAACCCCTCTGAAAGATATTAGTCATTACCAGTAGTACCGCACAAGGCGGCGGCGGAAGTTTCAAAAATAGGAAACCTATAGGAGAGCTTGGCTGTTGTGAATCAGGGATGGCAGAGCGAATCCACTGATGGACCGAAAGGTGCTTGAGGTCTCCTCTCTTTCTCTCTCTATTTCTCTGACTATCTACTTACCTACCAGCCTATCTTCTATGTATCTATCTATCTATCGATCTATCTATCTCTCTCTTTCTCTCTTTCATCTCATTACCTATCTACCTATCTACCTCTCTACCTATCTACCTATGTACCTATCTACCTATGTACCTATCTACCTATCTATCTATCTATCTATCGATCTATCTATCTATCTCTCTCTCTCTCTCTTTCATCTATCTCTCTCTCTCTCTCTTTCATCTGTCTACCTGTCTAGCTGTCTACCTGTTTATCTGTGGTGCAGTGTCATTCAGTGTAATATAGTGTAGTGTAATGTAATGTAGTGTAGTGGAGTGTAGTGGAATGTAGCGTAGTGTAGTGTAATTTCGTGTAGTGGAGTGTAGTTGTGTAGTCGTAGTTGTAGTTGTAGTTGTAGTGTAGTGTAGTGTAATGTAGTGAAGTGTAGTGGAAGGTAGTGTAGTGTAATGTAGTGTAGTGTAGTGGAGTGTAGTGTAGTGTAATGTAGTGTAGTGTAGTGTAATTTAGTGTAGTGGAGTGTAGTGGAGTGTATTGTAGTGGAGTGTAGTTGTGTAGTTGTTGTAGTTGTAGTTGTAGTTGTAGTGTAGTGGAGTGTAGTGTAATGTAGTGAAGTGTAGTGGAAGGTAGTGCAGTGTAGTGTAATGTAGTGTAGTGGAGTGTAGTGTAGTGTAATGTAGTGTAGTGTAGTGGAGTGTAGTGGAGTGTAGTGGAGTGTAGTGGAGTGTAGTTGTAGTTGTAGTGTTGTGTAATGTAGTGTAGTGTAGTGGAGCGTAGTGTAGTGGAGTGTAGTGTAGTGTAATGTAGTGTAGTGTAATGAAGCGAAGCGACATCTCAACCTCCAAAAGTGGTCCGAGAATGGTGTTCTTAACATTTTGACTTCGAAATGTGCTTCGCGCCACAACGGCGTGCACTTTTTCGACATCTGAACCTCCAAAAGTGGCGCGAACATGTAGTGTTTTGTACATTTTGACTTCGAAATGTGCTTCGCGCCAAAACGGCGTGCACTTTTTCTACATCTCAACTTCCAAAAGTGGTCCGAGAATGGTGTGTTTTGTACATTTTGACTTGGAATGTGCTTCGCGCCACAACTGGGTGCACTTTTTCGACATCTCAACTTCCAAAAGTGGTCCGAACATGGTGTGTTTTGTACATTTTGACTTCGAAATGTGCTTCGCGCCACAACGGCGTGCAACTTTTCATCTCTCATCTCCCCAGATGTCTCCGCACCCGCCGCTTTAGCGAGCCTACTTTTCAACCCTCCGGAGCCACAAAACCACGAAAAAACACAGTGTTTCGCGACTTTCCTACCTTTTCGCGCACCTGCATCTTCTTTCTTCTGATCTTTTCTCTTCTGACTCTTCTCCCTGCTGACTGCTTTTTCATCTCTCCATATTGTCGGAAGTTTGACTTCCAAACTTCCTTCGATTAGTCAGTTGGGAGGATTATCACATATATTATGGAAAATAAAATTCATGTTCCAAACCACCAACCAGATGTTGAACCAATCCTATAGGTGTCCGACCGGTCCTCAGCTCTGGTTTTGGGTTGTCCTCCTCGACTTGTTGCTCAATGTTTGTCCTCATTTTTTGCTGAATCTATATACCCCGATAAAGCCACATAATAGTTACATATAGTTACTACTGGTTAGTGGTTTTAACAATCTTGAAAAATATTAGTCAGTTGGGATGATTATTTCCAATATATGGAAAATAAAATTCATGTTCCAAACCACCAACCAGAATATCATCTGCCGAAGAATGCCAATGGCAATAGAGAAACTACCCATCTGTTTGAATCGGAAAAAAGTTGCGCAATTTATTGTCCCGTATACCAGGTTAGATTACCAAACATGATTGTTGCTCAAACATAGGGCAAGCCGAACACCACTGATTAATCTTTATTCCCTCGATTGAAAGAAACCACTTTGCGGTATATCAGTATACAGATACTCACATACTATTGGCGGAATAGGCTAAACACATCTAAATTCCTCATTTCTCCTACTCAACCAAGCTATCTACACATAATATCAAAACATGCTTAACTGGTTGGTGGTATACCTACCCCTCTGAACATATGAAAGTCAGTTGGGATGATGAAATTCTCAATATATGGAAAGTCATAAAACAACATGGTTCCAAAACACCAACCAGATTTACCTATTGAACATGGCCATAGAAATAGTGGATTTACCATGATTTACCTATTGTAAATGGCCATAAAATGCTTAAGGGCACATAACCCCCTCATATGTACATGCACAATGCTGGGAATCTCAAGACATCCGTACAATGTGAGGCCCCCCCAGTTATAAGTTGGTTTATAAGCCCCAGTAACTATACTTATAAATACCATAAACATCCAAAAACCATAGTTATTGCAGTTATAAATCAACTTAGCTATCTTGGGGGCCTCACATTGTAGACATCTTCTTCCATTTCAAGGCACAACGGTCGTGCTTCCGTCCTGGAGAATGGCAGCTTGGCGAATCGGCCATGGTTCAGAATCGTAACCATTCTGGAGAACAAATGATGATGGAATATGTTTGACAATGGGAAGTTCTCCAATTTCTTTATGGAGAATCTTTAGTGAATTAACAAACATTGATTTTTTATGGACGTGTCAAGAGACTTTTAATGCAGAAAATATATGGGACTCTCTCTGAATATGACAACATGCATCATTTGATACACTATTGATGACATATATTCCGAGTTTTAGTTCCATAAACATGCATGCAAGTGCTGCCACATTCGAGCATTGGGCAGCGATATGAATGCATGAATATAGCGCGGGGGAACGTCTCTGAACATCCTATTAATATGATTTAATATGCAAGTTGGATTCATGAGTCGTCGTTCTCCACCCATCAGCATCTTTGCATGGATGCTCATTCATTCTGTCTCCTCATCAAATGGGGCATGTCGACCATGGGTGACTGCATTGATGTTTGTGGGACCTGAATGTGTTTTGCTGCGCCAACCTTAACAGGCACCGGTTATGTTATTTCTCTGATTTTATCAAAATTCCATGCAAAACGTCTCATGACTCACCGCTTTTGGCCACACTCCTCTCTGTTGTCAATTTAGACGGGCTGGGAAAAACGGGCAAACAGCAGCCTGACTTCGAAGTATTCAGAGGCCTAATGAGCCAGCAAGCAGCGGGAAATTAAACCTGAAAGAGACTCAAAATCCGATCTCCTATCAAGACATGACCATGGAAAATACACCAGTACTTGCAATGTGAGGCCCTCAGTTATAAGTTGGTTTATAAGCCCCAGTAACTATAGTTATAAGTACCATAAACCATAGTTATTGGAGTTATAAACCAACTTAGGTATCTTGGGGGCCTCACATTGTGAACATGGTTGGAAACGAAACCCAAAACAACATCTAACAAGAAAGAGAAACTTTGAGGATTTTTCGAGTCAATCACCGCACAAAAGTCCACGTTCGAACCATCCTAAAGTCGAACCGATTTTACGACTAAAACAAACTGTCAGTCAAGGAAGTTTCAATTACCCTCTGGTAATTTCACATAGCTATTGAAAATGGCCATTTATAGTGAGTTTTCCCATTAAAACTGGTGGTTTTCCATAGCTATGTTAGTTTACCAGAGGGTAATGTCAATCTGGTTGGTGGTTTTGACCATCTTGAAAAATATGAGTTCGTCAATGGGAAGGTTGACATCCCATATATTATGGAACATAAAAAAATGTTTGAAACCAGCAATATTCTTCTTCGTGGTTCTTGCATGCTACCCTTTAAGAAAGACCAAGAACAACGATCACCAAGACAAACCCACAGGCGGGAATACCACAGGTCCAGCGGTCAAACAGTTTGCTCAGAGACCCAGAAACAGCTGCACATGTGGCAAAAAAAGTAAAAAATCACATGCGTCAAACATGTCAAACGAGGAGGGCATCAAAGGGACAATATAATATACTGATTCAACATGATATAACAATATTTTAGTATATTATAGTATATATAAATATAATTATATATATATATGATATATATATATACCTGAGAAGGGGGGGACGAAAGCCAGCCCCCAAAGCAATGCTCATGGTTTTTTTTGTCTCTGCGCTGAAGTATCTCGAAGTAAAGGCGGTTGCTAGTTGTTAGCATTCCACGATACTTTCGTCCAGATCAGCTCCAGCTCGGCCGTTTTAGGCCAAATCCTGGCCAGGAGCCTTTTGGAGCCAGATCCAGAGCAGAAACCTGTTGGAAGCAATTTTCTGCCATTGGGCGGCCATTCGGCCGGCTATTGCATTTCGCTTTTGGGAAGAACGGGAAACGGCTACATATACAATTTTAGAACGAACAGCAAGCAAACAGAAGCTATGAACCAGCATTGTGAAGCTAAAAACACATAGACCCTTTTACACACAGACCCTTGCAGACTACACACAAACGTTTTTACACACAAACGCTTTTACACACAGACACTTTTTTACTTCGACACACAGATGCTTTTACACACAGACCCTTTTACAATAGCTTTACACAGAAACACGTTGACACAGAGACGCTTTTACAGACAAACAGCTTCACACAGACGACACACAGACGCTTTCACACACAGACCCGTGTACGCAGGGACAGCTTTACACACAGACGCTTTTACACATAGACCCTTTGACACACAGACCCTTGCACACACAGACGCCGTGAGACATAGACGCTTTTTTCGCACAGACACTTTTTGACACATAAACATCTTGACACAGAAATGCTTTTACACAGAGACCTTTTTACACACAGACACTTTTACACAGAAACCTTTTTACACACCGACCCTTTTACGCATACACAAAATGTTGCACACAGACCCTTTTACACACAGGCGCTTTTACACACAAACACTTTTACACACATACGCTTTTACACACAAAGGCTTTTACATACAGACCTTTTTACACACAAACATCCTTACACCGAAAGGCTTTTACACAGAGTCGTAGTAGCACACAGACTGTTGGACACACAAACATCTTGACACAGAAATGCTTTTACACGCAGACCTTTTTACACACAGACACTTTTAAACACGAACCTTTTTACACACCGGCATACCAGAATGTTGCTTTTACACACAGACGCTTTTACACACAAACACTTTTACATACATACGCTTTGACACACAGAGGCTTTTACACACAGAAGCTTTTACACAGAGACCCTTTTACACACAGAAGCTTGACACACAGACCCTTGTACACACAGATATATCTACAGAGAAACGCTTTTACACAGAGACGCTTTTACATAGAAACATCTTCACACAGAGACGTTGCGGCATGTTTTTTTACCTTCATTTGTAAAGCCGAAAAATGGTCAAATAGTTGGTGTTTTCGTGTTTTTTGAACAGTCTCGGAGCAAAAAACTCCGAAAAAAAAACCGTGTTTTCTGACGCCTCGCAAGCCCGGAGCCTTTTGGAGCCAGCTTGTGGGACTTTCGCGGCTTGCGGGCCGGCAACTAAAAGGGCCTTCTGGGATCAAGGGGAAACGGCCATTTTTAGCCAAATCCTGGCCGAAGCCTTTTGGAGCCAGCTTTTAAGACTTTCGCGGCTTGCGGGCCGGCAACGAAAAGTGCCTTCTGGGCTCAAGGGGAAACGGCCGTTTTAGGCCAAATCCTGGCCAGGAGCCTTTTGGAGCCAGATCCAGAGCAGAAACCTGTTGGAAGCAATTTTCTGCCATTTGGCGGCCATTCGGCCGGCTATTGCATTTCGCTTTTGGGAAGAACGGGAAACGGCTACATATACAATTTTAGAACGAACAGCAAGCAAACAGAAGCTATGAACCAGCATTGTGAAGCTAAAAACACATAGACCCTTTTACACACAGACCCTTGCAGACTACACACAAACGTTTTTACACACAAACGCTTTTACACACAGACACTTTTTTACTTCGACACACAGATGCTTTTACACACAGACCCCTTTACAATAGCTTTACACAGAAACACGTTGACACAGAGACGCTTTTACAGACAAACAGCTTCACACAGACACGCTTGTACACACAGACCCGTGTACGCAGGGACAGCTTTACACACAGACGCTTTTGACACACAAACATCTTGACACAGAAATGCTTTTACACAGAGACCTTTTTACACACAGACACGTTTAAACAGAAACCTTTCTACACACCGACCCTTTTACGCATACACAGAATGTTGCACACAGACCCTTTTACACACAGACGCTTTTACACACAAACACTTTTACACACATACGCTTTCACACACAGAGGCTTTTACATACAGACCTTTTTACACACAAACATCTTTACACGGAAAGGCTTTTACACAGAGTCGTAGTAGCACACAGACTGTTGGACACACAAACATCTTGACACAGAAATGCTTTTACACGCAGACCTTTTTACACACAGACACTTTTAAACACGAACCTTTTTACACACGGACCCTTTTACGCATACACAGAATGTTGCAAACAGACCCTTTTACACACAGACGCTTTTACACACAAACACTTTTACATACATACGCTTTGACACACAGAGGCTTTTACACACAGAAGCTTTTACACAGAGACCCTTTTACACACAGAAGCTTGTACACACAGACCCTTGTACACACAGATATATCTACAGAGAAACGCTTTTACACAGAGACGCTTTTACATAGAAACATCTTCACACAGAGACGTTGCGGCATGTTTTTTTTACCTTCATTTGTAAAGCCGAAAAATGGTCAAATAGTTGTTGTTTTCGTGTTTTTTGAACAGTCTCGGAGCAAAAAACTCCGTAAAAAAAAAAAACGTGTTGTTTGACGCCTCGCAAGCCCAAAACCACGGTAGTTGCGGTGTTTTTTTGCTCCTGGAACCACGGTGTTTACAGTGTTTTATGGCCAGCACCTAGCAAAAACAGTGGTATTTACGCAGTTTTCAGCATGTTGCAAGACGTACTTTTGCCAGGCCAAACGCACAAAAACACCGTAAATTACAGTGTTTCGGCATTTGAAACCCGATGAAAACCGTCAAGAACCACCAACAAGGTAAAGCCGAAAAATGGTCAAATAGGTGGTGTTTTCGTGTTTTTTGAACATTCTCGGAGCAAAAAACTCCGTAAAAACCGTGTTTTTTTGACGCCTCGCAAGCCCAAAACCACGGTATTTGCGGTGTTTTTTGCTCCTGGAACCAAAAACCACGATATTTACAGTGTTTTATGGCCAGAACCTAGCAAAAACAGTGGTATTTACGCAGTTTTCAGCATGTTGCAAGACGTACTTTTGCCAGGCCAAACGCACAAAAACACCGTAAATTACAGTGTTTTGGCGTTTGAAACCCGATGAAAACCGTCGAAAACCACCAACAAGTGTCCAAAATGGAGCATCTCGTTCGGGCCCAAAAAACCAGGCAAACGGCAGGTCGGTTTTTGAGCTCTCCCCCCCAGGCTCCGGCCTCACCTTTCAAAAACGGACCGATTTCGGGCCTCCCCCCCCCCACACCCCCTAGATTAGCTTCGCTTCGCTTCGCTTATACCTATACTCAAGCCCAGGCCTTCGGCTGGCTTTCGTGATATATATATTGATATATATATATAAATATATGATATATATATATATATATATACCCTTTGCTTCTAAACCCTGGAAATTTGTCGGGTTTGAGATCATAACTCGGTTTTACTCACAAACATACATGAAACATCGTGTTTGGGGGGTAAAACTCGTGTTTGACCAAAATCCCGGGTCCGCCTCGTCAGGTCAGCTGTTGGATGGCTCCATGATGCTCCATGAACAAAAGGGATAGAGTGATTGGAATAATTTCTACAACCCTGATCCTTTAACATCACTCCAAATATTTCTTAAACATCTCAGGTGCTATACTTAGTGTCTTACAATGTATATTCTCAGAAGATCATGGCTAAAACATGTCACACACAGTAGCGGAAAAAAATCATTGGTGAAAACCTGACACATAGCCAATGGCTATGGACAATTCCATACGCAAAGATATTCCCAATCTTGGTAAGATATGCCCAGCTCCAAACCCGGGCAATGGCGACTCTTTTGAGTAGATCTCAGTCCGGGCTCCCAAAGCAACTCAGAAACTTTCGGCCTCCTGGAGCACGGGCATACTTGGGAGTGGTGTCAAATAATCTTTGCACTTCAAAGATTGGTGACAACTCATACGGTCGAACCATTAAGAGATTAAAGCTGGCCATGTGGATGTGTGCAACTGCCCGCTTCTTTCCTAGCCATTTTTTGGGCTCAAATCTTACAATGGCAGCAATGCCACGAAATAGATCCTACAGGGATCGGCCCTCTGAGGTGGTTGCTAAAGGGCCTGCTTTGAACATTGCTGATGTTCATGTTGAATGGGATGCGGATTTGAGCATTAGGGGTCGGCTTCGAGATGGGGGAACATTTCTCAATGATACCAAGGAGAAAGTTGAAGATATCCCTACTTGCATCAAAAATGCTGAGATCCTACTGCCACTTCTAAATCGAATGTCTGGGCTTGAGAAAAGGCCAGTTCCAGCTGTAGAGGACCTCAGGGAGGAGATTTGCAAGGCCTTGACTTTAAGCAAGCGTTCTTCTCAAGAGGATGCGGGCATGGTTGTTGACACTGCATCACATATCAAAAAGTTGTGTGGCTTTGTCAAAATGAAGTGCCGTCGAAATGAGCCAAGCTCTGCAACTTAGTCGCAGTGCATTGTCAAGCATATATACCCACTATGTCCACATGTGTTGCAGGTGTGTTCAGCGAATCATACATTGAAATGTGTTGGCAATACCGATTTATAATCAGTTGAGTTTTCATATAAAGATTCCCATGACTTTGAAATCTAAAGTTAAGGTACCCAGTTTTCAGCTCCTTTGCCTGGCTCTGGATCCAACACAACAGGCCCGATCTATTCAAAAGCAGTTCTTTTGTTTTGCCGTTTGTCTAGCTCTGAATCTTTCTCTATGCTTTGCAGGGGATCGTTGACGAAATCAACAAGAAAAACAAAAAGAAGGACAGCAGGGTTTTTACATATGTTTACACTGTGAACTGCGAGCCAGCATTTGTAAACCACTCTAGGGTAATTGACACGATGGTTGTAGTTGTAAAATGTGTGCCAATTAATGTATATGCTTGGATCTACCATTTGGCCAAATTGGAAATGTATCTTGGCAGCTCGATACTGTCGATGATATGCAACATCATATCACAATGATGTTCAAACTATGTTTTCGCAGTGAGGCTTCGCAAGAAGAGAGAACAGCAAGCAAAATTAGCACATCTTCCAGCAGGAAACCAAAGAGTGATGTAGAGAGATGTGATCATGCGTGGATAATATGTGATGTATGTTCAATGATATATAAAATTATAAAACATTAGTTTCTCATAGTTTATCGATCAATATTCAATGGGAAATGTTTTTGTTAGCATTCTGTTTTTTACTTTTTACTTGTGGTTGAAGCAATAGTCGATGTGTTTCCAGGAGCTGTTGCCGACAATGCGGAGACCCAGCCTATCGAGATCCTACACATGCCTCCACCAGAAGGGCCATCGTTTGTGATGTCTTCTCCAGAACTTTCTTCCGATGTCAAACGCTTTGCTTACCAAGGGTGCAGAAGACCGAAAGAGACCAAAGACAATCAAAACAAAGATGAAGAGCCAGAGACAACTGAGACTACAGAAGACAAACCGCTTCCGACCCAGGAGGAGTCTGTGCATACAGGCAAGGATGCAGAGACGGATGAGTTTTCAGATGATGAGAAGGCGGGGTCCCTGCCGAGGTGATGAAGGTAAGTTGTGATACTAAAACAATCTAACACACATGATCTGTTCGTTTCATTTTTCTTCCCTTGGGATTACAAACGTACAGGTTTTCTTTTTTGTTGTGGCTTTTCTGGCAGGAGCCGCATGCAACGAGACAGGGTCAGCTCTCCATCAAACCGGAGCGAGGTAGAGGTCGAGGTCGGGGCCGAGGTAGAGGAGCTGGTCGTGGCGGCAGGTCCAAAGGCAGGGGGCGAGGTAACCACATAGATGACGATGAAGATGCAGACGAAAACAGCAGCAAACCAGCGAAGAAAGGAAAGGATGTTGCAAAACATGCAGGCAAGACCTCAAAGAGAACCAGGACCAAATGTAACAAGCAGGAGGAAGACGAGTGGTGGTGGGAGGAATGGAAGTACCATTATGGCCATCCTGATGAAGAATGGGCACGAGACGATTGGAACTCACAGGGAAAAGCATGGGACAAGGCTGTATGGTTAGAGGGGGGTGTAGCTTTGAACAAGTTGAAGGAAAAGGAAGCACCAGAAGAGTCAGGTGAGGCAGAGAAAAAAAAAAGTAAGACGAAGAAGACGAAGAAGACAGAAGAGCTTCAAGAACATGAAGAAACACCAGCAACCAAGAAACGAACCTGCAAGCAGACCAAGGATGACCCCGGCAAAAAGCACAACAGATCAAAAGGCGCCATGAAAAGGCCAGCAGCAGCACTTGACAGAAAGAAGGAAGCAGGTGAGGAGAAACCGAAAAGAAGCAGGACAAAAACAACACCAAAGGTTGGTGAGGCAGTTGTTGAGGATGTACTCCTTTATACAAAACGCATTAGCAAGTTTTGCAAAAAGTTTGAGGAACACAAGGACGATGAGCTGACTCAGGACTTGAAAAATTTGCTGAAGTCCAACCTGACACCTGCTCATGATTTCAATGACTCGAAATACAACACCTATTGGAATCTCGCAGCGGTAGGTTTGAAATCCAAAACCGACCAAAAAGATCATGGCTTCTTGTCTGTCCCGGATGAAAGTGCTGGACCATATGTCTATCGAATGGCAGCGGTGCTGAAAGCTTCTGAACAGTTGGTTTCTTGTTGGCAAATATTGGGATGTCACGTGTGGTGAACACATATATCATTGAACGAGTTTGAGTACCACTGCATATGCATTCTATGATAAAAGTACCAACATAAAATCTATCCCTGGATCGCCCAGGCAAAGCGTGTGGATGAAATCTTGGCATGTCCGCTGCATCAGCGTCGTGAAGGGCCCATAAGTGAGTACCGTCCAGTTATTAACACTGTTGCCTCGCTGCGTGAAGCAGTGTCGAAGGCGTTGGTTGAGTTGTCAAACAACTGAACTCCCAAAGCTTTACTGGCTGTGTGCTTTAGGGGCTTCCCAACTTGAGAACGAGTTGGGTCTTTCCAAACTGTGGGTATGCACACGCAAAGTTTTGCTTTCATGTTTCTTCAGCTGTGGGATGCAACTTCTATAATTAGCGTTTGACATAATCATAAATTCTATTTGTGTGTTTATGAAATGGCTGTTATGTTGTGTCACGCAAAGCCCATAGCAAGAACAATGATCCGATGGTTGCTCTGATGACAGAAGCCTCCAGCAAACCTATGTAGGGTCCATGCAGGGCTGTGAAGTCGATGTTGGGGGCATCTCCATTTCTTGGCTGGAAGTTTGAATTCAAAAATCGAAATCGAATCATAAATATATCTCATCTTTTTCGAAGCAACACTGCGACTTTGATTTACTTGAAATGGATAGTTTCCCATTCTCGGTAAAACCCGATCAGTCCTTGGCATTGTCAGATAGGCTGCAGGTGGCACAAATCCAACCTCCCGGCACAGCGAGCTTGAAAACATGATGTGGAATTATCTGAAATCACCACATGTGGGAAGCGGCATGTTCGAATATGTAACAAGAGAGCAGGGGAAACTATAGACCATCCCAAGTATTATACAGTATAGTTTGAGATTAGTGGCCAATGAATCAAGATGACTTTCTCATGATCTGCTCTTTTCCGTGCCATTTTGGATGGAATTGTCAGTATCACATGAATACCTTCAACTTGAAGTTTGCCAGTTGCTTTACATCAACAGGTGCGCCACATGTTATATAAATTAATCTATATATGTCAATCTATACGCACATATTTTTGTTTGGTTCGCCTGAGTTGGCTCCGAGGCATGGTCGGACTTCTTCTTCCTGCCAAGAGGCAGCTGTGGAAGGTACGTGGTCAAACATTAAAGAAATGGAGTGCTACTGGCATGTTTGGTATTCAAGTCTTGAATAGATCAATACTGCTTGGGTGTTTGGGGCATATTCTGGAATGTCTTATTTCAATTTGCCACGCATGGGTGGTTGTAGCTCCAGCCAGTTTGTTTCCGATAGTTGCCAGCTCAAGCATGGTCACATGGTATGCTGGGTACATTCTTTCTCAACCATGCAGGGAAAAAATGATAGCCAAAAACAAGCACAAAACTAGGTAGGATTCGGTAGGTTAAATCTGCAACAAATGAATTGCAATCTGGATTGAACATTTTGGCTTTGCAATATAAACGCCTTTGCGAGTTGTGAGCCATTTTTTGCAGCAACGATGCAGTGGCTAGACAACTTAGTGTGGCGTCTTCACCGATTACGATGCCCCAAGGATCGGTCTTGTGCTGTTGTGGGGGACTTATTTGGATACAGTATCTGACAAATTCAAATCTTATAGAAACAATTTATCATATTTGATTGGTGCATCATATCGGTATACATGGATATATTCAGATTTTTTTGGTACAGTTTTTATTGACAAAAAGCACACTATACATTATCTTCCATCCTCGTCAGCACAGCTCCAGCCGTAGGACTTTGTGTGGTGCATCTTACTGATCGCCTGGAGCGAAATCGATCTGACCCAGGCAAGCAAAGGATGTTTTTGATGATCGCTCGCAACAACATATTTCAACATCCTTTGACTTTATTCAATAACAAATTTGCCATACCATGATCAAACACATATCTTGGTTCGATGTCTCTCCTTGTGCATACCAGGAATGGTAGAATGTATATTCATGTATATTACATTTTCTGCACGGCCGCCTGTATCACCATCTCCAGATATTTAAATTATCAAAATAAATTTGTGAAAATATTGCCAATCAAAGTGATCATATTTCATTTGGAAATCGGGAATTGTTCTTAAGAATTAACAAGTTACTTTGTTGGTGGGAACTGGTCAGGAGTTTGACTACATCGAGTACTTTGCTGGAAAAGGAAACTTGACCCGGCTGATGAGGTCTGCAGAGTACAGGTCGGTCAGATTGGACTTGAAAGATCACACCCCCGAAGCCATGAAGAACAACTACATGGACCTATCACATGCAGCTGGATTTGCGTTTCTCGGGATGCGCTATTGGGGATGAAGCATGTGCATAATATAGTTTGCGGTGTAACAAGTTTAGCATGGTGATTTCCAAGCAACCCAAAAAATATTAATTTCATTTTGAGGTGTTATCATAACTCATGTCTAAGCCCCATTCCACATTATGTTTGTGACTCTAAGGTTGGCTATTGTGGTTTTGCTCAAGACCACGTGGCAAAACTTTGGTGTCCACTTTGGGCTTAAGTGTTCATCCATGTGCAAGGTGAATGTAGGGACCAGCGGGAGGTCTGCATGTTCTTCGGAGGGCCACGATAATTATCCCTCGGTGCTGCTCAGTAACATGCTGTTGGAACGGATACTTGGACAAGAAAACCCTTTTAACTGTTTTTGTGGTTATATACATGATGCAAAACACATGCTATAGAAATTTCCAGGTGGTCAGGTCAGACTTATTTTCCTTAGATGAGATCATAATATGTTAAGACCATGATTCTGATAGGCTATAGTTTTCCTGGGTTTGGGAAGTCGCACCTTGTCATTGAAATGCACAGGACTGGAGTCCTCGTGTTGCTGAGCACAGCCTTGGGAGGAGTGTGGTCTGTGGAGCAGCCTGGGGGGTCGCTCATGGAGTATTTCCCCACATGGCGACAAGTGGTTCAAAACATTTTCTCCATTGGTGGGCCATATGCTGTCAGCTCCTTAATTTCTTTATCACAAGCTAGTGCTGACCATTGGTGGATTTCCGGCAGGGTGATTCAGGTATTTTGACCGATATACATGGGGTTGCTATGGAGTGAGCCATCGCAATTGTTGGTATGGGCAAGTAAAATGTAAACTGAATAACATATATGGTTGGATCTTTGGGTTTTTAATTCAGTAAGGAAATCCAGCAATAGAAAACAAATACCAAGGGATTGTTCTTAGTGGTATGTCTCTTTGCAATGTCATTAAGGAAAGTCATGATATAAATTATACTTGCCAGCTGTATACGGGGGTAAAAACCTGTGCCAAGGTGACTTGTGTACATTGGTGGATGGGTCACTACGCTGCAAGAACGGCAAAGCGTCACTATGCATATGCCAATTCTCCAACAGTGTTGAAGATTGACCGTGGAAAGCTTCAAATGTCAACAATTCCACGTGATAACAAACCTGTTACGTGCGAGAAATACCGTGATCGGAATGGAAAGTTGCGCTTCAAAGGGACCAAGAAGTTGAAACAAACGGAGATCCTTGTACAAGAAATAGAAAAGCAAGCTTTGCTGTCAATCCCAAACCAAAATCACCATCAACTGTATATATATAGTTTTGAAATTGTTTTCAATTCTTGGACCTGTATTTGCTTGGGTTCCCGACATCTCTCCGACAACGGCCATCGCTCAGGGAATATCCTGTTCCATTTGCAAGGGCAATGGTGGATTTGATAGAGGAGATGAAGGCAAACGCCCGAGGACAACCAGCGCTTCCTGATGATATCCCTTCAGCTTGAGCACTTTTGAATGGGAATGCGACCCCAATCTTTGGCGATATGTTAATTTCACCCAGCTGTATAAATATTTGAGGGGCTTTAAGAAACTCCACATTCCTTCGGAGTGGCGTTGCATGGTCCCTCCTTTGCCTTCGGAAATTTGAAGGGTTAGTGTTAAAATCGGTGGTGCTTCGAACACTGAAAACGTATTCCAAATGCTATTTATTGATCAACCGGTGAATTTTGACGATTTTCACTGCATTTTTCGGGTTCTAATCGGTGTTGATGCGATTTTTTTCAAAATTTATGGGGTAAAATACGGTTTTGGTAAAAATTATCATGCCAACCCATGATTTACCCGTGATATACCCGTGATACACCGTGATTTACCCCGGTAAAACCTGTGTTTATGTCAAAACATCAGTTTTGGGCGAACCCGTGATTTACCCGTGAACAACCCATGATTTACCCGTGATAAACCATGATTTAAAACACGGGTTCAGAGTAGATTTTTACTTTTTTTTTGAATAGGTTTTTGATGGTTGTGTTCGTGAAAATCCATCACCGATTCAAGCCTGGCAAAGGCGTATCCAATTCGGTAGCAATTCAAGAGCCTCATGTGTGCAATTGTTCACGCATGGATTGGCAACAACGATGCATCTGAAGCTTGAGGAAATATTGAGTTCACCGAAGTATGACATTTAAAGAAATTTTCCAAAATTGTTCTTTGATCGCTGCTTCATGCACAATCAGTTCTCAAAAACATGGTCCATAAGTTTAGCACCTACAACGCCGATTGTGATTGTACGCTATCCATCTTATCCCAAGCCCATCTGACTGTGCCAGTTGATCCAGGGGTCCTGGCTGTTTGTCACCCGATGTCAAGCGCCGCTGCTGCTTCCTCACAGCGTTGGAGCTGTGGAACACTTGAGCAGGGGATCATGCATGTCATGACTGATGTGAATGGCGAACCAGTGGTTGATTTCGATCAAGAAGAAGCAGCTCTTCTGATGCAGTTGCAGGACATTTTCTACATAGCATTTGAGCTGAACAATACTGTTTCACATGCAATTCATAAGTATTGAAGTTTTTTGAATGTGGACTTTCAAAACTTAGATTCTGAATGCATTGTATTATATCATAATTTGGCACTCTTACATGCTCCTTTCCAGGAAGTGAACCGTGAACTGGGTGAGCAGAACAAGCCCTCCGCAAATCTTGTTTGGGTCTCATACTCTTTGGATTGTTCAACTTGAAAGCCATTGGCAATCAAAAGATGTTAGGATTTAGGACTGATGTCTTTCTTTCTTTAGTGCCAAGGAGCTGGATCTGGCGAGTGAAGCTGCTGACACCATTCCAGTCAGGGCCTAGGATACAAACAACATTTGGCTTGGGAAAAAACATATCCTGTTCCCAGGCTTCAGCTGAAGAACTGCAGGCGGCGCTTGGCAAGACGCAGGCGCTCTTAAACTATAGAACACTTCAAACATACAAACATTATCTGTAATATATACTGCATATATATTATATATACGCATGTGTTACTGTACCAGGTTTGTTGATATCACATTTGGAGTTGCAGGAGACGGCGCATGAGCCACCAGTTGCAACCCCAGTTCAGAAGCGTACCCCTGAGCTTGAACAGCCTACTGCCAATGATGTCGCCAAAGTTGCCAAAACTACTGAATCTCAGCCGGTGTTGCCCCCAACGACTGACGGTACGACTAGACATGGTGATGCTGGAGAATCTGAACAGGCCACACCAGGTGACCAGCAGGTTGATGACAAGCCAGCGCTGGTGGGAAAGCAATGGTTCAATGGTCTTACCAAACGTCAGGCTCAGCGATGTGATCTCCTGTGTGTACGCAAACTGTATTGCATAGAACGCTATTCATGTTTTCTTTCTTGGTTTCAGATTGCCTAATGTAACGGTTTCTGTGTTTGCTGGTTGGTTTCCCCATGTTGCGGCCCCTTGCAGGGTAACCTTCGACGCGCCGCAAAAGCTCGCATTGATCGAATGTGCAAACCCCACGCAAAGCGCGTGCAGCTCAACTGTCCAGACTGGCTGAAGTCTGAGTGGGCTACCGGAGATAAGAACAACATGGCTGATTTGCTTATGTCTGTGAACTTTGATAAGGACTGCAGTTCACTGCGCTGCATTCAAGACAATATAAATTATATATATTGCGTATTCTATTGGAGCTGTTCCTTCCTTTTCCTCCATGGTCTTTATGACACGCATGATAGATTTATATTTATATAAAAGATATAGATCAATGTCAATGTGTCGAGAAATACTCCTTGTGGTTTGGCAGGACGAGTTCACCTCCCAGCTCCATACTCTTGTCACCCGAAAGCAGAAGTTCAAGCTGTGCATCGAAGAAGGTTGGTACAGCGAGCAGGAAATGAAAGACGAGCTGAACTGGACACAGTGGGGACTCCCAAAAGTATTTGCTTCAAACATTTGGTTTCAAAGGTTGTGCATACATGAATACTCAAGTAGTGCAGTACCTTTGGATATGTTTACAGATTGCTCATGGTCATCAAAAACAATAACCAGTCCATTTCAATTGAGGACCAAAATTGATGGCGCAAAGGCGCGCTGTCTGGCCATGCCAGAAACCCATGTGAGGCCCGGCCCCCTATGAATTGAGCCAACCAGTAAGATAGTCTTCTCTCCCTTCAGTTGAATGGTGACAACGCCCTTGTGCTGTGGAGGTCCAATGCTTACGATGGCATGCAAGAGTTTTGGATCATCACCAAAGAGAGTGCACAACGGACCGAATCAACCAGCTACGAAGAGCACACCAGCAAGAAGTCTAAGGCCCCCTGCTATCAGTAGAGCAGCTCTTGTCCATCTTTTGAAGGTCACATGTTGAATATCCTGCCCGTGCCAGGCTGCGCAGGATCCTACAAACCCGTTTGAGAAGAAGTTCACTGGCTTGGGGGCCTTGGAAAACAGAGACCAAAAGGAGAAGACCACTAAGCTGGAAGATCCAAAACACGACAAATATGCCCAGGATAGGGTCCTGTGAAGTCTTCAAGATGCATGTTTTGTTTATAGTCCCTTTGAAAACATGTTTCATACAAGTTATTCTCTCTTATTTCCTTGAGTAATCTCCACTGCCCTTCAGACAAAGTGTGCGCTCAAGAAGACTCTCGACGCCATGATTTCCAAGAGTGGGAAGCTTCGGTCATTGGCGCGTGACTTGAGTACGAACTACTCTGATGAATCTGCGAAGGGGTGCCTCTTCTGATCCAAGGATAAGTGTTGCTTTTCCACGTGGTACATGTAGTGGTCACACTTTTGCTATATGAATTATATATGATAAATAGAATATTCTTGAATATTATGAAATTGACAAGACAAATCCTGTGACCTTCCATATCCATCGCATCCAGTCTCCTGCGCCAGCATCGACAGGTGCATCAAGTCCTTGGAAGCCGAGACCCAAAAGATTGATGCCCAATACGATATTGGCCAGAATGCTTGGGCTCAGGGAGAGATGGATTCGTTTCGATCCGAGAAGTTTCTTGTTTATCCAATGTGTGTTGAATATATCGATATACGACTTGTTTCAATAGAAACTATAGTTGATTGGTTGAATGCAGTGGATATATATATAAAAGCAACGGGTTCACATATTTCATCCATAAGTATTTACCGACAAGTATGTTCTCAAACTCTTTATGCAAATGCCAAGACATCTCAGGTTTTACACCATGGCCGAATCAGCAATGAAAAATGCAACCTTTGTGTGCCAGCCTCAAAGGGATGTTGTAACATATGATCAACATAGATTATCTTGATGTCCTAAAATGAACCAGCCGCTTTTTTCAGGTGCTCCAAGGCTCTCGCTGTGGAACTCAAAGTCAGGCCAGGTGCTGCCATAAGTCCTGCAATGATGTGAATCTTGTTGTACTACAGCTTCATACTTTGATAATGCATGAATTCTTTCACATCAATGGCCACACCAACTATATACATATACCAATGTTTCTTGGTACCTGCACTGCAGGAACGCGAAGAAGTTCTACACCAAGAACCAGGGGGGTGATGTCGCAGTGCCGAAACCAAAAGCCCTAAAGTCCAAAAATGGCAAGGGAGCTACTGTGAGCACCAATGGTCAGACTAGCAAGGTGGCACCTGTTAAAAAAAACAAAGGCAAGAATAAGAACAAGTCTGCAGCGTAGATGCTAGATCCTTTACAGATCAAAATCTTGATCAAATGACGTTCACCGCACTTAGAAGCTGGCGAGTCTCTTGCTGGTTATTTAGTAGCACAAAAAAAATAGATGCTTTTCGTGTAATGCCCCAACGGTCCCAAATGCATTAGTGGTCTCACAAACTGTCGTGTTTGAGAGTTGGAACTGGCATGCAAGAGACAGTCCAAGGCTTGTGTGGTTTAGCCGAAATTATCTTGGAACCTTTCCATGTGGTATGTCTGCTGACGAGCAGTCCTCTTTTGCCACACGAAGGGATTGCCAGCACCTGCAGCGCTCTGCACTGGGGAAAACTTGGTCTCATTCACTTCCATGCCCTTGATGTGCATTTCGGTGTCCATGGAAGTATTAGCGGATACACCACGTCATTTTAACAAAAATAATATGATAGATTCGACACCTTCTATCAGAACAAATATGAACTTGTTTGTGCATATTCTGACAGGTTTGTGGATGCTTCAGAGCCCATCTCATATGACACCTATATATTATCTTATATTATATATATAGTTCAAACGTGTTTAAGTTTTATCCCACTTTGCATGCCAGGGCCACCAGCCGGTGCCACACTGCGTGGCCTGAATGCAGACATTGGCAATGGAGTTCGGGCCTCAATATCCAAAAGCGCGAGCTTTGGCTTTGGTTCTACAAACGCATGCATTGCCTGATGTGATGTTGTTCGAACTTGTCTTGGAAGTTTGACTTTGAAGATCTCTGCATTTCATCCGTTTGATTCTGGCTTCAGTCTTGCCAATTCATTTCTTTTATGAACACAGCAGTAAAACAATGCACCTCTTGCGATGATGAGCAATGGCTAGTGGAACTCTTGTCTTGCCACCGCTCAGCTACTTGGTTGCTTTATCCCACACTCATTGATGATGTTCCAAGTGCATTGAAGTTCCCCAAAAAAATGTTGGGTTGTGTTGCTGTTGTTGCTGAATCATATGATATCATTGGGATGGAATACCAACATCTCACCTGAGGATGACCACGTTCCATTCCCATGGGCAAGTTCCTCCGGTGCCTCTGCAAGCTCCAGGTTATTTGAATCTGAAAAACTAGCCCATCAGTGTCGATTAGATTGCTCGACCTCAAGTATTTTACGTTCGAACAAAGAACTTAGTGCTGACCATTTGGAGAAGCACAATGAAAATTGCAGACCAGCCAAAAAACGAAAAAGCCCATCTGAAACTTGGATGGATGTTTTCTCAATTCATGCCAATGCCATTCCAGAAATGGTAGACGTCCAACAGGAATGCGAAGACTCGGTGCCAGGCCGAATCATCTTCCAACTGCCTGGGTTGGGAGCATTGGCAGGCAACGTTCTTTCTCACGCAGTGAATGTTTTGGAGACCCTGTTCAAGTGCTGGGACCCTCTTATTTTCAAGATTGGCTGGACACATCACCCAGTATGGAGGTGGAGTAACAGCATATATGGATATGGACATGCAAAGGAACGCTGGGGTGCTATGATTGTTTTCTACTACTCCTTGGAGCCACATGGGCCTGCCATGCTCGAAGCGTCTCTCATACATAAGTTTATGAGTACTTTGGTATGCAATGAGTGGGAATCATGTTTTATTTTTCTGTATGCTTCCCTGATCGTCCCTGTCTCCACTTTCCCACCGTTCTCGCTCAGGTAAGCCAGGTTGCAAAAACATCAGATTGGGAGGCGACACAGTCAAAGAGGGCCCTACCTCAGGTGGCCAACGGCAGTTGTACATGACATATGTGGTGTACAGATCGTTCAAATACAAACCACAACCTTGAGCTGGATACCATCTCAATTGGTCAAATTAATCAAGTGTAGTATAGACTTTTGGTGATGGGCCCACCTGTGGCTTACTTCGTTTCAAGCCCCAGAACAAAAAGCGTTGCTTATCAGGTTGCTTCGAATCAAAGCACGGTTTCATTTCGGAGTTCCAACATGTTCCAACATGACTTGCAAATCAAAATCCAAAAACCAAAGCGCGATCCATACAATTGAAGACAGCTCAAACTATTCCTATAATTTGTATGCAAGACATGTCCACAGCACTTCACACCCTATCATCAAAAAAATAATCAAGATATGCCTGCATGGGTCTGCCTTGCTAAGGCCTCATGTGCATCAGCTATCCGGACAGCCCGGAACCTTCTAAGCGATGTGGGCGAAAAAGCTTTAGCAAAATCTCCCGGGCTTTCAAAGTTAGCCAAACGGTCGGAAAAAAATTCGGAACGAGATTGCCAAAGAATTATGGTGAATCAGTTTGGCTTGGGGTTGCCAATTCCTAAGTCTCACATTCGGGTACATGACAAGTATAGCCTGCCCATATTATCTCTGAGAGATTGGGCATCATTTCTTGTTCGTGAAAATCACTGGCATATGTTGTGTGGCTTACATCGCCCTGATTGGGAAAGAGAAGAGAAGATCCTGGAGATGTTTTGGTCTTTGTATGAGGTACAATACCCTCAACACCCAGTCTTTGAGAAAGCTAGACAAGGTGAACTTTGTTTAGCCAGATGTGCACCGTGTGTGGTGCACGGTGATGAAGGACGAGGACGTAAAAGATCTGCATTTCTTGTGGTGTCCGTTCACTCTTTGCTTGGCAAAGGCATAGCAGGGCAACGCAAGTCAAGATCCAAGAAACCACCATATCTGAAGATGTGGTGCAACTATGAAGGTCATACGTATACCTCATGTTTTTTGCTTGCAGCTGTCGGGAAGGATCTTTACACAAAGTCGAACAGCAGAGTATTTGAAGATTTGATGGAGTTTGCAGCTACTGACTGCAGCAACCTGCTGAATCATCCTATCAGGCACCCAGTGCGAGGCAATTTTCACATAGCGGTCCTCAACGTAGTTGGTGACTGGCCGTGGCTTTGTAAGGCTGGCCAACTGGAAAGATCGTTTGCAAACGTGCAGAAACACAAGGAAAAATCGACAAACTCCAAACCTTCAAAGGGGGTGTGCCACCTTTGTTCTGGAGGGAAAGCTGAGTGGGATTGGGAGGAGATTGGCAGCAGAAACCCCAAATGGCTTGAAAGCGTTTTTGCTGAAGATCCATTCAAAAGCCCTGCAACTCCATGGTTGGCTTTGCCTCATCAAATGGGGGAAAGTCCTTCGCTTTTTTTCTTCGACCTGTTTCATTGCTGTCACCTGGGCGTTGGGAAATACATACTGGGAACCATTTTGGTACTCCTAGCACAAAGACGGCCAGAGGGCAACACAGAGGAGAGATTTGAAGGTCTCACCGCAGATTATCTAGCCTGGTGCAAAGGCAATCGCAGAAGACCTTACTTGAGCAAAATAACTGCAACTCTTTTGAACTGGCCGACAACGGCAAGTTTTCCAAATGCCAGTTGGCACAAGGGGGACCTCACAAACACCATGTGCCACTACGTGGAACACAGATTCAAACACGAGGATTGGAGCGACAATAAGTTGCTGGCTTTGGGTGGGGAAGCAGTGTGTGCTCTCAATGACTGCCTGAGAATTTTATACAAAGGAGAGTTGTGGTTACAACCGGCTGTAGCCAGAGAAGCTAGCGAGTATGGTCTCCGCTTTTTGCGCAGGTACGGAGCTGGTGCAAGAATTGCGCAGCAAAACAAACAATCACTTTATGTGTTGCAGCCAAAGCTTCATGCTTGGCACCATTTGATGTTATTTCTTCTCCATCAATCTCAAAAGGGTCGCATTTTGAATATTTTAGCGTTTGGTACCCAACCATCAGAAGACTTTATCGGACGACCAAGTCGATTGTCGCGTAGGGTCACTGCATCTGAAAAATGTTCAGATCGCGTAATTGACCGATATCTTAGATCCTGTCATCACGAATGGGTGAAAGCTGGGATGATAATTAACACCACCTAGTGGTGACAAGAGTTGTGCTTGACAACTTGTTTATGGTTTCTTTGCCTTGATCATAGCTAGCACACGTGTATTAGAGATAAACCTACGCAGTATACATATATACGCGCAAAATACATATCATTATCATATGTTAGAATCATAAAGTGAAAACTGTTTGAAGTGATCTGAGGCAGTGGCATTTTACATAGATCAGCGGCCAGGATGAAGCCAAAAAATGGGCTTGCGTCAATGGCCGGGCAGCAGGGGAAATCAAGGTTTCAGGCAAACCTCGTGTTTAGATTCCAAACATCGTGTTTTGAAGTGAACCCTACATTTTTTAAGGTTTTGGAAGGATAAGGTATATATATATATATTTGATATATATATATATATATATATCACATATATATATATGATATACAGGTAGTACGTGTGGTCTTGCAACTGGCAACCACAAAGTTTTCAGCAAAAAAAGAGTGAATTGCTCAGTGATCCACCTGTTGTAGCGAAGAAACTGCGGTGAAATGTTGCGAAAAAATCCTTCGCTGGCAAACAGCAGCAAACAACACTGCAAGACGTCTGATCCGCTCAGGTAATCTAGGCAAACAATGGAAAACACCCCCATTGATATCCGCTTCTGAATGCTTTCCTGGATTAAAACTGGGAGTTTCATGGAGTTTCCATGATATACAGCCACTTTCACAAATCCAAGAACGGGCGCCAACCCAGGAATCACAGTGTCTTTTTATCTTGAAGATTTCGCAGGATTTGTCAGTGAAAGGGGTAGCACACGGCATGCAAGTGTGAAACTCTTGTGAACTTCGTGTATGTCCTGGGACACTTGTCCTTGGCCCAAAAATGATAAGTTTGAACGCCCAAAATCGGGGAAGGTCAACAATTGAATTGCGGTGGTGAAGGGACAAACGTGATTTAACCAACCAATCTGATTGCTTTTCTGGGAGTCACATGCTGTAGCCTATACAGGCGTAGGTTGAAACAGCCCAAAAGGATATCCTGGGGTGCAGGACCTGGATGTATGGTGGCCGCATCTGGGCATCTGGATGAATCCAAGAAACGGAAAACAGTGACATGTCAATGTTCGAAGCAGGAACTAGTTCTCGGCTCTGAGGCGGAGCCAAGTCTTGTGAAAAACCCACCCCCCAGGACCGTTGAGGGGTCTGATGTTTCACCCAAACTGCGGGAAACCAAACCAGACCTGGAGGATTCCCATAGATGCTGAAAGCAGAAGCAAAGCTTCCCAGGAAACTTCAGTGAAACTGCTATGCAAGCTCACATCACAGAGTGGCTTGTGACCTTAGCAGCTTGGTCATGGAGTCATGCAGTTTTGTTAGCATCAATTTGGAAAGAAGGAAAGAACAACTATCATTCATTCCATCTAAAATGTATGATACACAGTACACATATGGAACGTGTGTGATTTGTTGTACAAGAAGCTGAACAAAAACACCAAACAACCAGAATCTGCAAGCACGAAAAGCTCATCTTCTTTTTCTAGGAACGCCTCCGCGAACTGCCCAACCCATGGGTTGTTGGCCATCGGATCTTTAGATAGCCGGGTCAGACAGCTTGTCGCAGCTAAATCTTGGCAGTGCCCTGGGATAAATCACAGGACGTTCAAACTTTTGCTTCGGCAACTGGATTTGTCTGAAAATACGGATTACCCCAAAAAGTTGGTTGTGGGTCATCATCAGAATCCTGTTGGAAGACTGGTGGAGGGTTTTCCGAAGAATAGTTGGTAAAAACCGAAGAAACTTGATGGCAATGAAACTATCATGTTCCGGGTATTCCGGTAGTCCATATTTATTGGACAAGCCCAGATGTCTCATGTCCGTGGTCCATTTCTACCCCTACGCCTACGCCCCATCAGCACGCTTCGCACAGGTAACGCCACCGGCGCAGACATTGCCACCGCCGGAGAAGACACTTCCAGCTCCCCGACAGAACCTGGGGACGGAAAAGACGGTCGGATGAAATGTGTTACTTTCTCTAAATTTCAATACGCAATTCCCCAAATCGGAAAGCAAAATCCCCAAATCTCAAATCATCAGTGATGAATTATCTTCCTATCTTTTTGGGGATGACTATAGTCAGTATTCAACGACTTAAGGTCCCAAGATTTACCAAACATCGATCCAGCAACGCTTCAAGATGATGCGATCGTTCGCCTCGTCCATTTTGGCCTCCTGAAGATTTCGCAGGACACTGCCGATTTTTTGACATTTGCGAGGCACGTTTCGCAGCTCTTTCCAAGGAAGAAGGCCCAAGGAATCACGGTTGATGTCCATCAACAATCCAGCTGGAAGCTTCGACAAGATCTTACCTCGGTCAGGTTAAACCATTCAGTCCATTCGGAGCATCCCTGGGACAAAATATCCTTCCGTAATCTGACTGGGCAAGGAACACCTTGACATTAAATATATGCCCTATGGATCCAAGTACCTTCTTAGGAAGTTAGGAAGTGTTTGGGGTATAATTCATTATAATTTGGAGGCTTAAGTACCTTCTCAGACAATGTTTGGATCCATAGGGATGAATAATTATGTTGTGTTTTTGGTAGATGATCTTCAACCGTGATGGTTCCATTCCATGATTGCCAGCTTGGATTATACCAGAGGGATCAGGAACCAACAAAAAACTCGCCAGCCAGTGACCTTTGATGGGCATCCTTGACTGTGGTACACCAGCTGAACGGATTTCTCCCGCAAGGCTACCATCCCAGCTTGGTGCTGCTCCATCAAACTGTGCATCTGTCCCACTTGGTGACCCTGGTGACCCCTCAGATCTCGAATCCTGAAAGAAATCAGGCAATTTGGAGGCCCGCAAGTGCGGAATGCCTTCCTCATCCTTGGTGGATTTTTGGCACCGAAATCGGTAGGCTTAAGGTCCCCCATAGTCCCCGATCACAGAGCCGATTGCCAGTAGAAACATATGTGTTGCATTGCCAAATAAGGAAAGACAGACTTAACCTCTGGTGTCATCAACTGTGGCTGCAAGATCCGCTGTAAAAATGGATATAGCTGAACATCAACGGACTGAATGGCGGATGTTCCACTGCACCGGAGGGCACACAAGGTTCCTTGATTTTTCCGCTACAAACATCAGTGATCAGGGCATATCATCACTATCTACCCACAAAAAAGGTGTCTAAGTGCCCTTGAGGAAATATATCCCGGATTTACGCCACCTTCCAAAAAAATATAGTTTCAATAGATTCTCTTGAAATGGGTTGAAATTTGGCTTATACCCCCATATAGCTATAGGCTACCAATAGGATTTTCATGGTGGACTCTCATGGATGGCGCAAATCAGCGGACTCGCATGGCGTCTGAAAATCAGGGACCCCAAAAAATCTGGGACCCAGATGCTGAATGTATGGAATTTTTAACTGTACATGTACCTCATTTACCCCAAAAATGGCCCAGTTTTGTAGGTAAATATTCCAGCACCATGGTTCGCATCTGATGGTTACGCTTACCCTTAAACTTTTCCATATCATACTATCAAAATAACAACTTAGAGGGGGGAAAAGCCATTCTCAGACACCTATTTTAGGGCTTTTTTTTTCGGAAGGGCATCTGTCTCCTTGGCACTTCGTGTGTGACGTTCGGACCAGGGAAGCCAATAGTTTTCCTGTGGAAACCAATCGTTGTCCCTGTCCCACACCGTTGGATCACGACCGGTCCTGAGATCTCGATGCGTAAAATTTCGGCAACCCTCAGGTGACTCCAACAAAAAAAGGCATAAAAAGACCACTCGGTCAATGTTGAAGCCTAAACCTATAGGATTTGAATCTTTAGTCTTCATTTTAACTTTAGATAAGTCCCTGCAGATCTAGATTTCAGATCCCAGTTCCCCAGTTCCAGACCAAGAGTCAGCAGGAACTGTTTGAGTTGCCTCCGCCTTGCCTGTGTTTTCAGCCGTTTCTGCCGCAAAGGCAAGGCAAAGTTCCCATCCGCACAGCGTGATCCCTCGGGCGCCGTGCCCGCCGTGCCGTCCAGCCGTTGGGGAAACAACTTGGACAGCAGTCCAAAGCAGCATGCCATGCGGTGCGGTCACGGCGACCATCGCAGTGGTCGATGATGGAGCTGATGTTTCTGAAAGGAGCTGGTAGCAGATCTATAGATGTTGCTGATGGCATTTCAAAGAAAGTATTTGCACTGAAGTCAACCAGCCATGTTGTCAGAACGATTATCTCCTTTTGATTCCAATGTAATCTGTTTTCTGCTTGCTTCCGGTGAGATCGTGTTAGCTTGCTGCAAACTTCGCAGGGTTGTGTCAACAATGTGATGCATTCTCTGGGCACTTCTAACTGAAGATTGAAAAACTCTGGGAAGCGAAGAAATTGTAGCACGTGTAGCCGAAACTGATATGGGTGCGTCCCAAAGGTGGTGCCCTCCAAGTTATGCATTGTTTTTTCCCCATTTATTACATATTCCAGGTATCTATTTCCATAAACCCAACAGTTTCTTGGAGTTGTAAAGCAACTGGCTGCGACTCCAAACTGGGGCACCTTATTCAGACCACTGCGCAGCCGCCCAATTTTAATCGACAAATGCGCAGCACGTTGCCGCTTGGGCACATGCTTCATGGCTGGTCTATGTACAACTGAGATGCGGATCCCATTTGGCCGCGCTCATCAGAGTTCAGAGCGATCAACAGGCTTCGTGTCGTAAGTTCTTCCTGAAATATCTATAATCAATGTTCTTGCTTTGACCATATTATGATTTTATGATTATATGATATGTGTTTCACAGTGGTAAATGCCCGCAATATATCTAATTCCAGCCTTGCGGAGTCCGCAGCTTTTAACGCCTCTGATAGATCCAAACCTGAACAGCCTGGCGATCCACTGGGGATCTGATAGGGAATAGATTAGCAAGGTTAAGGGAAGTATGCATGGGAAAATCATAGATGGGGAACGATGGGGATATAATACAAACAAATACATATAGATCACAATCACTTAGCAACCACTGCCTTTTGGCTGAAACCACTCTGAAGAATGTGTTCACCGGGTATCATCATCAGATTTCTATGGTTGAAACTTGTTGAACATATATGAACATATATAGCTATAGGGTAAGATAACCTGGACATAAGTCCCTCATGCTCCATGAATGGAATATTTACCTACATTTGAGCCATTTTGGGGGTAAATGTAGTTAAATATTTCCTACATTGAGCATCTGCGAGTAATAACTAACTTTTTTTCAACCCATAGAGCACATGACATGCACATGGTTTTGACCCGAAGCATGTGATGTGTATCGCCGTATTGGGCAAACATATGGAACCCCTGGTGATAAATATGACTTGAGAGTTAAGGCATGTTAAGGCCCTTTATATATACATATATATATACCAGTTATTTTTATGTTTCTCAACGGCTGTTTAGATGGGGTAACATGTTTCATAAATGGGGTAACATTTCACGAACTATATCTAACATTGTCTAACATAGAATCTAACTATAACATATATTTCACCTATGAAACTAACTATTATAAGTGGAATTTCGGGCCATAGTTCCAGAGTTATAGAGTGAAACCCGTCAAAGGTCGACCGGACATATTGCCGGGTGACTTGACGTGACACGGGGAGAGGTGACTAAACTTACTAAACACCACATGTTGGGCGTGACTGAAACTCTGAACATGGCGTTTTGTTTGCTGTATTCAGTTGTTTATCTATTTATGGGAGAAAAAATTGTTTGGCCATCCGAGATGCTACATTTTGAAGTACCCTCTGGTTATGTCAAAATAACTATTGAAAATGGCCATGTATAGTGAGTTTTCCCATTAAACATGGCGATTTTCCATAGTTATGTTTAACGTTTACCAGAGGGTTTTTAGCCGCAACAGGATTCCACCGATGTCCGGATCGAACCCTGGCACCCTGGCCTTCTTGTCCGTGAAGCTCAAAAGACAGGCATCACCGCGCACGTCGAAATGTCGAAGAACTTGCAAATCATCGTATGGCAAACGCCGCGCGACCAGAAGCAACAAGGATCCTTTCCTCAGATGCAGAAATGTCCGGACCAAAACAGTTCAATTGCCATTTCAGGAACCGAAATTGGAGGTACCTACCATATATAAGGCATGTAAGAGAATATCCCAGCAAAATATGGCCTTATATGGTACAGTACCTCCATTTTAGGATCCTGGAATTCCCATTGATCAGTGTTTTGGACATGATTTGTATAAAAGGAAACATATAAAGTACTATCGAAACAATGAGTATAGATGGCCCATCTGGACATGTAACACTCGCTCAGACAATGATACATGGCCCCTTTAGACATATAACACTGGCTATGAACATAAAATAGTATAACATACTATCCTCAACTGAAACCCAGATACACTTACCATGATATATATTCCTGACTTGTCATTTTTGTTTGGTCAGAGTGTTCAGACAAACTCCAAATAGGTTTATTCATGTTCATTCCAAAGCATACTATGTAGCGGTAGGGCAGCCCCAACATTGCACCAAAGCCTCCAGTGGCACCGTGGCTTAATGTGGTAAACCCAATGCCATAGACCATCTTCAATAGAATATTTATTAAATTGGTACCCCTACTTGGGACAATCTAAAATGACCCCCAGTCATGGTTGGTTAATGGGATGGTGCAAATGGCCATTGTTTTTTTTGTTTACCACATCACTATATGGATTATAGTTACATGTCTATAATGTGTGTATATATATATATACAAATGATCGACTACAGCTTGTTTTCGATGTAGTTGTATGTAGCTATCACAAATTTTCTATGCATATATATATATATATAATCAAATATGCACCATCAACTGCACCGGTCATTGGTTTCCACCGTGGGGTGCGACCACCACGGTTGGACCATCGGAGCAAGCGGCTTGAGCTTCAGCGCCAGGTCCCCGAGCTCGGCGAACATGCGACTGGGCCAGGTGACGCCGTTCACGAAGACCACCGAGGCGCTACCTGGTGGCGCGTTTTCGACGAGACGAGATGTGGATGGAAAGATCATGTGGGTTTTACCATGGTTTACTATGGTTTATAGAATGGTTTAATGATGGGATGATTTGCTGGGATAATGATGGGATAATACTTGGATATTGATGGATATACCCTCTGGTTATGACTAACATAGCCATGGAAAGATCCACCATTTTTTATTGGTAAACCCAGGTAAACCATCTATAAATGAGCCATTTTCCATGGCTATGTTAAATAACCAGAGGGTATATTCTATCATTATCTTTACTGTATATCATGACATTTAGCTGTGAACATATAGAGAATTATGTTCCACAATCACTTGATCCAATGTGAATTCTTGAGATATCATTCCTTGAAATCTCCATTTCACATTCTCTTTATGGTGGGATGTTGTAAATGAGATTAATATCCACATTTTCTTGGAGAAGATCACTAATGGTGGTTGACCTACCCCTCTGAAAAATGTGACTTCGTCAGTTGGGATGATGACATTCCCAATATATGGAGACATAAAATTCATGTTCCAAAACCAATTACATCATTTATCACCTAATAATGTATTATCATAAATATAGACCACCTAGTATCATACCATTAGATGGAAAGACATTTACATCCCATCATTTAAAAAGGTAGAAGTGAGATGAATCTCCACCAAAAAGAGAATGTGAAATGGAGATTTCAAGGAATGATATCTCAAGAATTCACATTGGATCAAGTGATTGTGGAACATAATTTTCTATATGTTCACAGCTAAATGTCATGATATACAGTATAGATAATGATAGGTCATGATCTTTCCACCATCCCTAGATTAATATCCACCATAGAGAGAATGTGAAATTTATATTTCTATGAAGAATATCTCAAGAATTCACATTAATGATTAGTTGATGAGTCTGATGAGCTACCAAAATATGTGATCTGGTATATCGATACAATGCTTCTTGCACTGATTCACATTGTAATGAAATATGACTTGAATACAAGCTATAGAAACACAATAGAATTCATTAGCTACCAAAACATGTTGATTTCGGAGCACCGTGTGCAAAGTCTTGACCTGGCGTGGATGAGAGCTGCAACCAGGCCACACCAGTTGCTGCAGTTTGCCGGATGTAGGAAATCGGAACCTTCCAGCCTTGCTTCTATGGACACCAACAACGCGATCACAACCCGAGAACAACGAGAACGGCTTATCTATCCTCTATCTATCTATGTGTGTGTATATATATATAGAGAGAGAGAATAGACCAACAAGAATATGGAATGTTTGAATCAGTTGTAATATCATGGCATGGCCAACAATGATGAGAAATATGATTCAACAATCGGGACTCAAATGCCATTAAGTGGGCTGTTCATGGGGAAGTAGATCAATCTATAAAAACCAACGTTTCAGGTTGTACCGCGCTTTTTTCCACTGGGGCCCAACCTCGGGCACTGAATTGCGAGTGAAAAAGCATGAAATCCTCGTGGTGTTGACCCCATCAAGCCTTAGGCGCTTATCAAAGGTCCATTGTTGGGCACCTAATGTAAATTCCATGAGATCATTATTATAGCCTAAGAACATGGAGCAAAAAAAACATACTGTATATATATATATATCCATTCACATCCATTCATATATCAATTCATATATTCATTACTATATCCAATAATATCAGAATATATCTCATCATATGTCATTTCCTGTTTGAATTTCCCGTTACAACCCCATTATCATCCCATTAATTTCCATATGTTTTTGTTTCCACCCATGAAAAATTCCTTCCTTCGAACAAAAACCCAGACACAACTTCAACGGATGTGCTGATGACTTGGCACTCAGCACCAAGCCACTCCTTGGTGGGGCAGGCTTCGCCTCATATACCCAACATGGAGACAAATGCATACTATATGTGTTTATTGATATATTAGATATGTATATATATATAAACGGCTATATACCTGCCAAAGAAATGAAATCAGTGGATTTTATATACTGAAGTGGTTTTGACAATCTTTGACCATAGGTTGCTGCTAAGGCAAATCTAATCCTCTCCCCCTGTTATTCAACATCGCTCATAGATGGGCGAAAATACACATGAAGAAATCCGATACTAAACTGATCTGATTGGTTGTTTCAACCCCTCTGAAAAATAGTCAGATTGGATCATCATCCCAACTATTGGGGAAAATAACAAATGTTCCAAATCACCAACCAGTGATCTTTCTTGTGACGGTGGTATTTCAGTAGGGGGACGGGATTACTCGCTGATATAATCCATCACCATCATCTCTGGTGGTCTACTTGCGGCCCAGCAACAGCCCCAAAAGCGACATAAAAGTTGGACACGGAAAAAACATGTGGCAACATCATCTATATACAACAGCCCAGAATTCCGTAATCTTCTACCATGGGATAATTGTCATTCATAAACTACTAGCAGATTCCCACTCACATTCATCGGTTCTGCTCCCCTCTCAGCTAAGATAAGGGAAAACCCATCATCAATGTAGATGATACTCCATTGAAACCCAGTTGCCTCCTCGAGTGGATTGACTCGCTCTGTGATTACAAAATGTTACAAGATGTTCCAAATCGAGTTTGGTCCACTAAGCGTTTTATTTTTGCATGTACTGTAAGACTTTGTCAAAATCCTATGGATTCTTTAGAAGGCCTCGATGGATGCGAGTCTTCATTTGAACCTCAAAATATGCAGTGGTCCCTGTGTCAACCAGGTCACAACACGAAACATCTTGGAATCCACTTTTTTGAATCCATAGTCGGAATCTGCAACATGAGTCGGAGCGAAAAAAAAATCTGGGTTTTCTGAATCGTCATGGAAAGTCTCATGGGGTTTTCCAGCTCCTTTAACGGTCGATTTTGGGACCGCGCTGTCCGACCACCACCGACCCGCGCTGCCGCGCTGCTGCATGTACTGCCGTATGGCTGTCTTCGCCGCATCCATCGCCTCTTGATCGATCTCATAGCCTGGTTTTCGCCAAAGGGGGTGGCAACACCACATAAAGGGGATATACATGCGTAGATCATGGTTATAAATGGCTTATATTAAATATAATGATATAAACAAATGTATATCATCTGGCTATGGTTATATCATATCCATATGTATATATATATATATCATGGTCATACATGGGTTGTAAATGGTTAAGTTATATATATATATATATAATGATCAGGCCCTTTACCAGTTGTACATGGTTAGAAATGGCTATAAATGGGGTTATCACTCATTCCATAAATTGGGTGACTTACTGACCTAAAACTGGTACGGGGCCAAAACTGTAGAAATATTGAGGATACTCCCCCATCAAATGGTGGGTATGAATCATTGTTCCCTTTAAATGATGAATAAGCATGAACATATTGGGATGGAAAAAAAGGAAAAACATGCAACATGATGGTTTGACGATGAACATATGTTGTTTTATGTGTTTTAACGTTTTTTTTGATGGCTTGATGGGTAGAAATGGGGACATAGCAGTCGATCCAAAAAAGGAATGCTGTCCACTCCAGAAAGACGTTCCGGATGAAGTGGACTCAGTGGACTCCAAAGATTTGTTTCCCTTGTCCCTTTTTGGATCATCTTGAACATTGGCTGACAGCGTGGTAAAAAATAGACCTCAACCTCCAACAAAAAGGTGGTGTTCGATGAGTTTTGTGAGGCCAAACAAGCATCTCCCTTCAACGCATGAATGCAACAGGACGCCCATTCTAGGCATCTGTATAAAAAAAACAGGAAAACAAAAACGTACGAGCAAACAAGGTGGATAGATTTGTACTTTCATAACTTAATTGGTAGTATCGTAGTTCCAATGAATTCTCCCACATCCATCAATCATGTTTTGGTTGGTGAAAGCCCCAATGGGAAAGCCAAAACGTCATCGGTGATCGGCATCACCATCGTCATCATCATCATCATCATAATAATAATAACAATAATGATCTCACTGATCTCGTTTTAGGGTCTAGATCCGTGGGGTTTACATCAGCTACCTTTTTCAGCCGAAGTAAGATGTCTCAAAACAGCCTCAATTGAGACATTTTGAGCACTGTCCAAGGCGAACAATGCCATATCGTGCTTCCAAAAATTGCTCAGAATTGCTCGACATGACCCAAACTTGCCCGACAAAGATGCTCAAAATTGCTCGAAATGACCCAAGCTGGCCCAAAAAAATTGCTCAAAACTGCTCAGAATTGCTCAAAGTTGCTCAAAATTGCTCAAAATTGCTCAAATTTGCTCCGAAGCTGCTCAAATTTGCTCAAAACTGCTCAAAATTGCTCGAAATGTCTCAAAATGTCTCAAAATGTCTCACAATGGGCCAGCAAGTGTCTAAAGGGGTGATGTTCTTGCATATACAGGTGCGATAGTTGTCATTACTTGGCATTGCTGTTGCCGGTGTCTATTGCTGCATGGGCTTTATAAGGTCAGTGTCAATTGAGCCGAGGTCATGCCTGCTGCTACATTCAGAACCCTCAATCGTCAGTTTCAACTGACAGGGATCACTTGTCATTAGATTGGTTGCCATTGTTCAAATCAACGGCTTCTCCCGAAAAAATCGCATTGCTTTGATAGGAAAAACTTTCATGCCCGCAGTTTCTTTTGCTTCATTACTGCCTCTTGGTGATACCACAGTGAGACATGAACTTCCAGGTTTTTTTTTTTATGAGATTTGAAAGGTAGCGGATCTAAACCTAACGGATCTACACCCCAAATTGCGAACAGTGATAATCATCATCAACATAATCATCCGCATCATCATCATCATCATCATCATCATCATCATCATCATCATCATCATCATCATCATCATCCTCATTCTCATCCTCATTCTCATCCTCATCCTCATCCTCATTATCATCCTCATCCTCATCCTCATCCTCGTCTCCATCCTCATATTCATATTCATATTCATCTTCATCATCATCATCATCATCATCATCATCCTGATCATCATCATCATCATCATCATCGTCATCATCATCGTCATCATCATCGTCACCATCATCATCATCATCATCATCATCATCGTCATCATCATCATCATCACCATCATCATCATCATCATCATCGTCATCATCATCGTCATCATCATCGTCACCATCATCATCATCATCATCATCATCATCATCATCATCGTCATCATCATCATCACCATCATCATCATCATCATCATCATCCTGATCTTCATCCTCATACTCATCCTACCGAAAGACCTCTGACCACGTTGAACGCAGATCGCAGTCCAGTTACCCACACATTGCCGAAATGGAAACAGGGCGTGAGCGACCAACACAGCGTGTCCACGGCCGGACCCCAAGTCCACAAAGCCTTGGTCGGGGTTCCATGAGTCCAATTTGTCCCAGTTTCTATGCCCAGCATCAAACATGGTAAGCTGGAACATAGCTACTATAAAATGGTGGGTTTTCCAGCTTGCCATGTTACGATTATCAGGCGTTGAACTGTTGAACCGTTGGCCACCAGAGATTTTCATTGCTTGAATGTGCCTGGAGAGTCAACTTGATATTTTTTGAGATGGGATAACATTTTCATTAAAGACCTTTGGATAAATCCTGTATATATTATAGGTGTTGCATGGTTTTGCTCTGTTTTTTTGTTGGTGCTGTGAGACAAATCCACATGACTCACTGGCTCAGTCGATGACTTGGGGTATCCCATCCCCAAGTGTTCCATGACAAACACCGCAAAACAACACCCACATGTGAGTAAATAGATAAGTTTATCATAGTTTATCAACATTATGTATCCCATTTGTCCATATTTATCCATATTTATTCCACGTAAATCAAATATGTATATATATATATACATATATATATATATATGGCATCATGGCTAGCATTTTCCCATTTTCCCAGCGTGCCTCGAAAGATGTCGGCACTCTTCTCTGCACGCCGCGTCACGCGCTGAAGCAGTTCCTTCCGGACATGATAGCAGATTATAGCAGAATGCCAAGATGGGTTTCAGGGGTAAAATGAAGCAACATTCCAGGACACTTCAAAATTGGATATTAAAATATGTTAAAGGAACGAAAACACCTAAATATGTTCCCTTACATACTGACCCACGGTTCACTAATTTGTCATATATGTCATATGACAATATGTGTGCACAGGTTGTCACTGGTTAATTCAACAAAGGGATGAATATGGATGGGTGACCAATGCTGGTGGTTGAAACTGCAAGAAAAAATGATGTGTAAAATTCCCAGCCACATCCTTCACATCATTGGCAGTGTATGACCAGTTGGACTTCTCTTGGATACCGGTTGGATACCTCCTACTTCAAAGCTTTGAGAGTGTACCTGTCTACTGTCACGCTGCTTGTATCCCAGGAGGCATGAAGGTTTAGCTGGTCTGCAAGAGTTTATTCCTTAATGTATCTTGGTTCCAGCTTGCATGTCATGTGAACTGGCAAACCAACATGTGAGAAGCATTCAACAGTCGGAAACTTGAAGTCCTGGTAAGAATTCATAGCTTTTCAAAGGGTCCCCATTTGCCCGAAATCAGTAAATCAAAGCTGCACGTTGCTGAGCTTTCCAAAAATACAAGTCCAACATGACGAGATTCTGCGAAACTCTGGATGTCGACCGATCCTTCCGTAAATTGGCCCTGTTTCTTCCCAACTTCGTTCCTCAGAACAGGGCTTAATGTGCCGGAATGCCACGGAGTTTCGTCCCGATCATCTAAATAATGCTTTAAAGTGGTGCAAAATGACGATATCCATTGAAAAGTCTTGAGCTGGTTGGTGGTTTTAACATGTTTTAACCATCTTGAAAAATATTAGTCAATGGGAAGGATTAACCCATATATTATGGAAAATAAAAATTCATGTTCCAAACCACCAACCAGATACGGATTTGATCAAAAATAAGGATTCGGCTTTACCTTGATATGAGGTATACCCCCAATGGCCTTTTCACCAGTGAAAGTCTTGGCCAAGATTCCTGCAGTACGGAAGGATCTGCGCGAGTTCCTGTCCATGAAGGGCTGTTGGAGGTGATACCATTGGATTGTGCAACGTCTGACTCGGCCCCGAGTTTGATGTGGTGTATTCACCCAAAAAAACAGCAACATAGGCATAGGTCTAGCCTAGCCATGATAGCCATGACGATTTGCTGTGCCAACACGCATCAATCCCACACATCTATTGTTGATCATGTACCAGTTTGCCCAGTTCTTGCTCCAAAATCTACGCAAAAACATGTGATCAGTTCCCATGTCTATTAGCATAGATACAGTACAAGAATCAGATGCACTGGAAACACCATCTGTTTCCCCTTTACGGTTCCCCAGTTTGAGGCCTTCTGCAACTTTCGCCCCAAAAATCCCTGGTGAAATCACCCAACGACCTCGATGAACTCCACGTGGATCGTAGGCCCTTCTTCTCGCTCTTTGGCGCTGTCTGCGGCACTCCCCAGCCTGATTGAGGTGAGGTGACGGCGCGGAATTGAAGTATACGTTCCTTTAAGGGAGGAATCATACGAATGCCGTGGATGTAATCACTATGAAGATACTACAGAATTAGAAGACATGTGCATGGTTCAATGAAGGAAATCAGTATAGCAAAATCAGTTTCGTGTTCAACATATGTGGAATTTAACACTGTAACACCTCAGGTTTCAAGCAACTTCAACTCAGCATGTCTAAGCATCCCATCAGTTCCGACGCGCCGCGCGATCCTTGAATGTATTACTGCCTAGAAATCCAAAAAAGAGATCGACAAGCAAAGGTACAAACTCAATAATAAGTTCTCAGCAAAGGGTCAAGTCTTGTACCATCTGCGGCATAGAAACAGCCAAGAAGTGCAAGCAACCATGATATGAAGCAAGAGATACCTATGATACCTATTGATACCTTATGCATCCTTATGCCATAAACTCTTGGCGGCAGCAGAGCGCATCTGCAAGGCAGCCTCTTGACAAGTCAATTCGCACAATCGTTATCGACAGCGGCAGCAAATCCAAGTGCTCTGCTGACGTCCCCCAAGGACACCGGGCCACGCACTCGCCCAAAAAAGGGGACCCTGGATTCGCCTGCTGCCCCGACTTAGATGAGTATCAAGAAAGGCTCATCGATCCAAGGTTCAAAACCACAAAGAGCTGTGAAGAAAACGTCATTGGCAGCCAAGGTGACAACCCATCCGCAACTTGTCCAATGCTTTGTTGTGTTGTCTTCTGCCAGCGGCAAAAATCAATCCAGACTGCGAATTCATACAGTATTGGCCACAGTTTTCGTTGCAAAAGCCGCGGACATTCACCAAGAGTTGGAACACTGCCACCCGAAAAACAATGGAAAATCCGCGGAGGAGACTGTGCTGGCTTCACCCTCAGGTCTCCAACAACTTCAACAAGTCCAAGAATCCAATAGGTTGCCATTAGGCGCCACAATAAATTGGCCCTAGGAGTGGTACTGAATATCATAGACACCCCAATGAAGATAGAACGAAACACACACACACATATCACATATATCACATTACTTATGTCTATGTTCTGGGATAGTTATCACATGTTATCACTATGTCTAGTCTAAAGATGGTGCTATCATGTGCTATCTCCAGTTACTGGATCTTCATAGACCATGGTGTCTTTATACCTACTATCATCCTTGATGGATCCGGAACGATGCTATTCTCGCACGTTCCGGATCGTCTACCGGTAGGTTCCAAACATGGGGAAAATGCCCCAAACAAACTAAAGGTTCGAACAGAAAAATCATTGACCTCAATGAATATTTTTTTGGGTTTCATTACCAGCGGGTAGCTTCTTTTTACCGGGCAATATGAGAAAATCATCCAAGTCCCACTTGTAGCTTGTTATGTAGCTTGTTATGTAGCTTAAGTTATACCTCTATTGACTCTTTTACCAACATGGTTTGCTGGAAAATCCACCATGAAAAGAGTTCGGGAATTTCCAAGCAAGCCAGCTTTGATTATTGGAGGGTATATCCCTTTAATTAATACATATATATTTATATATCCATTATATACAAATATATAGATATATCCCCGTTTTGCTTGGTTAAGTCACTATTCTTACCACTAAATCCCAATCAAAGCACACCTAAATCCAACCTTTTCCCATCCACAGCCACCACCACCATACCGAGGTGCGTGAAGATGTGCGACGCCGCGGTGCTCAACGCGGAGAAGGTGGCCCACTGAAAGGGGCGCCGCACGCCCCGCCACAGCTCCACCTGGGAAAGGGAGAACTGGAGGATTACTGTATGATGCTATATACATACATATACATATATATATATATGTAAATATATGTAATACTGTAATGTAATAATGTAATGCAATGTATTGTAATGTATGGGATGGAATGGAATGAAATGGAATGGAAGGAATGGAATATGGAATGGAATGTATGTAACGTATGTATATATAAGTATGATTATATTATGTATATGTGTTATATTTCGTCAATAATTTGATAACACATTTACAAATTATTAACGTATTAGTTAAATATTTAGTTACACATATTATCACATATTTCATATTAGCCCTTGGAGTTTTTGACAAGGAGCAAGCTATGGGAGAATTCAAAGGCCAGGTGAAAGTATGGAAGAACATGTGAGAAGGAACATGATTATGTTATGAATAATGCACAAATGAATCATCTTCTGAAAGTGCACAGCTTTTGGGTAAAGCTGGCAAGATTTAGCATGGAACGCACGCAGGGCTACCTGCTGAATACGTCAGATTCTCGTATTTCGTGTGTTCCGAAGTTATGAAGCATTCACAAAGTGAGCCCTTTCCAATGCAGCCCTGTTGCCAATGGAAAACCTTGAGCGGAGGCCCATGCTCTTGTTTCCAGGTCAAGCATGTACCTGGGGTCATGGGGGTACCCAGGGGTACTCGACATCGACAAATTTGCCAACCATTTGTAGATGATTCACTGTACCTGAAATGTGGGATTTCCGGCAATATCGCAATGTCTGGGACCAGAGCTTGGGGCATCCGAAAGCTCATGAAACTGGATCGTTTCAGCACCCATACTTCAGGTCTCGGTTTTGTCTGAAGGGCATGTCCATGTTTCAACCAGTCTGATTCACTGGAATGTGCAGTGAAATATGAATCTCCGGCCAAGAACTGAGAATGTGATGCAGAAACGACCCAATTTTTCGGCCAACAACGATACATTTGCAGTACATCGAAATATGCTGAAAGCAATCCGTTAAACATCCACAGGCCAGATCATACCTTGGCGGATTCACGGCTGATGTTTCTCGGAAACATCCAACAGAATCCAGCTATCCAACTCCATGCATGTTGGGTTTAGGGTTTTGGATTTTTCATTTCTTTCCATAGTTTTTAAAGGATGTTTTTTTTTCTTTGCCTTCCATGACCATCGATTGGCACGTCCATCAAATCATGCTATCTTTATCACTTCGACGAATCGTGCATCGTGCGGGAACTTGCTGCCTTGATGCAGAATTTGGCTGGCCAGGAGCGCGATAGGATCATGATCAAAGTCCTTGGGGCAAACAACGCCACGGTTTCTACTCGATGTTCTATCTCGCAGTCAAAATCTGACCGGTGAGGATAAGGCATACATGTGTGTCCCCGGGTCCTACAAAGTCGCGCCCGCCCAGTTATACAATAAGTTGGTTAGTTAGACATGACATACATACATCTACATACATATACAAATAGAAACCCTAATTATTGGATGTTGAAATGTGAATCAAGGCTATCTTCCACCACATTGTACGCATTTCAGGAATCACACGCCGCTCAGCAACAATAGAAATCCTCTGGGTAACTAGGAGTACCGTGGACGAAAAAACATTCGGAAAGATACAAACAAGTAACAACTATTGTGATCTTAAATAGAATATGAGAATTGACATTTTCACTATTTTTTAACAACATATGAGTTATTTATTGTGAGGTTTTACTTTCAAATCATATACAGTATGCATGTACGCTGAAAATTCTGAAATAAATCATAATAACTATCACGTAAATCGTACCCCCAAAAACAAAAAACAGAACATTGTAGGTTATATTTTCCATGCATGTCGAAAAGAAAAGGGGACCGATTTTAATTACCGTGTGCATCCATGATTGTCCCAAGCTTCCCATTGATTGAGAACCCTTTTTGGAGGCCCATTTGTCACTATTATATACTGATCGTTACTGACATGTTCAATCATGATTAGTTACTAAACATCGAAACACACACATATATATATATATATGTCGGCAGTGGATAATGAATGTTTAATGACAATGACACCTATCGCATCTATACAACATGTAAATATATACTGTAAAATATAATTTAATATAATACAATACAATACAATATAATACAATACAATACAATACAAATTCAGTATAATATAATATATTACAATACAATACAATAGAATAGAATAGACTATAATATAATAACATATAATATATAATATATAGTATATAATATAATAAATAATATAACATAATATAATGTATAATAAAATATATAATATAATATATAATACAATATTAATATATTATATAATATAATATATAATATAATATATGATACAATATAAATATAATATAATATAATATAATATAATATAATTTAATATAATATAATATAATATAATATAATATAATATAATATAATACAATAATATATATATATATATGCATATGCATTTAAATGACTGATGGGGCAACATTCACAACCAAATATTAGCCAATATTGGTAGTCAATACCCGAATCATTCGGTTATCATAAATTTCTACAAAATAGAATTTCTAATTCAAGTGGTATGTCATATTATGTCATCATATTACCATATCAACGTACAACCACTTAGCCTCTCCAGCCGCAACCAGCTGCACTAAAAAAACACACTTTTTTATGGTGAACTCCCAAGTTTGTGACGGTGAAAACACCTGAAATCACGACGAAATCACCATGAAATCCCCGTTCCTTGATGTTTAAACCATGTAAAACCATGTAAACCCCCACCATTTTTCCCCTGTTTTTTCACCCTTTTTTTTCGAAAAAAAACAATGAAACCCTGGGCCCTCCGGTTCGTCCAGGCACCGGGCGGCCGCTGGGCCGGGGCCCGGGCGCCGCCTCGGTCACCAAAGCACCGCCCCAGAGCTGCCGAAAGACCTCCGCGCGGCCCTCCTGGGCTGTGGGAAATCAATGGAAAAACATAGGGAATGATGGTGGGTTATATTTATAAGGGTTAAATAATGGTTAATTGTTATTGATGGTGGTTAATGGCTAGTCAATAATGGTATTATTATCCTACAATGTGAGGCCCCCAAGATAGCTAAGTTGGTGAACATAACTCCAATGTCACTATGGTTTATGGTACGCAAATAACTATACTAATAACTATGGGGCCTCACATTGTAGGGAATGATAGTGCTAAACCAATAATGCTACAATGGTTTATATCATGGTTATATATATATATATATATATATACATATGGTTACATTTATAATGATTAATGGTTATTGATGGTGGTTAATGGCTAGTCAATAATGGTTAATGGATAATAGCGTAGTTTCCATTAATGGCTATTATATATATATATATATATTTCTTAATGGCCAGAAAATAATGGGAAATTGTCAATCATGGTTATTAACGGTGGTTATATATAGGGAAAATTGGGGAATATAAATGAGATATATGATGTATGTTCTATTACTATATAGTATATAGTGTAAATATACCTAATATTATGGTTGGTTGATAGGTATCTCTAATAGGGAATATGGAATATGATATTATACCTATGTATATAAATGTATGAAATGTATGTGATATATGTTTATATGAATTTATGTGATATAATATCAAAATTAAAATGTATTGTGATGTATTATATGATTTTGTATTATATCACACTATACAGTATATATATATATATATGATATATACAATCCATTTCCAAGTGAGTGTTTTCCTAATAAGAACTGGGTGTCCTTTGTGAAAAATATGATACATCCATCTTTAAAAAAAAAACCTCTGTTAGGATTGTGAATAGACTTTGTGCATTATGGGTTGTATCTGCGATATATATAAATATATATATAATATCAATATCAGTATCTGTGTATTGTGTTATATATCAGTCTGATGTATATGTATGCACGTACTCTAAAATCTAAAAGACACACATACCATTTATATGTGCAAAATGACATATTCATGTTTACACATATAACACTAATTTAATGGTTTATCAAATTAAAAATAATAGTGTATATGTGTCTATATATATACACATTATTACATTGTGGAAATTATGTCCAGATATGTCTAGATAGTATCGCAGTGTATATTGTATATGCGTATATCATATTGTATATAAATTATAGAGATAAGAAAATAAAATCTGGCTAGCCACATTTCATTGGAACTAGCGAGACCTGCGTTAACCCTCAAAAAATGGGTGAAAACACAACACTTAAGGAGTGAATACCAGTCCTTATGGGAACTTGGAGGGTCTAGTTATGTATATATATATATATATTATACAATAACAATCATAGTGTGTGTATATATATACTATAGTGTGTATATACTATATATATACTATTATCAATATTTAATATTTATATATATATATATGTGTATATACTATAGTGTGTATGAATATATACATATATATATATGGTGGCAAAACGTCTTCTTTCCGTGGCGAGTTGATTTCTCCCATCGGATCGCCAAACCCAGGTCCAGCTATGAGGTCCCAGGTGATCCGTGGTGACTGATCGATTTACCGTGGGTTTCTATGGCCAACTGGGATTTATGGTGATCATATGGTGATCATATCTACGTATGGATGCCTTTTCAAAGCAACTTACAGCTTCAAGTCCTCATACTAAAGTGAGCCATAGCTACACCGATGGCCCGAAATACCAGTTATAAGTCAGTTGTAACCCCATTTATGGAATGCTAATCCCATTTGTAACTATCTAAAACCATTTAGAAGTGGTAAAGGGCTTTAACGGTAGCTAGCTGGTCAGCAACCCCTAATTCACGGCTTAATTCACGGCTTCCCTACCGTCGGCTGGTTTTATCCCAAGTCAGGGAATTCACTGGACATCTCAAGCTGATTTACCTTCTGGTCATTTAACATAGCTATGGAAAATGGATGGAAATTGAAATGGCCTGATTAAAGACCACTTACCTACGAAATATGGTGATTTTCAATGATGTATATACATACATATATAATATATACAGATATAGAGAGAGAGGCCATTTTCCATGGAAGGTAGAAGGCAAGCCAATCTAATTGATGGTTACGCCCTATGTTCCGCTCATATAAATTGATTGGCCATCATTTGTGAGATTTGGTTGCGCTCCACAATCTCATCATTTCTCAATATTTCTCAACAGTATCCCACGTTTATCGTTTCTCAACTGGTGATTTACCACCCTTTGAAACATATTAGTCACTTTGGATCATTCCATTTCAAGTGTTGGACATAAAACCGGTTACAAACACCAGCCATATATGGAGGTTTCCTAAAATGGGGGTATCCCTAAATCATCCATTTCAATAGGATTTTCCATTATAAACCATCCATTGTTGGGTACCTTCATTTCAGGAAACCCCCATATGGTTGGTAAAATGCCTATTACCCCAAGATATCCGATGAACATCTCAAAGTCCCACTGAGGTCACAACGCCAAGTCTCCGAAGTGGGTCGAACCCCACAGCTGCAGCGGATGCTGCCGAGATCCAAATATTGTCCTGCAACGGTACGCAGCGCGGCCGTGGCGCAACGACGGCCGAAACGCAAGTCTTCAGGTGTTGCCACGTCAGTCTGCACCATCATGCCATCTTGTATTCTTACAGTGTTGTAGATATGCCATTCATGACCATAGAACATATATATATAATTACATATAGTTCATGTCAACACTAATAATAACAAATAATTAAATGTATGTGCTAATAAATAGACATAAATACTCCACCTTGAGAGAACTTGGCAGGCGATCCGGACTGTCCAAGCTTGATTCATGTGCTTAGAAATTTAGATGCGCAAACCACATCCGATGTTCAGGACCGAGCCATACACAATGTTGGGCAACCCCATTGGAAGATCAATACAAAGTGATGTCCGCATGTATATTAGAACAGACAGGTTTGTCCACCAATGAGGGAGACTCCAATCTCAAGTTCATTGCGATTTTCATAGGCTAACATGAAGTTATATGAAGTTATACTGTTCACCCCCCAAACAAATATGGGTAAATTATAATATTTCATTAACCTGAATCTTGCGGCCATTTGGGGATGATTTCCCATATAAAAACCATGATTCCAGGTTTCAGGGGAACAGTGTGGTCGTTATAATTTACCCAGATTTACCCAGAAAAATGTCATATTGGAACCGTAACCATGGGGTCTGGACGAGGCTCCAATGGCATTCACACGGCTTCGTTCGGCGTTGGTAAAGGACAGGTCAATGGCCTCCGAACGGTGCCATGGAGAATATCACCTCGACCCCTCTGGTAAACATACAAAAAACCATTGAAAATGGCCATTTATAGTTGATTTACCCATAAAAAGTGGTGGTGGTCCAGTTAAACGTTAGTTTACCAGAGGGTATTCATAGTTTTCTGTCACCAGACTGTGTCTGTGGGCTTCGTCTCCCTCTTGCAAATTCATACCCCCCAATTCTTTGTTGGTTCCAAACCCCCCTCATGTGGGATCAACATTGATAAACCATCCCCAAGTTCCGATCTCTTATTGTTTATTAATGATTATGGTGTATATACCCATGTATACCCTATACCTATAATATTGGTCAATTATGTTGCTTATTTTGCAAAATACACCCCCCCGAAACGGGGATGCTTACCCCCCCCCATAACACCAACCCGACTGACAACGTTGTGCGCATCGCCCGAAACGCCCCTGTCGTGAAAGGTGCGCACCTCCTTCAGCCGATCGCAGAAGACTTGGAGATGCCACCTGCGCGTGACCTTGACATCTTTGGCGTCGGAGTTTGGAGTCCTCAGCCGGGCCAGGTACAAAATAGGGTGCAATTGACTGCCCTAACGTATCAAACCTGGGGACTTGTTGCATCTAAAATGAGATTTAGCCAACACAACTAAAAGGACTTTACTATATGACTAAACTAAGATCTGACCACCAATACAGTGTATATATATATGTATCACAAGTATACCAACATGGCCAAACAACTTCTGATGAGAGTATCTATAGTATGATTGGGGCATGATCTACTAATTCCAAGAATAGAAAAGTTATGCAAACTGGAAACCACAAGCCAGTGCCGCATGCACCTCCACTCACATTCCAACATACTCTGATTGGCAGCTACAAGGACCTCCCCTCACTCTGTTACGTTTCTTGGTGGCATTAACCTCCATTAACTTGTATAGGATCTATCAAAGCATATCAAATAATGAATATATATATATATATTTCTAATACCAAATATATGACAATAATAATGTATAATTCTGGCAACAAATATATGTATAAAAAACAATACGTACTATCCAATATGAAGTAAACAATGAATATACACAGATACAGATAGTATATATGGAACATAGTATATAGGATGCAGTACATTGAATATATTTTATAGTATGTCAGAGTGTAGTGTATATTACATAAGTGTACATGTAGACGTATATAGTATATAGTACATAGCATCTAGTATATAGCATATATGTATAGTTACAGGTATATATATATGTAATTATGTATATATATATATATATATATACATATACATATGATTATACATATTTGTATGTTTGTTTAGATGTCTATATACACATAGTTAAATATATATATATATATATACGCACATATATGTACATATAGGGAGGTACATATATATATATATATATATTTGTATGTATGCATGTATGCATGTATGCATGTATGTATGTATGTATGTATAGATAAAATCGATTTTATATACCATATATCATATACTAAATAATAAATGGTATATAGTATACAGTATACAGTATATTCATAATATTGGATTATGATAAATTATGGTATATATGTGACTATATCAATATATATACATATATATATATATATCGTGATATCCGCCACCATAAACCTTAGCCTCTCAGAGGTCATAAGCCGACGTAGTAAATGGACTGGGGCACCACTCTGTAGTTTGTGTCTTTCTTGAATCAAAAATATTATACCCTGGATGTTCCCTATATTATATACTAGTGAATTATTGAATTCATTCAACCATTCAGATGTAAAATTGTATAACACTCGCGCTTTTCAAACAACTAGACATTGCATAAATGCTATCAACTAGCTGCCCCCACCAAACAAAATGTTCAATTGGTCACGAATCTAAGATCAGATTTACCTACTCTCATGCGCTCGGAAAACAAAAAATGAGTAGCTCCGCAGGGCTCCCCATTCAAAAAGAAACAACATATTGGAATATGGATGCCCAAAAAATTCGCCGAATCGCTCCTTCCTCACCAAATAGCTGTTCAAATGAAGGCTTTATCCGCTTGAAATCCCTCGATGGCCGCCTCTCGTCTCATGCGCTATCCCCATTAGATCACCTTATTTTTGTTGCTGAAAAATGATGTCACAAATGACCATTTGTCATCATGAAATCACACATCAATCACCATGAAATCATTAATTTAAGCACAGTAAGATTTGGTGAATGTTGGTGAATTTAACATGAAAAATCACCATTTAAATGTTGGTGAAATATCCGAAAAAAACACCATCACTCCCAGGCTGTTTTCGCTTTGAGAGGCTCCCCAGCGCCGAGACACTCTTCGGTGACGTGGATCACGGAGCGAACGTGTGGCAGTGACGTGAAAGAGAAGGAAGCGCCTGGTTCCTGGCGACGGTGCCGAGAAAAGTATGACATGATTTCATGCCTCAAAGTCTTGCAATGATATGGATATAATGCATTGTTGTATATAATACATACATATATACCAAATATATATATATACCAATATATATATATACATATATGTCATATAGGTACATATATACCATAAATATATATTTATAAATCATATACATATATATATATATATCATATATATATATATGTAAATATATATATATGTAAATATAGATATCATATATATATATCATATATATATATATATCATACATATATATACATATATGTACACATAATTCAATAAAAACAAACAAGTATACAGTATGACACCATGTCTCTAGGCACTTGGAGGGGTATGGTGAAAGATGTCGCTCTAGCCCGGTAAGACTTGGGCAGGCGTCGGGGACCATCATCCCACTTCGGTGCGGCTGACATCGTTTGACCCAGTAAGCATGAGCAGACAATGAAGTAGCTCCAAAAAGAGGCAGAAAAGTACCATAAAATCCCCATAAAGTACGCAATGATATAAATCGCGCTCGTCTTTCAATTTTTTGGGTGGTACTTTTTGGTGCCGTTATGGTGCTCTGATCAATCTTTACCTTAACCCATACCCATAAAACTTCGGAGCCAATGCTGCAGCTGAGAAGCAACTGGACTCCCTTTCACGATGACCTATCAGCAAAGGGCTAGCATCGCCCAATGAATTGATTTGTTAGAAGGCATTTTCATACTTCTTTGTATCTCTTGCTATTGCAGTACAGTGTCGATAGTAAAGATGTATAAATGCTACTAGGGTAAACTAGCATATGACATTCTCTTGGTTTCCCGAGGAAGGTAATCTAGAAATGGTGGCTTTTCCCTATCTATGTTAGATGACAGGAGGGACAATTACGAATAGCATTCTACAACAAACACCTCTCAGCTGGGCTCAGTGCTCATGCAGTGCTGCGCCTCGCATTGCTTCTTGGTCGCATCCCACGCAGCGTGTTCATCCTCGAACAAAGGTCTGAGACCCAGAGAAAAGGAGCCCGAAGAATTGGCAACCTGCGTGCAGCGACTCACTTCAGCATTCCAAGTATTTCCAAGTACTGCTGCTTTTCTTCAAGCACCATACCGTTAAGGAAAACGTGTTGGAGTTTAGGCAACCCTCGCTGCAATATGAGCGTCTTGGAAGATGTTCGTCAGATCGAAATAGTCAAAGACACGATATGATACCTAAATCAACCTACCATGAGGAGTCCTTGAACACGATTGAAATCGCATCCCAAATAATTACACCTCAAGAAGGTCCCTCACTCTTTTGATCTGTTTTCTGTATCTGATCTCTCAAGACTATGTTTGGTGAGCCACGTCCAACACATCCAGAGATCCACTGCTATCATCAGCTGATTGCTCTTGTTGTTTGAGGGTCTAAATCATCTGGATTGTGGCAAATCTATATACCTACCAAAACAAAACATAATACTTCCAATAGCAAGCTTCGTCATGTACACTCATATGATAGTGTTTCATGACAATGTCGAGTCAGGATTATATAATAATATTTAATAACCCCCTATCATCCTTTGTTTGCAATACTAGAGTCAATCAGGTGATGTTTCACCCCTCATGGATGCTACTAATGCCCTGAATCAGATCCAAGCCAAACTAAATATTACACTGGTATATTTACCCTCTGGTTATGACTAACAGTTAGCCATGTAAGTCATGGCTCATAGAAATAGATGGTTTATATACCTATTAATAGCATGGTGGATCTTTCCATGGCTACGTTAAATTACCAGAGGGTAACTCATTTCAAAGTCTATCCATCCTATGACTTCCAAATTCATTTCATCTCACTGAATCAAATCAAAGCCCTTAAGGATGCTAGCTATTTCCAGCGACACAGCTAATTCAGCGACAATGATGCCCATGTCAATGGCGGCAGGTGTTTGTTAATTAGTGGTTTTTCACCAGCCTCAAAAAAAAACAGAATATGTTAATTAGTGTTGCCATTATAAGTATTCTCATATACATTATATATATATTTATATGTATATATTTTACAAGATAGTTATATAAATATATATAGATATAGATATGTGCAATAATGTACTACGAAATAAATGTGTTCATTCCTGTTCCCTTTCATGAAGACTTCATAAAGAGGTCTACCCTGTCCTGACGATACTTGTGCTGCACCGAGCCGCACTGCCCTGCCACACCACCTCCTCTGAGAAGTCCGCAGTGGAAAACGCCAAGTCCCGCCACTGCTCGGACATGGGGACAGGCAACGGGATGCCTCCAGTGCTGGTGTCTGTGTCATCTACGAAGAGACATGATGACCAAAATATCAGGGGTGTGGTCTCCAAATACTAGGACCATCTAGGACCCAGGTTTTACCCGTTTCCTGTCTTCAACTTGGGAAGCAATAGAATACCTGCCAGGCTTGAACATGTATCTCTTTACAAACCCTGAAACGGATACATACTGCAACCTGTGTCAAGAACACGCCATGTTGTGAAAAGTACATGGATACATCAATGGATGAATGTGGTAATGATCTGTTTTTGTTACAAGTACATGAAACTTCTTTGAAGTTCTTTGAGACCACAAAGTGACAGTCACACTTGCAGAGATCTGCGGGCTTACAAAAAAACATGTACATCGACCCACAGCCAAAACTATTCACAAAACCACCCTGTGGTTATGACTAACATAGCCATGGAAAATGGCCCATTTATAGATGGTTTTCCCAGCTAGATACCTCCATTTATAAGGGATTTTCCATGGCTATGTTACTCATAACCAGATGGTAACAATGATCCACGTAACATATGTGAGCTGGATTTCAAAGGTGAAACCAGACCGTGGGGAATATGCTGCAATGGAAGTGAACGTGCAGCTTCATTTATTTCATGCACGTTTGAAACATGTATCTTGCGGGTCTTCAATTCCTGGAACATGATCTACCCTTATGTTTGTTGTGTTACCCCTCGTCATGAGCATCTGGAGATTCAAAAATAACTTATATATTTGTTGGTGAGTTGTTGATATCTACCTTCCTCTGCTTTTCCTCTGAGCCGGGTTGACTTGTATCCACCCACTCGATGCCACTTTGACACACTTGCACACATCCTTTGTATATATATATACATATACATATATATATATATGCATGCATAATAAGACACATTTGTACGTGTGTGTATATATATATTGCATGCTCCCCTAATTGGGTATTGAAATTATTCCAGTTGAAACTTAAATAAGAACTATAAGAAGCAACGATTCACCAATGAATTGTCCCAACTTATCCGGTGTTTGATGTCGTGTGCTATTAGAAGTTCTACAAATGTTCTAAAAATACCCGTTCGCGAAGTTCATTGACAGAAAAAAATGGTACCCCTTCAATTTAGGACCTAAGACATGAAGCTGGTTGGTGGTATACCTACCCCTCTGAAAAATGATGGAGTTCGTCAGTTGGGATGATGACATTCCCAATATGATGGGAAAGTCATAAAATTCCATGGTTCCAAACCACCTTCAATTTAGGATCTAACACATGAAGCATCGGTTTCTGCCATCGTTTCTGCCAATTTCACACGTTTCGCCTGACCTCTCTGCTCTTCACCTTCGTCTCGCCAACGCAATTGCCCTGCATCCAATGCGGATGCGCTGATGCGCGCGGGGCACATGAGTGAAGACGCCATGGCAGCCTGCAGTCACCGGGAATGACCAGCCTGGAAAATCCTATCTACAAATTATATAATAATATATGTATATCTCATATATATATATATATATGATATATATATATATATATCATATATAAATATATATATATATATATCATATATATAAATATATATATCTCTCTCTCATATATATATATATCATTATATATCCATGAATCTTCGCATCTCACCATCTGTCAAATTCTATTGCTTTCCCTATATTTTTGTTGTCCCTAAACATTCCTAGTTCCATATTGTTCCATATATTCATGAGTTCTATCAGTTTCCCTAATGATTTCCTAATGATTTCCTCTCGTATTCATCAGGTGAAACCTTTACCAACGTAGCTATCACTGGGCGCCACCAAGTGGCAACCACCTCCTGGTAGGTGGCATCCAACAGCAATCGGACGCTGGCCTCACTGACATATGACAGATTTTTAGAAAACATGCCTGGTTGGTGGTATACCTACCCCTCTGAAAAATATGAGTTCGTCAGTTGGGATGCTGACATTCCCAATATATGGAAAAATAACATTCATGTTCCAAACCACCAACCAGATGCACATTTCCCCAAACGGCCACTTGATGATTTTGCGTCCTTTCGACCGTTCCCTTTAGAATCCTAACTGCACGCTGTTTGGCGATGTTTGGCGTCTCTTGCCTTTTTTTTTGTGTTACCCTACAGCTCCAAACACCTTCTGAGACCGGCTATTTGGGGTTGGTTTTTGGGGTCCAAACGCTTTCTCAGAAAGTATGTTTGAGCATTGGGGTTAGTAAAGCAATAATAAACCAACCATATTTTAACATGGAGGGCTTAATACAACCCATTTATGGTGATTTCGAGGATGGTTTATTGTTGCTTTTCTATCTGTAATGATTATTATAACATATTACCGCTATCTGGAAATATACATACGATATATATTTTGAACGACTTGGAATCCTTATTAAAATAAATGTAAATGAAATATAATGATCGTAACAAAAAAAAATGACGTTTTTTTTTGGTGAATAATACTATATAGTATAGACTACATGTACACATAATGCTACTATGCTGCACAGCAAATAAACTATTAGTGTATGACATTGTATACATATATGTAATGATATACAGTTAATGTCTGGTTGGTGGGTTTAACAATCTTGAAAAATATGAGTCAGGTTTATCCCATATATGAAATGGAAAGTCATTCAAAATTCCCATGGTTCCATGGTAATCAGTCATTGTGTATCTACACCTTCTACACATAAAACAAGAAAATCATCTCCCAGCCGAGCGGCAATCTCTCCATACCTCGTCTCCTCGATCCAGGCAGCGATCCCGTCGCTCCCGTCGTCCGACGTTTCCGGCCGCAGGCGCCGCAGGGGCAGGGAACGGGGGAGGAGCCTTCACGCGGTGACATGGTGAGGAATAGATGTCTAGTCAGATGTCTATAGTTAACTGTCCAAAATAGAGGAAATAGTCTAGTTATATAACTGTCCAAAACAAAAGTGATGGCATTGTTTAATCTTGTCTATATGGAATTATGAAGCTGAAGGGTGGTGCAATCGTGGCGCCCAATAAAACAGGCGATGTTTACAGATGTTTATATTACCCTTTGGTAATTTAACATAGCTATTGAAAATCACCATTTTTAATGGGAAAATCCACTATTAATGGTCATTTTCAATAGCTACGTTAAATTACCGGAGGGTAGTGGTTTGAAACAAACACAATTAATTTTTCCTTGAAACAAAGCATGGCTTTGTATGGTCGTTCAATGGTGGTTGAATGGTGGCGAAGACTCCAAATGCATCCAACTGGTGATGACCCATGGGCTGGATCTATTGTGCAACTTGAACCATTCATGAAGGTTAACAATATCAACACCATGGCTGATATGGCTGTGGCTATGGGCATATATGGCATAGAGCAAGTCTTTTTTGTGGCTTCAGATTTGTACCCTCTGGTAAACTAACAGTTCGCTATTGAACATGGCCATAGAAAGTTCGTTGATTTACCTATCAATAGCATGGTGACTTTCCAGTTTGCTATGTGATTGTTTACCAGAGGGTACCCTCTGGTAATTTAACATATCTATGGAACTGTTGCTGTTGACAGCCACGGCAAGAAAGGAGAAAAGGATAAGTACAGTGGAAAATGCACATGCAAAGAAACTGGACAAAAGCATGCGTTTGTGTGAAAGACAGGTCGGAGAGTTTACGTGAGGCTAGCTGCAAGACCGGGGCCGCAGCGGATTCGTATGCAGAAGTCAAAGCAGCCCACCTTCGCACAGCCCAGCTCTGTGAGAACCAAGGCGTCCGATTTCAACCACTGGTTGTTGAAAGCACCGGAGCTTGGTCAACCTCGGCTTCACACAACCTCCGGCTCCTGGCCCGTGCAACGGCAGCCAGGGAAGGAGAAGATGCTGCTGCCTGCCAGGCACAGCTTCTACAAGAGCTTTGCATCACTGCCCGCCGTTTCCGCGGTCGGGCAGTTTTGCGTCACCGGACCGAACTCGCCAGCTCTGCGGGCCTTGACATTGCCAGACCGGCTGCTGCCTTGCTTCTGGCTGCTGATCCTGGACGCTAGTTTCGTTCCGCTTCATGTCCACAAACACCTGCGGCCTTCGAGACGCCCTTCTGAGTCTTCGTGACCGCTCACCGCTGGATTTTCCTTGTTTTGATCCCTGCCTTATGGATTGCTGGCTTTCTTTTTCCACGCTCTCCAATGGACAGCGGCAGAGGTCTCAACGAGGTTTTTCCCTTGTATTCCAGGTCATGTTTGTCCACCTGCTGAGGGGCTGTGACTCTGACAGCTATATCTATGGAAAATCACAATTTATAGTGAATTTTCCCATGAAAAATGGTGATTTTCCATAGTTATGATAGTTTACCAGAGGGTAACTTGTAGGTGGAAGCCAGCAAGCAAACATGTTTGCGATGACCAAGTTCTGATCTTCAGGAGAACAACCAGGGGGATCAGCTGCAGGTATTCAACAACACTGGGGATACAACATGAGCAGCACGCATACATATCCACATATATCATCATATATCCACATATATCCACCCATACCGCGTATCTATAGTATGTATACATACATTGAATTCATGGTAACACCCACTCGAATGTCTACACATGTCTATAGAATCAAATAACCATGCACATACAGCACATATCTAACCTGCAAACACTGGCGGTGTCATAAAGACAAAATTAGGATATTGACATGCATTGTTTTCTGTCACGCTACATGTTCAACGGCGTTGGAGATCTACGCATCAATGACAAGCAACTCGAGAAGTTTGGTTCCGTTCGCTTCAACACCTCACGGCCCAGAGGTCATGATATGCGAAACGTCGTGGACTTCAACCAGACGGTGGAATCAGCAAGTATCAGAAGAATCAGAAGATGATGCGCCCCAGCTAAAAATAACTTCCATAAAGATCCATAGAGTACAAAGAGATCAGATCTACAATAAACCCAACAGTTTTTTTGGAGTGAACTAAAGTAACTTCGTCTTGACTGGGGCAAAATTCGGGGCACCACCTATACGTGAAATCCACCAGAAAATTGGTGGTGAGCACCATCGGTTGGAACTTGGCTGAATTGTTTGAAACAAGTTGAATTGTTTGTTTCCTCAAAAAAAACTTCCCACATCATCCATGGCCAACATTCCCACCATGTTTTTTTTGGCACAGATCTATATATATATAATATGGAGGTTTCCCAAAATAGGGGTACCCCAAACAGATGACTTAATTATGGAAAATCCTACTAAAATAATGATCTGGGGGTATGTACCCGTATTTTAGGAAACCTCCATATATGTACCATACATGGCTATAAGGCCCCATGCCGACATGACATGCTGCAAACCAGTGGCTGATCCACCCCACTTCTGGACCAGCTCCAAGCAACTTTTGATAGTATAAACCTTGGTGTCACAAGCCCGAAATGCCAGTTATTTTTGTGGTTTGAAGTAAGATTATCATATGTTCTCAATCCATAAATGGTGTTTAAAATCATAACTAACTTAAAACTGGTCAAGGGCCATTGCCTTGGTGTCACAGGCTGCGATATGGGTGCAGAATCCATGCTAAAACTCAGCAAATATGGCTGATGATGATACCATTTATCTATCTATCCGTGGAAAACGGGCCCAGTCGATACTCCCTTGATCCTGGTTTCCGGTTGCTTCTCAATCTCGAAATCATAGTCACAGTTGTTTTATTGTCATGTTTCATCCAGATTCCAGATGTTGCGACATCACCACCGGGATGATGTGAACATTAGAACATTGGAACAGCTCCACATTTCACAGCACCACAGCACCAGGACACGATCGCATGAGTTGACTCCAAGGATTTGTTCCTCCTAACATCGGCCCGGTTACTGGCACGACTCGCCGGTACGACGTTCAACGTTCGCTGCGAAGAACCAGTTCGTGAAGGCTAAATTTGTTTAGTTCACTCCAAGAACGGTTGCGTTTATGGTTGATTGAACTGGATGAACTAGTGAAATCTAGTGAATTGGGGTAACATGAACCATTTATAGAAGACATACCGTTGATGTACGGAAACAAAAGATGATATGCCAACTTTGAAATGTCATGATAATCCTTGCTTACCACTGCGGTATAGCATTGCATACCCTTATAACATTGCACGGCTCCTCTACCACAGCTCCTGTGGCCAAGCGATCTGGAAAGGCCTTGGCCGTCAACTCGGGTCCTGCGCGAGGCGGCAGTGCAAATTGCGGTATGAAACGACAAAGTTGTGGGAGTGTTAAACCAATATATGGGGATATGATCAACATATAGCCACATGGATTTTCTGTAAATATTTCGTGACATATATATTAAACCAGCCACATGATATCTCAGATTTGGGTGTATCGGAAAATTATGACACAATGGGAATATAAGAGGAAAGCATAGGATGTCGGAAAGCTATGCATGGCTATGCCATGTTCATCAACATTCATCAACAAGATCGAATGGATGACCTGAAAATGGCTATGGCTAGCCACCATTTTTTCAGGGAAAATCCACGTGATCAACCGCTTGGTACAACCCCATAGAATAAGAACTGGGTCGGTTTCAGATGCAAGACGCCCATTTGAGTTGTGTCATTAAACAAACATTAAATGAGGATGATTCCTGAAACGAACATGTTCTCTTCATCCAATTGTGGAAATCAATTGCGGGAGATATCAAACTGCCTGAAAAATGGTGAAGCTTATGAAAGTCCCCCGAAAATGAAGCCACGAAGAATCGCTAAAGCACACATCTTGACCCCGTTCTGTTGAGAGATCTGCATTTCCTTATTGCCATCATGATTTTCACTAATAGAAAACATGTTATAAGCTGGTTTGGTTGTCGATAACCCCAAGGGGCTTCCTTCTTTTTGCTTGCGCAACCAACAGGACACACCAAATCCTCGGGATGGCGCCAACAAATGAGCTAACTATATCCCCAAACTATGAATAAACGATCGGAATTTGGGGTACCATGTAGACAAACCTTAAATTATCATATCTGACTCGCATCGTCACCAAGTTATGATTCATAACCTGAGCCAATTCGACACAACTATCATTACAGTAACCCCACATCTATCGACACATATCCGATGACATATCATGACACATCAACCCAATCAAGGTGCAATGAACTAGAACTCAGCTAAAACTCATCCAAAACTCAGCTATCATAAATCCCACATCCGGCCTTGCCGCACCAGGAGTCCCCCGCCACTTTTGCCGCCCACCACTTTCCAGCGTCGCCGCATAAGGGCAGCCCGCCAGGCTGAACATCTCCATCGCGATTCGAAGGTATGATGAGGTAGGTTTCTTAGAAAATCATCCATTCTACCAGAAAAAATGAGATCACGGTTTTTACAGACAAAATGGGAGTTGGTTGGCCAACTGAGGCAAGTTGGTGATCTATCGCTCCAATTGGAATGATATTCTGGTGGGCAAGAAAAACTGAACCAACTGGGCGCTTCACCTTGTCCGCTCTCAACTGCTTTCACCGGCGCAATCCCGTGGGTTTCAGTGGACCAGTGAGATCGATAGATTGGAACAAGAGTGAAAATTCATGGCTAAAATAAAGACATTGCCAATCTTAGATACCCTGCAAAAAAATAAATTCTTTGCTGGTTAGTAGGTATTCCGTTCCCATTCATACCAAAAAACTAAAGGATTAAAGTATCCATGTAAGATTCAGCTAGAAGATGACACATTCTGTGCTGTGACATGCCTGCATATGGAATCATATGATGTTGCCACAATAGTGAACCTTCCAAACAATACATGGGTTCGGAATAATTTGGAAAATTATTGCCACAATAGCGAACCTAGCCACTAATCAGGATACAACATTGGATAGGTATCAACAAATCAAAGCATCAAAGATGGCGATTTGTTGTGAGTGCTTGAGTAGTTGCGCCGACCTGCGCCAGAAGATTGCACGGCAGTCACGTGATGACATCAGCCATCTTCATGCGACATGATAGTTCCTTTGGTCGAACTCCTCCACAACCATCAAACAGTGTTCTAGATAGTGACTTGTTCAAGTCCATTCTCTATTCATCGCCAATATCGATATACAACATAACTGGTTGGTGGATTCAACCCCTCTGAACAATATGAGTTCGTCAGTTGGGATGATTATTCCCAATATATGGAAACATAGAATTCATGTTCCAAACCACCAACCAAATAAGATTCCAGTCATTGCCATTTCTAGGCGTAGCACAGCTCAAGGTGTAAAATTCCCAGAGTCGTCCCAACTGAGATAGACACAACACTGGCTGGTGCTCCTGACAGATTCGGGCTGCGGCCGCTCACTTTCTGACAACAAAGACACGATTTCGCCAAGTTTCGCTGTGAATCCAGACAGAAACACACCAAATGGGTTTGAACATGGGGCCATTGAAATAGCCATGGGCCATAAACAAATATGGGGAATATGATCATAAATCATTAACTTTTGGGGTCCCCTATCGACAAACCCAAAACTGATCTGACTGGACCTAGAGAACAACACTAATTATACTATACTCATCTCTATTCCACTTCATTTGCCCATCAAAATGTCCTTGACGCAGCAAAGTCTTGCTTACTCAAGTACACAACAAATGCTGGGTTGATAAAGACGCTCCAATTCTAAATACAAACGCACAATAAGGTATATGTTTGGGTCTACTCCTTACCCCCCAACTTCTATTCAAGGATAGAAAGAAATAGATATATCATGATATATCGACTATTCTTACATTAAACGACCCAAACAATATGAATATCGTCTTGTTGGGGTCAAAAAACATCTGACACTTTGGTAATTTCATCGGATGGGATCCCTACTTGAACGATGGCGAATGGTGGCTCTCATAGCAAACTCTTATATTACCCGAGGGCACAAGGTGGAACAATGTGGGTTCCGAGTTATTGGAACTATGACAAACCCGGCCCATACATATTCGATCATATTCAATATATTGGGTAGTATAGCTCCCGGTAAATACGTTTCATTTATAAGCCAGCCCAGGAAATTGATCCTTAAATAGACTAAATTGTCCAATTTCCTGGGTTTGCAATCCCATCTGTGCTGCGTCCCAGATTTCGACCCTCACCTGCGCCACCTCATTAACCTTCGCAACGTCAGATTCGGTCACTGGTGGGGCGCTAGCATGCTGGACGAAATGGGGAGAGTAACTAAGGTTTAAGAAACGGAGATGTTGACATACTATAAAGTGTTTTCACATGATTTGATCAACAATCATATGTGGATCTTTGGGTTTTATCCTGGAAATCGGACCTCAACCACAAAGAACGATGGGAATTCAAGTAAAAGTTCGCACTAGTTGGGCCACCATTTGGGTCAGTCATTCTACCTTGGGACAGCAACAGAATCACATACGAAGCCATTCAGGAATATATCACAGCACTGAACGCTTATCATCATCATCATCGTCATCATCATCATCATCATCATCGTCATCATCATCATCGTCATCATCATCATCATCATAATCATCATCATAATCATCAGTAGTTTGCTAAACTACCGGCATAGTCTACATATGGCGTGTATATATATATATATATGCAAGTACTAAGTACCTTTTGATAGGATGATGCGTACAAAAACCAGACATCATTTACAGGTTGCTGGGTGGAAACAACCATTTTGATCCCGGAAAATGAGGGGGATGTGATGTTTTCCTCCATCACACATGTCTCAAAAAAAACAATTTAGCGAGGAGATATCTATCAATTATCATTCATCAATGTCATGGGATTGGTTTAAGGAGAAGTACTACATAAGTATACACAAATCACGTTTTCGGCAAGCAAATATTGAGGTCAAACTCATTAACGTCAAATACCTTGAACCCTGCTCCATTAATCCAATTCTACTATAATATATATATATATATATCACGTTTTCGGCAAGCAAATATTGAGGTCAAACTCATTAACATCAAATACCTTGAACCCTGCTCCATTAATCCAATTCTACTATAATATATATATATAATTATATAAATTATATTATATATATATATATATTTGGGAGTGGGAGGTCTTAAAGACCAAAAACCTAGCCCAAAAAGCAATCAATGATTGGCGTTGTCATAGTTTAGCACATTCGTGAGTTTGTCTCTTAAACTTGGGGATATCTCAAAATTCTTCTAAATCATGGGATTTGAGGTGGTCTTCCTATAACAGGTGCCATTGGCCCAAATCCAACAACTTTGAAATCATAGTCCCCAAAACCCCAAGAAGTGCCATGGGCTGCTCCCAACACCCACAGTTACAAGGGGGATCACGAGTGGCTATGGGCCAAAACTCGGGCGCCCTGGTATTTAGCCAAACATCGCTTGTCAATTGACGTCCGTCTCCCTCAGAATACAGGCAACATGTTTTTTTGTTTTGAATTAACCCTGATAGCAACCCTGATGGAGCAACCCTGACAGTTACCCTCTGGTAATTTAACATAGCTATTGAAAATGGCCATTTGTAGTGGATTTACCCATTAAAAAAGGTGATTTTCCATAGTTATGTTAGTTTACCAGAGGGTATGCTTGTTGGTACATAAACTCCAGTACCTGCAGATCTATTGAATCCAAGTCTAACACCGTGCTGCACCTGCCAGCTGTTTCTCCAAAGCCATCCGTTCTTGTCGCGCCTTTTGGAGCCTCGTCAGAAGTCATTTCTTGGGCTTTGTCTCAACATGTTTGGGGAGCATTACCCAGATATCCCGAGGTTCAATTTCACTTTGGAGCCCACTATCCCTGCAGCTTCCCAATTTAGCAGGATACAGCCAATATTATTTCATGGGGATATTATCGAAGGAAGTTTAGAAGTTAAACTTCCGACAATATGGACAGATGAAAAGCAGAGCAGGGAAGAGGCAGAGAGAAGAGAAAGATCAGAAGAAAGAAGAGTAGAAGAGAAAGAGTAAGAAGAAAGAAGATGCAGATGCGCGAAAAGGTAGGAAAGTCGCGAAACACTGTGTTTTTCCATGTTTTTCCAATGATTTGGGGCTCCGGGTCGAAAAGTAGGCTCGCTAAAGCGGCGGGTGCGGAGCCAGCTGGCCAGATGAGAGATGAAAAGTTGCACGCCGTTGTGGCGCGAAGCACATTTGGAAGTCAAAATGTTAAAAACACCAGGGGTTCGGACCACTTTTGGAAGTTGCGATGTCGAAAAAGTGCACGCCGTTGTGGCGCGAAGCACATTTCGAAGTCAAAATGCACAAGACACACCAGCTTCGGACCACTTTTGGAAGTTGCGATGTCGAAAAAGTGCACGCCGTTGTGGCGCGAAGCACATTTCGAAGTCAAAATGCACAAAACACATCAGCTTCGGACCACTTTTGGAAGTTGCGATGTCGAAAAAGTGCACGCCGTTGTGGCGCGAAGCACATTTCCAAGTCAAAATGTACAAAGCACACCATGCTCGGACCACTTTTGGAGGTTCAGATGTCGAAAAAGTGCACGCCGTTGTGGCGCGAAGCACATTTCGAAGTCAAAATGTACAAAACACTAGGGGTTCGGACCACTTTTGGAGGTTCAGATGTCGCTTCGCTTCAATACACTACACTACAGGACATTACACTACACTACACTCCAGTACACTACATTAAACTACATTACACTCCAGTACACTCCACTACACTAAATTACACTACACCACACTACATTACACTGAATGACACTGCAACACAGATAGACAGGTAGACAGCTAGACAGATAGACCGATGAAAGGAAGAGATAGATAGACAGGTAGGTAGATAGATAGGTAATTAGACGAAAGAGAAAGAGAGAGAGAGAGAGAGAAAGGCCAGCTGGGTAGATGAGATAGATAGATAAATGGCTAGCCAGATAGACAGACAGACAGACAGACAGACAGATAGACAGACAGACAGATAGATAGATAGATACATCGAAAGATCGATAGATAGATAGATAGGTAGGTAGATAGATAGATTGATTAATAGATAGATAGATAGATAGATAGATAGGTAGGTAGGTAGGTAGGTAGGTAGATAGATATATAGAAGGTGGTAGGTAGATAGATATATAGATAGTAGATAGATAGATAGATACATCGATAGATACATAGATCGATACATAGATGGATAGAGAGATAGATAGATAGACAGATAGATAGATACATAGATAGATAGATAGATAGATAGATAGATAAATAGTCAGAGAGACAGCTAGAGAAATAGTAGATTGCGAGATAGACAGATAGATACATAGACACATAGACAGATAGTTAGATACCAAGACAAATAGAGAAATAGATGGGTAGAGAGACATAGACAGATAGATAGACAGATACACAGATAGACAGATAGAGAGAGAGAGATATATATATATATAGAGAGAGAGAGAGAATTTGATTGATAGATAGACAGATAGACAAATAGATAGAGAGATAGTTAGCTCGATAGATAGATGGATAGAAAAAAATGATAGATAGCCAGACATATAGATAGATTGATCGATAGATAGATCGATAGGTAGATCGATAGATATACGTGGGATTCAAGCCAAGCCCGGCCTCGTGTCTGTTTTTCTGACGGCACGATGGCGCACGCCAGCACAGCGGCAGCCGAAGATTCCTGTCCGCTGTTGCTAGGAAAAAGCAAGCCGCCGCGACACCGTGAGGGATGGGTAACATTTCTTCATGTTTTTCTGTACGATCATAACCGTGGGTTATACCATTGCATGATAGCTGTCTTTCTAATCCTGTATCGACGCTTTTGGTAGGAACATCTCCATTGGATGAGAGAATATCGGTTGTCCTTTCATGGTGGATTCATCAATATGTTCAATATGTTGGTATTGTGATGATATGACTGTCATCCTATGAATGATGTGTAGATGTTTGGCTTTTAGTCATGAGAATGTCCATCTTCACTTAAGACGGGTTAGCTCTCACAACACGGGTTGTGTCTCAAACGATCTTTGTTTGATCTTGATGGTTTTAGGTTCACCGACGTTCCTTGGGTCAAGTTCGTGTTGTACATCTCTGACTGATGCCATTTTGCAGTGTTTTTCGCCTCCAAGTGTGTAAATTGGGAACAAAGATTCATCAGATCACTTTTGACGCAACATGCCATGGATGACGCAGCCGAAGATTCTTGTCCGTTGCTGCTTGGAAAAAAACACACTGCGGCGACACCGTGAGGGAGACACGTCGGAGGGATGTGCTAGATTTCTTCATGTGTTTGTAGTCTGTTGTGTTAACACTGTAGGACCTGTTGAAGTTTCAATTTAGGAATATGAGGATCGTATCAGTACACGGTAGATGGATGGATAGATAGATAGATAGACAGATAGATAGAAAGACAGATAGAGAGGTAGATAGAGAGGTAGATAGATAGATAGATAGATAAATAGATAGATTAGATTAGATTAGATTAGATTAGATTAGATTAGATAGATAGGCAGAAACACTCAACCACCTTTCAATCCATCAGTGGGTTCGCTCTGCCATTGTTGCGTCACACCAACTCACCTCTCCTATAGGTTTTCCATTTTTGAAACTTCCGCCACCGCCTTGTGCGGTACTACTGGTATGTATAATACAAACATATCAAAACACATCGAAGGGTAGATATTTCACATTTTGTCTTTTCTATCCTTGTGGGGATGTCAAATGGTATTCTTGACCTGCTGTTTGGGTGTGGAAATGGAGGATTTACCAACTTCTCACGGAGATGGATGATCCAAAAAATAGCGGACCATCATTTTGAGCCACAACCAAAGCTTACTCAGTACCTACCCCTTCATGGTTTGAATGTAGATTGCCTATGATTGCCTAGGATGTCAATGTTTGCCCAAAAAAATGTCAATGTTTGCCTTCCATCATTCTGGCCAGATATAGTGTGTTCAATACGTGTTGTTTTCAGGAACTACACAAAGGCACAAACATACTGCTGGCACCAAGAGTCAATTTCAACAAACCAAAAGCTGTACATTCTTATGACAAGTAAAACAGAAAGGGTACAGCAACCCGGATATTCATGCCTTGGTTTTTTTTATTTGGTGGGTAAGGTCAACTGCCCATGGATGAAGAAACTTGGAATGACCAGATTTCCCAATTGGTTTTTGTCTGGACGCATACCGCAAATCCAAGGCCCACCTTTGCTCTAAATCTTCCAGTGATCCACTCTTTGCAGACGGCTTCGGGTAGAGATGAGCCTGGCACTAAGGATGCACTGTGGCTCAAAAGTGGCCATGAGATCTCTTATCCTTGCTGTAGGAAACTACATGAAACCACCCAAAAAATAAGGCTTCGGCGATGTTCCAAGTAACAACATGTTGCGTGAGGTACTCAACGGATTGATATGAAAGAGGAAAAACATGCAGAATTAGAGTATATTCCCTGTCCAAACAAAAAAGTCACTGTTTGGCATGATATCGTCGTTTTATTCCATCAACATTGCGCTCCAAAGTACAAGTATACATCTATGTGGCCCAGAAAATGATATGTTCAAAAGACACATAGGCAAGAAACCGTTGGTCTGACAAACAAACCTTCCGTTCACGTTTTTTGAGACCGCACACTCAGTAATGTTAACGTTGATTTGCAACCACCCAAAGTTAAGTAGTTCGAGATTTCATCAGTTCATCAACCATAAATTCAATAAATTTTGAATACCCAAGAAATTTCGATTCATCGACCATACACCCAAGAAATTTCACCATTCAGCATCCATTCACCGCAGGTTTTGTTGGTTTCGCCTCCACGTAGCTGCGCTGTGCTGAACTTCGTCGTGTCCGGTGACCTTGGCGTAAGCAGTGGCTGCGATCTACCCCCGGCAGGGTTGATGATTCGTTGGGGGATTATACCCAATATATTGGGGATTACACTGATTATAATGATTATAATGATCTAATTTGTGGGGATTATAATTACTGATTCTAATGATCAAAACATGATCCAATTTTTGGGGATACTAACCATTACTAACCAATACCATGGAAAATATCACAATATATTGGGGATTGTCAAATACCAGTATAATGGAATGATAGAGGGGTTTTGAACACTGCTCAATGTATGGTATATTTACCTACATGACTGGGTGAGTTTAGGGCACATGTTGGTATATATATATATATATTCCATACATGGAGCATATGGGTTTGGGTAACATCACTGAACATAACAGATGGCTGAGTATTAACCTGGTTGGTGGTATACCTACCCCTCTGAAAAATATGAGTTCGAGGATGAAACATTGAACCCCAACATAAAATCATAACAAGCAACATACAAACATACACGCCCTGAACCCCCCATTTTACCATTTTTTTATGGGAAAGTCATCCAAAATTCCATGGTTCCAGTCACCACCAACCAGTGACATAACACACCGATAGACTACAACGATATAAGCAACTCACGGCTGGGGGTCAGCATCACCTCCAGCCCCAGCTGTCAGCGTTGAGCTTGCCACGTCGCACCCAAAGGTCCTGGGAAGGGCGACGACTTTGGAGAAACAAATTGGAGCAGCCTGACGAGAAAAAAAAACAATGCTACAATACATTGTAATATAGCGACCGACTTAAACTTAGAACCTTTGCAAAAACGAAATACCAAACACTTAGAACCTTTATAGATTATATACATAGTGTACTACAATGAATACGTGTGTATGTATATATATATATAAGTAGATGCATACAGTTGTGTACATAATTATACATTTGTATGTGGGGTCTTGAGACATGCACGATGTGGGTTCTTTGCAATCAGGTGCTTCATCTCTGGATGCACGCACCTAACAATCGCTTGAACAATCTCCACATAAGATATACAGTATATGTATGATCTATATAGATTTATATACAGTAGTATATATATATACATTATATGATATATTATATGTATCTGTACTTACATACTGTATATACACGGTATGCAACATAAATATCACTGTTGGATATCACAACAGGGATCTTTCGAGTTTCAAGTGGCTGGACCTGTGGCATACTGTCCAGCCAAGGGGATGAAAGCAAGAAAATTGAGAAATTTACCAAAATCATTTGCTGGTTGGTGGTTGAGCCCTACCCCTCTGAAAAATGATGGACTTCGTCAAATGGGATGATATTATTCCCATATATTGTGGAAAATAAAATTCATGTTCCAAAACCACCAACCAGAATTGTGTCTCCTCTGATTGTATTCTAATCAAACTCCTCCACTTTTACAGTAGCTGTTTTTTGTTTGAAAGACATGGATTTCAATTGCCAGTTTGTTCTCGCTGGTGAGTACCTCGAAGAAAATAAGTCAAATCTCTATTGGTCAAATTGGATTGTGTACGTGACTCCCGCAAGTCTTCAACATCCTCCAAAATGTGGGGCCCCCCAGAAACCCCATACGTGCAGCCTACATTTGGGTCCATTTTTGGGGTAAATAAAGGATCGATATGTTTCCACCCAGCCAAGACCTTGTCTGCATCTGGACTGGCCGCTCGAGCGTCTTCCACCTTGTTTTTGTTGCGGCTGATGGAATGCAGCTTCCCCTCTGGTAAACTAACATAACTATGGAAAATCACCATTTTTCAATATTTTTCATGGGAAAATCAACTATTTCAATACTATTTCTATCTATGGCCATTGTCAATAGCAACTGTAACAGTCATTACCAGAGGGTACCATGAGGGCGTTTTCGGTGCAGAGCGATACGGCTTTGTCTACAGAGTGCACAACCAGCGGATCCTGGTCCGAGGGTGTCAGCCGAAACAACACAGCTGCTCCACGTAAAACTTGGGGATTGGATCCCAAGGGTGCAACCGAGACCCCGAGACCTTGTACTCATCTCAAAGCTCACTGAGATATCTTCTTCGGTCAGTTTCACCAGAAACCCTGATCTTCACGTCTCAAAACTAAGGATCATATATAGACAAAACGTCAAAATGTGAACAACCATATAGACAACTCTTTGGGTGCAAATTATTTACAGCGTAAACCGTAAACCCATGTTTTTCGGCTCTCCCATTTCAGTGGGTGACTATCAGCAAACGCGTGATGGAACTCATCCAGTTCCCGACTTCTGAGATCATGCGGCCGGCTCAGTGCTATTATATCACCATGCCAAAAACATGTGTGGATGTCATGTGGTACATGCCAGAAACCCATAGAAACCCGGGAAACCATCCACACTTTCCCAGACATGTTCATAGAAATGGCTGGTCCTTTCACCATCACCTTTATTTGATCAACATGGCATCGGGTGACCGGCACTCCGACAGCATGGCAGGTCTCTACGGTTGCCAAGACACCAGGGAAGCTTTGAAGAGCAATGGTCCAAGTCCAGGCCTTAGGACTTTGCCCATCCCATGATGTGGGATTTAGTTCTACTGAACTTTGGGCATGAAATCAGGGTGAAGTCATTTGGAAGTAGTTGGAGGCATCTAAGGCGGAATCTAAGGCATCATGATTTGGGGTCAGTATGGGTCAGTGGTATTTTTGATTGTTGGTTGCATCACCATTTTATGACCATGTTCAATGGGAATTCCAGGATCCTAAAATGGAGGTATTGTACCATATAAGGCCATATTTTGTGGTGATATTCCCTTACACAGGCCTTAAAAATAGGCCTTATATATGGGATTGGTACCTCCAATCAATCGGTTCCTGAGTCATGGCCAGTGACATGTGGCTTAAAACCAGGCACGGTACCCATTGTACCCCTGAAATGGGACATTCACATAACTGTGGGGCCATGACCATCCATGATCCATCCCCATTGTGAAAATCATTGCTCCCCTTCGTATAAACATAGATATTTGCCAGTAAGCTAACATAGAAGTGGAACGCATCTAGCAGAAATGTCAGGTAAAACAATAAAATTTCACCACCCATGGCTCAAGACTGGGAATGGTTTTCACATATTGGTGGTGATGACTGGGGGATGGTTTATGATTGTTTTACCCACATGATAGGTCATTTCAAAAGAGCTTACTGCCAGGATATTTTTCATAGATCCGTGAAATCTCAGAAATCTCAGCACACGCTGCCACATCCAGGTCTCCAAACAATTGCACCTTCTTGGGACTTAGCTTCACCACTTTTCGCCGCGGCCTGGGGTACTGGGGCCAGAGATTTTGGGTTACTCAAGCACCAAGTTTACAGTATATTTTTGATTCCAATAACTACAGGGTTTTAGTGGTAGATATATACATATATTGTATATTATATATAATATGTACATATATATATATATTTAAATATATATATATATATGTACATATATGTATATATATATATATGTATATAAATGTGTATATATATATATATGTATCTATATATATATATATATATGTATCTATATATATATATGTATACAAATATCAATCTGCTAAATGGGTGGGTAAATCCACGTGTCACCTTGCGAGACATCCACATCAACTTTCGGAGTGTCTCGGACCGCATTTCCGTTGTCATCTTCAGATTCGGTGCCATCACCGATAAGCCATCACAGATGTCTTGGGCACCATATGGTTGCATGCTTAGCCCAATGGGTTTGACTGAACATTGGGCACCCTTTTTTTAAAACCCTTTAGGTAGACAACTCACATTCCCCTATGAAATGAACGTTGCAATTTTGGGGGTTCTCCCGGCCCCATATCTCATATTGTTGGTTATGTAATGTCTCTCACCAATGTCCATGTTATAAATCTAACTCACAGCGCCCCAGCTTCCGGACAAACTTTGAGTGGTTTGGGTCAACATTTGCTACGAAAAGTGACATGGTAATACCAGAAAGAAACCAAGATTAAGGCTATTAAGGCACATCATATAGGCACCTTCCCCTTGAATATTAACTACGTCAGATGAAAATTAGGTACCACATCTGTGGGCCCATGAGTCTCCGAACGGCGCCAAGAATGCCGCAGCACCAGGGTGCAGGGCGGGCTGCAGGGAAGTGGAGACAATTTTGTCATGGGAGAAACCAGTCAACCTTCTGGATTATACCATATCAATTCTTATCATATTCTATAACATGTAATAATATAATATGATGTTAAACAAATATTATCCCTTATGGATCCAGTCGTACCTTCTTAGGAAGTGGAACTGGGGTATATTTTACTATAATTTGGAGGCTTTTTTGTACCTTCTCAGATAGGGTTTGGATCCATAGGAATATAATATGATGTTAAACACACATATATCAATTACCCTATATTACATATATAATTATATATATAATGCATATGACTGATGCGCAAGTAGTCATTGCAACGTGTTGCGAACGCAACAAAAAGAAGACACTATAGACATGTGGAACCTTTGTATAAATATAGATCCGTGAAAGAACAAAATCAATATACGTCTGGAGAATAATGTCATACATCACAAACCAGTATTGTTAAAAAAAATCGGGGTGATTCCCCTACTGTGAGATCCCATGGGTACAGGAAAGGTTGAGGGACATGGAGGATGGTATTTGTTTGAAGGTTGGATGTGGGTTTTGTGGGGACACAAACCTAGACAACATGGAAAACCTTTGGTAGATACCTTGCAAAAAACATCCGTGTTTTTAAGAATGTGACTATGACTTATGTTTTTCAATAATGGCAAACAAATCCAGTAATGCTTTGTCGACAAAAAATGAGTTCAAGAAGGTAAAACATGGTAAAACGTTCAGCATAGTCCATAAGCAAAAACCAAACCTCAAACCACAGAAACAGTCCAGAACAAATATATTATATATTATATATTATATATATTTATATGTATATAAACATATCAACAGTCGTACTGTCCAAATCTCCATGGTTCACAATGGGGATCCAGCTACTGCTGCCCGGCCATTACCGTAATATTTGTAGTCTGCACCGGTAGCGGAAAAGGTTTTGTGTAAAGTGAAATTAACATTGTTGTTCAATTAAATCTAATTCTAATATGCTTTAAAGAAATTCTAAGTTTCATGTGTTGTCCTTATTTATTCGATGACATACATTCTATTTCAATTCGGAGAACGGTGAATTGAATCAGGAGAATTTCTACCGGCCTGGCGAAGCAGATTTCTTATCCAGACCCAAAAAAACTCGAGACGATTTAACACACGCCTCAACCGTAGATATGTTGTTTCCCATGTAGTTCATTGTTTTTTCATGCCACTATCAATAGTTGATTGCCGAGCTTTCCATGATTACCAGAGGGCAGTATCTCTTAATATTCCCATGCTGAATCACCGTTATGACAGTAAGTTTGATGCTTGAATCATATTGAATCACCATGCTCTTGCAATGCTTAAATCACCACAACATCACCATCATGATCACCATTAAATAGCACTAAAATGACTATAACCATGAAGATAGCCATACAGTAACCATGAAAACAAAAAACATACGCATCATTATAACCTCCAGAATGGAAAGGAGCCAGTTGCAGTCGGATGCCACTAACTACTATGTTATATTTTAAAAAAAATAATATCCAAGAATCAACTCCTTTAAAGAGGTCTAGATATGTATTTAAATATTTATCTAACTATCTATCTATCTATCTATCTAATTATCTATCTACCTATCTATCTATATATATCTATGTATGTATATATATATATATATGTATGTATGTCTATCTATCTATCTATCTAATTATCTATCTACCTATCTATCTATATATATCTATGTATGTATATATATATATGTATGTATGTATGCATGTATGTATGTACGTACTTATGTATGTATGAATGTATGTATGTATAACCAACAGCCAAAGATATACTCTAATCATCAATAAAGCGCACTCAAATGGTTATAACCACTAAGATCACCATCATTATATATAAGCATCATTATTGGCAATTATATAGTGGCAATTGCTGGCAATTGTTGCAATCATTGCAACCACTCTAACCATCATTATACCCTTGATGATCAAAATTCTTTAAAAAAAATAGCATGATATAGCCCAAAAACTGGCATGAACTAAGCCATAACTAAGATATACCTATGGGTAGCATATGGTGTAGCTGCTACCCCTATGGATTTGCTCCGAAGATTGCCCTGTGGGATTCACCTCATCGAGCAAATCCAGGAAATGCTAACGAAAAAAGTTGTACATATACAATCATATACACATATATACAAGGTGAGGCCCCCAAGATAGTTAAGTTGGTTTATAACTCCAATAACTATGGTTTTTGGTACTTATAACTATAGTTACTGGGGCTTGTAAATCAACTTATAACTGGGGGGCCTCACTCACATTGTATGTTTTATGTCCCATATCTGCTACATCTATTGACACACTATATTCACCTGAATCCACTATGGTCACTGTTCCCATGGAAACAGCGAAATCTACCAATTATATATATATATGTATGCCCCCTGGCTATTCTGCTATAAATGTCAAAATGCCAGAATATGCTAGATTATAACATACATTGCTAGGCTATAACATAGATTACGATACTACCCAGGTCAAGCGTTACTTCTACATATACCTACATAACTATAATTGTTATATGCGTATATATGATTATACATATATATATACACATATCTATATTCAAATATGTTTATGAAACTATATATTCAACTATATTGTCAAATTCATGACTAACAAAAATACAACTGCTATTCCACTATATGTTATTATCATTCATTATCCATTATATTCGCTATAAATAGTTGTTACAGTAATAATCACTTTATATACTTAAACACATTCCCATGGCAACAGCAGCCCTTATTGGCATCAACTAAGCCATAACTTATGCGCTGATTGACTCAACTATACCCATGGCAATAACCCTGGGTCAAAAACTATACTACCATACAGACATACACGTTACATCTAAATAGATAAGTAGATACATATGTATATATATATATATATGTCTTAGATTCGAATATTCTATATATATATAATTATATATATATAAAATCAAAAAACTATGTGTATATATATGTATATATATTATATAAATGATTCTAAGATATGTTACCATAATCCCCATGGCTCCGTCCTCGCCTCCGAAGCACTGAGCTGCGGCCGCGGCGGCGCCGGCCGCGCCTTGGGCGGCAGCGTGCAGGGCTTGGGCGGCGGCGGCAGCTCGCCTCGGCGCCGGCGCAGCGCCACCGGGGAAACACCAGGGAAATGGGAACATTTAGGTGAAAACGTGTAGAAAATTCATAGAAATTCATAGAAAATCTTCGGGAAACCTCTGGAATATGTTGATAAGATTTGGGATTCTGAATTCATTCTGATATTTGTGAAGAAATCGGGGAATTAAGATCAAAATTGGAGGGCATTTTTTTAAAAAGTGATCTTCTGTTCATGGGTGGTTCCGACCTGAACGAGTTGACCCATCGACGCTAAAGTATAAGTCATCTGAGCTCTAGCACGTGGCAAAGCGATGAGCGCCAACCTGCCAGGGATTAACTCGAATCATTTCAACTACAGAAGTTACTTTTCTTGTTGATAGTTTGATGTAGTATTTTGATTGAAATTCCAATGGAGGTGTGGTTACAAATGACACACCTCTCTTCAACTGAAAACTCAAGAAACCTCGAAGAACAGGACATGCTTTTAGCTTTTGATAGAAACGGATGCAGATCTCTACTTCTCTAAAGTATCAGCACTAAGTCAATACAAGGGTACCCCCAACTTGGAGAGTTTTCCCATCCAGCAGTTGGCATCTTCACCGTTTCACCCCCACTAATCCACTGGGTGATCATCATGTTCACCTTGTGAAAATGGACCCCCCATGGTGCCATTGTCCACCCCAAACCTAGGCTTCAAAAAAAAATAACGTCAAATATCCATCTTCAGTATACTCCAAAGAGATCTTTAAAACAATTACCCGACATGGATCCAAAATAAAATCATGTCTCAATGGCACAGACATGCTCTTCTATCCCTTGACATCTCATTTCCCCGGCGAAAAGGTCCGCGCCTCTGTCGGTCAATCTTGCGCTTCGGGCTCGGAACCAAAGCAACGTCCCTGTCAAGGAGGTTTGCTGCTGTCTCCAAGATACAGATTACAGCAAAAATGGTTAAACATTCGTTGTATGTATAAAATATTGTGAAATCATATCAACATATTATGATAATATTATGTATCTATCTAAATTTATATAATATATATATATGCATTGTTATCTTTTACACATGTACCCTGTCCACAAAAGAACTTCAAACTCATTCAACACTGGCATAATATCTGCCTTGCCACGGGCCGTTTGACATCGCCGCCCTGGGGGCCCTGGGGGCCCTGGGGCCCTGACACCGGTGGGGCCAAGAGCATCTTCCGCTGGGACAAGCGTTCCATGGAGGCCTTCTGTTCCGCATGGCTCACCTGGTGTCATCCACGTGGAACTAAAAACCAACAAAAACAGAACAGCATCCACCAATTATGAGAATGGGCTATGATCATCCCCAATCAATCCCAATTAGTGGGTTTGCACAATCCTATAGAAATCATATAGAATCCATATAGAAATCATATAAAATCCGATAGAAATACTAAACCACAAGGGTTTTTTTCAACACTGCTCAAAGCAGGAGCCAGGGAGCCATCCCTGGCGTCGCCTGACATCTCGACGCGACGGCTGCCACGGGACTTCTTGCGTTACGGCTGTGGTCCTCCTGCCGGGAGGGCGTCACCTCAGGGTATTCATGGGATTTCACCAGATTTTTGCTGGAATTTGATGGAGAGTTAGTTGGATGAACATGGGAAAGATTTTTTTGGGAAGTTCACCTGGGATTTAATGGAATGAAACATAATGTAATTTACGATGGTGACATAATAACTCATGATACCCTTTGGTAACCATGTGAAATTAAAAATTTCCCTGTGGATCCAGCCTTACCTTTGGTTTTGTGGCATGATTCTGGGAAAGAAGTACCGTACCTGAGCAATAATTTGTGGAATCATAGAGTATGATTTATGATTTGAAAGTACTTAATTCATGATGATCAATGAGTACAGTATATTACAGTAGTAATTTCATTACATTAGCAACTTCACGTTGTACTCAACATTGATCATGATAACCATAAGAATTGATAATAGTGATTTACGGAAACAATTACCATCTGGTTATTTAACATAGCCATGGAAAATCACCATTTTTGATAGGTAAACCATCTATAAATGGGCCATGGCTCCCATGGCTATGTTAAATATCCAGAGGGTATCATGTTAGTTATGATCATACCAGAGATCATAACATGAGATGGGGGATATGGGTTTGTCTGAAAATGTTAGGAATATCCATTAGGATTCCCTGTTTCAATATTATATAGATTAATTATATCATATCATACTATATTACAGTATATCATATTATATTATACTTTATGGTATCATATTAAAATATATCATATTATATTTTATTAAATCATATAATTTCATATCAAATCATAGTAAATTAACTCATATTATAATATAATATATTCTATTATTATATGTTATATTATTATATATCATAGTATATTTTGTTATTATATATAATATTATACTACTATATTATTACATATTGTATTACATTACATTTTATTATAATACGTTATGTTATATTATATTATAATAAATTTTATATTAGATTAAATTATATCAAATTATATTATATTAAATTATATCATATTATCTTAACTTATATTATCTTATCTTATATTATATTATATTATATTGTATTATATTGCATTGTATTATATTAATATATATATTATTTATATTACAGTATAGCCATTTGGTGGTACACCGGTATACCCCATTGACCCCATGTTCAAACAAACCCACATGGGTGCTCCAACTTAAAGGTTGCTTAAGCGCTCATGGGGCTCATGGGAATGCTAAACTGCAGTCTTTGCTGAATGGCAAATTTGAGGGTCATAAAATATAGTAAAATGGCTCTGTCACAATCCAACCACATCCAGTTTCAGTTTCCAATTCGAACGATCCATCCACTGGGCGACCGTTGGGTGACCGGACCTCGCCCTCGCAGCTCCACTCCCCTAGAAGCAGTTCGCCACAGCCACAGGCACATGGTCTCAGGCGTGGCCTTGGTCTCAGCACCGAAAAAATGCTACGCTGCTTCGCTCGATCTCCAAGGGAACTCTGGGCCAGGACAATCTCAGAAGGCGGCTCAAGGTGTATTGTAGTTTTGCACGGTAAATCATGGTAAATCTGTGAATGCTGCTGCATTGGTATTGAGCCCTTGACTTGTAGAGTTCCTCTCCCAAGTCCTTCCAAGGTGACGCTGCTGCAAAGGGAATCAGACAGTCAGCCTCTCTGCTGTTGAGAATGAGCCGTCTGTCCAAATCTACAAGGAAATTTGGCAAATCCTGCAAGTCCACAACTAATTGAAAACACTAACGGCTTATGGTTTTTACAAGGAGATCTCTATGGCCGTCCTTCGGCATGCCTGCTTTGGACATCTCCATCTCCAGCTCCTTCACGTACTACAGCACGTCTAATTATGAGTGTACCATATGACTTGTATGACTTACATATGACCAATGAAACATATTGAAAAATGAGGAACACCAAACAGACAAGCCCAAAGAGAAAATACCTCCATTAGTTTCACACTTGGAATCAACATCACAGGAGCCTCTACCTAGCGCGTTTGATCACAACAACTGTCACTGCAAACGGGAGGGAGGATCTTTTCACGCAGTCAGGTCGCGGTTACCTTTATCAGCGCAAGGGATCGACATTGATTGTACTTTTGACACCGAGCGAAACCCAAAGCTGTTGACACTTTACAGTCCGTCAATCTCACCAAAACCGAGATCCGGCTTCGGTGCTACTCAAAGACTGGTGGTTGGGTAAATTCCTACCATCAAGGGTGAATCTGCAGTAGCTTCTCTAAATTCTTTGCAGGTTAAATGTAGAAATTTTATTAAATTTTCAAAAACAACTCCTGAATCTTCAAATTATGTCTCGTCATGGATCATGATCATGTCATATCATGTCTTCACGCTGGATGCGAATCTGGAAAATTCTGACAAAAACGATCTGCGAAAAGATCGGATGCGATCACCAGAAGTCACCGAGGACAGTCTGTAGATCCAAACATTTGAAGAGACCTGGCTTAAAACACCACGGCAAACGGATACTTTGCCAAAGCTTTCAATGGGGATTAAAAATTCATCGATGATGAAAATGATGGAACATAATGGGAGGTTTGGGTACGAACGTTGCTCACAAATACATGGGTCAAACAGGAACCAACTTTGCAGGGGAGGTTGTTTTACAATCCCCGACCTGGTGGAATACTAGCCCACCAAAAAAACAAAATTACTTCACTTCGTGTGATCCCCACCATGACATTTGTACATTTTCTTACTGGCAAATCTTCTGGCATTCTATTTGACATATCTTCCGGCATTCTATCTGGCATTCTATCTGGCATTCTATCTGGCATTCTATCTGACATATCTTCTGGCATTCTATCTGGCAAATCTTCTGGCATTCTATGTGGCATATCTTCTGGCATTCTATCTGACATATCTTCTGGCATTCTATGTGGCATTCTATCTGGCATATCTTCTGGCATATCTTCTGACATATCTTCTGGCATTCTATCTGGCATATCTTCTGGCATATCTTCTGACATATCTTCTGGCATTCTATCTGGCATATCTTCCGGCATATCTTCTGGCATTCTGTCTGACATATCTTCTGGCATTCTATCTGGCATATCTTCTGGCATATCTTCTGGGATTCTATCTGGCAAATCTTCTGGCATTCTATCTGGCATATCTTCTGGCATTCTATCTGCCATTCTATGTTTCATATCTACCTGGCATATCTTCTGGCATTCTATCTGGCATATCTTCTGGCATTCTATCTGGCAAATCTTCTGGCATTCTATCTGGCATATCTTCTGGCATTCTATCTGACATTCTATGTTTCATATCTACCTGGCATATCTCATGGCATTTTATCTGGCATATCTTCTGGCATTCTATCTGACATTCTATCTGGCATATCTTCTGGCATTCTATCTGGCTGTGGAGGTCCAGCGGTGCACACTGAGCTGGGCAGGTCCCAGGTTGAGGTCCAGCGGTGCACACTGAGCTGGGAAGGTCCCCGGTTGAGGTCCAGCGGTGCACACTGAGCTGGGCAGGTCCCAGGTTGAGGTCCAGCGTTGCACACTGAGCTGGGCAGGTCCCAGGTTGAGGTCCAGCGGTGCACACTGAGCTGGGCAGTCCCAGGTTGAGGTCCAGCGGTGCACACTGAGCTGGGACGGTCCCAGGTTGAGGTCCAGCGGTGCACACTGAGCTGGGAAGGTCCCAGGTTGAGGTCCAGCGGTGCACACTGAGCTGGGAAGTTGGCAAAGAGCTTGGCGAAGAGAGTTGGCAAAGAGCTTGGCGAAGAGTTGGCAAGGCGGAAGTGCAGGTGGAAGTTGATGCAGACATGGCCGAGGAGAAACTAGAGGAGGAGGACGAGGAGGAGGAGGAGGAGGGGGAGCACAACTCTGATAAAATCTAACAACCCTCACCTGGCAGGTGGGGAACAACAGTTGGGTATTTGTTTACTGCCACAATGATCATTTGCATCTTGATTTGATATGACTCAACCATCATCAGTTCAATGATCATAGTGATACCTTCACTTGTGATTGTCTACAGAAACGATATGAATCATGTGGACTCGGCTTGTACAGAGCTTGGTCACCTCATGAATCGTAAATAGTTAATCCTGGGTCCACTCAGTCTCCATTCAGTAGGTCTATGGTTATACCATTTGGAACTGTTTTTTTTTTGGAACTGGGTAATTTACATCCAATCATCCATTTACATCCATGAAAACTCGCCACTTACGATCCAGATTCCATCCTCCAGCCATCAGCCGCCTTCATGCCCCAAGCTGTTGGGATGTCCAGGATCTCTCGAGAAGCCGCTGGGCCAGTGACCCTTCAAGTCGCTCACATGCTCCTGGAGATCCGGTACCCGTGCTTTGGTGAACTGCCATGGGACTCATGAAAAAAAAACGCCAACGAGCCTCGAACATGTGGCGATCTGCCTAAAAACGACGAATTTGATGGTAGACGAGGTGTCCAATTTGCCAATTTCGATATTGGCCTCTATGAGGCTAAAAGCGTTTGTTTGTGTCGCCAACCAAAGACCTACTGATTTTGGTACTTCGAGCTCCAATGATCTCAATGCGCGGCTTCGGGCTCCTGAAGGAGATTCACAAAGTGCACCTGGCGGCGTTATCATAGACCATCATGATCCATATCTTGGATTTTCTTAAGGAACCCCCTCCACCAAAAAAAACAAAACAACATCCTGTAGCTTCTGAATTCTGCAAGTACCCTCTGGTAAACTGTCACATAACTATTCATAACTATGGAAAGATCCAGCATTTTATTTATAGCTGGGTAAATCCACGACATTTCGGCTGGGCCAAATTTTCCATACAATGTGAAGCCCCCCAGTTATAAATTGGTTAACAAAAGCCCCAGTGACTATAGTTATTTGCGTACCATAAACCATAGTTATTGCAGTTATGTGCACCAACTTAGCTATCTTAGGGGCCTCACATTGTAGCTTTCTTTAACAGCCATTACCAGAGGATCCTGGATTTCCCACACCAAATCATCGACGCAGCAAATCCAGGATCCTGGAGGTTTTGGCATATGGCAGGTCCGTTTCTTGGATGGGTCCGGCACTGATTAGGGCACTGCATATATCATGTTGTAGTAAATGTGGATCAATGAATTCTGTTGAAAATCGAGGGGGCGCGTCCCCCTTTTTTTGGTCATAGTGGTATAATCATCCACAAAAACAAATTCCCATTGCAGTAAAATGGTGGAAATTCACTTTCCTACAGTATCTCTTTGGGGTGTTACTACAACTGCTTGTTTTTTTATCATCCCCGATGGCCTATCATGATCTGATTAGCCATCTCAACCAATAATCCCACTCACAACCAAACAAATCGATGTTCTTGCTGGTGCTAAACGTAGGCTATGATATATATATATATATATATCCCTATGGATCCAAGTACCTTCTTAGGAAGTGTTTGGGGTATAACTTACTATCATTTGGAGGCTTTTTTTGTACCTTCTCAGATAGTGGCCATGGATCCATAGGGTATATATATACTACCTTCTGGTAATTTAACATAGCTATTGAAAATGGCCCAGTCGAAATAGTGGATTTACCCATTGAAAATGGTGATTTCCCAGTTCGTTAGGTGAACGTTTACCAGGCCGGGTATTTATGGATCATGCCCTCATTCCCTACGTCTAGCAGCAAGTTTGGGGAGAGGATCGTTTCACCGGCAGCCTCAGGCCATTGTGACATCTGCTGGTTGATGTGCTTGACAATCTCCAAATGTTTCCTGATGCGCTCGAAAAACACCCCAGAATTTTTTTCACACACCTTAATCTCCAGTTATGGCCCGAAATACCAGTTACAGTATGAGTCAGTTATAACCGTTATAACCACATAAATGTTAATGATAATTCATCCCATTTAAACCATGTTATCAAACCATTTATAAATTGCTAAAGGGCAACAGAACTGTAGCCAATTTCAGTCCCAAAAGCCCCAAGGTGACTGACGTCTAATAGGATGGAAACAGAACTTGGAGTTTGCAACAGACATGTTTTTAGGGGAATAAGTATGCTTAAATGATTAGAACATATGAAAATAAGTATGCATCAATGACTCATAATTGATAATAATGGGGGGAAAATAGTGGTCCAATTGGACCCACTGCACCAAAAAGTGTTCTTTAATATACAAAAGGATTTGTGGTTCCCTGGTGGTTCATCCTAAGTAAATTGGTTAAGTAGGGATGGCCCCCTGCTTGCGGAGCTGGCGTCATGGTGTAGCCATCGTTGGCATAACAGCCAGCCAACACCAAGCGTGCATCTGGTGCCAGTCTTTGTCGAAGCTCAGTGACAGTCAACCTCCAGGTCCCCACGTGCAACTGAAGGGGGGGGGGCCCAAGGTGGAAAATGCTGGGCAACATTTTAGCCCAAAACGGGACTGGAACAATGTTGGGGCCCAAATGCTTATCAATTGATGTAACGCAACCAATCAACATTGGGACAAGTGTGACAAGTTGGTACTGCTAGTTTTATGCTCCACGATGGCAAATTGTAGCAGATGGATGCCAATGGTTCAGTTTGAAGCTGATGAAAAAGGTCCCAAACTGCATGACTTGTTCGGTCATGGGATTTAACAAGCACAACGGTGGCCCAGCGAATCAAACAGGCCGTCCTGATTTGATTTTGTTCGGGAATACACAAATAATGTATTACAGTACATACATGTATAGCATCCATCAAATTGCTGGCTGATATAAAGCAGCCTTGGGGGGTTCGATCATATGTGTTTTTTTCACGTGAAAATATGTACCGTATTGCATACATTGGCTGGTGGACTTGGTCTCCTATTATATATATACATGTCCTTGCAATGGTCGTCATTAACCTGAATCATGCCCATCCACTAGCATAGGTCAGTAAGGAACAGTTTTCTCACTTGTTCGTATCCCACAATTCCTGAAACACATTAAATCAGCTTGGTTTATATCCTTTGACCTAATGGCAAAAATCAATCTAGTTTCACTGTATTCCAATAATTGCCGGTTGATATCGTTGATAATTGTTTTTGTTTGCCTTTGTTTGATTTTGACACCGTTATCATTAATTGTGCGCAGTTCTTCTTGAGCATGAAATGAGCAGTGCCTGAAACCATCTGTCATTCCATGCTGATCGTTCAATGGGAAATCCCCACGGATTCTGATAGTCCCCATGTGTATATAGGGTAGGTTACTATTCCCCGAAACACTGCCCTTCAGCACTAGTTCACAACCCCAGCAAAAAAGGACGGTAAAACGCCATGTTTGACATGTAAAGACCATGCAATAAAGGGAAACAGGTAATACGCAAGTTTGAGCGACTTTCCTGCATTGACTTCCCCAGCTAATTCTGGCTCTACAACTGAGTTGGATCGATTAAGGGGTTTGAGAGTACGGTGTCTTGCAGCCACTGCTCAACCGGCTCTGTTTGGCTGGACACATTGTTTGGATGCGCAGACGAGGTTCTACATGGTTTTATATAAGCAGGGGTCGAAAACCCAAAAAATGGGGATATAGATAATTACCCCATAGCCATGGTTAACTATCACCTGGTTAGTATGCGGAACTGCACAGCCAAGTAATGATAAGGAAAATCACACTGTTTCATGGGTAATTAATCACAGCATATATGAGGAATATAATGGATTGCAATGGGAATATCATTAGATATTACCCTCCGGTGTCATCATAAGATAGTATCCCTATTTCTGAAATCTCTCACCTCCACAATTGCTGACATAAATCAAATATAAATCCATATAAATCACAGTTTTTTTCATCATAAAAATCATATCATATAAATCCAAATTGTCAATCATTTTCCCATGATTTTCTCCATGTTTTCACCTCTAGCTAACATAAATCAAGTATAGATCCAATATTATACTGGCTGGTGGCTGACCTACCCCTCTGAAAAACAATGAAAGTCAGTTGGGATTATGAATTTCCCAATATATGGAAAGTCATAAAATTAATGTTCCAAACCACCAACCAGATCATGAGTTACATCATTTATCACCTAATAATGTATTATCATAAATATCCTAAGACCACCCTCTAGTATCATACCATTAGATGGAAAATCATATTAAATCCCAATTGTTAATAATATTATGATTATATGACTATTAACTATAATATTATGATTATGTGACTATTAATTATAATATTATGATTATATGACTATTATTGACTATTATTGACTATTATTCCCATAAATCAAGTATAGATCCAATATTAATCAATATATATGTAGACTCATATTAAATCCCAATTGGTGTTATCATTCTCACCTCATGTGCTTCAGAAAATGCTCTTGGATCTGATTCATCTTCTCTTCGTCCTCGGTCAGCAGAAAGCCCTCGTTGTTCACCGACAGGGACAAGATCACCACACCTGGCAACGTCGGCATAGATGGACAATTCATGGAATATGGTGGAATATATCAAAAAAAAACACGAAAATGCTGGAACATGCTGCAAAAATTGTGAAACATATGGAAAAATCATCGAACAGTCATGGAATATAACTTTATACCAGCAAGAAGGATCAACATTCAGTATTTAAAATTGTTTTAATATATTTTACCAGCAAATCAGATTGGAAAACATCAGACCATAGTAGCAAAGCTGGCGAAACATGATGGATCCCTTCAACCTGGTACGCTTGGTAAGTATAGTAACTACAGTAATCGTAACTATTATTTACTACCTAGTATAACTATAGTAAATATATGTAAATATCGTGACAGCGGTAAAGGTAATTACTTTGGTAGCAAAAGTAACTATAGTTGTTAATTCCGGGGGTCACAAGTTCCCCCCTTCTTTTCGTGGCTTATCCATGGTTCTCCCATTTGAACAAGTGGGCCAAGACACTAAAATGTTTCCAATCCTCAGGTGTGGTCTTCCTCATCACAAGTTCATACCAGAGCTGAGACCTCGAAGCAATGTGGCCGTCAATGTCCATTGAAGTAGTTCGACGTTCACAGAAACAATACACCAAGAAGATGGAATTGTCAGGGGAACAAATTGAAAATATAGGAAAATATTTGTCAAACCGATTCAAACATTTATATATGATACCCTGCTGCCGTGAATGAACCAACTAGAAATTTTAGTGAAGTGTTAAATTCAATGGCCCGACAGATCTATATCATCGATGGTTCACTGGCCAGTCTCTTCATCTTGAAATGTTCCGAAGAATGATACCTAATACATTTGCAAAAACACTAACAAATTCATTGGTTATAGGGAGTCATCCCATGTTACAAGTAGTTTACTGGAGTTAACTCTGAATTATTCCAAATTCCGAGTCTGGTACAGTCTGGTATATAAAATTTCAGGTGAAAAACAAACAAGGACAAACACATATGAACAATTACGTTCATCATCAACACCAGCATCTAATCATGGTAACATCAAAAATCATTACTGTCACCACCATATTCATCACCACCATCACCGTAGTCATGATTACTATCCTGATCTTCCCTAGTTCCTTGCTCATATCTTCGACTTATGTGCTGCGGCCTGCAAGACTGTTTGGTGCTTGATGAGGAAAAGTACAATACGAGTGCTTGTCAGTACATGTCTTGCTAGTTCTGAACTCATTTCTACAAGTTGTATGGGTTTGTCTGAAAACAAAACCCAAAGTCTTGTGTTTTATCATCATTTCCCCTGCAAAAACAAACCATTTGGCGGGCATACACCATTTTCAAGCAAACCAACTATATATCGTCACGACCAAAAACAATAGACATTGCATTTAGCATTATTTACCACTATTCAGTTTCATGGTATTTGTATGTATTTGTCATTTTTTTCTGGGGGTTGCTTGTAACAATTTGGAAGCGTGTGAACTCACGAGTAAAAACACTCTCGGGCGCGAAACCATGCGTTTTTTCGGGTAATGTGGCTCCTGGGGTCGCCGAAGTAGGGTCTCTGTTTCCGCGCTTTCGCGCCTTGATCTGAGAAGTTTCCGACAAAAAACGCACAGGAGCGAGAGCTCGATTTGCACTTCAAAAATGTAAAAACACATGCGGCGTTCAGATCACTTTTGGAAAATTCATTGATTCACTGGTTCATTGGTTCGTTGAATTCTTGATTCATTGGTTCATTCAGGGAGCTGTGCATGGGTTCTTTCGTTTCATTGTAATATCAACCACAATTTGCTCATTCGTTGATGCACCTCACAACTTCGACACTTCATTGCTTCTGCATCGCAAAAACTTTCCTATAGGCCATTGATATAGTCATCTCCTATTTTCGAAACTTCCGCCCCTCGCCGGCACTATCTGGTATACAATTATTCTAGTATGATTCAGTATGATTCTACCTTTCTACTTTGGGGTTGCTCTCTTTATCTTTATGTCAATTCAATAGAATTTCTTCATATTTCTTCTCCCCCGAAACGTCCGTTCAACCCTCCACATCCACCGCGCTACGACGTCCACTCCACTGCGCGGATGTGAAGCTTCCAGGCGGCTCCCGCGTGGTCGTGTAAGGCACGTTCCAAGCGTTGAGGCCAACCCAAATTGGGCGCCGGACCCGCCTGGTGGGATGGGGTCAAACCTCCGTTGTTTTCATGGGAAAACCCGGCCAAAATGGAAGATTTACCTGGGAAACATGAGGATTTACCTAGGAAAATTGGGGACGTAGTAGATTTACCATTGGGAAATCATACAAAAAAATGGGGAAAACCCGTGGGCAAACCCGTTCTGAAAATTATTTACTACATAGTTAATGATGGAGAAAAACACAATTATAATTCATATTTGCTTACAGGAGGTAACCCAGGAAATGGAAATTTATGAACCAGGGATAATCGCTTAAATTCACTGGGAATTGCTATTCACGTTACGGGGCCGGGGATCTCGAAATGTTGAATAAACCATGGTATAAACCAACCATCTTATCTTATGTGGATATCTCAAGTAATATCTCAAGATCAATGTTTTGTTTTTGCTGTGTGAAGATCAAAAAAATAGTTAACCAATGATAATCATCGATTAATGACAGTTATGTGGGCAATGGATGGTATTTGGTGATATTTCCTCACGATGTAATTTGCAAACAAAATGACATATGACCCGTGGGTCCGTCTGAAATTGGAAGATTCCTCAAAATGGTGTTGGGAAACATTATGATAAACCATGCGTTTTGGGTGTTCCCTATTTTCCGACAAACCCATAATTTCCACAGAAAAAATCACAATATTTTTAACCAAACAAAAAATGGCGGCGTAATAATGGATAATGATCCATGGTTTAAGGAACATGTACGGCTGAAACAATTGGTCAAACTGCAAATATAGGGATAAACATGGGTAAGCTCAGAAAATAAGTTTGAAATTCCAGGAGGAGGAGGTGGGTAGTGAGAATTGGATGGTTGAATGCTATATTCTTGACCCACCCGCTGTAACTGTATCTGTGTTCAGGAATTCGCCTCAATTTTTGAAGCCAATGCAACAAACCATCCCTGTAAACAACCATTAAAAGGTGGTCATTTAACTTCATTCTAGCAATATGATCAAATGGGTGTACCGGACCCACTTTCATAAACCACAATTAATAATTAGGTATGTTGTCTCATTGCAATTACATGTACTGCATACATGCCGCACAACCGATGATTTCCGACATATTCTCCCATCATTTTCAATTTGTGGCATAAAAGAATATGGAAAATTAAGACCCATTTTTTTCCATAATGGATAAACTGATAAACCATCATTTTCCATGTTCCATCATTCTCCATGGTTTACCTCTTGACAGTTTCTTTTCTGGGCCTGGGATGGAATGGGATAGCCATAGCTTTTGAGTCGAAGGCCTTTCCCCGCCTCTGCACCTTCACCCTTGGCGACCGAACTGCCAAGGATGAGCAAATTTCGGCCTCGCATCAGTGGATTTCATGACCTTCAGATACCTTTGGCTCATGCTCTCCATCTGCTGGATGGAATGTGTTGAAACTAAGTTCAGACCATATACCAAATAGTGGTTAGCAATGCAATACCAAATTTAGACAAACAGTTTTAAAGATGATAAACTAACAATCATGATCATCACGAAACAAGCTACATTGGTTATCCAGCCCCCCAAAGGAAGTCAAGTCATATGAGAAAGTACTCACAGGAAAAAACCCAAGTGCACTGCATGTGGTCCAAGTTCATCGACGACTAACAGTTTTGAAAGACCCAATGTGAATGATTATAGTGATTACTTGAAAAACCAATCCCACACATTATTCTGTATCAACTGGGAAATTGGGCTCATAATTTCCTTAGAAACAATGTGGAACAAAAAACCGGGAACCACGTTGATTGGTCGCACGATTCCTTCATTTTTCCCATCGATCTGTCCCGAACTTGGGTAGCACAACCTTGATGCTGAAGTTCCGGACCAGCTGGAAGCTTCCATAATCTGATGCGGCTGGCAGAGATGGGTGTGGACCTGAACACATAGAATACCCTGGGAGAAACATACAAAACGATAGTGAAAATATAGTTCAGGTGATGCTTTGAAAGCTTTCAGGGTTTTAGACTTTTACAGCCCCTGTTGAAAAGACAAACTCAGTTTGGACCTCCGGTGACAAATTCACCGACGGAATGCCGGACCCATGGACTCGCCTGAAGAGCTGGAAGAGAAAGTAGCGCCACAGCAGTTTGTTGCGCAAGGAGACCACAGCAGCACTCAGGAAATTGGAGACCGGACCTCGCCGCCAGGATCCCCCGGAATCCTGGAATCAGATTTTAAAGCCTCGACGGCGGCCAATGTATCAATTGTGGTTCTACCCAGCTTCCAAAGTATCAATGCTGTTGGACATATCAGAGTACTTATTGGGACCTATGCAATTATATATATACATATAATTATAATATATTTATATATATATATATATATTTGTTGTGATTCCTGGATATTGTTTGCGCTTGTTGACAAATGTCACATTTGCTCATGGCATCTCATGGAAATCTACCTGCGTGGGTAGATGTCCCAATATCTCCATTGAACAGTCTGTCTATGATTGATCTGCTGTGATTGCCATGGAACGAGCGTGGGAACTCTCAACCACCCAAGTCTGTATGAAAGTCTGAGGAAAACATACTAAAATAGACTGAGAGTTTCAACTGGGTAAAGGGTTCTCGATATGTCCTACCCATGTTACAGTATGTCTAGGTTTAAGTACATGTTCCAGGCCATGTTCCACCAAACTTCCCCCATCCCTGCCTGTGCAAAGCACAAAAGGCACCACTGCAGCAGCAGCTAGTTTCAAGGATAACGCCATCCCCCAGTTGCCGATTTTTTGGCAGTGAACTGTTTCACCAGCTTGTTCCACATCTGCTGGTGAGTCAAATTTAAATTTAAAACGCGCACACACACACAAATCAGTTTCAAACAAAGCGCATCACTGAAAGGTCAGGCCTTTACAAGACATGTTTTAGCTTTGCATTGGACATGCCGCGTAGGTGCTTTAAAAACCTGGAAGCCAAATCTGCCCAAAATTTGCGGCCTGAAGCTGGTCTGATGTCAGATTTTATATCCCCAGTGTCACCGCTTGTTGCAATCCAACATCTATCTTTGGCAATATCTATACATTGAAATTGATGGTGTTAATGGTGTTAATCCCATTTGTATAATCCGAATCCGAATAAATTCGACATTTGTTTAATGTTGGATTATATAAACCACTTCACGTTTTGATGGTGATCATGGTTAAACGGTTTATTGGTGATTCCCTATGGCTGATGGCAATCACTTTTGTTTAAGCCGGCTGAATCCAGGTTACTCCAGGTTTTCACGAGTTCATCCCACTGATGGTGACACTCCCAGCATCCCCATGTCATCGATGGTTCACGTTACCATCTGGTTATGACTAACAGTTCGCCATGGCAAATCCCCAAAATAAATGGAGGTTTATAGCTGGGGAAATCATCTATTTCTATGGGCCATGGCTACCATGCCGAACTGTTAGTCATAACCAGAGGGTAAATCACGTTAAACCCCGATGTTTTTTTGGGTGAAGTCGCCGCAGTCCTGGAGCCGCTGACGACTCACACCCGGCAAATTCTGGGGCCGTTTGCCTGCATTGCCTCGGTGGTGTTGAGTTCAGCATCAAAAGTATTGGGATTTATCTAGGAAAACGTGAGTTAGGGTTTTAGGATGAGTGTATATATATATTATACGTTTAATGACTTATTTTTATCTAGGATGAACATATAATTTATCTAGGATATACTATATATAATGATGAATATGGTTTTTGGTTTCCTACCATCTCTTAATAAATGGTGAATCTATCAGTGCCCTGAAACCTGTGTTGTTCTAGTTGGTGGTGTCAACCCCTCTGAAAAATATTAGTCAACGGGAAGGATTATCCCATGTATTAAGGAAAATAAAATTCATGTTCCAAACCACCAACCACCACAGGGAAGTCATTGTGCACATTATCCTCAACGAAAAACTTCAACCATGTGGCGGTTTTGGATGGCCACTTGCCGTATGCTGTTCTCCTGTCATTATTGCTCTACCCCCACATTTGCGATTATCAAATTCCTTGTTCAAACCGAGAAAATCATCCGGAAATTGGTAAAATCCTGAAATGAATCAACATGTTTCACTAGATCCTACTGATCATCATGCAAACATCTCTCCTAGATATCCGCATCATTCCAAACACACAAAATTCAGAAATGTGGAAAATCCTGTTTAAAGTTACTTAATTTTTCTGAGTTGTTCTTATTTTTTTCATTTCTTTTCTTTCCAACTACAGCAAGTAAAACACCATTAAACAAACAAAATGAATCCGCAACTCAAAGAACAAATTATCACATCATCAAACGCATATTTAAAAAAAAAAAACATATTTATAGATATCATGCATCCGCCCCTGCCGCGGTTTGCGGCCCGTTTTTGCTCCACACTGGCATGGGGCGTCCGAATCGCCGATGGCCTCAAAAAAGTCTTCCGCCCAGCCCGGACGTTGCTCGACACTTACAATCTTCATCATCACTATCATCATCATGACATCACATCATGATCATCATCACATGAACATTTGTCACCCCCTATGAACAATATGTTGATTGGGGTAATAACATCAACTATATCTCCATGAGGGATCAACATTTGCCACCCCCTATGAACAATATGTTGATTGGGGTAATAACATCAACTATATCTCCATGAGGGATCAACATTTGCCACCCCCTATGAACAATATGTTGATTGGGGTAATAACATCAACTATATCTCCATGAGGGATCAACATTTGCCACCCCCTATGAACAATATGTTGATTGGGGTAATATAACATCATATAACATCAACTATATCTCCATGAGGGATCAACATTTGCCACCCCCTATGAACAATATGTTGATTGGGGTAATAACATCAACTATATCTCCATGAGGGATCAAAAAATGCCAGAAACTATGAACAATATTTTGATTTGGGTAATAACATCAACTTTATCTTCATGAGGGGTAAAGCAACGCCACCCCCTCTGAACAATTTGTTGAATGGGGTGATAGCATCAACTTTATCTTCAAGATGATGATGATGAGGAGGAGGAGGCGGAGGAGGATGACATGACGATGACGATGACGATGACGATGACGATGATGATGATGATGATGTTGATGATGATGACTATGATGATGAATGAAGTGCATTTCGACATTCCACTTTTGGTGAACTTCAAAACGTTGCAACCCTTCCACGATTCAGGCGCGGAGCAACGTCAGGGTTGCACCGAACATGTTTAAAAAAAACACATATAACAAAATCATCAGTCCAGTGTGTGTAAACCTCATGTAATCTCATATATATCCAATTATTTCCACATGTTCCAATATTGGATCAGTTCCCAGAAAACATCCAAGGCACTTCTTGGGCCGGCGCCACTGCCGCCGCAGCTGCAAGTCTTCAGCCTCCATGACTCCATCAATGGGGTGACGAAAAAATGATGATCGTTTAAGTGTTTACCAATCTAGGTAAATTATAATATTTCACTAACCTGAATTAAGGCCTTTTGGGGATCATTTCCCCTTACTAACTATGATTTCCAGTGAGGTCGCAGTGAGGTCGTTATAATTTACCCAGACCCAACTAAAACTGACTATTTTAAGTGTTATCATGGGGAAAAAAAACATGGGAAAATTTGGTCAAGTCATTGTGTACCCCAATCATTAGACCGTTCATAGCTAAACATTATTAAACGTACCCTCTGGTAAACTAACAGTTTGCTATTGAAAATGGCCCAGTCGAAATAGTGGATTTACCCATCAATAGCATGGTGGATCTTTCCATACTGGTAGCTATGTAAACGTTTACCACAGGGTATCTATGTTTACACACCATGGCACATATGAATTTGAAGCGTTAGCATGAAGTCTTTCCTGATAGACTTTCTGCTGCACCATATGTATTTGTGATGCTACGACATGAGTGTCCCCCAATATACCCGCTGTTGAAAATCACCGTTTTTGATGGGTAAATCAACTATAAATGGCAATTTTCAATAGCTATGTAACAAATTTCCAGAGGGTAACCGACCACTTTGATGGGAACATAGTAGTTAACTGATGGATTTACTGGTCTTCCCGGTCTTCCCATAATCTCAAACAACCCATTGTATCGTAATTATGTGACTGCTACAACCAAGACATGTGTCGTGAGCAGTTGCATTCCAAATTTTCCAAAACTGAGAGACAAAAGTGGGTCCAAAAATCATTTCGCAACTCAGAAAATCAGGACAAAGTCTCACAGCGCCAGTGTAGCACTGTTGGCTACAAGGGCGCAGTGCATGTTCCACTTACCAACGACCACGCCGCTGATGTGAGACCAAAAAACCCTCATCATGTCACCTCTTAGCATTGGTGATCCAACATTCGTTGGCAAAGCCAAAGAACTAAATAGTTACCATGGCTTAATATGGTTTAATATGGCTTAATATGGTTTAATGATGAGATGATTTGCTGGGATAATGATGGGATAATACTGAGATATTGATGGATATACCATCTGGTTATGACTCACATAGCCAAGGAAAGATCCACCATGCTATTAATAGGTAAACCGTCGAACTAAATGGGCCATCTATACCATGGCTATGTTAAATAACCAGAGGGTAAATCATGTTATATCCCCATACGACACAACGTATCAACGTTAACCACGTGATGTGCGTCAACTTAGCTATCCTTAGCCCCAAACATGGCACCTGTTTGTAGAGCTGCAAGGCATGTTGTTTCGCATCAGGGTGCCACATCAGCGCCATGGAGTTGTGAAGAATCTCACCTGGACATCCCGGATGAAGGCGCCCCCCCCCCACCAGGGTACCTTGAGCTTTTTTTTCGTTGTATTTGCAGCAGTCCATCTTTTTCTGTGATTTATACATATTTACACACTACCACACAAGTACGGTACAGCTTAACTCTTGTTTTCTTGCAGTTCCTCAATTGCCACCTGGTTACTCCACATCCTAAGACTCTGAGGTTGCCTTCCCTTCAAAGCAAAGTAGCCTTTGTAAATGAATAGGGTGAATTCATGACTTGAACTTCTCCACTGCAATCTTGCATTGTCTGCCGAAGCATTCTACTGGATGCATTCTGCTCTCCAAGGTGTGTTTTCTTCTTGGATTCGGCTACATTTTGAAACCTATATCAACCATTGTCATGAAGTAATCCATTTTGCACATGAAAGTTTTTTTGTTTTTCTGGATGAGGTTTCCTCTTTGTGAACATCACATCACAATATGACCAAATAGCCCTGCTAAATGTCCAAAGGATACAGGAAGAAAACTCATAAATTATATATAAAAAAGCGCGCCCCTTAAAGTTCCTTGAAGCTATATTCTAGTTAATGGTGGAAGTACATACAATGTTGAATGAACAAGACTTGCTGTTTGAGCGACACAGCGCAGCAGTTGATCAAAGAAAATGCATCATGTTTAGCTGAAGGCAAAACTGCAAACAATACAATCTCATTGCCCAAAGAGGATTATGTAGTTTATTAAGTTTGTACCTGCCACATTTCAAGCAAACAATGCTTTGAAGAAATGAGACTTGTAAAAGTGTAGTCTTCATTGCACATATGCAGCATCCCCTTCAACCAAAAAAGTTGTTGTCATTTATAAGCTGGTGGTTGTCTTTGAGCTAGCACAGTGTTTTTTTTCAGGAAGAAATCTCCCTATGGAAACTTAATAGTGCTTCGAAAAAATAACCCTCTACAAAGTGTATTGTGTTTTGAAGTGCGGCATTCCTGTTTCCTTTCTTTATCATGGTAATATTCCCTCCGACAGGTGTTGTTTTATTCAAACATTGAATACTTAACCTAAAGCTGCAACCTTGTTAAACAACAGAAACACTATTGTTTCAGAATATGCAGTGTATCCTTTAAAGATGTAGTACTCCTCTCAAAGAAGCTCCACTGTCCTTTATGTTCGAAGGTAACACCATTTCTTTCAACATATGTAGCACTCCTTTCAATCACACCATTTCTTTGAACATATGCAACGCTCCTTTCAAAGAAAACCAGCTGCCCTCTATTTGGACAGGAACACCATTTATTTGAAGGAAAGTCTTCACTCACCACAAGGAGAATTGTACATTCCCAAAGGCCTCACACCTAAAAGGAAAATTGCACATCCCCAAGGAATACCTGCGAATGTTTAGCATGCGGTAGTTTTTTGATTATGGTGTGTGAAGGATGCATTTGATAGACACATGATGCCTTAGAGACCAGATGAATCAGCTTTGGCTAGGATTAATCTGGATTAATCTGGATTGATTCTAGGGATAAAATCCTTGAGCAACACAACAAACAGTTTTGGGTGACCTACTTTGGGATGGGGGGAGGGAAGAAGGCTCTCCAATGCGTTGTTGTTTTGTTGTGTCTTGCTTGTTTTGGTGTTTATGTTTTTTGACCTTGCAATGAAACAGTCAATGAAATAAAAAAAACTGGTCGCGAGGTGAGCTATCCATATATACATGTGTATATATATATATATATGATATATATTATATATCATATGTATGATATATATATATATATGATATATATATATATATGCACCCAGTAAAATCACATAGGCCTTGCCATTTTTCGGGGTTGGAGGATTAGTGAAACCACTAAGAACGGATTATTTTTCAGGGTCTATGTTAATTTACTAGAGAGTGTATAGCGTGGTTAACTGATGGTGAATAATGATTGATAATGGTTAATGATGTTAATATGATGTTAATGATAATGGTTCATGCTTAATAAAAACAATTTTCATGTGGGATTCACCCTGGCTGCCATAAACCTACCATTTGGACATGATATTTTTTACCAACCATAAAATTGGAGTACGACGTACTGGGGGGACGGTTTAAATGGCATTGGGTTCACAACATTAATCCAAAAAATATGTTAGTGAACCAGTTAACCTGGTTGGTGGTTTGAACCCCTCTGAAAAATGATGGACTTCGTCAATGGGAAGGATTATCCTATATATTATGGACAAATAAAATTCATGTTTGAAATTTGAAACCACCAACCAGGTTAACCAATCATCACCAGTTTTAATGCTTTCCTGACAAAATCTACAACCAATCAGTCACAAATTCAAATGATAAGTCATAAGAAGTCCGTGTCTTCGCTATCTTAATATATCTGGTTGGTGGCTTCAACCCCTCTGAAATATATTCGTCAGTTGGGATTATGATTCCCAATATATGGAAAAATAAAAAATGTTCTAAACCACCAACCAGATATTGTATGTTCTTTTTCTGGGGATTACATCACCCTGCAACGATCTGAGTCGCCAAACCCTGGCAATTTTGGTGTTGGGTTGTTGCTGTTGACTTCTCCCGGTTTTGGGAATGTGGACCCAGGCCACAGAGCCATCACTAGACCAGTTCTTTTGGCAACATATATATGGCTATGGAAGGACTGGAAGAATGGGCATATTGTATATGTCTACGAATCAAGGACCTCCGTCGCCATGTCATGCGGTGGCAGTTGGGCCTTTTCCACCAAGCAGCCAGTGGGCTCAAGATCATATTCTCGCATCTCCTGCAGTTTTGATGCACGCTGAGGGCTGGTTGATCACTGACCATGAACATGAATTTTATCTAATTAGCTATCCATGCATACTTTTACGATACCACGAATCAGTTCATGTGTTCATTGGTATATTCCCACATTTAGGACAAAGCACAACACTAATTGACCTACCCAACAAAACAACATAACCCAATACTGTCGCTTCATTTGTTGGCCTTCAATTCCACCAGTTAGCATGACTCAGCATGACATGTGGACGGCGGCCGAATCTTTGTGGACTTCTCACGACAGTGGGGCAGTGGCTTCTTACCAAAGACACAAAATGGGATGTTCAACAGTTTAAGCGACCATGTATGTATATAATATATATTATATATATATTATATATATATATTATATATATTATATTATATCATACATGGATACCACAATTGGCTGTGGGTCACCCCCGGTGTCCGACCATCTGAAAAAAGGAATCAACTTGTCCGCTGCCAAGGCTCTGAAGTGACAACATCATCGACAAAATTTCGGGATGAGAGCCGCTCTGATGGAAACCGCCATCCCCCCCCAAAAAAAACAAATAATCTGAATATAAGGTTATTCAAATATAGTTATTATCATTATTTGTTGACAGTGCCATCTTAATCAGTAATGCATTCACTAAGCTGAAATACTGAACAAGGCGAGTTTGGGATAGTTGCACAGACCCACTTCCCATCATTCGACGTCGCGACGTGATCCCATAATATTCCCCGTCCAACAATGATTGCCAAAGCGCAATCTTTATTGGTTAAATCACAATTTGTAGTTTATGATCTATACAATGTGAGGCCCCCCAGTTGTAAGTTGGTTTATAAGCCCCAGTAACTATAGTTATAAATGCCATAAACCATAGTTATTGGAGTTATAAACCAACTTAGCTATCTTGGGGGCCTCACATTGTAGGTTATCCAAATTACATTACAATTTGTGGTTGGTTACCTCTGATCCTCCATGAACTAAGCAAATCATCGGTTACATCCAGCCTCCAGGTAGGAAAGCACGCGCTGCCAGTGACTTCCCACAGACTGTGCCGAGATCAATGAGCCTTGGCCACTCGTTGGATATGATCAGGATTTAAACAACTGTAACATGGGGATATAATGTGGTGAAAACAATAATAAACCATCCATTTGGGATTGGTTTATACCACCTATTTATGGTGAAATTGAGGATGGCTTATTATTGTTTTACCAACATTAGTGGAAGCAGTGCGATATAATTCGGACTTCGTATTCGATGCTCACAAAAAATAACTTCATGGGAATATCAATTCCATCAATCGATGATTACTGTACCGTTCTGAAACAACCCCCTTGCTCTGCTTGCAGGATTTTGTTCCACCAATCTCACAAAGAGTCTGCTATGTATAAAATCCATGTCAGGGCCGTGATTGAATGAGGTATTTATAAATCTTGTTCCAGGTAGTTGACGTTTAAACAGTTTACAATCCAGACTATTTCCAAAATCACCGCCTCAAAAAGACCAAAGCAAGTTAAAGGACGCTGTGTCAGACTGTAGTTGAATATATATATGTTCTATGAAATTCACTATTGACATTCTAGATACTAGTATATAGCTACATATGAACCAGTAGCATGGGTTTACAAGATTCACTTTCCAAATTCCAGCATCTCTTAGGAAACGGACTCATCCTCCGAATCTTCTGAACGCCAACTGTTTCAACAAAGATTGTGCACTGACTGCCTAAACCAATATCCGACGTTGTATTCTGCTTGCCTCTTTCCCGCATCCTGGTTATGATGTCAGCATGGGCTATTCAATCTAAAACCAACAATTGCATGGCGATGTTTTGAGATGTGTATATATATATATACGTAAATATACTGTAATTGATTATAATTGAATATGTAGCCAACACTATGATGTTGGGTGTGTCTGGGAATGGTGACCTCCATGGCCGATTGCCTAAGAGAATCGCTGGATTCCACAATCTGAGCAGCTGTTGAAAACCCCATAGCTTTAGTACTGCCTTCGTAGTTTTACCATTTTTGGGCACTAGAGGTCAATGTGTGGGTATTGTGTTTTTTCTTGAAACCAAAGCAAAATTGTATCCGAAAAAATACAGGATCGGTTTTGTAGACAATGGTAAAACATGGTTTACCGAAATATCTTGCAGCCAGAATGGCTGCTCACACCTCATCAATTTTCACCTATTGTACCTATTTGGTTGAAGGGACAACTCATCCCATGTGCATATCCTATGTCCAACTCATAAGGAATTATGTGTCGTAAACAGTCAATGAACCGCTGGTGGTGTGTAAAAAACAACAACATGTCATCATAACCCACACCATTTGAATTTTGGTTCAGTTGACGGCTGACGGTGTCAAATTTATGTCCAGTGACTAGAGTCTAGTGACCAACACAATCGTACATCTCAAGAACATGTCGAAATATGGACTATTCACCGTAAACTGACTTGAAATAAGGCAAACCCCAAGACGGATAGAAATACATTAAAGTCCTATTTATATATATATATACATATCATCTTACAACTTTTTTGGGGTGGTTATGAGAAACGAATTGGCTCCGTTCATTCTGAGTGGCAGAAGGTGTCGACTCCAGGAGCAAGACGCCGGGATCTCATTTCAGCCTGGTCAGCCACTGAAAAATCCTCGTGAAATCCCATAGACATCGTAAACAATACCCTCTGGTAATTTAACATAGCTATTGAAAATGGCAATTTATAGTGGATTTACCTACTAAAAATAGTGATTTTCCATATTTATGTTAGTTTACCAGAGGGTAAACGGGAACATCATCCACAATGATCATCTAGATAGCAAGTTTTTTACTTATCCAGCTTAAGTAGGACCTACGGGAAATATATGGAACTAGTCAAGGGTGTGTGTGTAAACGAATGAAAACAACTTGGGGGACAACCTTGTAAATACAAATATACAAGATGGGTTAAGACCAACACATTGCATTACACTACTTTACATTACCTTACATTCTATTCCATTCCACTATATATTGCATGACATACTATTCATCATTATCAATTATCACCTACTATTCTTCACAGAACAACTGCATATATGTAATATGACCTAACATGCATATCATCTCACTTTGGGCGCGTACATCTGACATATGTTTCCTGGTTTGTGTACTATGTAGCCAATCATAAGCAAACTGTCTACACATAGATACAACATATGACATATCGGGTACACAGCCTGCATCAAACAGTTCATTGAACATGGATTGCTATTACAAAAACAGCATCACAGCGGTTTCAAGTCTCATTTTATAATGGTAAAATAACGGTCAACACTTGGCCGATCATGAACATGCTTGATTTTTGTCAGTGAATTACCCTCTGGTAAACTAACATAGCTATGGAAAATCACCATTTTTTAATGGGAAAATCCACTATAAATGGCAATTTTCAATAGCTATGTTAGTTTATCAGAGGGTAACAATGCTTGCGAATCGCCCTTCGCCACGTCGTGTCGCATCGCGAATCGCTCCTCTTTTCATCCCGACTTTTCCTCGAAAATACTGAAATTGGTCAAGCGTATCCTTCTCCAAGGTCCTAAAAACACGGTCAATACCCTTGCTTCGCTGGGCAACTTCATAACCTCGGCAGTGGGCCAGTGGGAATGCCATGGAACCAGGGTGAAAACGTATGTGTATATATATATATATATATAATACACACAATGTATACATTGTATACGGTGCATACGCTCATTGTTATCAGCAAACACATGTATAGAGCTACACCTCGAATATTCGCTGATGCTTGAAAGAATAGGTCCCTTCCAGTCCATCAAATGTTCGCCTACTGACCTAATGTATGGTTCGTGGTAGATATATCTATGAAGGGGCTTATCAACCAACAAAGACAACTGGGGGGCAGCTCGATTCGTAGATCTTCAGCTACCAAGAAACTTTGCAACAGCGCTCCAAAAGCAATGGCATTGACTCGCAGTTTCCTGGGCAGATCTGGGCCATCCCAGGGTCATCCCACATCACAAAAAGGGACTACCCTCGGGGTCATGGTGACCCACATTGACCCACCATCCCGTTGCGGTGGCCTGAAAAGGATGGCTTCCTCCAGCAGTTGCATCACCAGTTTCCACTGCTGGGCTGTTGCTGATGCAATTGCTACAGAGGTCATCGCGGTCACCGTAGTGCCCGTCTGGCCGCTTGCTATCGCAGAGGCCTCATGGTTGAGGGTCGACTGCTACCTTCTGGGAGGTCCACCGTGTTGTGCCACTGACATGACTTCTATTGACTTATATTTACTTTGCTATAATATATCATACTCACACCCACTATCTATATAGTATATGCTAATCATGTGCGGCAATTTCCACATGGAATGGCCAACTTCACTGCATGATTTTAACCTGCAGTGCAATCAATTTGACACCATTTTCCAAAGTTGTCTTCGTTTCCCAAGGACCACCAGAATCCTTCCGTGCCTGGAAAAAGAGTTGGAGTGCATGACGCCAACGGGAGGCTTTTCCACATGCAGCGATGGCAGCGTTGAACGTGACAACATCCTTGCTGTGGAAAACATCGGGTACAGCTGAGTTGGAGTCTCTGATATCTTGAAGAATAGAACTTATATGAAGTAGAAAGTCCCATATTATATACTGTGCAACATATATCATATAAATATAGTTTTCATACATATCATATATATATATACACCCTATGGATCCAAGTACCTTCTTAGGAAGTGTTTGGGGTATAATTTACTATAATTTGGAGGCTTTTTTGTACTTTCTCAGACAGTGGCCATGGATCCATAGGGATATATAATGTATGACACTATGATGATTTTTTCTGTTCTGTGGCCACCTACGGTGGATCAATTGTTATGGAAGAAAGTTATGGACCCCATCGTCGAGTGACGACTCAATGAAAGGGCGGAAGTTGCAAGTTCACTTCAGGCAGGGTTATAACCCATACCAGCGGTGCTGGTATATTTATATCACTATCACATATTTAGCCAAAGTGAGCAGTTTTGTGGGTTGTTAGAACAATCCCGTGGAAGGTATGTACAAGTATCTGCAATGAGCATCCAAAAATCAAAATGCAAGTGAGTTCAATGTCAAGGGATTCAAACAGTTCGAAGTCGAAAATCAAGCACACAGGATGCGACTGAATAAGCTCTCAAAACAAAAAACATGTGACGCGAGAGATCCTTGCCATCCTGAATCACCTACATAGTTTACACATGAATCAATCTGGGCAATTCTTTCAGTAATTTACTAACCTGAAATGAGGCCATTTTGGGATGATTCCTCTTAATGTCAACCCTGGATTAATAAACCCCAAACGCCTGTTTAATTGGGAGGGTACCATTTAAGTATTAGACTAGATGGAATGACTATTGGAGGAGCACCCCCCTAATGAAAATCAACCATGGTTTATTAATCCGGGGTTGACATTATTAACCTCAATTCCAATGCAAATAACATTGAGGTCGTAAAAAAATTGCCCAGATCAAAGCCCGCCAGCACCGACTTAAACAGCAGCTGGCTACCACCATCAGGGAGAGCCACGAATCCCGAATCCATGTCTGGAATATTGACATCCACCCTACATTCACTACATGTCCATGAAAGATCAATCATAGCATAAGCCAAATCTATGTAAATGTTCACAAACTATTGCATACGCAACTCCCCCAAGTACCAGTCGAACATGGCAATGGTGAATGATCCATTTAGTTCAATGATTTTTCCATCTCAATGCCCATTGCAATAGGGGGTTTCCCAGCCATGTTTGATGACACCGGAGGGTGAGGTCAATATTCCATCCATGGATGATGTGTTTCCATTGAAGTTCCATGGACTCTGCAACTGAAAGTAGATGCAACGCCTCTGCCCATCGGCCAAACTCTTCACATGCACTGATGGCAGCATTACCTCTGTCCGGACACGCAGGGCACATAGGTAGTGAAAGAATCAGGGTAGCCTCTGACTCTGGTAATGAAACATGGCTGGGAAATCTCCTATCAAGGTTGAAATGAGAACATCATCTATTACACTCCCGGGAACAAACATGTCTCGGGCTACCGTTTCAGGTATCAACTAACATGTCCACTCTGTACCGGCGTTTTCCTGGGGAATGCATTGCAACCTTTTTTTTGGACCATTGACCCAAAAAAAGCTAACATGTCTCAGTTCCTGCAATTGGGGCCCTTGGATTTCGACCCTGATCTGGGATATGTTCGCTATTTTTAGGGATAGATTCAGCCAATAACAACTCACATATCTCAAAACCACACCCTCTGAACAACACGGGCACGTTAGGTGGACGCTTTCCATGGCTAGTCATCCAACCCTTAGTAAATGCAACTGGTTTTTGGAATGCACCCCCAATCTTCCTGCCCACCCACGAGCATCATCTTCCGGAAGGAGTTGGGACCTCTTTTTTCTCCACCGTTTTGTTATCAATGCGGTCTTTGATTTGAGCCCTATTGGGGTCTGGAAATAAGGATGCTGGGGCGTCCGGGTCGGTAGTCTTCTGGCAGTTTCCCGGGAACCCCCAGAGGGGGGGACAACTTTTCCACTAACGTGTCCATTCTGGATTGTCAGCTAACATGTCTCAAGTATAGGGCACTTATCATAGCCTATGTTCACAGCAGCTAACAGCTAACGTATCCAAAAAAAACACAAAAAAAGTGGATAGTTTCAGGTATCAACTAACATGTCCACTCTGTACCGGCGTTTTCCTGGGGAATGCATTGCAACCTTTTTTTTGGACCATTGACCCAAAAAAAGCTAACATGTCTCAGTTCCTGCAATTGGGGCCCTTGGATTTCGACCCTGATCTGGGATATGTTCGCTATTTTTAGGGATAGATTCAGCCAATAACCACTCACATATCTCAAAACCACACCCTCTGAACAACACGGGCACGTTAGGTGGACGCTTTCCATGGCTAGTCATCCAACCCTTAGTAAATGCAACTGGTTTTTGGAATGCACCCCCAATCTTCCTGCCCACCCACGAGCATCATCTTCCGGAAGGAGTTGGGACCTCTTTTTTCTCCACCGTTTTGTTATCAATGCGGTCTTTGATTTGAGCCCTATTGGGGTCTGGACTGGGGCGTCCGGGGCGGTAGTCTTCTGGCAGTTTCCCGGGAACCCCCAGAGGGGGGGACAACTTTTCCACTAACATGTCCATTCTGGATTTTCAACTAACATGTCTCAGTATAGGGCATTTATCATAGCCTATGTTCACAGCAGCTAACGTATCCAAAAAAACAAAAAAAAAGTGGATACGTGTCTCGGGCTACCGTTTCAGTATCAACTAACATGTCCACTCTGTACCGGCGTTTTCCTGGATTTCCTGGGGAATGCATTGCAACTTTTTTTGGGACCATTGACCCAAAAACAGCTAACATGTCTCAGTTCCTGCAATTGGGGCCCTTGGATTTCGACCCTGATCTGGGATATGTTCGCTATTTTTGGGGGATAGATTCAGCCAATAACCACTCACATATCTCAAAACCACATCCTCTGAACAACACGGACACGTTAGGTGGACGCTTTCCATGGCTAGTCATCCAACCCTTAGTAAATGCAACTGGTTTTTGGAATGCACCCCCAATCTTCCTGCCCACCCACGAGCATCATCTTCCGGAAGGAGTTGGGACCTCTTTTTTCTCCACCGTTTTGTTATCAATGCGGTCTTTGATTTGAGCCTATGTTCACAGCAGCTAACGTATCAAAAAAACTTTTTTTCCACAACAAAAAAGTGGATACGTTTGTTCCCTAGAGAGTAATGAGTCATGGTCCGTGTACCAAAGGGTAGATCGTGCAGAACAGGGAGATTCAGAGATTCCCCAAAGTGGAGACACCTTCTATTTTGGTGCATCAAACATCATGGTTATAATTGTGTTATTTCAATGGGATTATACATTCCACAAATGGGCTTAGACATTCCACAAATGGGGTTTTCTTAGTACTTATAACTGGTATTTCGGGCCATAACTGTAAACTCTAACTCAGTTCCGTTACTCCGTTCGAACGGTCACCGTCGTCCAAGTGGCATGTAATGATGGTCGGCTGGATCCGTTGATCATGAGCTTCTCCAAAGAGATTCAGGGCACGCTGCCACTGGGCAGACTTCTGACATGCGCTCAGGACAGCATTGTAGGTGATCACATCAGGCGTCACTTCCAGGTGATCACATAGGTGAAAGAGTGCAAAAGCTGAGGTCCACTGCACGGCTTTTTCACAAACCTCAGCGGGCTCAACATAGATAGATTTATATATATATATACATATGTATATTATATATATTAAAATTGGCTTTTTTTAAAGTCTCGTAAAAGGTGTTTTTAAAGCTTCTAGGCAAAAGGTGAACGTAGGGGGTACGAGTGCAAATGAACGTGGTGACGGACGTGCGTACGACCCAGCGTACGTGTAAGCGTACGAGTGGACGGACGCGTGGCGTACGAGTGGATGGACGTGTGCGTACGAGTGGACGGACGTGTGAGTGTACGTACGTGCGTCGACACGTTCACTCGTCACGTGCGCGCGCACGTACGAAAATAAGGTCGACTCGACGAGTCGGCCTTATTTCTGTACGTCTCGGTTTTTCCTTACATATTTAGTATTGGGAAGATTCAGACGTACAGGGATAAGGCCTACTCGAGTTGACCTTATTTTCGTACGTGCGCGTGCGCGTGACGAGTGAACCTGTCAACGCACGTACGTACGTGCACGTCCGTCCACTCGTACGCACTCGTCCGTCCACTCGTACGTCACGCGTCCGTCCACTCGCACGCTTACACGTACGCTGTGTCGTACGCACGTCCGTCACCACGTTCATCTGCACTCGTCACCAAGCGTACGCTCTCCAAGATCACTACCTTTTACGAGACTTTAAAAAAAGCTAATACATACCGTATATATACATATATAAATGTTATATATATGTATATATTATATACATATATATCTGTATGCATATTATACCTGGAATTACCTGGAAATGTTGACAACATGGGACATGTGAATCAGCACGTGAGTGTGAAACTCATCCTGGCAACACTGATGGCCGAATTGAAGCTCACAATGCTTGGTCGAAGTTTGAGACGAAACATCTCTTGTAGCAGTTCCAAAGCCATCTGCCATGGCAGCGATGCTCGTTCAAAGGTGCTGATGCAAGAGGTGTAAGAGATCCTCAGGGACTTCAGCGAACCAAAAAGAACAAAGATGGGAGTTTGAATGCTACCGAGAAACACTTAACACTTGAATCCTTAGGTGATAAAACTATATAAAACTGGTATTGTTTGCCTGTTTGCCAAGAATTTTTTATTTTACCAAGAAGACGGGGTGGTTTCAGCCCAAAAAAACACATATCAGGCTATTGTTCCTAACAAGACCAGGAGGCAACTGGGCTGGAAGATTTACTGGATGTGACAGTGGGGTGGTCCCACCTTCGATTTTCATTCGATACAATGAGGAGCCATACTTTTTTTTTACTACCCATGTTCGCTATCGGGGTGTTGCTGATTGGAATAGTTTGTAATGATGTGATGAAATAGGTATATTCATTTTCAGGGTCCCATCCATTAGAGCAGTATCTAAGCCAACTTGGAGCAGTCTCACCTCGGATCAACTTGCTCTCTAGACCTATGAAAGGTGCGCAATTACATTAAACCCATCAAACCTCTGCCACGTTTGCTACTGGAAATGGACTGACCTTCGCGCAAACTGCTTTCTAGACACCTTCACATCTGCCATGAGGACAAAGCAAGGTTGAGGAATTGACAAACATGTCGGGGTTGCTAGAACATCCAAACACTATAAACACTATCCAAAACATTCCAAAACTAATTCAATAGGAATTTCAGGATCCTAAAGTGGAGGTACTGTACCATATAAGGCCATATGAATTGTGGGGATATCCCCTTAAGTTCCTGAAATGGACACTGACTCATGGTTTTCCCCACCGCTTCGGTGACCTCCAACAGCATGGTACCGTACCACGGAAAGATCGGAAAGTCACGCCCGGCCGATCTGATCCAGAACCCCGGATGTTCAACCCGCTAAAGCTTGCGTGCCCAGACTGGCCCAGACTTGGAGCTTATCCCAAAAGATCACCTTAATTTGGATGATAAAAATTATGAACTCCCTCAGGACTTACTTTTTTTTTCGAGAAAGCCTGTCTGACTCATCAGGTCAGGCCTCAGAATGACTCCCAAGTTGAATTGGAAGCTGCAAATTATTGACTGCCAAATCATCAAACGAACTGGCTGGTGGTGCCAACCCCTCTGAAAAAGTAGTGGTGAACGATGATCATCCCATTCCTATGGTTTTTCAAAATGTTGAAAATCGAAAGCTACTTGAAACCACCTACCACTTATTCTAGCTATTGACTGCCAAGTCATCAACTGAACTTTTGGGCTACCCTCCAACCAGCAGTCAGACGTGGAAATTGGAAAACCCACCATTTGTATAGATCATTTCCATAGGCCCAAACGCCAAACCATAGGTTTTCCACATCCTTCTGTTAGTTTACCTCAAGGTATCCTGTTTTTCGAAGAAACTGAAAAAAATCAGACTGCTACAGCCACGGCTCACATTGGCCTGAAGCCTTGCTCTGCTGATCTCGCGCAAAAGATACATCGCAACGGCCCATTCACCTGGGCTTTTGGACGGACAACAAATTGCTGAAGCTGGGAACCCTGCAACATCTGCAAACACTCCTGACAAAAAGGAACTTCAAAGACGTAAAACATTTAAGAGCTCAAGAATCTGTGACATGGGTCAACATGTCAACAAATCCCCTCTGGTATACACAAAAACATGGAAAATCACCATGGTTTGATGGCAAAATCATCTATTTCTATGGCTATTCATCCCAACGAAATTGAAAAAACACTAAGCATGTAGCAATCCCAGGATATCACGTGGTAAATTCTGGTTAATTTATGTATGATTACTAGTAAAATCCCACTCAAAGAGTGGTAAATTCTGCTTGTTTTTACTGTTCTATGGTTATCTGGTTGGTGGTTTTAACCATCTTGAAAAATATGAGAGTCAATGGGAAAGATTATTCATATATGAAATGGAAAATAAAATTCATGGTTGAAACCACCAACCAGTTATTATAATCTGGATGCTGCTGTCTGATCCAACGAGGAGTTTGCAAAAAAAGTCTGCGACCAGAAAGAGCGACCGCTGCATGCGCTGATCGCGGCATTGAAGGTGATGACATCTGTCAATCCTTGTGGCATGTCGTGACACGGTCTATGTACCCTCTGGTAAACGTCAACCAAAAACTATGGAAAGATCCACCATTTTTGATGGGTAAATCCACTATTTCGACTGGGCCATTTTCAATAGCAAACTGTTAGTTTACCAGAGGGTACATGTGGAGGGTGTCTCAAGTCATGGAAGATCCCCAATCGTCACCGTGGTGGCTTCGAAGCCGTGGTCATCCATGACTTGGACCAAGCATCTTCGCATCGTTGCATCTTCCAAAAGCAGCAACGCTTGTTGCCTTGGCGTGTCAGTGTTTGAAACAGCATTTCCGCACGAAGATGTTCAGCCCACACTCAGAATCCCTGTAGAGCAAGCATGTTCCGCTCGAAGTTTGCGCAATCACACAGCACACACACTGAAGAAAACACGTGTACATATATCAACTGTTCAAATGTCAAATGTCAAACCGGATTAAATGTGCTCCAAGTTCATCAGTAGATAATCCCCCCAATAGCAATGATTCCAGTTATCCAAGGGTGCTCCTGGTATTCCCCAGCCCCCAAACCAGAAGTTCTCGGTCCCAGGAACCACATTGCTGCTTTCTCGCAACTGCTTATGACAGCATTGCACGTCCTCAAGTCACTTAGAATCCGATGGTCGTCGCAAGATGTTGCAACAAATACCTCCCGTAATCTAACATAGCTATGGAAGATGGGCCCATTGAATATATCGAATTATAGATGGTTTACATTATTTTACATTGTTCTACCTAAGTTCATGCCGACTTTTGAAACACAAAAAGATCTTTGAAAGCACTAGGCAGTTCACACAATGGGCACAGTGCTACCCTCCGGATGCACCGAGTGGGTGGACTGGAAACACTTCGCAGTTGGCCGCTGTGCCAAAGAAATGAACCATAAAAATCATCCACACACCATCATGGCCCAAAAATGATGTTAATCTTGGTCGCCAGAAATTCCAATGCACCTTTTCGATCCCTCCCAGACTCCCAGCTTAGCAGATTCCAAGCATCAGTTCATTGGCTTCCAGCTGGAGCGAATCCATCTCCTGGGGTATCTCTAAGTAGCCATATGGGTCAACAATACAGCCATAGCCAAAGTCATACAGAACTTAAAACATCTTATAACACTTTATGACTATATATATATATATAGATATCGTTCATCACCATGATGCCATATTCAAACAAGTATTGGCGCAGGGCTGACTAAGATAATAATGGGTGATAATAATGGTGTTAAAATGATTGCTGTACAATATTGTTAGCAACCGATATAGCACTAAATATTTGAGCACTAATTAATGTCAATGGACTGCTAACAACTATATGTAATTAATTATTATTCCCCATTATATCAATTATGCTATGTAGCACCGATTGATACTCATTGATAATTATATACACACGGTAACTACATCCTAATATTTATACTGTTTTTTTAATATAGGAAACGGTATTTTAGACTACCTCAGGGAAGGTTTTCCTTGACCCGCCCGGCCATTTAAACATACGCGGAACCATTTTTTTTAAAAAAAAAACATTTAAATATGGTGGTTTCCTATAATAGGAGTACCCCCATATCATACACTACATAGTGGGATTTTCCATTATAAACTAATCATGTTGGCATACCTCCATTTATGGAAACCCCCATTTAAATGGAAAATCACTGAAAATCCAACTCAAATGGATGAGTTCGGGGTACCCCCATTTCAGCATTCTCCAGATTATGCGGATGAAACTGGCGTTTCATACCACCTCGCCTTGTGGCCTAGTCCAAGTTGCTCGGAGCAGCTGGCAGGCGACGCGCCACTCAGCAGCCCTCTCGCACACCGTCATGGCCACTGTGTAGGACACCTATAGCAGGTGGGGAAAACGGGAAAACACTAGGAATATGTAGGACAATAACAGGACTCTACAGTTATGGACATGGCTAAAACTTATAACTGGTGATGTCTAACTTGTTATTTCAATGGGATTATACATTGCTACCAGTAGTACCGCACAAGGCGGTGGCGGAAGTTTCAGAATAGGAAACCTATAGGAGACGTTGGTTGTTGTGAATCACGGATGGCAGAGCGAATCCACTGATTGACCGAAAGGTGGTTGGAGTTGTGTTTCTGGAATGGTTGCAATGGTTGCAGTGGTCACCTCACCCACAGCTGCTGGATGTAGTGTGATGTACTGCAACTGTAGTAGTTGTAGTTGTAGTTGTAGTTGTTGTTGTTGTAGCTGTAGTTGTTGTGTGGTTGTAGTCGTTGTGTAGTGTAGTTGTTGTAGTTGTAGTAGTAGTAGTAGTTGTTGTTGTTGTAGTTGTTGCTGTTGCTGTTGCTGTAGTAGTAGTAGTAGTAGTTGTTGTTGTTGTTGCTGTAATTGTTGTAGTTGTAGTTCTAGTTGTAGTTGTAGTTCTAGTTGTAGTTGTTGTGTAGTTGTAGTTGTAGTTGTTGTTGTTGTTGTTGCTGTTGTTGTTGTTGTTGCTGTTGTTGTTGTAGTTGTTGTAGTTGTAGTTCTAGTTGAAGTTGTAGTTGTTGTGTAGTTGTAGTTGTAGTTGTAGTTGTAGTTGTTGTAGTTGTAGTTGTAGTTGTAGTGGTTGTTGTTGTTGTTGTTGTTGTTGTCGTCGTTGTTGTCGTTGTTGTTGTTGTTGTTGTTGCTGTTGCTGTTGTCGTCGAAGTTAGGGTAATTAAGTGAGTCAAGTTAGTTAAGTTAAGCAGTGTCTACTTTTTCGACATCTTCACGTCAAAAAAGGCTCAAAACCCTCAGTTTTTTACACTTTTGACTTCGAAATGTGCTTCGTGCCACAACGCCGTGCACTTTTTCGACACTTTTTCGACATCTGAACCTCCAAAAGTGGTCCGAACCCCTAGTGTTTTTAACATTTTGACTTGGAAATGTGCTTCGCGCCACAATGGCGTGCACTTTTTCAACATCTCAACTTCCAAAAGTGGTCCGACACTGGTGTGTTTTGTACATTTTGACTTCAAAATGTGCTTCGCGCCACAACGCCGTGCACTTTTTCGACATCTCAACTTCCAAAAGTGGTCCGATCCTCTAGTGTTTTGTCAATTTTGACTTCAAAATGTGCTTCGCGCCACAACGGCGTGCACTTTTTCGACATCTCAACTTCCAAAAGTGGTCCGATCCTCTAGTGTTTTGTCCATTTTGACTTCAAAATGTGCTTCGCGCCACAACGGCGTGCACTTTTTCATGTCTCATCTGGCCAGCTGGCTCCGCACCCGCCGCTTTAGCGAGCCTACTTTTCGACCCTCCGGAGCCACAAATCATTGGAAAAACACAGTGAATCGCGACTTTCCTATACCTTTTCGCGCACCTGCATCTTCTTTCTTCTGATCTTTTCTCTTCTGACTCTTTTCACCTCTGCTTTTCAACTGTCCATATTGTCGGAAGTTTCACTTCTAAACTTCCTTCGATTTTTTTTTTTTAGTACTTATAACCTGGTATTTCGGGCCATAACTCTAGGGGCATAGCTATACAAGGTGAGACCCCACAAATTAGTGGGATTATATATGATTATAATATAACCCTATGGATCCATGGCCACTGTCTGAGAAGGTACATACTTAAGCCTCCAAATTATAGTAAGTTATACCCCAGTCTAACTCCCTTTCAGAAGGTACGACTGGATCCATAGGGTACAATGTGAGGCCCCCCAGTTATAAGTTGTTTAACAAAAGCCCCAGTAACTATAGTTATTTGCGTACCATAAACCATAGTTATTGGAGTTATGTGCACCAACTTAGCTATCTTGGGGGCCTCACATTGTATCTATTCATGTATTAGTCTTAGGGAGGGGGATGGGTCACGTTATGATCGTTATGAAATGACCGAGTCTGACTGGGGGAAAGCCACATCCAGCTATAGCAGGGTACCAGGGTAATAATACCACACACCAACATCGGATTTGCTAAGTTGATTATTTGCTGAAGTTTCAGAAATCGACAACACGACCGGAGAATCTTCCCGGCGTTCGAATATGTTTGGCATTTTTGGGGGCTTCCTTATAAGCAGATCCAAGCCGCATAGCCCGTGTTCATACATTTGGCATTTTTTCGGGCTACTCTCAACACCCCAGATACTGTTGGGGGGGTAAATTGCGCAAATCTAGAGATAAACTATGGTAAACTGATCATAGTTAACCCCCGGGTGGTTATTATTTACCTAACTACGTATGGATGGGAAATATGGGTTGCCAAGCTATCTTAGCATTGGAGGCTATGACTGTGGACATGTTAAAATTATCATGTTTTTAGGTTGTTCTTGTTGGTTTTAACCTACCAAGAATCAATAAAAATCGCCCCAAATGGCACATGCCCAGCAACTGTGTCCGTCTGCAAGTGCTTGGCATCGAAGGCCCTCAGCAATGCCAAGGCCATTTGCCAATTCTCCAGACTTCGACAGGCGTTCATTGCTGAGTTGTAGGTGATGGTGTCCTCAGGCGGCTCCCAGCTGGAGATCAGAGGAATTTCTGCTGAAATCATTTGGGCAACGCACATAGCGCCGAAAGTTCAACTAGCACAGCCTCCAAATACTATCCTGGGCAACTGGCTAAGGTGAGGATCCAATTGATGAATTTTCTAGTCAAAGTGCCGCTACCTCTGCCTTGTTCCAGGGCTGTCTTTGCCACTGTCCCCCCCATCTCGGCAAAGGAGCTGGCCGCACCTCCTTTTGGACGAGGTCGGTAAGGAGAAACATCACTTCCTCCCATTTTGAGGCTTTGCTGCAGGCGCTGATGCTAGAATTGTAGCTTATCAACCTGCGCTGCAAGATGCTGCAAGGACATCATGATGCCATGATGATCATGATGATCATGATGCCTTTGTGTTGATGCCTTTCTTCTGGAAATTCGTAGGAATGCACTCAGACATGTGGGAGCAAGTAGACCCTCAACATGGCCACGTTGCCACATTGGTAATTCTCTACATTGAACATCTGCTATTCTGTCAGTTCAAGGTAGACTGGTGTCATTTGGGTAGAAATCTCCGGCCAAGGAAACGATCCACCATGGCAGGGTCCAACAATCATAAAACAATGCAGGGTCCTTCAACCCACCCAACATATCTTGCTTACATAGAGGGCATCATCCCATAGAGGGTACAAAACAGAAGCAGCAATACTTGCAATCGGTCACACATGTCACACGAAGCGACCATCATACCTTACCTTACGCAAATTCTGGTCCAACTCAGCATCAATCTGGATAACAGAAAGATAGGAATTCAGTTAGCCCTTTACATTCAGCACCATCCCAGTGACGTCGCAGTGAGGTCGTTAATACTTTATCCAGATCATGACTGGTTGGTGGTGCAATAACCATCTTGAAAAATGATGGAGTTCGTCAATGGGAAGGATGACATCCCATATATGAAAAAAAACATGTTTGAAACCACCAAACAGATGATATATCCATATGAATGTCACCTTCACAGCTCAAAGCAGCGCCGGGCTTTCATGGTAGGATCTGGCTGATTCGTCTGGGGATTCACCTCAAGGGGCTAGCGCACTTTTAAGTTGATATCACCTATATTCAGTGGTATCTAATAGTTAAGATAACGTAAGAATTAACCATTTCCAAGTTAAGGTTAACATCACTTTCGCTTTGAGAGCTACATCTAATTTGCTGTTCATCAATCCATCCATTCACCAGATCCAATTCTTTGGTTTTGCAGCACCTGGCTTTGTCCCAAAATAGGGAAATTCGGGGAATACCCCCAAAAACACGATCCACACTTTGCAATTTTCATGGGAAGTGATGAGAATGAGCTGGAATTAAAGCTACCCCACCTTCAAACCATGACCATAACCCACATCTGAGTGGCCGCACGTGGCTTGAACAGCCATCTCCACAAGGTCACGTAGTAAAGCCAGAGATTCCAGCCATTGCGATGAAGCTTCACATGCCTCGGGGCAACGATCAATTCGGGGAATGCAAATCGACGTAATCGCAAGATTTCAAGACTGAAGAAAGACATTGGATTATTGGATTATAAAATAAATAGACAGACAGACAGACAGATAGATAGATAGATAAATAGACAGACAGACAGACAGACAGACAGATAGATAGATAGATAATGAAAAATAATGATAGATAACGATAGATAATGATAGACAATGATAGATAATGATAGATAATGACAGATAACTATAGATAATGATAGACAATGATAGATAATGATAGATAATGATAGACAATGATCGATAATGATAGATAATGACAGATAACGATAGATAATGATAGACAATGATAGATAATGATAGATAATGATAGACAATGAAAGATAATGATAGATAATGACAGATAAAACATCTTATGCCCAACTATAATTATACACCTTTTTCGGACTGTTCGCATCTTGCCTTTATAATGTGGGGATTTTGGGGCATGGATCATTGTGGCTACTCAAATCTAGTGATTGATCATCTTTGCTGGCATTTAGAGCCATTTATACAATAGTGGTTTTCATAGTGGTTTTCCATAGTGTTTAATGATTGTTAATCATTGGTTAATTCTGACTGGTTGGTGGTTGACCTACCCCTCTGAAAAATGATGGACTGCAAGTCAGTTGGAATGATGAAATTCCCAATATATGGAAAATACAATTCATGTTCCAAACAACCAACCAGCTACAGTACTGTAGTCATGTAGCACTTGGATTTGTTTCAACATACCACACAATCCCATGATTAATATGTATAGACATCATTTCCCCCTAAAAAATCCCCGAATGGGCAGCTGGCCATTTTGGAGGGTTTTTTTATTCTTCAAATTCAGGCAGGTTTCATGTGCTTATCCCAAGCATATCCCAATAAACTATATTATTATATCTGGTTGGTGGTTTCAACCCCTCTGAAACGCATTAGTCAGTTGGGGTTACTATTCCCAATATATGGACAAATAAAAAATGTTCCAAACCACCAACCAGATTCTATAGTTGCGTAAATCTTAAATCTCAGAAAATCATCATAAAAACCCAAGTATTTTACCACCAAGCCGCACTAATTGCAGCGTTGATGATGATGACATCTGGAGACGTCCCCGACTCGACAACCTCCCGGAGCAGCCATAGTGCCAGTGGCCATTCGGATGCGGCCCTCGGCGGAAGGATAGATCTTGGAAAAGGATTTCTTTGGATTTGTTTAGGGGAACACAAAAAGACACACACATATAATTATATATATATTGTATAATGTATATATGTATATATTCCCGGTAGATTCAATCGTTCTGTTGGATTTTTCAATGCAACGCATTCAAAATATGTTCAGCAAATCATCTGGAAATCAAGATTGAAACCACAAGTTGACCTGGATTCATGATTGAAGAATTAGTCATCGTGGGTTGCTTTTGTACGTGTGCCAAGTTGGGTCATGGCAGCCACATAGCTACGTCGCAGCTACGTCGAATGGGATGGTTTGACCCAACAGAACTAAGGAAATGAAACCAACGTGAGAAGGGATAGAAGCAAAACAACATGTCGAACTATGGCGACTTATAAGTATATAAATTGTAGTTCAGTATTACAGTACCCAGCACATGCTATTCATGTGGCAGCATGATTTGGAACATTGACGGGATTCGATTCAACCGAGTTTTGTTTAATCTTCTTATGTCTGGCCCAACATGACTGAGCAAACCATCATAAAAACATGCTAGGATCCAACACAGGTAAAACTGAAGAGATGAAAATCAGCTCAGGCCGGGCATTGTATCCCATGGGATATCGGGATATCCTGCAGCCATCAACAGCCACTCAGCCAAGCAACTCACATGCGCTGATGCAAGAGTTGAAAGTCACCAGACTGTCAACTCGCATCTCTAGCGCCTCCCCTGCGGACAGCAGTTGGCACACACTTTTTCAGCATAATGTCTCTCAAATGGAATGACTATATCCCATTAACATGGAACAACACATGATATGTTCATATGCATACAATAGGATAGTCATGTAAAAGTGAACATAATTCGTGCTAACATACTATGTTAAGAGTCGATGATTGGATTGATGAGTACCTGAGTAAAATCATTCACAAATGTGATTGCCTACTGTAAACTAAACAATCTGGCAGGAAACAACAGTCGATGCAACGTTCAACTGTATATAAGAATATGCTGTATATATATACGTATATATATATATATATTATATATATATATATTATATATATATTATATATATATGTACATTATATGAATCAATGTCAAGGATCTTACTTACTTCCTCAATGGTTGCGGGGTCAGACTCCAAGAAAACAAGGGGCCAGTTTATCATTGGTGACCTAAGCCCTAGATTTTGCGACCCGTACCAATGCATAGGCAGTCAAATCCTAATCAGTCTTCATGGATCCCGTGATGACATCCCTATATTTCAATCCTCATTTTTGTCGATCCTCTTTCATCCCCATTTCAAGCGGGTCAACATCAAGCATAAACCAAAACATTTCAGGCCCCAGCGCGGCGCAAAGGCCTAAAAGCATCAGTGCCCGCTGCCATCCGCAATGTGTGAGCGAACCATAGGTGACCGCAGTTGCATCTGGAGCCTCTAAGGCTTAACGAGGTGTTTCTTTTTGTTGACACCATGTTGATTGGAGGAAAAGTCCACCGGAACTAATTGGAGAAAAAACTTTGGTGCTTTTTCCTTCCTATGTCTCCATTTGATTCCAGGAAATTATTGGTTGATGAGGAAAATCACTGCACATAATTAGAGAGCAGTCCACGCTTTTTTCTTTTGATGTGGATTTGTTTTCGGCTAAAAACCACCCAGAGGCTGCTCGACTTTTCCACTTTGGACATGCTAAAAGTAGTGATTTTTCAACACTGTGACCATGAAGAAAACATGAGATTCACCCATTTTTTCACGACCCAAAGTCTTCGGGATGGTGATAAACTCACCCATTTATGGATTTTGGTCTATAAACACGATGAAAACAAGTTATATAAATGACATAAATCATCTATGAAGATGGTGTTTCCCAAGTTATTACCATAAATGAATGGTTTACCATATTCATGAATTTACTATGAAGATGGTTTATGTATGTTTATGTCCTGTGCTTGGGGAACTCTATTCGTTGGCTCCGCAGCAACTTCAGTACTCCCCCATAGCTCCCTCGGTTCCCACCATTTCGCTGCTAAAATACCAATGGCTTTATTCCATGCGCTACAAGGTGGTGCCCCATTGCCATAGTTAGCTAAGTTGGTTTATAACTCCCATAACTATGGTTTATGGTAGATATAACTATAGTGAATGGGGTTTATAAACCAACTTATAACTGGGGGGCACCATCCTGTATGGATCCATGGCCACTGTCTGAGAAGGTACATACTTAAGCCTCCAAATCATAGTAAATTATACCCTAGTCCCACTTCCTTTCAGAAGGTACGACTGGAGGATCCATAAAGAAGGTTAAATCCCTTTACGATCCATACGAGTTAACGACTATCCCAAAAAACGATTCCCCATGAAAAATCACCGTTTTTGTTTGTTCAATCCCGAGTTTTTCTGATGAAATCTCCATTCTAAACCAACTTAAACTACAACTCACCACAGTGAGACCACTAATAAGTGATAATTTCATAATAAGTGGTTATAATTGTATATCCCAAATTTATAAAATTTGTTTGTCAATTTATCACTTATATCACTTATTAGTGACTAGTGGTTATATAACCATGAATCCACCACTTGAACTTCATGAGAATCCAAGTTTATCCCGTCCTCTTCGAAGAGATGAAGAGCTCGCAGCCATGCAGCCGCGCGTGAGCAGCTTCCAATACTCATGTTGTAGCTCACCGTATTCCTCGGGGCATCTACGAAAATGGCGAATCTACCCGGTATATACCCAAAAACAATTGGACAGCCTTAGGAAAAATGATGATGAAGTGGATTTACTCAGGAAAAAAAACTACTCAAATGGGCGTTTTTTTTTTTTAAAGTTGTTTCAATGCAACAAATTTGGAAACAAATGATTAGCCAGTCGATTTACCGGTATTCTATTTTTCAAACAAACCCATATTGATGAGCTGTGTCATGATATGTTATACTGCTTGGCGGTTGGAAACCAAGATTCCCAAGAAATGAAACAAAAAGGGCAGCGGCCATGTCATCTTCGTTGGATGCAGATTCCCTGAAAAACTGGTTACATCTGACCATTCGTAACCCCTGACCCCACCTAAGGGACCCCTTGGGTTTGCTCACATATTCCATCACCTGTCTGTTGGTTCAACGGTTCAAGGATTTCCACCTCACCACGAACTCACTGTGACAAGACTCATGACGGATCCATGGTGCTATAGATGTTGCTCCATGGATCCCATCACGAAAAAGCCCAGTCAGGTTAGTTAAGCCACCTTAAGTCAAATAGCCTGGTTTCCCTTATTAACCCACCAGGCGGATGGCAGCATCCCAGATAAAACATCAGGAAACGTGAAAGAACATGGCTATATTAATCCGTTTTTTTTCGAGACAACAGGGACAAAAAAATACAAAGACTACTATGGTTGCTTAGAAAAAAGGGAACCAACTATGGTCAGGTAAAATCATTGCATGATATTACAACCGGTTGTAGTTACTATAGTTAGCTAAATATTTCACCATATTAATACAACTATTTACACTTTTACTTCATCCATTTATAGATGGGGTTTCCCCTTATAAACCAACCATTTTTTGGGATATCCTCCATTTATGGAAACCATTACCCGACTTATTTCCAATGTTTTTACCCAACCATAGTTAATAAGTTAGTACAACTAATATTACTAAGCTGTGTGATATAGCTAATATTACTTGGCAAGTAGTTTATATATGATTATATATATATGGTTATACTTAAACTTAAACCAACTATAGTTAGTATTACCCAAACCAACTATAGTTATTAGTTTAATATTTATCTATGGTTAGTATGATATTATACTACTTATTTCACTTATATAATACCAACTATTTTACCAGAAAATGCTAAGTTCAACGCTGAAAAAACTCTGGTTAGTATATATTTATTTTTACACTACTTATTTCACTTCATGTTGACTTAGTCTTACTTTCTACAGACATGTGTTGAGCTATAGCCGAGTTTCAGCTGGATGCCACTTCCAACCATCAAACCGACGCAGTGTTGCCACATGGCCATTTTCCTAGGCGCCAACGGAAGAAATGCCGTGTACGTCATAGATAGTTGGATAATTTTGAATTGAAATATGTATAAATTGGTAAAGAATCACAAGCAAAGGCTTCATGGATAGTAATCTCTAAATGTACTATTAAGTAGCATTTCAAATCATTTATAGTAAATTTATAGAGCTAAACAATTCAGTGATGTTACCCAGTATATTTGAAACTCTACTGCTGAATCTGTACATGATGGACGCTTCACAGCTATTCCCGGAGATGATCCACCAACAAAAATGATCGGAAGACGTTTTTGATGTACGTATGACACGTCTTCAAAAAAAGTCAAGGTACTAAAGCTCCAAAGAAAATAGTATACATATATAGAGACTATAGATATATCATATAATCTATAGTTAAGGTACTATATGGAGACTATAGGTTATATGATATCCTATTGTATAATATCATATATCATCTAATTAAACCTGGAATTCAATGATGTTCCAACAGTGGACGGTAAGCAACTGCCTCTTGGTTTGTTTTCTTTTGAAGGCGTGACGTGAAAATATCTTGGCAACCGCAGCGAGATCTACCAAGCTTCTTGCAAGAGTTGATCACGTTGTTGTAAAAAATCAAGTCCAATTCCTCAGATACATGGCAGAAATTCTGGAAAAAAAACTGGTTTTCCAATTTCTCAGCAAATCAAAAATTCTGGAGGACCTAAAAAAAACACATTAATACATTGCACGTTAACGTCGAACTCAAACCCACCATCCAAAACGGCAACGGCCACCATTCATCAACTGGTTAGATGGATCACTCAAAGAATGTCGGGTCATCACCTCCTCTGGTAAACGTACCAAAAATCGATGGACAAAAACACCTCTTTGAATGGGTAAATCAACTATTTATATGGCAATTTTCAATAGCAAACTGTTTGTTTACCAGAGGGTAACAAGTATTTCGGAATTATTCAAACCCTATGGATCCAAACACTATCTGAGAGGCTACAAAAAAAATGTCCAAATTAAAGTAAATTATACCCCAGTCCCACTTCCTTTCAGAAGGTACGACTGGATCACCTTGGATCCAGAGGGAAAAATGTGGGATACCAAAATGGCAATCTTTGTGGGAACCTTTTAAACAATCAGATGTTGCGGTAGCCCATGTGTCCATTAACAGAGATCAGGGCAAAGCTGGCGATGGCTTTGCGGATCCTTTGTTACGGTTGCCCGTTAGGGGTATACAAAAAGATGTGGAAAACCCATGGGGGTTTACGCGTTCCCAAATAATCGTGGGTGATCAACCACGTTGAAGTGATACTTTGGAGGAGGCTACTTGACTGTTGGTATTGATACTTACCCTCTGGTAATTTAACATAGCTATTGAACATGGCCCATTCATAATTGTTTTACCTATTAAAGATGGTGATTTTCCATAGCCATGTTAGTTTACCAAAGGGTAGCACCACATCATGGCCAATCTTTGGAGAATCACCGTTATATTCAAGCTGGTCAGGTCAGCAATGTACCCATGCAAGGTTTTTCCAGACTATCTCCCCAACATAGAGTGGTCTATCCTAAACATTCCTCTCATATACACGAATCAGTAGACCAGAGTTGGGTATCTAATCACGACATGATTGCAACTACTTTTATTGACCCTATAGAAAACCATGGTGCTGGAATATTTACCTACATTGCTATTATTTTAAATTACTTTAGGGCTCAATGTAGGTAAATATTCCAGCACCATGGATCAGTCCCATGTATCCCAAGTGGCCAACCAACAAGCGTAGCGTACCCAGCGTAGCCATGCCCCGTATTTTGCCTTGGAGAATACCTATCGGCTATGGATCATCCAAGTTACTAATCGTGAGAGTCTCTGTTACTAATGCACTTAGAATACTTAGATGTCTTATTAGCATATCTGTCAGCTATAATGGTGTTAATGCCTTATAACCAAGATTGTTCCAGCACCCCAAATAGAACGGAGGGTAGAACATCTGGTTAGAGAGATAACACTTCAACGTTAATCACTGTTGGCTTGCCAATGCCATTTACTTCAATGATGCTTACAGCGAACGAAACCTCCATTTATTCAGGGATTTTCCAGCTAGTCACGTTTGATGACCAGAGTGTAAATAAACTCTGTAGTTTCTATTGAACGTTTCAATTCTTTCCCAAGCACATAATTACGATCTAATAATAATATGATCTTACTATTCATAGATATTTCAATTTCTTGGTCAAGATTAGATTAGACCTTTTCATACTGGCTTGGAGCAAACCCTTCCGTTGCTCCACACAATGAGTTCACACCTCACCCAGCGCCGGTCCCAGCTTCGGTTTTGCTGTCTGCAAACAACTGCAGGCTTTGAAGGGCCATCGGCCATGGCCCTGCAACCCAAACTGATGCAATATGTTTCTATATAGCCAACACACAATTGAAGAAAACATGTGTGTCTGTATGCAATGGTTGAATATGATTATATATATGAGTATACTTGATTATACATGTAGAATTATATATATATGTATGATAATATATGATTCTATCTTACTATGTATTATATGTTATCATACATCATTATATATATATGTATTATGATACATTATTACATATAATTATAAATCGTAAATATTGATTGTATACCATCATAGGTGTAGTTATATATATATGGTATATACCTTCATTTATGATTGTGTGTTGTTTGTGTATCCTATAGCTGTCTACGCAAAAAATGCAACATACAATTATGATCAATTATGGGGATACAGCTAAGACTTAATGGGTGGATGATGAATCTAGGAAGAGCTCAGCAACTTAGTACCACAGAGACTCCAACTAGCTCTCCTGTTGAGATATTCCTTCAACACTTGGAATGGGTCAAACCACTTGGTACACGTTTTATTTTGTGCGTGGTTTACCATGGCTGGCTTGGCCAGTAATAGGTGAAAGAATCAATGGAAAATGAAAATAGAGGACTTATCAACTGGGGCTATGAACCACTGAAATAGCAACCATTCAGTATGGTTCATCTATATCCTATCCATCTTTGCTTGTAATCTATGTAAATATGCTGAAGTATTACATATCATATCAAAGTGGCGGGGGAAAAGGAAAAATTGACACTTCCAGGATCTTCCAGGACTCAGTTTGGAAATTGGGTCTGGTGACTCAAACTCCAAGTAGTCTTTTTTGTGAGGCCTGGTGAGGAAGTTTCTACATAAATCAGATATCCATGTTATTATATTGTTCATATCCAAAGGACCTTCCGCAAGAGATATGAACATGTATATATATATATATTGTGTATGTATATAATACATATATATATATATGTACTATATTCATTGTATATCAAAGTGGGTGACCCATTGTTCCTTTGGTTCAGAGGTAAATTGAAGTTCCAGACACCTGAATGCAGAATTGCTTCACGGCTTTCTTCAAGGCTTCTGAGTAGCTACCAAACAAGGCTACTGATTTTGCAGAGAAAACAAGGGAATAGCCGGGATAGCCCCCAATGTACAGCTGCTTTATCCTTCAAACAAAAACATTAAATCCATTGCAGTATGTGTTCCGAATGATATTCCACTATCAATACCCTCTGATAATTTAACGTAGCTATTGAAAATGGCCATTAATAGTGGATTTTCCCATTAAAAATGGTGATTTTCCATAGCTATGTTAGTTTACCAGAGGGTATCCATTGAAATTCAAAAAAGGGTCCCTTGCAAAAGCATCAGGCGAAACTTGGCCAATCAGCGCTCCAGGCCCGGGCCCGCCTTGCACTGAATGTTGCCCTTTAGGCCCTTTAGGCATCAGCTCGGCACGGTCTTGTCAAACGCACCATGGCTTTGTTGCTTCGTTTTCTCAAGGGATCTGCAATCCAACTGAACCCAACAAAATTTCAGTGGGAGATCGACTCAGGATCCAACAGATGGAGGTACGTAAACGGGCCATATGGATTGTGGGGATATCCCCTGAAATTTAGGCCTAAAAAATAGGCCTTATATAATGGGATTGGTACCTCCAATCAATCGGTTCCTGTTGCATGGCCATTGATCATAGTTATACCCGCTGGTAATTTAACATAGCTATGGAAAATCACCATGCTATTAATGGGAAAATCAACTATGTCGATGGCCATTTTCAATAGCAAACTGTTAGTTGTAAAGGTCTTGTTTTTGCACCTGATCCCACGAACAGCCCAGGCTAATCAGCTAAACTTTGTCACCGCAGCTCTTTTTCTTTACCTGGTCAAGGGCCCAACGGCCTAGTTGAGCACATGCCAGGCGAGGACAGAGCGGAAAAGTGCGAGATATAGCTTTGTGCAACTGGAACGAAAAATGGCAGGCTATCAAATCGGTGTGTCTGAAAATAAGGTGTTAATATGTGTGTATATATATATAATGTATTTATCATGTTCATTGTATTGGGGCTCGTTCGCCCAGTTCGCCCGCCTGCAACTGGCTCACCAGCTCTGAGCGATCCTCCTTCAAGTCCACCCAGCATGCGTGGATGGCACTGTTGAAGCTGATGGTGTTGGGTGACAGCGAACCAGGCCCGGGCGGCCCAGATCCTCGTTTTCACGCTATGCCCAAGGTCATGGGATACCAAAAAACTTGTTGAGAAACATATCATTAGGATATTTGGATATAGAGTATATGTTAAAGAGACAATTTTACAACTAATTCTACATGGATTACAGAGGTACACGTCGTGCTTGCGTTCAACCCAGTTGGATAATGACCCGTTGGCCATTCAAGTCCGATGATTTCCCTAAATCTGGGAATGTGCAGAGAAAGCCTATGACACATTCGTGCCGCTGTCAAATTGAAAGTTGGTTAGGTTAATATAAAAGTGTATGTGTATATATATATAGGATTATGGATATACACAGCCATTAAGGTTTACTAACATATCCATCCAACTGGTGTTCCCCCTTCATTCCAGTTTATTATCCTTGAAATTTGTTATTAAACCGGTTTACCTCCCATTTTTGATGGTTAATGTTAATCCAGCTTCCAAGAGTCGTTCTTTCAAGATTTCGAACATCTCCAGCGCCTTCTGCCACTGGTGGCTTTCGCTCAAGGCATCGATGGTGCTATTGTAACCTTGCCGCAGCTATTTTTGCCGCGACATCTCAGTTCTAGAAAGCAACGCTTTCTCAAGCCAACCATGTTCTGATGAATCAGACTCAACATTTGGCAGAATGACAATTTTGCGTGTCACATGGCTATGGGTCAAAACCTAATATAACCATATTTTGAGGGAATCACCATCCATTCACCTACTATCCGGGTGGCCAGGGATTTGTAGGGCACCAACTGTGTCATCCACCATTCCATGTTCGACTTCATGGAAATCAATGGATGTCAATGGATGTCAATGGATGTCAATAAGTCTATATGGCTTTGGGAATCCAAGTTTCTGGACATATATATATATGCTACATATTAATATGTGTGTAAATAAATGATATTGATTCCCTAACCTGAAATACAACTTCTTCTTGGGATAATTACTCTTCATTAAGCATCATTCCAGTTCGACCTGACTTTGGCGGCTGCGCCATGGAGCTGATCACATCCGAAGAAGGGAGCTGCGCGAAGTAATTCAGGGCCTGTCGAACTGGATCTGGGGAGTCTTCGATCGATCCGAAAATCATTGGACCGAAAGATTCCCGTACTACTCCAGCTCCAAAAATTCGAAACACCTTTTCATAGAAGATGAACAATGGGAATTCAGATCCCATCATTTGGGGGTCATTGGGGGTCCCTATAAATTCTATGAATTCAAAGAAAAAGAGTATGATCAGCAAAAAGAGTATGATAGCCAAAACCGTATACTAACCTAAAGCCCACTGATCTGATCCCCACTCTCGGGGATATGACCCGCTGGTAGTTTCACATCAGCTATGGAACATCAATCGGCCATGGCTTCCATCCACAAGGGGGCCGCAGATTTGGATCGGCAGCGCCGAAGAAAATCCGACCAATTGGTATACTGGGAGATTTAGAATACTGTATGATGCATTAATAGTATACAATTGTGTGTATATGATTGTATATATATATATATCTATGGAATTCTGTATATTTGGAATACAAACCACTGTTGCTAAGGATATGATCCACCACAAATGAGGCTATGCCATTGATTATGCAATCCCCACTTCTTCCGGTTGCAAGAATGATCATATGTAAACCGCTCTCTCCGTGCTGCTCCTGTAACAGTGAAATACCAAACATGTTGGCAATCTTGAGTGGCGTTGAACCTGCTGGCAATCATTTAGGTTTCTTACAGATCTTACAGCTGTTCATGAGTTTCATGCGTCAACACAAGATTCGCATGCACAACTTAACGGAAAATCAGAGTCAAGAAGATCACGATCCCAGAATATCCAATCAAATATCAATCATTCCCAATCAATGTTCATATAAATGAGCAACATCATCAACCAAACATGGATTCCCTTCAACCAAGCTCCAAAAAAAAAGCAGGGCCAGGCCTCTTGCCATCGCTTGGCATTGCCCATGGCCGTGATCAAACCATTGTGACAGTGGAGGTCAGGCGTCTGTTGCCTTCGACGGCCAGGCATCAATAGTGTCAACAAACAAGTGAATATTAGCCCGATATCATATGGTTGTCATCATGTTCATATATATATAATACATATATAAATAATATACTGATATACATACATATGTATATAGTTATATATATATGAATATACACAACATTTTCTTTGAAAATACAGACATCAACAATCAATGCAAACCACTAAACACACATTCAATCTTATTGATATGGATCTTTCAATCATATTTTTCTACGGTTGCACGTCTGTTGCACGCCCAAGAGGAGAGACATGCTTGAAACATTTTTCAGACCCAAACCCTGCTCCGCTCGGGTCCAAAGGGAGTCTCTCTCTGTGCGAGAGAGAGAGAGAGAGAGAGGGGGAGAGAGAGAGAGAGAGAGACACATGCTGTTGTCACAATTTCTTGACTTGTTTGCCTAACTGGTGGTTGGTCAGAAAAAAAACACAAGGAATTCTCTCAGAAAAAATTGAACCCACGGGGATTCCACAACCACCTACCATCTGGTTATTTGAAGGTAAATCATCAGTCTTACAATCTATACCTAGGCTATCTATACCATGGCTATGTTAAATAATCAAAGGGTAAGTTTTATGATGAGCTTAACCCCATGATGGGTTTCAATACTAACCTCGAATTGGGTGATTATTGAGGTACCGTCCAATATTCCAATAATCATCCAAAAAATAACAATAAACATCCAATTATTTTTGATCTTTTAACAATCACGCATTCATCCAATAAAGATATCACTACTAATCATCCAACAATCATAAAATAATATGAATAGTCACCTTGGATTCCATAATTTGAAGTCTTCTAGAAAACAAAAACATTATTTTCTAGTAATATTCCACGAATTGGTACTCTATTACTCTATTAGTATAATTGCTATCCATATTTTTTTTATTTACCAATTCTTCACTTGTGATATACATTTTTTGAATATACCATACAACCCCTGAGTAGTCACAAGTGAACAATAATAACAATATGATAATGGATATCAATATATCAATATATATTATATCAATTGTATTGCTCAATATGGCTTATTTGAGGATAAATCTAATACCAATTGCTATCCAACCCCTGAGTAGTCACCATACAGGATGGATATTGGCCTATTTCGCATGTCCTCCACGAAACTGGTGGCCAACTCCTGCCGATTTGCGAAACAAATCCGGCCCTGCCACGTCCAAAAATTGTTCCATATGGTCCCAAAATGACGATGAAACCTGGACAACAAAAGATTATGTATACTGTATAATATATACATATATACATATATACAAATATACATATATACATATATACATATAAATATTTATTTATTTATATAAATATATAAAATACAGATCCTGAAGTAGATAAAATATTGAATGTTCAAAATTATTCACCATTTTAATGAGGTTTTTTTGACATAACCATATTGTATCTATTCACACCAACACCAACAATAAGTTTCAGGTTTGATATTTATCATAGCCCCAGTTATAAAACTAATTGAATCTCAGTGTTTCACCAAAAACAATTACACTCAGATTTGGTTTGGTTTCAAGTTGGTTTCTTTTACCCATGAAAAACTGGAGCAGTATAATATGATTAATATGCACCATCAATCCAACAGCTATTGGAATTCAACAACAACGTAACTCCCACAGAAACTTCATCAACCATCACTTCTCGCCGGACCGTTTATTTTTCAATCAACTACAAGGTGGTGCCTCCCAAAAAATAAGTTGGTTAATACCTCCCAGTTATCTAGTTTGATATATAATATCCATCATACACAAAAAACAGTTAGACTATGTTAGACCGAGAATCTCACTTTCTTTTACAACACTTTACTATAAATCCACGTGTTTTCTTAGTTCAAATCTCCACGTTCCATCATATTTTCCTCTGTTTTCCTCAGTTTTTGAGGGCATCTTCTGTAAAAAGCCCGTCGCTTTCAACCATGGGACCATCCCATCGCCGCTCCCACAGTGCCGCTCGGCTGCAGGCCGTCACCGCGCCGCTGACGCAGGCCTTATCGGGCGAACGCGACGCGTCCGACGCGTCCGACGCAAGGCGCGTGAAGAAGTGCAGGGACTGCGACCAGTTGGAGACCTCCCGGCAGACCCCAACCAGTGTGGGGATAATCTTGGGAATGATGATGATGATGATGATGATAATGATGATGATGTTGAGGATGAGGATGTTGAGGATGAGGATTTGCGGAAGATGAGGTGGAGGAGGAGGATGTTGCGGAAGATGAGGTGGAGGATGATGATGTGAAGGATAATGATGTTGAGGATGATGCTGTTGAGGAGGATGAGGATGAGGACGATAATGTGGAAGATGAAGTTGAGGATGAAAAGGTGGAGGATGATGATGCTGAGAAGGAGGAAGATGATGATGTTGAGGATTATAATGTTGAGGAGGATGATGAAAAGGATGAAAATGTTGCGAAAGAAAAGGTGGACGAGGATGATGTTGCCGAAGAAGAGGTGGAGGATAATGATGTTGAGGATGATGATGATGATGATGATGATGTCAAGTGGGGGAGGAGGAGGATGTTGAGGATGATGATGTTGAGGGTGATGATGTTGAGGATGATGAGGTGTAGGGTTATGATGTGATGAGGTGGAGGATGATAATGTTGAGGATGATGGTGTCAAGGGGGAGGCTTAGGATGATGTTGGGAATGATGATGTTGAGGATGATGAGGTGTAGGAAAAGTGCCCGAGTCCAGAACCTAGGGGCACACTTTGTGCGAGCCTGCGCAGTCAAAATGCACTTCAACATTCCACAAGAGCCACTTTATACGAACATTTACAGGAAAAAATCCACGGCCCAGAACCTAAAGCTAGCTAGCCTGCACAGTCGAAATGATGTCAACATTTCAGAAGAGCCACTTTATACGGAATTTTACAGATAAAATGCCGCAGACCAAAGTGAGCACCCCGATCTTTACAGCTGCCGTAAGAGCCCCTCAGTGTGGACACACTGTTTGGGGAAAAGAACCAATGGATAAACATCTACCAACTTTTTTTGGGGCTTCTATATTCTGTGTATATATATATATATATCCGGGTTAATAAAAAATATTTCACTAACCTGAATTAAGGCCATATTGGGATAATTCCCCTTACTAACCATGATTCCAGCGAGGTGGCAGTGAGGTTGTTATAATTTACCCAGATATGCATACATAGAATATATGGATACAATATCAATGGCCAGATAAAGGACCTAAACTGGAGGTAGGTAGCATATATATATATAAGGCCTATGCAAGGGCTTTGTAAACAGAACCTGAAATTCCAGTGAAAATGGGGATGATGGATACGGTGGATGAAACAAATCCTGCACCAGTTGGTAACTAATGGTAACTAATGGTAACTATGAACCACTGTAAATAATCGGATTATAAGTTACACTGAGGCAAATCATCTACCAAATGATACAAGTTTTCTTCCATCCACAGTATTGTAATGTCACTAAATATTACTGTATTAATATTTTGAGTGTATGTATGTATGTGTATATATATATATATAGTATGTGGATAAATCATAATATCTTACTAAGCTGAAACTTGTGGCTGGTGGATAGTTTGGGATGATTCCCGCTAAAATGCGATAGATGTATTTGTTTCGATATGATGTTGTATATAGATATAGATATAATGTTTTACATGTACTGGAATAGAGTAATATAGTGTATGTGTATACATATATATATATGTATATATTTACATGTACATACATATACAGTAAATATATAATATGGGTTACAGATGATAGCATGAATAATAGCATGGATATATTAGATAATAATAATAATATACACTTATATCATCTACAGAGAATAAATTGAGTTATTTCATTACACTTGCTAATTATAATACATAGCTATTCATATGGATTACAGTGATTATCATTTGTTAGTACAAATTATCCAATAGATAATCTAAATTCTATTGGATAACTGATGATTAGAATGGACAAAATACGTCATTAATGTATAACACAAACCGTATTGGTTGTATTATACATGTATTGGGTTATTAGATGCTAAAATATTGTTATGTAAGTTAAACAAATAGTATTGAGTTAAAAACTACCACTGGATTAATATGTGAATGTTACTCAAAAATCCATAAATAGTAATTTAGTATATTGTGTATAATGCGGTTACAACAGTATACAAACTTACAATGTGAGGCCCCCCAGTTATAAGTTGGTTTATAAGCCCCAGTACCTATAGTTATAAATACCATAAACCATAGTTATTGGAGTTATAAACCAACTTAGCTATCTTGGGGGCCTCACATTGAACATGGCATGCTGAAAAATCAATCAAATGTAGTTGATTTTTCCAGATTTTCCTAGCTAAACCTTCACGGCTAGGGGATTTCCCAGGCACGTTTGACGACACCGGAGGGTACCTCAATTCTTCAGTATGGTCAAGAATAAGTAGTTATAAATCCCATTTATGGTTGTGTCCCCATTATAACCCTATGAAAGAATCCATCCCAATATAAGATAATGTGTGTTTTTTTTAATGACAATTTTCATGCTTTAAATATACATTTTTGTTGGTTATATTGTAACTTGTCAATATGGGTTGTACATCCATGAATCCCATCAATTAAGTATTTACTGTTCTTATGCTCTCCGGCAATGTAACATAGATATTGAACATGGGCATAGAAATAGTGGATTTAGCCAGCAATAGCATGGTGATTTTCCATAGTTTTTTGTTGACGTTTACCAGAGGGTATATCCCTAGTATACCCTCTGGTAAACTAACATAACTATGGAAAATCACCATTTTTAATGGGACAACTCACTATAAATGGCCATTTTCAATAGCTATGTTAAATTACCAGAGGGTAACCCCAATGAAAAGCCTAAGCTCCACCCGCAGACCTTCTCACAGGCGCTCATCACGGTGCTATAGGTCACCAGATCTGCACGTGCCGCCGCTTCTTCCATATCCTGCCGAAGCGGTGGCTGCACGAAGCTTGGAAGGGAACCATGGGAACCATAGGATGATGGAGGGTATGGGAAAACCATATCAATGGATTGGTTTAAGGGAACATCTACAGGAAACCATTGATTTTGCCATCAAATATGAGGCTTTCCTGTAAATTTTCCCCTAAACCAATCCATTGACCATAGGAAAACCATATACCCGTTTCCATGTATGCTATGTTTTCACATATGCATGAATATCCCCCAAGGTTGCCCATTCATGGCGGGGCCAATATATGCCAATATACCGTTCCATGAAGCATATGGGACACCGAAATAGAACCACAAATTGAAGCATATGGGACACCTACATGGAACAACACAATTCCCATAAAAACGTGCCGTTGACTTGACCCAAACATCTTTGGAACAAATGGGTTGGTTTGAAAATATGGTATATTATTTCTATGTACCACAAATGTTTGTGCTTAATCATACTGAGATTATATAATCATCCTGAAGTAGATAGAATGTAGAAAATTCAATCAAAACAACTTCACTAAAATGGGAATATCTTTGAACATCCCAGACCCTACAAATACAACCTCAAAATGGTTATAACACTGCTTTTACGGGTACTTAAAAGGTTCTTGGTCTATTTACAGTATATAAAAAATAGATCAACATAAGATGTAGCCCAGGATGGTCTTGCTGTAGAACCATCTCACCAACTAAATGATTATAGGTATAAGTATCATCGACCACAATTATACACACATATCCATATACTTTACGGAAATAAATTTCTATATATCTATATATATATATATTGTGAAAATCATAGTTCTCAAATATCCCTCTATATGCAATGTGTATATACATATATCATATATATATACACATCATATCTATATATACACATATCATATCTATCTATCTATATATATATATATATGTCATATAAGTATCACAAACCATAGGTCTGGGGAAAAAATGTTGAGTCCTGGAAGAGTTCCAGGGCGCATTCCCAGGCGTGGCCTCGTGGTCCGTGGTGAAAAACGTGGTGACCGCTTTTCCCACGCTAGATCCATGGGTTTTCCATGGGAAAAACATGGGAAAGCCAATTGCCAATCTTAGATACCCTGCAAAAAATGACAAATTCTTTGCTGGTGAACGTAGATATTCCCATTAATATTAAAAGACTAAAGGATTAAAGTATCCATATAAGATTGAGCTAGAAGCATGGAAAACTTGACAGAATTTTGGGACAACTCCCAAAAAACACTATGGAAATGATGGAGAAAACCACCCACACATATTGATCGATGATCAGCAATATGAAAGATATGAAAGATTTTTATGCTAATTGTTGGGTGGATTTGACCCCACACATCTGCGACACAAAAGATGATAGAAAAGAACAGACCTCACTGCCAACTGGTTGGTGGTTGACCTACCCCTCTGACAAATATGAGTTCGTCAGTCGGGATGATGAAATTCCCAATATATGGAAACATACAATTCATGTTCCAAACCACCAAACAGCCAATGTATCTTCCTCAAGTTTTCTCTCTACTAAGCAGCTAGCAACCTTCATTTGCTTAACGATTCTGAGACATGTCTGCTTGAACCAGGAAACACCGGTCACCAAGCAACAGCTTGGCCGGGCCTTTGCGACAGGCATCCACGGCAGCATTGTATGTGATGGTGTTTGGTTTCAAGTCCTTGGTATCTGCTGACTGGTGGGATTTCGGCAAATTCATGGGACAGAGATGTTCTGAACTTACCCATGACGGATCCATGGTGCTGCTATATGAATGGTAACATGGATCCCATGAATATACCCCAAATGTTAGCATATATACCAGCACCATGGATCCTCTGAACTTACCAAGTTGACTTGGTCAAATCTCCTGAATTTGAGTCTGACTCGATCCTTTAATATTTTGTCGATTTGGCCGCCAATGTTTTGGTACAGCTGGTGAGTTTCACGGATTTGCTTCAGGAACCACCCCCCTCCCAAACAAACCTGTAGATTCCCAAAGTAGAATTCCCATTCGGAAAATTCAGCAAATCCATGGGTCATTCAATGTCCCCATTGAACATCACCCAACCAAAATCGTATATGGTTTATAAATGTCTATAATGGCTACTATGTTCGGTGATGTCCAATATTCCCAAAATGGGACAGTTACCCTCTAGTAATTTAACATAGCGAACTGGAAAATCACCATGCTATTAATGGGAAAATCCACTATTTCTATGGTTAAATGGTCATTTTCAATAGCTATGTTAGTCATTACCAGAGGGTATCCCATTAAATCACCATTGAAATCCCATTAAATCACCATTTTCCATCATTTTCCAAGCATTTTCAATAGCTATGTTAAAGTGCCAGAGGGTACCAACCCCTGCAAATGCCATGGGTCAAAATCCAAGGGACCCGGAACCGCATCTCTGGGAGCAGAGAAATGGCTAAAGGCCACAAGGAACTTCGGCCCAAGGAGTTGAGGGCCATGGTGAAATGCCTGGAACGTTAGAGGATGATAGACATGATACAATGATTAAGTCAATATAACTTGATTAACAAGTACCCTCTAGGTAAACTTTTATATAGCTGACATAGCTATTGAAAATGGCCATAGAAATAGTGGATTTACCCATTGAAAATTGTGATTTTCCATAGTTATGTTAGTTTACCAGAGGGTATCAACCAAGAAACATCACTGGGGTCTTGTCTTTTTTTTGGCACTCAATCATCTCAATCATTCATGAATCCGGAAACTCGCTACCTGGGACCTGGGTACAGTAACCTGGAACATAGTAGTGGATTTAGCCATACGCCAGGCATGGTGATCATTTTCCATCGTTCTTGGTTAATTTTTTACATAAGTGTATATATAAAGAAATGGTGAACCATATAGTTTTTTTTGATGTAAACGTTAAACCATAGTAATCCATAGTATATAGTATGCTTATAAATGCTCACGTTAAACCATAGCGACTTTTGTTAACGTTTATCAGATGCTAATATCCATGGTTCATGTCCTGAAATCAGCGAGTGCTGCTGGCCCCACATTGACGATGAACACAATGACTATGTAACATTATGTAGATTTAGATATCACATTTATCGTAAATCATATAATTGCTTAATTATACATACATACATACATACATACATACATACATACATACATACATACATACATACATACATACATACATACATACATACATACATTACATTACATACATACATACATACATACATACATACATACATACATATATATATACATATCAAATTAGCAATGATTGGTTCTGGTGATATATATATAAACTATGCAACCCATGGTAGACTTGCATCTACAGTATATCAGAACCTAAACCATTCACCAATGCAATCATCCATCTATAGCTAAAATACACATCAAGTATAGGTAGTTATATGTCATGGCATAAGATCGTAATGACATGTAATTACACATACATAGAATGCAGTGAAGTATCATTATCCGTGATTTTGTTTAGCCAACATAATTAGATGTGTATCAAAATTTCAAACACGGTATATTCATTATACAACAACATGATATATGTGAATATTACATATATATATGTATTATCTGGTTGGTGGCTTCACCCCCCTGAAAAATATTAGTCATATTGGATCATCATCCCAACTATTGGGGAACATAAAACATGTTTCAAACCACCAACCAGGTATATACATGTTCAATATAGGACGGTCTGGGTCTATGAAAACTCCTGCCCGGATTGCTTTCCGCCGCCTATGGTGGAACATCAAGTTTTCATAGAGCAAATGCTCAACAATGACCGACCTTTCAGAAGCTCTGTGGGCAGTTCGCATTCTTTGTTTTTTGTTGGTTTCATTTAAGGAAAACTCTACCTAAAAACCATGTGTTTCACATCGTTTCACATGTGTTTGTTCTGTTATAGATGATTCATGATGGTAGGGATGAGTTGAAGAATGGGTTCCATCTGGAAAGGATGCTGTTGGCGAAGCCATTCAAAACAAGGTTGTCAAACCCAGAATGAACAGGCCACACGTTGGAAACTGGTGTCAGCTCTTCTCAAAGGATCACCCTTTCAGCATCGAAACAAACAACATCTCAGGCTTTGCGGGAAATTTCGGAACCCCAAACAACATGCAAAAAACAAACATATTCCCGAAACATATTCCCTATAGATTCCCCATAGATTCCCTATAGATTCCCTCTCATCCAGTTCCAGGCACGTCTCCCGGGGGTTTGAGCCGCGCAGACGCCCGAAGAGGGCTCCGCGCTGGGTTTCGGCCCCCATCTGCCAGGCGGTGTTTGATGTTTTTGGCCGGGAATCCAGAGCTTATGTCGAATCAAAAACGGCCCAAACATTGCAAAAACATATGGATCTTTTTAGATTGTTGAGATCCAGAGCATGTTTTCATCATGAATATGAATCATTGTTTTTGAATTTTATAATATTCATCATTAATATATATATATATATATCCCAAATGCTCCATGTCTGGTATATTTACCAACATTTACCCTAAAAATCACCCAGTTTTGGATGGTTGAAACCCATCCCTCCGGGACGTGACCTGGAACAGCTGACGTTGCAAACGTTCTCGCAGCGACCTGACGGCAGGGGAGGTTTTCCATGTAAAATGTGCAGAATAGCTAGGTTGGTGAAGATATAACTCCAATAACTGTGGTTTATATGTTTATATATATAATATAATAACATATATATATTGTATTAATATGAATAAAAAATATATATATATATACAATTATACACTTTTACTATTAGTATTCACGGGGTCTAGAAATCAACATAAACCAACTTATGGAGGCCCGTTGAAGCTACGACGATTTTAGTCCTTGGAGTTCACCAACGTGGCAACTGTCCTGAATGACCCTCTGGCAAAGTGTCACATAACTATGAAATCTATGGACAATCACCATGCTAGTTTTAAGGGAAACTCACTATTTATCTGTTTCAATTGTGATTTTCTATAGTTATGTAACAAATTACCAGAGGGATCCAGAGGGTATTGGATGAATTCCAATTTCTATAAACTCTGAAGTGAGATGCTTGAGATCCCCAACATCAGGAGATATCAGGAGCAAGAAACAGAGCGAAAAGCACATATTTTTTTGTGATATAGGGGTCAAGAACCGGAACCGGACCCCTGGTGAACACCAAAAGAGCTGCAATGTGAGGCCCCACAGTGATGTTAGTTGGTTTAGATTCGCCCCAGTAACTATAGTTATAAATACCATAAACATCCATAAACCATAGTTATTGGAGTTATACACCAACTTAGCTATCTTGGGGGCCTCACATTGTGGTAAATGAATGTTCATCCTATTACTCGGCTTCGATCAGTACCGATATCTCCACAAAAAAAAACCATGGATGAAGCAACATGTCTGGCTGAAATCAACTATTTCACCATGAAAGATCTTGATTTTTTGGCCATATTATTGGGATATAGATTATATATATATGTTATCATCATATCCCAATAAATATATATATATATATATACAGATTATATTTCATTATTGGGAAATAAGGCCCATTATACTGGGATATAGATTATATATATATATATATATTATTACATATATTACATATATATTCTGGGTAAATTCTCATCACAAAGCTGAAACGTTGCGGCCTCAACGGGACTTTCCGTAAACCAAGGCCCCGGCATTTCTGGCGCGGTTCACCGCGGCTCAGGTCACGGCCCGGTCATCATGGCGCGGGCGAGGACTGGTTATATCATCCCTATGGATCCAGTTGTACCTTCTGAAAGGAAGTGAGACTGGGGTATAATTTACTATAATTTGGAGGCATTTTTGTACCTTCTCAGACAGTGTTTGGATCCATAGGGCATGTTATATATACCCATTATTGGTTATGTAGTCATAATACATATATATATATATATATGTATAATATAATTATTTACAGTAATCATACAATCATTGGTTATACAGTAATTGGTTATAAAGTGTTAAAATTTCAAACTAATTAATCATTGGTTAAATACCCATTATTACATATCTCCAGGAAATCACCTTTTTGAAACCACGGAAACCGGTCATGTCTCTCATTGCCGACAGCCATGGATTTCTAATCGCTCCAGTACTTGCTAACCAACTTCGGGCTTTCATGTCTTGCAATTCAGGCTGCAATTCATTGCTTGATAAAGTTGGACATTTTTACCCATGACGCGTGTATCTTGATACCCTCTGGTAATTTAACACAGCTATTGAACATGGCCCATTTATATCCATTTATATAGTTGATTTAACTATTAAAGATTGCAATTTTCCATAGCTATGTCTATCTTAGTTTACCAGAGGGTAATTCTTGATGTCTTTCGTGAGAAGCTTGCAGGCATGGCAGAGAATGCACGGTCTCTAGCTCATGAGATTTACGGAAACCATCGGAAGAAGCCAGATAACTTTCTAGCAAAATCTTACCCATATTCCAAGGCTGTTCATATTCCATGCCAAAATAGCTCCGGAAATTTGGAAAATAATGAACGACCTTTGATGATGAGAATAAGGTTGTGTGACCCTTGTCAGGCGCTCCCTTGTCACGTGCTGTCATGTCCAATCGCACATGTTTAACCCCGCTGAGAACCTTTTCAAGCAATGATTTCTTGGATAAACATAATCATAAAGTCTTGTTTCTCTCATCAATCATCAACTTCTCTCTAGGATCTTTTTTAAGACCATTGGATAAGCTGTTCAGCTTATTTTTTGATGCGTTTGGCTGGCGGCTCAGCCTCCGCATCTGTAAACAGGGCCAAGTCTGGATTACGCTGTTCTTCCTCGAACCCAAATGGTACCATATTTTCACTTAATACAGTTACATTGAGTAGGATGCTACCCCTGGAGTACGATGCCCCCCCCGTATGCGTTGCCGTTCCTGCATGTGGGCTTCTCAGGCATATGTGAATATCATTTTTGACCAAATGGAGGCTGCAAATTCCATTCCACATACCCACAAGGCATCACACTCTATCGCGCACGACTAAGACAACAATCGAGAATTTCCATAGCCTCCACAGGTCAAAAGTATCAAAATTTCATGGAATGCGATTGTATGCGCGACTGCTCAAAACGCTGGAAAAACAACAATTTCCCCCATATTCCATATTATCAGATTCCAGAGCATTTTACCTCCGAAGAGGAAAAAAAAATGAAAAAAACTCTTCAGGTCAATTTTTCGAAAAAAAATGTTTTTGGCTGTCTGCGCAAGTTTTTCTGGTGTACGATCCCTTTTGTGGGGTACGATGATCTGTGAGTAGGTGTGTGGAGTGCGATGGGGTCCTCTGTGGTGCGATGACACCCCTCGAGTGCGATGCGACATGAGTATGCGCGGCCGGAAATCCCCTGAGAGAAGGATTCTGGGCCACAATCCCCCAAATTCAACAGAGCGAGCGGATGCTGGTTGTTGTAAATTTAACAGGATTTCAGCCCACTCAACAAACAAGTCAAACAATATTTTGAAACCATCTCCTTCTTCAGTCTCCAAAATGGGAAACTCACTTATCAGGACACGCTTTAGCTCATCCAGGGTCCATAGCATTTCAGGAACAGCACAAGGCATCGACATGGTGCCAAACAATTTCCAAATTGAGCTGAAAGGTCTTCCCATCGCAACCAGTCATTTCAAAGGTGTGAAACATGTCACACACAGGGAATCAGGTTGGGAAAACAGTGGGTCCAAAGAGACAGGTCTGGAGTACGATGGATTCATAGTATATGTACATTTTCTGAATTTGGGTAACTTGGAGCTAGAAACTTTCCATTCGCAAGCTCATACAGGTGTTTTCTTCGTCAAAGTCAAAGATGCATCCTGAAATGAATGGTGAATGTCATAATGCCAACTGACCAACGGATGTCCGTCGACTACAGCACTATCACTGCTACAAACTGGTGCAGTTTGCTTCTGAATGCTGACCTTTGTTGGCATCTCTTTCCATTGGTCACGGCCAATCCACACCTGTTGGGTAGATATGAGATCCTCTTTTCAGCCTCAAAAAATCATAACTAGGTTTGTCTTGCTGGTAAAAGCTTCAAGCATAGTTCCCTTAGACCCTGCCAAAAACGATGGCCTCTACAATCTCCAGCTGAGCTTCCCAACTCTGTAGAAGGTTCTCAAGTTCCTGCCTGGAAACCCAAGAATCGCCATCAAACCAAGCAAAGATTGCCTGCTTGTACACAATATGGGGGTAGTTCTTAACGGGAAATCCACAAGTCAATGGGTTTCAATAGCAAAATACTAAAACGGTCACCCCTTTGCATGAAAACGGGGGTATCCCCATGACTTTGGAAAGCTCATGAAGGCTCCATATACATCAATGTTCAGTATCCTGCCATAGTCCATGAATATCCGCAAGAATTATCCCTCATGTCCATTATGCATTGTAATATATTGTAATACTGTAAATCCGTCATTATCCCGATAAAAGTCTCATGTATAGATTCATAGATTCATAGTATCTGTAGCAGTATCGTTCTTAAAAAATGGGGAACGCCCAAGTCACCATGGGTTTCAAGTTTTATTTGGGTGTACCTGCCCTCAGCCATTAGGAAACCCCCAGCCATTGCTGATTTGGAGATGTTCTTCTGGTTTTTGGTGATCAATCCTGAACAAATGGAGAACAGAGTCATCTTGATTTTGCTGTCCATGATTCCATGATTGGGGAAAAAGGAAACAAAAGGTAAAATATACATTCAGACTAAGCACTTTTTAATGGGAACTAAAGAACAAGTCACTAAGTGGGCTTCAACCAGAAGGGTAGGGGACACCATCATCTACCCCACTTTGGCATCATCTGTTCATAGCAGTCGCAGTTAGCATCTTCATTGTAGAAGTGCTACAAGTCAAAGTGAAGCATTCTGTGGTTGTGCATTGTTGGAAAGGAATGTGTGTTAGTTCAACAGAAAAGGACAAATGGTACAACTGCCGTGCGCATGGACATGTGAGTTTTTTTTGGGGGGGTCACCGTTCACCCGTTCACCTTAGGGTCAAATAAATTTTCATCTGGGCACCAGAAATGGCTGATGTTCGCAAGCTGATAGATGAATTTGGCCTATGGATCCCCATTTGGATGGATTTGGTACCTCAAGATAGGGTTGATCATCAGTTTTGGAGCCCATCCCATAAACTAGACCGAACCATCTTTTATATTCTTTTATCCAGCAAACTCACAGTTCGATGTGGTTGAAAAGCACTCTTTGGTTCGATCATCTTGAACGGCTTTCCCGCCTTTTCATTGGGATCACCGAATCTCATGACTGGAGCTTTCCAAAGTCATGGGGGTTATCCCAGTCATCCCACTGACTTTAGGGACTTTCCTTAGAAAACATCCAGCTATTGGGGTAGTCTCTGGGGGTTATCCCAGTGGGTAGTCCCTGACTTCGACAAGGTGTCACCAGGTCTCCGGGTCTCGGTTTTTAGCACCTCATATCGCATGCCTTGGCCAGCTGCTGGGTCAGTTTGCTCCGAGCTTTCTGTTCGACTCGGCGAGTTTAATTAAGAGCATCCTGGATAGGGGTGATGTGAGCTGTGCTAAGATCTTGGGGATAGATATGGGAAAATATGGACACATTTTTGTTAAGATATGGAACATCTATAAGAGTCATCTTGATTTTGCTGTCCATGATTGGGGAAAAAGGAAACAATAGGTAAAATATACATTCAGAATAAGCACTTTTTAACGGGAACTAAAGAACAAGTCACTAAGTGGGCTTCAACCAGAAGGGTAGGGGACACCATCATCTACCCACTTTGGCATCATCTGTTCATAGCAGTCGCAGTTAGCATCTTCATTGTAGAAGTGCTACAAGTCAAAGTGAAGCATTCTCTGGTTGTGCATTGTTGAAAAGGAATGTATGTTAGTTCAACAGAAACGGAAGTCGCTGATATTGCGGTGGATGTTCATCCATCCAATCAAATGATGGGCAATCAAGGTTTTTGATTACAATGTGGGACCCCCCAGTGAGGTTAGTTTGTTGGTTTCTGAACCCTACAGCGATAAGTATCATACACCATAGTGAAATTGGAGCTATGTTCATCAATTTAGCGATTTCGTTCGGGGGCCCACATTGTAGTTGTGACACATTAGGCACTTCTCGAGGCCATGGCGTGTGACCTTTGACAAATTGGGAAAAATACGCAGCTCCCAAACTGGACGTTGTATGCTATTTACCCCCTCTGGCTATTTAACATAGCTATGGAAAAAGGTCTATTTATAGAGGATTTATGATGATATTTACCTATCAAAAATTGTGATTTTCCAGTTCGCTACGTTAAATAACCAAACGGTATATGTCCTGGGCATGATTTCAACATTCCCCCCAAACATAATTCCCATCACCCCTGTTGAGGCTTCCTCAAAGGGCACCCGGCATTCAGGGACTCGATCAGCTCTTCCTCGGCTCTGTGAACCCGATGTTGATGTTGGTTGGTTTATAAAACCCTTGAGCTATAGTTGGAGTTATCAAACGAACATCAACTGGGGCCACATAAACTATAAACTTATGGACTTTGTTTATGGTTTGTTTATGATACTTAGCTGGCAGCTTTAAGTATCATAAACAAGCCATAGTGAAATTGGAGTTATGTTCACCAACCTGGCTATCTTTTGGGGGCCCCGCATCGTCGTGTATAATTTATAATTCTGTATAGTATATATATACTGTATAGTAGATAGATATATATATATATACATATGTGTTGAGGAATTATGCATTAAGACAATATCATTTTATAATAAAATAGCATATATATATAAAATATATCATATATTATTGTAGAATTATGGAGGAAACGCCGATTTGTGGACACACATCACAGCTCAAGGCCACTGTTTAGAAACACGTCAAAGTATATCTACAGTCATTGCATGTTTTTGCCTCAACAGCAGCAGCACAGATCGATAGCTGCACCCATCTCACAAGTACTTCAAACGATAGCCATACTGTGCAGCCTGTGTTGCATCGTGGGGGATGATCAAGCCACTCCAACATGTCTGAAATTCTGACTGGAGAATTCACTTCCACAACCATTGCCTCAAAGTAAGGCGAATAAGAAATTAGGTGTTGCTTTGGTATGCTGTACATTAGACTTCATCAATGTTCCATAGATCAATATCAACCATCATTTCCCTTCAAAGAGGCTCACGGTTAGTGGTTTCAACGAATGTGAATGTATATATATATACTATATATATAAAATTTATATATATATATATATTCAGTCAGTTGTGATCATCATCCCATTTCGAGGGTTGAATACAACATCATTCATATTTATATAAATATGTATATGTCCAAGATATCAATAGATACCACCAACCAGATATTGTCGGTGTCGGTTACATACAGATACTGTATGTATATATATATACAAAATGTTCCTGTTAATGTCCCCATGTTAGATTCTGTTGAATCATGTCAATTCTGCATCTTCACTTACGCAGCCAAGTGTCATAGCTAATCTCCTCGATGCCCTCGAAATCCGGCTCTTCCGTTGACTCCATCGCATCCAACGGGTCCGGGAAGATCAACGCAACTATGTGGGGCCCCCCAGTGATGTTTGTTGGTTTAGATTCGCCCCAGTAACTATAGTTATAAATACCATAAACCATAGTTATTGGAGTTATAAACCAACTTAGCTATCTTGGGGGCCTCACTTTGAACCATGAGTTGGGCATGTTTTGTCGGCATAAAAAGGGACCAGGACTGCACGAAAAGCAGCCCAAAATTCAGGCTAAATTTCATGACTTTACCATATTTCTCCAGGAACATTGCAATTATTTGGGCTATCCAACATATAGATCATGCAGGGACCAGTTCTTTCCACTACATCTGTATCTAGTTCGCTGAAGGGTTGCGGGGTGGGTGACTCTCTGTTGGCATGCCTAATATATGGCTTTGTCTGAAAATGGGGTGCACCCCGAAAAAACACAATTTTGAAGGGAGAATGATGATAAGCTTAAGCGACCGGATTTTTTGGCAAATTTTGGCACCCCATGTTCAGACAAATCATCTTGCTAACCATGCTTCCAGAGGATGACTTGTGAAAAGCATGACTGCAATGCTGGGCAATGCTGGGCAATGCTGGACAATGCTGGACAACACTCCACGGGCATGGGCAAAAAATAAGATAAAATAAGTACGTCAAATGGACATCAAACGCGCAGATCAAACAGCTGGCGTCAATGAAGCATCAAACAGCAGAAACAACTCATGGAACTCCGAAACACATCTTTTCTCTGTGCGACCCCACCGCGCGTTGTCGAAGTCGTTGTATTGCGTCCCACCGCAATTCTGCTGGGGCAGTGATGGCTGATCATCACAGTGTGAAAAGGCAGTGTGCCGGACATATGCAAAAGAAAGCGATGGACGAATGTAGACAACTATGTATGTGATAATATATCTTTATATATATATATATGTATATATGTATATGTGGACATTTTAGTCTAATCAATGACAACTGCAAACACTGTATGTTTAGTAGGTTTGATTTGGATCTACACGTCTGGATAGACTTCTTGCATCACACCAATATGGGTTTGTTTTACACCCAATCTTTTGCCGCTTGTACAATCCATTTGCAGCCATTTGTCTTTACCTGAAACTGAGGTATTCCCAATCCGAACAGATTATCATCATAATATCCCCAATAACGTGGATTTTTGTTGGGGGCCCATCCCCATTTCAGCATTAATTGTTGCTGATGCTAATGATGATGACGATGATGACGATGATGACGATGATAACAATGATAATGAATATTATGAACATTATAGCTGCTATAGCTACTATACTATAGCCCCGTCTCCCGGGCAGCTTTCCCAATCATGTTGATGAAACCACTTGGCAAAGAATACGCTTCTCCCACCAGATTCCTGCCCGCAAAGAGTTACGTTTCTCGCGTTTCTAAAAACGACCTCCCCCTGGGTGTTCCGTGACGCTGCTTCCGTGCTGATTTGATCAAAAAAACAGGATATTTTTCAGCATCAGACTTGGTTGATTGAACACCAACAGTGGATACCAGGAATCTACCAGCAATCGCAGGGGATTCAAAGGATTCAATCAGCCTTAACTTCAAGGAACGAAAAAGGCGTCATGGAACTCCAATCGAAGCGGTTCTACGCATCGATCTCAACGATCTCAGCACACAGCTTTTTGGCTCTTGGCTCCTGCTGGAAATGGCTGGAGAATATACAGAGAATATGGAGAAAATGGGTAGCTATTAGCAGAAATATTAAATAAATATAGGCCGATCAACGTGTTCTTCTTGCTGTGATTTTGGCAAATGCTATGTGATACCAAATACTGAAAGGTGTTCAAGCAATTGGATTTACGTGCTATTTGGATTGACGGCTGGATTTTACCTTCTACCTTTTCAAGCAGCAAACGAACGGATCAGATTAAGTTGGTTTTTGCTTAAGGAGCCCATATAGCCCCCCCCAAAAAAATAACGATTCCATCCATATTTATATATATACACACGTATTATTGATATTATTAGTATTGTTGTTACTTTTATTATCATTATCATTAGTATTAATCATTATTATCATTATTATATATATTTCCCATGATTTTCCAAGTAATTGCAATGGATTTCACATTGGGAAAATGGGAAACATATCTTCCCCAAATCCAGGTATTTCTTGGAGAGCACAGGGTCGCTCAGTGTTTCATCTTTAGGGTGTTTTTTTAGGTCGACAGCATCTCGCATCGAAAAAAACACAACTGGTGTCGAATGCCAAATCAGCCAACTCAGCCCTCAAGACAAAGGTATGACAATCACCTGGGATCATCAATCCAGTTTGAAACGGAGCACGTTTCTGACCAAAAATCTGAAGAAAAATCCATGGGTTGAAAAATTTGCTGTACTGATTCGTGGCAATATATGAAAAATATACCATAGGATTTCCATCACTTGCTATACGCAAGTGATGGCTTTGGAACGGAACGGATCTGTCCTTTCCCATTTGACCCATTTGCTTCCGTATCTCCTGGCGTTCAGAAAGCCCAGGTCAAAGTTCGACCATGTCCATGTCGAAACTCATGGGTTGCCAGTTGCCATAGCAATAGTAGTTTACTGGATGGCAAAATATGGTAAAATATGGTAAAACATGATAAATTCATGTAAATTCTCCTCAAATTCAACCCTTCTCTTGACTATCTAGCCCAGTCTTGGAACCACTGACATGGGTAGTGGTCAAACTTATTGTCTCTGCTTCGCAACATGACAAAAAACACAAAAAGATGTGTCCAGTGGCTGACATATCAAAATCAGATCACGTTTGATAAATGTTGATAATTACCACAGACAAACACAGACCCACATGTCTAATCCGACAATCCGAACTTTGACCCACAGCCATAATAATTATATGCCGTGGTCAGAACATGAACATGTTTTTTTTTTCGGGGGGGAAGGTCTTCCATCCCATATTGGGAATCCCCTGAAGCCGGCTGATCGCCTCTTGAATGTTCAAGGGAAGCTCCGCCAGGACACCTTCATCCACCTCCTCGTTCATGACATGATTTATACCTATTTTCCAGCATCAGATTAAGGGAAATGTTGCAGGAAAACCCGTCCTATTGTGTTTTTGTTGAATGGTTTTCTGTAGATCTTCAAAACCGTTCAGCATGTTTTTGTTTGGAGGATATATCGGGAGGTTTCACCAACAACGGTGGGCTAAAACACGAAGGAGAAACGAGTGGACAACTGGCTTAATCTTCACCATGGACGGGAACGCCTGATCAGATGGACATGTTACCATCAACAAGTGAAGGTAAGCTGTCAAACATGCTGGACAATTTCACATTCCACCAAGAAAGGAGGATTGTTTCACAAACAGCTGCTGAAATGAAGGGGATACCACCAATGAAGGCAAGAAAAACACCAGAAATTCTGCCAACAAAGATGTCGGAGATATTTATTGTTTTTTATTGATATAGCTGTCCAACAAATAGGAGGATATCGTGAAATATGGTCTTTTCAGCATCGATCTGATTGGCTGATCTAGACTGGCACGCATAGGCTACCAACACATATTTTACTGTGCCTTCAACGTACAGCCTGACGAGGATCATACACCAAGTTGTTCCTGAATATCTAGCTGTTCAGATTCATATTCTTGATACTTTGAAGCCTCCGTGTTCTTCAGACAACTTCTAGCATATGCTTTTGGTCGAGAAACATCCATCTACTGTCAACTAAAGAAAGGGAGATACACTATATTCCTCTAGGTTAGCTGGTCCACGGTACAACTATTCATTTAGCTAATTCCAAGCTCCCCTGCTTAATTTCTAACTACTAAGTTCCTAGCGGCTCTAGTATAAATATGTATAAATCACCATGATTTCCAAAGAAGCTTAAAAGAAGCACAGGAAATAGATGGAAATAGCTGATGGGAACCACCATACCATTGAAAACCCCACAGCTACAGTCTCCTGATCCATTCTGCCTATGGGCTCTGCTTCTCGTTTCGCCTGGTAGAACAATGTGATCGTCCGAAAGTGTGGTTGGATCCCCTGCAACAGTTCGAAGCTCAAAACTTCAGAGATCTTGATTCTTCCCAAGATTTCCCAAGTAATTGAAGATCATATTTAAACTTATATATTTGAAAACCAGAGGAAGTCAATTTGCTAATTTCAGAGACTTAGGCTATAACTGTTTCGCACCCCCAAGTTAAGTACTCAGAAGACAGTTTCTATGCCCTGCCTCTCTGGAAAATTGAAATAATCCCCACCGAGACATCTTTGTTTTCTACTTCCAGCAGTTGATTCAACCCTCCATCTGTCGTTTTTAGTAAGCTGCTTCGAGAATTATCCCATTGACTTTGTTATAGTCAGTGAGATCAACCATATCCCAGCATATCCCAGCTATAAAAACTATTAAAATTTCTGGAAATCCACGACTCGCCACTGATCATGTGGGCATATGTGGGCCCTCGACTCGGGGTTGCCGTAGGGTTTTCCCATGTTTTCCCCCTGAGTTCGCTGCAGCTCGAGCGAAGCTGGCTTTCAACAAGTTCTCCTGAACGCCGGAGCCCTTGGGACAACCCTGGGGACCCTGGGGACCCGGCACCACTGAGTCGCCAAAATCGCCAAAATCCCATGACGGATCCGGCTGGTGCTGATATATATGCTAACATGACTGGGGTATATTGATGGGATCCATGTTACCATATATGGCAGCACCATGAATCCTATGGGTGTTGGGATAATGTTTATACAAATTGGCTATGATTGCAGCATAATCAGCAGGTCATCATGGCAAATTGATGCAAATAGAATCAAACTGCGTGTGGTCGCTCCATGCTTCGTTTTTTTCAACTGGAACCAAAGACGTCTTCTCTCCAAATTGAGGTTTTGTCCCAAAGATGTGGGCCAGGCCGGCAAACAGTGGAAGATGACAGCCGCCCGTCTCCTGGTCCTGATCTTGCGCCTGGGCATATCTTGACATGGCTTCGTCAACAAAAAATCCCTGGCGCCAGTTCAGAACAGATTAGAAACAAGGGTACTTTAGTTGTTTTTTTTTATATCTATTGTTTAGAGACTGTGAGTATAGTATTTGAGATCATCATCAAATTATCATCAGTCAATAATTTCCCAAAACATAGAATTATCATAACTATCACAAGTATCAGAACAGAAACATTTAGATACAACATGATACAACATAACATTAATGTCATCATTCCCTCCCACTAAAACCCTGCATGTTTCTTGCTGCCCCGCGTCACCTTGGGCTTCACCCTTGATTTTGCAAATTTCTCGATGCTGCCACCTGCGGTGAATGTTCATGGGAAAATCACCAAACAACAAGGATTAACTATACATAATTCAGTCATAAAGTGCTGGGTATAACTCAAATTCATAACATAATTTATCATAACATAATTCACAGTTATGTGAAAATTTTAATTCCATGATATGAGTGATTCTTAGTCAAATACATATTCATAACTGTGAATATGACTAAAATCACTCGTATCATGGATGTGAACTGCCGTTTTGTGGCTTTGATCTAATCCCCTGAGGAAGCCATGCTGGACCATGGGAATCCCAAAAACTCCAATTTCACTATGGATTGGGATACTATGTATATATATGTATATATATATAGTTAAACAATATATATATATATATATAGAGAGAGAGAGAGAGTATCCTAAAGCAATGTGAAACTGGAGTTATGTGAACCCCAACTGAAACCATCTATGGTTATAGACTCCCATAATACCTATATATATATACATATTTAATGGATGTTAATGGGGTCTATATAAACTGATAACTGGGGGGCCACATTAGAATATATATATATAAAGATATATATATATATATAAAGGGTACCACAAAAACTCAGCTAATCATCAAGCATCTAAATTGCTCAAGTGAACTCCCGGTGTCCAAAAAGCACCAGAATGGGCACCGAAATGCCATGAGATGATATTGAAATCACACATTTAAACTTCAAGTTGTTTCTAATTTAAATCTATATAAACAAATCATGAGTCATAAGTTATGGACTTCACAAAGCTACTTGATTTTTTTTGATATAGGATGATCCAATTCAACCAGAAGTTGTGTATTTCATCAATTTCCGGAAAGTAACCAACAGCATGGAATTTCGCACAGAATAAATCCAGCATAATCCAGCATTTTCCGCTTTTGGAACTTCGGTTTCTTGGAGCCTGCATTTTCAGCGGCCTTGCCGAAGTATTTGGTCAATGAGCCACTGGCCTCCACAAGGACTTTTCGCATCCAGATTTCTGGTCCCACAAAAAAAGCTTACTGGTGCGTTAAAAACGTAGGGAATGGAGGGGTTGCTGGGGGTTGCTGGGATATGCTGGGATGATTATTGATAGTTAGCCAGTGGATCATTCCCTCATTCCCTACTAAGCACCAGCAAGTTAGGCAAAGAAATACATAGAGATTAAAGATGATTCCCGTTCAAGCATCAAAGGATGAAGATTGCTGAAGAGCAACAATTGAGGATTGTTTCGCCTTGGCCGCCATGCGTGCTTGCCACTCTGCTTCACCCGCTTTACATTGGAATTGTGTTCTTTCATGCTGTCGATCTAAATTTATAAATGATTACTGTAATCTAGAAATATGGTAACCTGCATTATATAGTTATATTTGATGTATCTATATATTTTGATGTTTTCCAAAATGTGCGTGACAACAGAAGCATAAATCTCAGGAAAATCTACCATTGTACTGCACCCCGAGCACCACCTCTCACCATACGGGTTGCTCTCACCTCAAGCGATACCATGTTCGACAGACATAGCCCGAGCACCACCACATCGGACAAATGCCCTGCGCGACGCACCAAAGCCTGACAGAGGGATCAGTTGACTCAATGGGACAATAATGATCTGGGTTGATGGTTGGGGGGTACCGGGGTACCAGTTGAATCCCAAAGTAATTGTCAGCTTTTTGAGTTGTTCATCTATGATTGAGGAAGGATAAATTTTGAATCCAGCGTTGACGTTGGATCCCTTGACCGGGGTAAAAGTACCTTTATTAACGTTTACCCTCTGGTTATTTAACATAGCCATGGAAAATGGCCCATTTATAGATGGTTTACCTATTTAAAATGGTGATTTTCCATGGCTATATTAGTCATAACCAGAGGGTATATTGGGAGTCATGAATAAAACCATCCAACGTTTTCTGGGTCTCCATTCAACATGGACCTCAACAGGCTTTAGCCACAGCTTCCCCAGTTTTTTCAAGCTGTGGCTGTATGGTTTTCGCAGGCAAAGCTGGGATATGCCATGATATCTTATCTATCACATATGAATATATAGTGCAACATATCCATAATTACATATGATGTAGCATAATAGTATAACTATAACTGTAACATAGCATAATGTAACATAACTATGTAGTATCTAGATATTATGAGTAGCGGACACAATTATATCTTAAATTTAATGCCGTGCGCAACTTAGGGTCGTCCCCTATGGGGGATCGGTATAGGGTCGTCCCCTATCGGTTATGAAGGTTTTGTGCAACATCGGAAAGGAAGGCGAAACAAGACTAAATTAGTATTACAATAATTTTGTCGCTTACTCATATACATATTTCCAATATTATCATCTGTGTATGGTATCTGGAAGAGCTTCGACTCACAGCTATTTATCACTTAGCCAGTTGCAGCGAAGCCCAATCTCTCCTTGGCCGCTGTGAGGATGTGCTCAACGCTGCCGCTACTGCCCAGATTGATGGACTGCTGCCGGGTCAGGTGCTCTTTGGCATTGGACTCCTACCGCTGGCCGCGGCTGGTGCTGCCCCGAAACGAAATGGTCACTAATGGAAAATTGTGGAGAAACGGCTGCATATGTAGACTCTACGTAGACATACAAATATCATACCCTGATAATCAGGTTCCATGGATCTATTAAAGCATATTAAAGATTTTTCCAACAACAATTGCAATATGTCGAATTTCTCACAGGCCAAATGGAACTATCTCCTCTTCCCACAGGCATTTCTCATTGACAGATTGCGCTACCTAACTGCATGAAAATCAAGCGGTTCCGCCTGTTCCAATTGGGGAGTTGCTGAAAAATGGTTGGTTTATTTCATGGAAAATCCCATAAAAATGGATGATTTGGGGGTAGCCCTATTTCAGGAAACACCAATACACCCTAAGAAATGTTAGGCCTCATGAATATGGGTTCTTAACCACTGTCAGCCATAACAATAGCAGCTTTCAAACCACCGGTGCTACCATGCGAATCTAATTGTATAGTCCAAAATGCTTAAAATATCCATAGTAAATGGTTTGTGTTCTACCCCCACAACGTTCCTCGTTAAATCTCCCATCTATAGCCAGTTTTAGGGTTGATATTGTTTCTAATGTTCTTGAAGCCCATATCCACCTTTGCTTTTATTCCCGAGTATTGTCGCGTATTATTGCATGTCTCGGTTAAGATCCGCTAATAAACACATGTTTGGACTCCTTCCGGATTCTATCCGCAAAAACTTGGTGGTTCATCCCGTATGGCTGAAATCAATAGAAAAACCAACTACCCTCTGGTTATGACTAACATAGCCATGGAAAATGACCCATTTATAGATGATGTACCTGTTAAAATGCTGAGTTTCCATGGCTATGTTAAAGAACAAAAGGGTAATTGATCTCCATACCCTAGAAAATGCTGAATTCCCACAGCCAGCCTTCTCCATGCTCAGCGACACGCCAAGTGTCGTGGGCGTGCGCTGGTGCTTCTCGACCTGGAGCGTGGAGCTTCTCGACCAGAATCCTCTGTATGTTTTCATATGGAGGGTTAAAATGGGGGTACCCCAAACTCCTCTACTTGAGAGGATTTTCATTTATAAAGCATCCATTTTGGGGTAGCCCCATTTCAGGAAACCCCCTATATACTGTGTATAAATAAATATATATATATATATATCCAGGAAATACATACACTGCATAATTGCATAACTGCATAAATATCATACAGTAATTGAATATTGCTGCTGTACATTGGAAACAAATCAACACAGCAAGCTTGTATGTCCTTGTATATACACAATATGTTGTAAGTATAATGTACATGAATTAAGCCTCGATTTGATTTGTTGCATGTGTTGAACACTTTCTATCGAAACACGGTGACTCAAAAAGACATCTGTCGACTTGCCTTCGATCTCGTCTCACAATCCGATCTTGTCCAGGAATCTCTTCGCTATGAGCACATTGGATTGGGGATTTCTGGATTATCTGGATTTGGGGATTGCCATTTGGTTATGGCTCAAGCGCCCCTGGTACCCTATTTATCATATATATGTATCCTATACATATATAGGATATATATATATATATATAATCCTATAATATATATATATATCATATATATATATAAGTAATCCTATATATATATATATAATCCTATAATATCCTATATATATATATAGCACCCATTTAGCACCCTAAGTCATAGTTGCTGGATGGGGAACTTCCCCCGGCAATTTCAGAGGTAACAAACGACCATCCCCATTGGCGTTTTACGACCAACAAATGGCGAGATGGCAACGTCTGCAGGACATCCTGCAAATTGTTACAGTTATTTTGGTTCTACTGTAGATAAACCAGTTATTCTCATGCTTATAAATGGGTATAAATGATTAATGGTTATATATGGTTATATATGGTTATAAATGCTTATAAATGGTTTTATACATGGGATAACTTACTGACTCGTAACCGATAAAGGAATCAACAATGGTATCTGACAACAACCCATCCTCTTCTGTGTGGGCTTTCTCATCCATAATCTACACATGCACAATTTATCCACCAGGAAATCTAGGGTCTATCAGTCACGGGAATTCTCGTAAGACATCAATTTGCTGTCAAGGAATCCTACTATCAACTTTGGCAGTTTAGATATCCTGCAGACTGACTTACTCAGTTGCCTCGACGTCCATCGGTCCACCGAAAGAGAGCTGTTGAACTTTAAAAAAGGACAATTGGTGCAGTCGTCCCCTTTATGGGACACTTCTCTCACCCGTGGTAACTCTGCGTCGCTCTGCATCCCATGATGAAAATGTCCCATTGAATCATCAACTGCTGTCATGACATGCTATTTTCATGGGAAAGATTATGATATCAGGTATGAGATCAAATATGAGATTTTGGAGCATGTCCTGTTTCTTGACAGCCCTATCCCGAAAAATGAGACATTTACCACCGGCAAAAAAACAGTTCAGCTAGCCATAGCGGCGTTAATTGCGCTTGGCTCAAAATCTGCCCATCATTCCACGGTTCCAAGAGCATGGCACAGTAGCATCAGGATTACCAACGTTTCACTGTGATTATCAGGATCAGATTGGTCTGTCCGCTTACCCCCGAATAACAACTGTCCAATCTATGTGAATCATCTGTGCAAATGGACGTCACTCTACTCTGTGCCAAGCGCAGGAATGCCATCCTATATGATACCCTCTGGTAAACTAATATAGCTATTGAAAATGGCCATTGATAGTTGATTTGCCAATTAAAAATTAAAAATGATGATTTTCCATAGTTATGTGACTGTTTACCAGAGGGTACTGTCTTTTTCAAAAATGAGTTCAATGGTGCCTCACCCAGCTGGATTGAAATCTCGTGAAACCTTTCGTGAAACCGGTCAGAGGCGGGTTTTTCCTCTTGCGACTTTGCGACCCAACGTGGATGATTCTGATGCTTCACCTTGCCACGAAATGACAGCTAAAAAGTCAACAAACCCTATGGATCCAAACACTGTCTGAGAAGGTACTTAAGCCTCCAAATTATAGTAAATTATACCCCAAACACTTCCTAAGAAGGTACTTGGATCCATAGGGAAAAGGACCTTATGAGATAGCATCCAAGACGGAATCGTCACACACACCCCATGCATCTGCTTGTGATGACAGATTTCTTCATATTGCACCATGCAACTAAGACGAAGAGAAAAAGGCAAGAGCCGCCCCAATTAAGTCTGCTATCCAGCCAAGATTCGAAGAACAGCGTTAGATTAAATATATGCACTTGTCTAAGATCAATCGAAACTCTCAGAACATTCAATATATGCTCCATGTCTGGTATATTTACCTACATTTGGGCGATTTTTAGGGTCAATGTTGTTAAATATTCCATGCATGGAGCATATGGGATATGATCTTCAATGATCGTTTGTCTGCATAAATGAGCATTCCAAACCAGATAAGACGGCCATGAGAATCTCCCCTCCTGACCATGTTCATCTTCCGTTTTTTTCAGCTCCACTATACGGATCACTGTCAATCAGCCCTACGTGAATTGTGAGACAAATCAAAGAAGCAAACCGAAAAATGAATGAGAATGAGCTGACAAAACAAGACAGTGACCCAAGATGACTACAATATTACTACAAAGCTACGCCCCTATAACATATCCAACACAAATCAAGATGTGTTTGATCCATCTACACATTGCTGGTAGCACCAGTCATGGAACATCATGGAATGGCAGTTATATCCATGATTAACTCCATGTTGAAACAATCACCTGCAGTCGTTAATTCAATGCAATAACACCCTACAACAACGATATGTTTTGTCCAAAGGTATGTAAAGGATTCTAAAGGCATCCGGATAAATTTGATAAATGATGATATACAGTTAATCTTGACAAATGATGATATACACTGAATATACAACAGTATACAGTATAGTTTAGCAATTTTTTATGTGTTTCACCAATCATTCAGGCATCGTTGCCCTCACGTCAATGGGATCCCAGGGAGAATCAAAACACGCTGAAAAAAACACCAACTGGTTAGGTTAGTACAGTTCTGGTAAATTTATGTTCCATCTTTTCTCAATTCTGTGACGGGATTCATGTGGAGATTCACAAAAAATGCCATCAAGCCTCCCCAAAATCAGCATTTTTATGGCTGGGACCTGTTTGCCACCCCCAAATGGTAAGTTTATTATCATTATTATCATTATTATCATTATTATCATTATTATCATTATTGGGTTGCCAGCATGAGTATATATTAAACCAAAAAAATATGATTGGGTAGCTTTATTAGAAGAATCCCCAATATTAGGCAGTCATTATTCTTGGATTACCTGCCCGCGCTCAAGACCTCGATTTCAACATCCACGGCACTGGGGCTTCCACGGCTGCTGCCGCCGTAACTCGCGGCGCCGCGGCGACTGCAGCGACCGTGGTGCGACGAGCAACGCTCGAGGCGCCGCACGTTGCGCTGGGTCAAGAAACTCGTAGGCTCCGAAAGAATCCTCGGTGGGAGCAAAGGGATTGTGAAGATTGGGACAAATGACTCTCACGTGAGAAGTGATCAAAATCAAAGACCATATGGATGTTCAATGATGTTCATATTTTTTTTGGATGGCATATAAAACACAGTTGTATGGTTATGTTTGAGCTTATTTTGTATATATAGTACATAACTTCAATAACTGGCTTTGTTCCCACAGATAGGGTACCTCAAAATCCAATGATGTTTGGAAACTCATTGTCCCATCAAACGGACGTTTTTGCAGCTAGGTTGATGTTTTCGGGTCAGGGACGGCTTCGAAATACAGTGTTTTTGTATGGAAAAAAAGTCATCTCTGTCTGACCACAAGCCGAAGGCACCAATGCGAGTGGGCCCATTCTTCCAGTAAACCAAGGGAACTTCAGTTTGGCGTCCATCAAGTGCCAATCTGAAACAGAATGATCTTCTACATAAGTTACATAAAATCTGAAACAAATCTGAAAGACACGTTTTTTTTGGGTCCGTTTCGTGATCCCCTTATATTGGGCTTCTCACCATCCCCTTGGGACATGGAATCATATGGAACCTGATGTTATTTAAATGATGTTATGAGTCCATGGTCAAATTACACGATTGTGTGGCTATTCTTATTTAAATGATTCCATATAAAATTCCATATTTACATATCACACGTGTTATGAACCTTTATGTGATTTTTGTTTTGCTGTTTAAATTGGTTGAAAAAAATCCTCCCATGCTGTGGGTCATCCATTATATCCATTGATGTGCACCAACTTCATCCAACTTCGCTACCCCAGCTTCGGTCCAAGCCTCAGGCATCCCAAGAGTTCGGTTTCTTGATCGATGGTCATCGCCACAACTGGTCGACCGAACAACGAAAGATCCTTGTGGATGGAGAGGAAAACGAGCGACAAACGAAGGGTTCATATAGCCACTTTAAATGGAAACGTGACGATGAACCATCCAATTAAGAGGGATTCCAATTTTTCAGCCAAAGCCATATTTTTCCCAATGAAAGTTAACATTTTGAGACTTTCGAGTAATGGAGTTATGGCATTCCATTCCTTCCCTCTATACATACTCAGCACACCATAATGTATCAACTGTTTTAAAATATTTTGAAAGTTAAAATCCCATTGAGTATTAGAAAAACTTTATAAATAATAGGATGCCTATCATCAATTATGATACTATCATTGATGATGTATTCTATCATATTAGTTATTAGATCCCACTGAATTCCGAGAACTACAGTAATCATCAGTCAACAGAAGTGTCGCAGCCACAGCCACTGCTCCCCTTCGCCGCTGCCAAGATTCCTGCAGTGGAATTGCCTGTTGCGCCCAGGCGCAACCTTGGCGACATGCAGATGTTCAATCGATTTGGACAATCCCGGAAAAAGAATATGACACAAAAAACATATGTAGTTCTGATGGTTCTTTGATGGCTATTTAATAGTTATTTCATGGCTAGTTTATGGTTGTGTGATGGTTATTCCACGGTTATTTGATGATTATTTGTGATCATGGGGACAATACGAAATGATACGAATCATATATGCCATGGTCAAGCTACATGGGCTACTATGGGGTTTTATGGTCATCCATCCTATGCCATCGGAATCCCAACGCAAATATGAATCTGTATGAGAATGGAGTGATGACCACCCCGCCCAAATATGGGTATAACATCACAGCTTTGCTTATACTTGATCATATGTCCCATGAAATCGCTCTAAAATCCCGTTAAACTCACCATGTTTAATGTGTTTTTTTCAGTGATAAGATCCCAATTTACCCAAGTCTTGAAAATTTCACAACTAGTGTGGATCAAACAATGTCATAAACCACCCATCACTGGGAATAGTTTATACCACCTATAAAAATGGTGATGACTGGGGGATGGCTTTAATTTTTGTTTTACCCACATGGGGGGTCCATTTTAATAGGATTTTCCATTATAAACCCTCCAGCTATTGGGGTATCCCCATTTTTGGATCCCCCCCCACATAACATCACTAATATCACTACCCTATGATTATTTAACACAGCTATGAAAAACCACCGTCTTTGCATATATATATAATTATATATATATATATAAATCATAAATCAGCCATAAATTGGCCATGTTCGCTACGTGAAAGTTACCGGAATGGTACATCACTAGGTGTTCATCTCCCATGGATTTTCCCAGAAAGCCCAGGAGCCATGCATGAAGCCGTTCACAGCGTGCTGCACTTGACTCGACAGGGATTTGGCCGATTTGGCTTCACATCCTTCGAGGTCCATCCTGCTATAATTCACTGACACCAAACATCCTTGGGAAGATGTACCCTCTGGTTATGACTGACATAGCCATGGTATAGATGGCCCAGTTAGTTCGATGGTTTACCTATTAGAAATGGTGATTTTCATAGTTATATTAGTTTACCAGAGGGTAAAGTAAATCAACATATATAGATGTGGAAAACCTATGTTTGGTTGTGAAACACATCTAGTCTAGAGGAGGCTAATATTTTTGGGCCAGGCCTTTCTTGAAATGGGGGATTCCCAATTTCTCATTGACTCATGGGTTTCAAGGTTTCAATACTAAGTCATGATCTAATGACTTTTATGATTCGGGGGTACCCCCCCGGACGTAGGAAACCTCCATATCATATGGCTGGTACCTGAAAAATCGGGAAACACAAACACACATTGTTTGATAATTAGGTTTTTTCTCCATGAGACTGGCCATTTTGAGATATTGATATGACCTGATTTTCAAACAGACCCATATCACAATGTGTTGCTGTGTTTGTTTTCCCAATCTCATTTCTTTGATAACACTACGCTGCTAGATGTTTGATAACACTACGCTAACATCAGCGACAAGAATATGGTTTCAACAAACCGTCCAGGGACACAGCAGCTGCACTTGCTATCTTTGTCACATATTCTTTGTTGAAAGCAATCTTATTCTGGCGTTTGAATCAACCAAAATTGGTAAATCATGGTAAATCAACCGTATTGGTAAGAGGGTTTTGGCTAAGCTGTTGTGTGCGACTGGAATATCACCGCTGATCAACTTCTGGTTCCATGCGTGAGGACTGAAAAATCTTGCATTTCAGACTTGAGCACCGGGCTCATGTCAAAGTTGACCAACATTTTGAAAACATAAATCCTTGCTTCCCTGCAGCTAAAACTGAAACACCTTGCCCCACTACTGTTTGTCTCCCATCATATCCATATATCCCACATTCTCTGTGCGATCTGCACGTTTCTATTGGATAAGCTGGTTGAATTCACAAAAACAAAAATCACATGAAACCTGAAACAATGCAAGTTTTTCAGAGAGCCAAGCTGCAGAGTAAGATCAAAGATAGATCTGCTCATGTGTTTCTGGCAGAGTTCTCCTAACTGCGATGGAGGTGACAAAGTTCATCAATCAAGTTGGCTTGTACTTGCAATGACTGGGTAGATATATCTATAGTTGATGGGGGTTAATTACCAGCTTATAATTGCCGGACCCAGCACTGTTCGCAATGAATCCTGGAGTATTTTCTTGCAGGTAAATGATACTGAAAAATACGACCATGAACTTAAACAATGGTAAACATAAACCTCTCTGCAAATTCTATGATTTTATGGATCTGATCTCTGGAACAAAGTAAATTATCCTTAAGCCTTCGACGAGGATTTCATGGCCTGGGTCCATGTTACCCAAACCGATTGGATTTGAATCTTTCGCTACCTTTGGATATCTTCAGTTTAAAATTCTCTTCATTTTAAGATTTTCCGATGTATTCCCATGTATTCCCTAGGTTCGCTTTCTCAGATCTGCCAGGTCCGGTAACCCTGTCTGCCCGTCTGCCCGTCGGGCCCAGGTTCCAATTTCAGTTTCCGCGTCAATCACTTGGAGAGTGGTGCCCAGAAAAATGATACTGGGTCCAGCGGAACCTGGCGACGTGAATCACCCCCCTGGACTGTCTACTCGGATAGATCGATAGGTCTATAGATCGGTAGGTTGGTAAGTAGGTAGATAAACAATCAGACAGACAAAAAAACAGACAAACAGACAGACAAACAGACAGACAAACAGACAGATAGACAAACAGACAGACAGACAAACAGACAGACAGACAAACAAACAGACAGACAAACAGACAGATAGACAAACAGACAGATAGACAAACAGACAGACAGACAAACAAACAGACAGACAAACAGATAGACAAACAGACAGACAAACAGACAGATAGACAAACAGACAGATAGACAAACAGACAGACAGACAGACAAACAAACAGACAGACAAACAGACAGATAGACAAACAGACAAACAGACAGACAAACAGACAAACAGACAAACAGACAAACAGACAGACAGACAGACAAACAGACAGACAAACAGACAGATAGACAAACAGACAGACAAACAGACAGATAGACAAACGGACAGACAAACAGACAGATAGACAAACAAACAGACAAACAGACAGATAGACAAACAGACAAACAGACAGACAAACAAACAGACAGACAAACAGACAGACAGACAAACAAACAGACAAACAGACAAACAGACAGACAGACAAACAGACAAACAGACAGATAGACAAACAGACAGACAAACAGACAGACAAACAGACAGATAGACAAACAGACAGACAAACAGACAGATAGACAGATAGACAAACAGACAAACAGACAGACAAACAGACAAACAGACAGACAAGTAGAGAAACACATAGATAGATTAGCTAGATCGATCATCATAGATAGATCGATAGATTGATTGATTGATGGCACATGATGGCACATGAAAGAACCCATCGATTGTAGTGGCAAATTAATTACTGTTCCTGTTCTATCGTCTTAGTGCATACGTAACCAAGATCCAAGTAAGTTTGAGTGAATGTGTATGTGTATATATATATATATATATATACGCGCAACGCCTGGGCATATTAATTTTGGAAGATCAACAAAGGTATTAAGGAACATTAAAATCTCAGCCCCGTTTAACTTTACATTCAATTGGAAAGATCAACAAAGGTATGCGGGAAGATTAAAATCCCACCCCCGATAAACTTGACATTCAATTGAGAAGATCAACAAATGTACAGTATTAGGGAATATTAAAGTCCCACCACCGTTAAACTTTACATTCATTGAAGATCTTCAATAAAGGTTTAATTCTTCCACCCGGTTAAACTTCTACATTCATTGAAGATCTTCAACAAGGGTTTAATTTTCCCACCCCCGTGAAACTTCTACATTCATTGAAGATCTTCAATAAGGGTTTGATGATGATGATGATGACGATGATGATGCCTTGCCTGTCGTGGTTGCGCTTCCGGGCAAAGCCCAGGCATTTGCCGTATATATATAATACATACATACATATATATATATATATACATATTTATATATGTATATAATACATATATATATATGTCAATTATATATATATACATATCACCTTTTAACATATAATATATATATATATATTGGGGTTAGCCCCTCTTGTTGACTTTGTTAGATAGGTACCATCAAGGATATGACGCAGCACATCCTGCAGTTGAGCGTCACATGGCTCTGGGACCTCAATGGCAGTGGAAAATCCGAAGCTTTCCCTGCCATCCAACATGTCCCCCAAAAAAACTTTCGCTTTAGGCTTCAAACTTGTTTCTGGCTATGTGCAGTATATTTATGTATATTTAGGATACTATTGTACTTGACAAAACTGTGACTATACATGATAAATCATGATAACATGTACACGCACGTGCACGCACTACACAAACGCATGCTTGCCAAGTATCCTCCTTTTTCATTAAAAATAAATAAAACAAATATCAAGCACATCTAAGTCCATGTGATAAATGTCATGTCATATGGTGCCCCGCAGTTCAAAGTTGGTTTAGAACCCCCATTGTAGCTATGTAATCACTATAGCTATCTATCTACCATAAACATCCATAAACCCTAGACCCTAGTTTCTGGAGTTACAAAGCAACTTTGCGCTTAATCTCACCGGGGCACCACCTTATACCTCATTCTCCTGAGCCAAAGCGAGGCACGGGAAGGCTTCGTCAAATCACATTGCAGCGGTGCAACGGCAGACAGGGTGTCTTGAATCTCCCGCATGCCTACGTAGTGACATCCCTTCCTGCCAGGGAAGAGGATTGGCAACTGGCTGAACCAGGGGGTGAGATTTTAACAGTGGTGGAGAAGGCATTTTTGTCAGTATGATAATACCGAATTAGTGGTAAATGTTAAACTTCTACGAGTGGGGTATATCAAGAGGCCAAAATTCAGGACTTTTCAAAGCCACCAGAAGTCTCGGTGCTTGGCCAGTCGAATCTTTACCGATTGGAATCTAATTTGAGACCTTTAGGTAGCCTCCAAATTTCAATAATGTCCTTTTGGTAAAAATAGGTTTGGGCCAGTTTGGTATACCATCTATCACCAAACAAACCTGATGTTAAAGGGGTTTCTTCAAAGCCCTCTATTCATCAACCAACCAATAGGAAAAGGGCATCTATTCAAATCAGTCATCAGCTCTGGACTCAATGTTTGACCATGCTTGAGCCATCCCAATCCCCATCTATCCCTGTTGAATATGGCAATAGCTCATGATTTCTATCATGTGGCTGGGAAACTCTTAGCAGCTCCTTAGCACCCTCCTAGCCACTGGATCCGTATATATTTCAATACTAAAATCACAATGTGGGGGTCTATGGGTCTATTGCATTCTATTGCGACCCAATGACCTAACCCACCCCTATTTTTGGAACATTCACCCCAGTTGTCAGCTAAGTCTCCTCTCTGCATTGGAGAATGGAACATGCAGCAGTTCAACATGGACTTCACTTGCCATGCTGTCTATCCTGAGTCCACATCTGCAGCCAGAATTTGGGTCAGAAGATGTCAGAAGATTTCAGTTGGCAAAATCTGGGGCGAAGCACGTGATTCTGTATATGTGTTTCTGAATATTATGGTTTCTGCTCTTGGATGTCATCAGAGTAAATCATCGTGAATCTTCGCAAAGAAATCATGTATATATATATATATATATGTATCCGAATGTTTGACTTTTGAGCACCAAAAAACAGTTTTGCATTGACTCTGAGCCCTTCCCACATTGGGCAGCTGTGCATGTGACATTCACAGGATGGGCCGCTTTTGGCCGCGGGGCCGTGGGGTAGTTCTGTTGCACTTGTATTGCATTTGATGCCATTTGAATCAGGAAGGTGTTGGTATGAAAATTACATACCAAAAAAAAAACACATGCAAGGATGCGCATTTGATATTCTATTCCATCATATTCTGCCACCACGGGCCTCTCTGCCACCTTTTTCGCATCATTTTTTCAGCCCATCCAAATCCAATAGATTGGCCTAGAGACTGAGCGGAATCATTCGCTGGTTTCCAAGGGCATGTTTAAGAGCGGTAAAGGACCTTATCATAGTTAAGCTGCATTGTGTATGATTCAACAGGGGCCTTCATGAAATATGAAACAGGTCTCTACCCATCAGTCTCTTGCCCTCATGTTTCAACACCATGTTTTCAAACCCATAAGTCATGACTAAACCCTCCAAGTACCTATAACAATTTGGGTAAAAATGTTGCAATAATGAGGTTTACCATCCTTTATCAGATTTCACACATCCAAGCGACATTTTCGCATTCAGAGCCAGAGGGGGTAATTTCTGGCCAGGTCGTTCCAAACAATCTCGAACGCGTGGTACATCCTCGCTGGAGAAATAACCTCGGCCCAGTCGGTGATGACTGGGATCCCCAATGGAAACCAAAATATGTGCCATGATGTTTACGGGTCAATATCTGCGTAAGGGTCGAATTTGGGTACCAAAAAGGCATTGAATGGTTAAGAATCTGACCGAATCTAAAATGTCCGAACGGTTCTGGAAATTGACCATACCCGATGTTCGGATGAACTTTGGGTTTTTTTTGTGCAATGGCCAATGCACAGATAAATCCAAGCCTTTGAATAAATCACTAGATAGGCCACACAAATGGATGTTTTTTGAACCACCAAGGACCAAGGGTGACTTAAACCTATCCTGAAAATTGACCCAAGGTTCATCTGACCCATCGCAAGATTATATATATTCCATTGCATCCCCATCAAATGGTTGTTTCTATGTGTGCCAGTAGTACCGAGCAAGGCGGTGGCGGAAGTTTCAAAAATATAGGAAACCTACAGGAGAGATTGGTTGTTGTGAATCGCGGATGGCAGCGCGAATCCACTGATGGAACGAAAGGTGGTTGGAGCTGTGTTTTTTGGAGTGGTTGCAATGGTTGCAGTGGTCACTTGGCCGGTCACCTCACCCACAACTGCTGGATGTAGTGTGGTGTAGTGCAGCTGTAGTTGTAGTTGTAGTGTAGTGGAGTTGTAGTTGTGGTGTAGTGTAGTGTAGTGTAGTTGCAGTTGCATTTGTGGTGGTGTAATAAGTCTAGCGAAATGTAATGTAATGTACTGTGGGGCAGGGTAGTGTATTTTTAGTGTAATTGAGTGTACAGTAGTGTGGTGTGGTGTGGTGTGGTGTAATGTGGTGTAGTGTAGTGTATTGTAGTTTAATGCAATTAGTATAGTGTAGTAGTATAGTCTAGTGTACTGTACTGTGCTGTGTAGCGTAGTGTAATGCAATTAGTGTAGTGTAGTTGAAGTTGTAGCTGTAGTTGTAGTTGTAGCCAGTAGTGTAGTGTGGTGTTATGTAATGTAGTCGTAGTCGTAGTCGTAGTCGTAGCGGTAGTGGTAGTTGTTGCTGTTGCTGTTGCTGTTGTAGTTGTAAGTGTAGTTGTAGTTAGTGTAGTGTAGTCTAGTGTAGTGTAGTGTAGTGTATTGTATTGTAGTGTGGTGTGGTGTGGTGTAGTGTAGCGTAGCGTAGTGTCGCGTGGCGTGGTGCAGTGTAGTGCAGTGTAATTGAGTGTAGTGTACTGTAGTGTAGTGGAGTGTAGTGTAGTGAGGTGTAGTGTAATGTAGTGGACTAGGGTGTAGTGTAGCGTAGTGAAATGTAATTAGTGTAGTGTAGTGTAGTCTTATGTAGTTGTAGTTGTAGTTAACATAATGTAGTGTAATGTAGTGTAATGTAGTGTAATGTAGTGTACTGTAATGTTATTACTGTAGTGTAATGTAATGTAGTGTAGTTGCAGTGGCAGTTGCCGTCGTAGTTGTAGGTGTAGTGCAGTGTCATTCAGTGTAGTGTAGTGTAGTGTGGCGTAATGTAAATGTAGTATAGTTGTAGTTGTAGTTGTAGTTAGTGTAGTGTAATGTAGTGTAGTGTAGTGTAATGTAGTGTAGTGTAATTGAGTGTAATGTAGTGGAGTGTAGTGTAGTGGAGTGGGGTGTAGTTGTAGTGTAGCGTAGTGGAGTGTAGTGTATTGTAGTGTAGTGGAACGTAGTGTAGTGTAGTGTAGGGTAGCGTAGCGTAGTGTAGTGTAGTGTAGTGGAATTGAGCGTAGTGTAGTGGAGTGTAGTGGAGTGTAGCGTAGTGTAGCGCACGGTAGTGTAATTTACCTAGTGCATCCATTGATACATAAATTAATGCTCTGTTTCTTTTTTGCACGGGGGTTTCTCCCAACCACTCCCCAACCAAGAAACGCTCGACATGCAAGAAAACGCTCGTGCCTTTCACTTGGGCTGCCACATCTTCACTGAAACATCACAGCCGGGGACTCAGCCCGGCAAAGAAGGGTTGGCTACCATTCTGGGATGGGGCTTTCAAAAATGTAGGTTAACGACACCATCTTAGAGTTAATAGCTGATTGAATTTTAACGTTGTATCCATCCCAGGTCAACCCATTTTTTTTTCGAAGTGCCTTTTGTATTGCATAAGGCTTCTGGTGAAAACACGCAGCACAACTAACCGGGAGGCCTGCACGCGGCGTGCCAGCCGGCAGACCTTCCCTACATAATCTTCGTCAGACCAAACTGCCCACAGCAAAGGATTAGCTATGAACTGTTTTCCCCGGTCAGAGAGCTCATCTTGCATTGTTTGCCTCGCAGAATGCTTGTGCACATGTTGCCTTTTGTTCAATAACTAGCTTGAGTTAAGGTGCGGTACATGGGTAAAGAGATGTACCTCAAAACAAGTGACGCAAACATTAACAAGAAGGACAATAAGGGCCACATAGCAACAAGCACATGAAAAGCCCAATGCGTCAAGATTCTTTCGGCAGCACCCTGAAAAAACGCCACTTCCTTTCAGCGCAAAGCCTTGCTAGTCCAGTGTACCCCTCCTCAGGGCCACAGAGTTTCAGGCAGTTGTCTTTGATTGAAAGCTTTCCAACTTTTCTGTAGCTAGTGACATCCAAGCGTCCCCCACACAAAACCCAAGATCTACTGCCTCTTTGGCAACATCCCTCGGTATCCACATGCCCTGATGGTAGAGCAAATGGAAAAAATTGTTGGAGGCCGAACATGTCCAGCGCAGAAGCTCCAAAAGTTCACGATCTCGAACTGAGACCTCCAGCGTGCAAAGTAACAAAGACATACTGTCAGTTTGTAGCAAATAAGAAAGCAACCAGTACTGGCATTAAAACATATCAGCAAAGGTGCAACGGTGTCCAAATCAAATTGTTGCAGCTCTTCGTCCAGCCATTTGCAAAGCAGGGCAGTGTCAAATGCTTTGCCAGGGCCTTTGGGGAATGCTCCTGACCTTGGCTTCTAAATTATATAGCCCACCGCAGTGAATACGCGCACACAAGCCAGCACGACATACCCATGAAAGCAAAACTGCCAAATATAAACAAGCCACTTAGTAACCTTGAACTTTGCAGGTTCAAAACTTGGAACTGAGGTGGTTTTCTTATGACGAACGCACCAGGAGTAAAATTTTTCATACGCATCATCCAAGCGATTTTCAATTTTACGCCCTGCGAAGATGCACTTCATGCGCACCAACAACAAAATCGCGGACGATACGAAATCACCACCAAATCCAAGGTTATACACATGCATCAGGTCAATTTTGATTGCCTCCACACAGTCTCCGCCGGGGATGGTCCTGAGTGGTGAAATTGGTCTAGTCTTGAAGGGGGATGGTGCCTCTCCAGTGAAAGAGCGGGCTTCACCATTTGCAGTCACATCCCACCACTCCTTAGCACACACCAGCGGATATAAAATTTCACTGAGATCAAGAGATGTTGGGGTTGAACCACGCTTTAATCCAAAAACCTGTGCACCTTAAATCAAGGCTCATGTCCAGTACATATGTGACACTTTCGCTTTGATGTGAAACCTGTTCGAAGGTGGTAGCTCTTTCTCAACCAAGGCCAATCACCCTTGTTGGCAATGAATACCGGGAAGAACTTGCAGCTGTTCTGACCAACCTAGGGTAGGTAGCAGCAGAGAATCGGATGGTGGCTTTTTTTCCTTATATAGTTGGCACCTATATGATATGGTTGTTGATCAAAATTCCTTTATCCCGGAACGGCCATTCTTCGCGAATAAAAATTTTACTTTCGCGAAACTTTCGCGAACTCCATGTTTATCTTTCGCGGGGCCCATGTTGGCCAACAACACCTCGTATGAAGATTCGTTCACCACCTGCCAAATTACGCCAGAGAATCACGGATCACTTCTTGGTAGCCTTTTAAACATGCAGCTAGCATCACGGAATCCCTTCTCAGGACAGATTGTTTTTGCAAAGTTTACTGGCCCACCCCCTTCAACATGCACTTTGACTTTCGCCCGCTCTTTCGCATAACTTTCGCGGAACTTTCGCGAAAATACCCCTATTCACAGACCCCGGCCATCAGCAGGGGGTGCACTAAAGGAAAAGCGAAGACCAGGGGCCTTGGTGTTTGGCTCTCGCAAAGCCTCACTTTTGGAGACTTGGCTACTGCTACTCGCATTCTCTGGTGCCCTTCTCCTGCCGGACCCCGGGGCGGCAGTGGGTGGCAGCCCTTTACATAATGATTATAATATCCAACTTTCGCGAAACTTTCGCGAAATAAAATTTTACTTTCGCGAGCTCGAAAGAAAACTTTCGCGAGGGTTTCCAACATAACATGCACGGCTTTCGCAATTAAAACTCCTTACAAGGACCTTTAGATCGATCATCATATATATAGGCTCCGGCAAGGAACTTCAACAGGGATACCTTCTTCAAAACACTTAGTCAAATCCGACGCCATCGCTCTTAGCAAGCCATCCACTGAAGAGTCCCCGGAATACCATGTACTCGGAATCAATGTGTACAGCAATCGTGTTGTGAAAGAATGCCTCAGTTGCTTCAAGTCAACCAGCCCACATTTATTCAAATCCCAAACACCATCCCAAATATCCCAAAATAATCCAACTAAAATATCCCAAAACATTTTTGGTTCAAGGGGCTCTGTCTGGGAAAGGTTTTCTGGGCCTGTAAATGGAATCAGGACCTGAAAGGAAATTACCAATAGCGGGACCTTGGCCAAACCACGGCCTTCATCACCATGTAAAGCGATAGGCACACACCACTGTCTCTCTTCAGGGGTCTTTTGGTAGACCGGATGGGCACTCTGAAGCGGTTCAAAGTTCATCCAGAAAGTTGCAAACATGTCCATATACTTCTCTGTATCCCGATGTAGGTCGTAGCCGCCCAAAAAAAAAATTGGAAAGCTGGCCATGATGGCTTTAAACCAATCCGAGAAATAGATGATAGGGTGTTCAACTGCAGAGGTTTGCACTTTCTTCGCACCAGTCTTGGTTCGTTTCCTCAATCTCACTGGGATCCTCGTGTATGAAATCTTTACAGGGAATGCCAACTTGTTTCGGTGGATCCACCGGCTGAAGTCTCTGGCAGCATTCCCACCCCGCTCTCGCCCTGAGCGAGATCGGCGGTAGCGGCCCAGTCCCTCCAGGTTGTAGTCATGTCCACCTCTGGGATTCAAGATGTTTGAGGTCCAACATCAATGAACTGAAATTGAAAGGATGTTTTTCATTTGCTGTGTACAAATAGCCATGGTGCCCAGATTCGATATCCGTTTAGATGCCCGGGCAGCTAGTCGGAGCATCTTTCTGGCCGATACGGCCTAAGATTCAGTACACATACTGATCCGATAGATGACAATCAACACGCATGAGGTTCAAAAATGTTGGGTCCAAAAGGCTCCTTCTTCCATGTCCTCTAGCATGGCATCTAAAAGATCATCAGAATCGGACGCAGGCCCACAAGGTTCACCTCAAAAGCACCACACCCCATCAATCACCAGTGCAAGCGGCAGTTTGTGCCAAGGCCCAAGCTGTTGCCGCCATCTTCATCCGAGTCAGGACCTGCGAAGGGGATGGCAGGGTCAGTGCAAGGTTCCAAGGAGGAAAACGGAAGGCAATACCCCCCTGCGGGGTTTTTCCGGATGCAATGGTTCACCTGGCAAACATACGGAATCCAAGCGGGGGTAAACGAAAAGGGAAAGATTTGAAGCTGCAGCGGTTTTTCTTTTTACCCCATGTGCTCCGAATGTTAAGAAACACTGCTGCACCACAGCTCCCCCATTGCCAAAGCAACATTGCACAGCATCCTGCAACGCTCTGGTTTCAAAATATTTCAGTGGTTTGAACTGGGAATATGGCATGAAGAAGCTGCATGCCCACCCAAATCAAAATTTGACGCCACCATTTCAAGTGGTTCACTTTTTGGCTGCTTTCTTGCTAGCCTTGGGCTTCTCAACCTTGGAAGCCTTCTTCTTCTCCTTAGGAGTTTTTTTCTCTGTGGATGCACCGGAAGCTTTGCTTCCACTCTCAACTGGCTCCGTTTCATCTGCCTCTGAATGCTTGCGCTTTCCCTTGGAACCATCAGCAGACTTGCGCTTAGGACGCTTGCTGGGAAGTTCCTTCTTCACTGCATCAGGCGGGTTCTCAGATCTGGTGGAAGGCGCCGGGGTCTTGATGTTCCTCAGCCACATATATATATATATATACATAAGATCGATATATATATATATATGATATATTTTGAGACAGTCAGTCCCATATATTCAAAGAGCTTCCAGAAGTTTTGGAATAAATTCAGCAGAGCCATGCAGAAAAGGAATGTAGACTTTTGACAAAAAACTTGGAACGGGTGATGTAGTTATTCAGGGTCACATCATCCTTGGTGCAGCTGGCATAGAGAGCCGACAGCTCCTTCTTCAATCCATCGCAATCCCTCGGCAATCGCGGAAGGGTTTTTGACATGAAGGTATTTGTTTTCCACAAAAATTACTATTTTGTTGTCACTTGGCGCAACTTTGAACATTGCCAAGTCACTGCTGCGAGAGATCCGTGGCCAAGTATTCAGCCTGCTTGGCATTCAAGGAATCATAGTAGCCATTCATTCGCTTGATGATGGCAGCCATCTCGTTTCCAATCCTGACTCATGACAAACAGGTGTTATTTTAATTGCAGTTTCAATTGGGTCTCCAAACTGTGCAGTTTTCAAGCCAAGACACTCAGTAGCCCGGTGGATGTTCTTGGCCATCAAACGCTCCTGCATTTGTGTAAGAAAGGCTGTTCACTTGGTAACAATCTGTGGCGTTTATTATAGTTTTGCCGTTCCAACCCTATAGTATTCCAAATACTTTCCAAGTAGCATCAAGTGCCCCTCAAAACCAACCATGGGTCCTGGGTAACGGATGCAGCATCCACCTTTTTGCCCAGCACCGATAGCCACTGGGGCAAGATTGACAAAGGCGAGTCATTGCGCTGAATCGAAGGAAACACCAGCCTCAGGTACAGCATGGGAGTAAAACCGATAGAACATGTTTCCAGGATGTTATAGATTATATTTGGTTCATATTTCCAGGGTTTCTCACTGTTCTATTTTTTGTGGGTTGCTATAGATAAGTTAATGATCACCACATCACTTGCATGATTACAAGATGTCCATATGTTCACCCAAGTAGCTTCTTGTTGCCCCCCCCACCAGCGGCTGCAAGGGCTGCTTCCTTAGCCTGCTGAGAATTAGGTGCACTGGGAGCCGCGGTTTCGTCAGAGGGTGCTGTTGCATCCAACAGGACGCCATCGGTGTCCTGCCATTAAGTTGGGTGTTACGCAGCAGTGGTTCAGAGTAAGAGTACGGAATTCACCATCATGTTGCCTAGATTTTCTGAAAACAAACCTAGCCTCAAAGAGCCCGTTGCTTTCAAGATGGTTCATCTCTCCGGTCTCGGTGTTCTCTGCAAAATTTTCTTCTAAGACCAGCTTGGCCTCCTCCACACCATGCATTTCATTAGTTCTGATTCGGCCACGGGCAGTGGCCCATCGCCATGATTTCTCCACCATGTCCCTTAGTTGGACTAGAAATGTTGGACTAGAAGGAAATAGGCACCTGGATGATAGGTAAAAAGAGAACAAAGAGCAGGGATAAGACATATTTCATGTCATGGTACTTGTCATACTTATAGTCACTCATCAGAAGTTTCTTCGTGATCCACTTCCCTGCTTTACCATCATTTTTCGTGCTCTTGACCCACTTGGAGACGGCCAATTCCATCTTCTTGAAATCCTCGTGCTGGGCCAGCAAAGCCTTGAGTTTTTCACCTAGGCTTGCTAACTGATTGCAAGGTACATGGAGTGCAGCTTACTTAAGTAACTTAACAATCACAAGAAACAAAAGATGAGTAGCGTCCATCCTCCGTCTTCCAGAGCTGAAGGGTGTCCTTACTTGCTTTACAAATAGCCCTGGAGCCATCAGCGTTCACATATCGACGAAGCCTCAGCAGCAGCCCCACCAGGCATATGGTATACATATATTATAACACATAACCCCATTGCAATTGCCAATGCTAAAAACAGTCCAGGGGCTTATAGTAGTACTTGTCAAACTTCGAAGGCTTCTTTTGGGTTGGCGCTCGGGAGGACGGTGAGTAGCCCAAGGGGATAGAGTCATCAGAGTCACTTTCATTGGCATCGGAGGGTGGGGCATGCCCCTCCCCACGCTCCCTGTCAACACCATCTCCACCTGGAGCATGCCCCTTCTCACCTTGTTCCGGTTGCCTGCATGTACCCTTGACCTCACCTTTGACCTTGGGAACAGGATCAGCAGCACATCCCTCTGGTTCCTTGACCTCATGCTCTTTGCCCTTCCCTGTGGACCCTTCACCAGGAGTGACGTTTGAGGGAACCTCCTTCAATTTTTTTTGGTCATTGTCACCCTCACAATTGGCCAATGCCTTGGCCTGTTTCTTTGCTTCACGTTCTTCAACACGCCAGTAACTCTCATACTCCGGTGTCGTTCCACCCAGACTGTCGTCCGATCGAGGCTTAGACCCAACCTCCCCAAGTGGGTGACGGGATAAAGAATCCTTGGGGTTTCCAGGAACGTATTCACCATCACCAGAAGCATAGGAAGGACCGCCTGGACAGGCAGATACATTGGAAAGGAGCTGATCTGGTAAACCCAAAAACCAACATCCCTAAACAGGCGGATCACTTTTGGGTTTCCCCCATGTGTCTGATGTAAAATATGATATTGATATTGGTTTGAGGGATAATGAAATTCCAATCCCGAACGGGGGTGGTCATTTTTGGGTTTCCCCATGTGTGACATTAAATAATCCCCCAATGGTCGGTTCAGGGGCCCTTTTTAAGAAACATCCACAACGGGGGCGATCCTTTTGGGTTTCCCATCATGTGTAACATCAAGAATGATCCCCCGCTGGGACAATTTCTTATTGGGTTCACAGCCGTCACACGCATATACACACCAATACATCACACACACACACACACACCAAGCATGTGAAATTTCCACTCCCAACCTGGAACCTCCTTTGGTGGAGGTGCGGCACTACCAATTCGTTGCTGGAGCTCGGCGATGCGCTTCTTTCGCGCCTGGCAGCCCAAAGGGAGAAGGTAGGAAACATATCAGATGTGAGAGGCCTGAGAGGCTGTTGCGTCAAAGCCAAGTAATTGTACTATGTAGCTGTTGGAAAAACCCAATTGTGGGACAATGGCAAATGAAATGCCATGAGCTTTGGGAATAAGAGGAGCTACCATCCACCAGGAAATAACGTATATTTTGGGGAGTGTAGCTTGCGGGAAACATCTCTTCAAATCCCATGCCAATTCCTATATGTGTCCAAAAGGGTCAAAAACCACCAAAAGGGATCACCCTCCCTCATATTTTCGAATTACGACTTCAATAGGCAGAAGGCTACTGGCCTCAATTTGGATTCGAACAGCTTGGACTCGAGCAGGGTCTGCGTATGACGTTCCCTCATTCATCTTCTCAACAGTCTCACACCCGTAGGCTAAGGTTTGGCAAGAAGACAAACGGTCAGTCGACATAGAAGCTAAAGTATCTTGATCCACAGCTCTACGAATGAAAACTTATTCGGAACATGTTCCTACCGAAAAGAGCATTTTTTTCATTTTGCGCTCTTTTGCGCGTTTTTGCGCGAACTTGCGCTCGTTTTGCGTTTTTTTTGCGCCCGTTTCGTTTGCGACAAAAATCGTAAAAATGCTCTGAAACATGCGAAATCTCCCATTTTTCACACGTTGCGACATCTAAGCAACGTGGCTTCGGAAATTGAAGGCGAATTAGGAACGAATTTGTAAATAGCTCTATTTGGCATTGCATTCAGCTATGAGCTCATTCAAGGCCCGGCGGTCATCCTCAGAAATAGTAACCTTGGCTGCACAGCAGGCAGCGTCTATATAGGAAGATTTTAGCTGCACATTTCAGTCACAAAAGTATCTTAACTGTCAAGAAACCGTCGAGGAAAGGTCTTGGTCAAACTCTTTGATAGCTGCAGCCCAACTATCAGGTATTCTCAAATACTTGCATCGGTACAAGTAGGCCCAAGCCAAGTGAAGCTTGGAGTCTATCCATGGGTCCCCTAATGGCATCTCCTGGAATATTTGGCGATCGGACTTGCATGCGTCAATCTTGGTTTTGAAGCGTAGAGGGGCCTCTGTTGGACCCCGACCCTCATAGACTTTGAGCAACTGAAGTCCAAAGCCTTCAGGATAACACCTGGGGCCAAATTGTATTGGGCAAGAATAAAGCCAGGTAGAGTTCAACAGATCAAGAGAGGAAGTCAGCTGAGGAGTGGGCCCTGTTTGCTTCAGTTCTCGGGTTCCATGGAACTTCTTCACCCCATTGCGAGTATATTTGCCTAGGGCTTAAGAATGTCACATCCCCAAAGTTATTTAAAAGACATAAGCACCAACTTGCATAACTCAGGAAACCATAAGCCCCCAACGGGTTGGCTGAATCGTGGTGAGTTTTTCCCTCATTGCTTTCGTGAGCTTTCCCAGGTTCAGCCCTTGGATCCAAGAACCACTGGAGAATACCACAGTCCTCTTGGCAGAGGCCGCTCCAAGCAGCTGCATCCAGAACTCCATCCGCCACACCTGGGAAGTGGGAAGTAGCTAGAAAATGTTTAGGGGCCCAAAAAGGTTTACTGTGTAGCCACTGGCTAAGCAACTGGGTTTGGTGGAAGGGGTCCAGGTAAGGGTATATTTTATCTGATATTTTGTTCAGCGGGCAACCACCCAGAAACGGGTTAAACTGTTTTCACCCGTGGATCCAAAGAAAACAATATATAGGTTTCAGGCATTGGCTAACTGTAAGTATATCTGTCTATATAGCGTACATGGCTGGGGATAGGTCAAATATCTTTCAACAAGATACGTAGGCTGTGCGATTGCAGAAGTCTTCCCAGCGGCGGTGTCGTTGCAGTAGGGTATTGCTTGGCTGCTCCAAGACAAAGTAACAGTGCTTGGCTAGCAGTAGAATGCACATCAATGTGCACCTTAGGTAAATGCTTTGCAGGCACAAGCTATCAGTTGTTGGGCACCTGTATTCATATTCGAATCTGATTGATTGCCCAAATACCAATTGTGACATACACTGGTGTCCAGCCGTTTGAAAGTTTTGCAAATGTACATACAGAGCATAGGTACAAAGATACCATCTGGTAGCCCAAGTCAACAAAAGGGAGGTGTAGAGCCCCATAAGCGTTGATATAATTTTTCTGCGACGTGTGTCTTGCTGGCATGCCCCAGGGAGCGCAGTCTGGTCCAAGCAAACAAACACCAAGTTCCTTCATAGATAATATCGTGTGAATAACGACCCTTGGCTCAAGTTGCCATCAGGAAACCCATACAGTAGCAAATCAAACACCAAAGCAACAAACAGCATGAACTCAAGAACTATTGGTTGATCTGAGGATCAAAATCCCTGGCGGGGTTGTAATGTCCATCGCCCTCCCACCAATCAGGAGCTTGTCGAACTTTGCAGTGGAATAGCCATGCTCTTGCCTTGGGTTCCCACATTTTCTAAATTACGTGTGCTGCAAACATATGCATGGTTTTGTACTTTCGAATCCTTGCCATCAAGAAACCACACTTTTGAAGCATTGCCGACACCACAGAAGAGGTCAAAGAAATCATATGATGGAGTAATTGGCGGGAGATGCTGGCACCACATGACCCCAAGCACCACCGCTATCAGGACCTGCCCGGGGCACAACAGTTTACATCACTGGGGACGTCAAAAGGAACACATCTTTGAATTTTTTGATTGGTGCATGACATGGTGTAAAAGGATGCGCCTTTGGCGCCCGACAGTGCACAAGGTTTACCACTATGCTCTCATCCTCCATGCTTGGAGCAACCCCGTGAGCTCACAACTACCCTTCCAAGAAAAGCTGCGTAAGTCGCATATTTCCACTTGGGTTGGCTCACCCAAAAAAAGGCAAGTCTCCAAAATAATACTAGATTTTCCCGAAAATTGTTTGTGGCTTGCATTTTTTTGGGTGGACCAACCCAATAAAAGTAGCAGCGAAAGCGCAGAGCTAGCCAGAAGATTCCCGAGACAAGGTTTCGGCAAATCAACGAACAATCCCAACACCAAAAAAAAACGTGAATCAGTGAACATTCCGGTCATGCCAGCAATTGCAAGTGGCGCGGGTGCGTACCAAGTCTGCACGCCCAACCCTCGTCCATAGTTTGTTCACCTGCGTGGGCTAGGGAGATAGCTGGGGAAAGTATAAGCTGGGAAAGAGAAAGTACATACTTGCTCATTCTAAGTGATAGCAGTGCAGATCCGATCTTAAGTTGTATACTGCCCAGAAATTGCAGACCATAATTTTTTTCAACGGTTCCAACGGCCTAGGTGTCGAAATGTTGTAACAACACATGTTGGGCCCTCCATCTCGCATGGCTGCACTGTGCAGCTGCACGGATTCAAAAGGTATGGCCACTCACGTGAAACCCCTGCACTCTTGTCAACTGCAAGATTGCAAACCCCAAAACATATATAGATATCTATAGAGACATCTCAGCAGCTCTGAGTAGCGCAAGGTCTGGTCAATCTTCTCAAATCAAGAAGCCTGATGGTATGCCTAAGCACAATGTCGCAAGCAATGAAGCTTAAGTTCGAATCAATTTTCTTTCCGTTTCCTCAAGAAATCTTTTGAGCAACCCTGGAAACCAGTAAGAGATATCTTCCGGGGTTCCCAACAACTTACTCAGTAGGTTTCCTGCCCCAAAAAAACGAAAATAGCTTTAGACACATCAAGATGTACACTTTGATATTTATAAGTGTCTGGAAATGGTGCTCTTTTCTTAGTTCCAACAAGGTCACTCAGGGGACAAAAAGGGTACAAATTTGGGAAAAAAACACGGCTTTTCCATTAGTTCAGTTCTGGGACCTTGTTGGGAACTCACGGGGCATAAAGCCTAGGAACTTCTTTGGCCTTTGCTCGGGCTTCCTCCTCGGTCATGCCTTCGTCCTTTGCCTTCTTGAATGCCCGATGGTACGCGGCAGACTTGCGACTCAGTTGCTTTTTCTTCTCCTGCTTTGCCTTGATCATATCAGGGTCGTTTTCCTTAGCCTTTGCCTTTGTCTTGGTGCTCTTTGGGAGTTTGTCCTCCTTCGCCTTGGTTGCTCGTTTCTGTTTGCCATCAGCCTTCTTTGCCTCTGGCCTTTTCTCCTTGCGCCATTCCTCAGCTTTGCCTTCCTCCAGGTTGTTGGCTCGTCGCTTCCTCTTGCCTGGCAAGTTCTCAGTGTCATGCTCTACCTCAGCCTTTGTTTTCCCTGCCTTCCTCTCCTCTGGGAATCCTTCACGTGTGGTCTTGGTCTTTGCTGCATGGTTCCTTGCCTTCCTTGCCTTCCTTGCCTTCCTGGGCGCCTTCACTTTGGTGCTCACGGGACTGGCAGCATCTACCTCCTGTGAATCCTTTGGCTCCAACTTCTGTGTTGCAACAGCCTTTCTTTTCTTTACAACCTTCGCCACCTTTGGCAGGGAATCTTCTCTCTTGACCTTTTTTGCTGGCATTGCCTCATTGGCCTCTTTGCACTGACGTTTTCGTGTTGTTTTCTCCTTGGGCTCCTTGGTTGCTTGTTTCTCCTTGGGCTCCTTGGTTGCCTTGGCTCTTGCTTTTGGTTTTCGTGCAGCCTTTGTTGACAACCCAGCTTCAACATCATCTGCATAGGAATCATTGTCATCATCTGAGCCCTTGCCCCTTTGTTTGCGTTTGGATTTGGTCAAGTCAGATTGCTCTGCTGGTGACACTGGTTTGAGCGATTTAAGAATGCCAGGACGGCTGATTGTCATTTCACCCAAATCAAGTTTGTCGGCTGCAGGTTTTGAGCCCGGGTCTTCAACCGAAGTGGGCACCGTGGGCGATGGAGGCAGGTCCTGTCAGCAAGCAGCTGGAAGGAAGTGGCATCAAACCGTTGGAAAAAATTGGGTATGGAACTTCATAGAACCCTAGTGCTAATTGGACACCCACAAGATGCAGGCATGAAGCCAAGGGCCCCAAAAATACAATGCGAATCATCAAAGTCCAAAGTCCTTCAGTAGAATTTCTGGCTCACCAAGTTCATAGGGAAGCGTGTCCATGTTGTCCATGTCACCCATGTAGATGGCACCTTAAGTTTGGTGGCCATGGTTGATGTTGAGAATTCCACTTAGGGTCCTCCTCCAAAAAGGGTCGGAATGAAAATGCCGGTTGTAACTTAAAACAAGGGGCTTGGAGCAACTGCACTGGAAGCTGAAATGGAACTGTTGAGAAGGGACTTTTGTTGATCAAGTCGTTGCTCTAAAGCCATTTGGTTGGCCATCCCTTCCTCAAGACTCATCCCCATTGCTTCTTCCAACATAAGCTGTTCCAATTCAAGTTGTTCCAGTTCCAGCTCAAGTTTTAATGCTGCTACTTCTTCTGGTGAACCCCCAGTGCCAAACTCAAGTTTCCCTTTGGCTGATTCCACATCGGGTGGAGCTTTCCCACTCTTCGTGGGGTCCGGTTTCTTCTCGCCACTGGTTGCATTGTCAAAGTCAATTCCTTAGTGTCCAGGCATAGTATTTGACAGCTACATATAGGCATATACTTTTTATGTTTTTTTTAAAGCAGGCAACGCTCTGTATAGGCGCACTTCCATGGGATGCACCCACAAGCATGGACATATTTGGTGGGACAGTACTGTTAAAAAAACAAACAGGCAGACTTTAAGCAAATGATGGTCCCCGGGGAGATGGTGTCGACACCTCTTCATGTGGAAGCACGTCAGTCTTAGGAGAACCCCCATGGACAACATTTGCATTGGAACATGTTGGATTGGGATCCACTAGCTCATCGTGCTCGGATTCCTCCTCCTCACCAGACTCATCCGCCTCGTCTGCGCAGGAATAGCCTGAGCAAAGCGGTGTGATGATCTACAGAGTGACTTGGTTGGGCTTAGGGTGCTGTGGACGAGACCGTCATGGGGAGGATCGTGATCAGGATCATCACCACCATCACCGGTAGCTGAACAAGCAGCCTTACCCAAAGCCAATTGGATCCAAACCAAAATAAACTTGAATAAGGCTGTGCAGAACTATAGGGACAAACACATGGCTAAATTCAAGCAAACCACCTCAGCCTCATCACCATCACATTCCGTAGATGCTGCCTCACTGCCAGACTCTCCAGAGTCCGAGTGATCAGAGCCTTCTTCCAAAGTGGAGGTGCTGCTAGAACCTAGGCTTCCCACCCCAATACAAAACAAGATTTCCTTTGACTGGTGTATTCACATATGTATATATTATATATATATATAAATAAAAATGTTACTATATATATATATATGGTTGTTGATCAAAATTCCTTTATCCCGGAACGGCCATCCTTCGCGAATAAAAATTTTACTTTCGCGAAACTTTCTCCAACTCCATGTTTATCTTTCGCGGGGCCCATGTTGGCCAACAACACCTCTTATGAAGATTCGTACACCACCTGCCAAATTACGCCAGAGAATCACGGATCACTTCTTGGTAGCCTTTTAAACATGCAGCTAGCATCACGGAATCCCTTCTCAGGACAGATTTGTTTTGCAAAGTTTACTGGCCCACCCCCTTCAACATGCACTTTGACTTTCGCCCGCTCTTTCGCATAACTTTCGCGGAACTTTCGCGAAAATATCCCTATTCACAGACCCCGGCCATCAGCAGGGGGTGCACTGAAGGAAAAGCGAAGACCAGGGGCCTTGGTGTTTGGCTCTCGCAAAGCCTCACTTTTGGAAACTTGGCTACTGCTACTCGCATTCTCTGGTGCCCTTCTCCTGCCGGACCCCGGGCGGCAGTGGGTGGCAGCCCTTTACATATAATGATTATAATACCCAACTTTCGCGAAACTTTCGCGAAATAAAATTTTACTTTCGCGAACTCGAAAAAAAACTTTCGCGAGGGTTTCCAACATAACATGCACGGCTTTCGCAATTAAAACTCCTTACAAGGACCTTTAGATCGATCACCATATATTTATAAATCGATAGATTATGCACTTGGGAAGTTCATTGCTGAGAAACGTGGGTCGGTTGGGAGGTCAATGCCTGCCATGTTGAAAATCAAGCGCATTCCATGCTCTCGTGGATAATGCCCACGACTGGCACCACGGGTAAACAAAGATATCAAACGCTTGAGCACCCACGCTTGCTTCCTTGCAGCAGAGCCTGAGCGTAGAAAGCAAACATTGGTTTAAGCAGAAGAGTTGCACATGTATGATTTCACAGTTGTTGCGGGCTAGCAACGGGAGAGAGTAGGTTTTCCTCTAGGCCTGGCTAGAAAGAAGAAATTCTCCACAACTGCTTGGAGTGCGTCTATTGACAAGCGGGCCCCCATATGCTTGATAACAGGTGCGATCGCCATGCCATTTGCGATGACATCACTTCGTTTCAACCTCTTGCCACTCACAGTGCAAAGCTGACCAGCAGCACCACGAGCCGCCAACATTGGGTCGGCCAGCCATGCTTCCACAACAGGACACGCCATGGGACTTACTAGAAGTTAGTGGAACACAGCTGAGTTCAAGCCAAATGCTGGGTAAACAGGCTTGACTAAACATAAAACGAGTGAGAATTATTCTGCAGATAAAATGGGTGCTAGAGCAGCGGTCAAAACCCTTTGTTGTCCCCCTTTATTGGTTTTTCACTTGGGGTTCCCTTATATCATAGTAAAGAGCAAAAACCAAATAGTGTAAGTTTTTTGCTGATAGGCTATATAGGTTTTGAACGTTGCTCAAGTGTTTTGTCCGACACCTAGAAAACACAACTGCAAAACACGGATGATACGCGGTGGGCAACACCTCCACCAAGTTGAGGCTCCCGTGCTAATTCATAGCACCTCCTGGCATGTGGTCTCTGCATGTCTTTTTCAAGGGTTGTGGGCTCAGGCAGGGCAATCTAAAGGTGATCTGAGAAAAACACTTCCAACACATGCAGGCGAGGCCTTCCCGAAGTGTCCAAAGCTTGTTGCTGTAGCTGGCTTACCTTCCCAGGGAGTGTGTCAGTCTCAAAATCCTAAACCTGGAGCAAACAGATATTCAGCAGAAAATGTAGACCGTTACCCAGCTCACCTTGTTGTCCTGTTGTTGCTGTGCGTCTTCAAACCAGCACGGCCTTGTACCTGAAGTGAACTCAGGTGAGTGGGCCAAGGAGGATACAATTGTGTATGGCATCTTGCGTGCACATTGACAAACATTGACTTGGAGTCTTGTTGACACTGAAAAGGGCGCACTTATCCAGGGTGCTCTGGCATCTTGCGCCACCGTTTAGTCAAAATTGGGGCCCAAATGGCTTTAGTGAGGAAAACGCTCGAGTTGTTAAAAAACGCTCGGGCAACACATCACATCTTGGAAACTGCAAATAAGGCTCGTAAATTCCAATAATGCTACGAACAGTGGGTGGTGCATTATTTTATGCTACGTTGGAGGTTCTAGGTAGCCTAGTGTAGTGGAGTGTAATGTAGTGTAGTGGTGCTTGTAGTTGAAAATGCCACAAAAACCATCAAAAACCTCACGTTTTGCTCACTTTTGGCAACGTGCAGAATCCCTCCACGCAAAACAACATCTGAACGTCAAAAAGTGTTTCAAACCCTTCAGTTTTTTACACTTTTGACTTTGCTTCGCGCCACAACGACGTGCACTTTTTCGACATCTCAACTTCCAAAAGTGGTCCGAACATGGTGTGTTTTGTGCATTTTGATTTCGAAACGTGCTTCGCGCCACAATGGTGTACACTTTTTCGACATCTCAACTTCAAAAAGTGCTCCGGACCTGGTGTGTTTTGTAAATTATGGCTTCGAAATGTGCTTCGCGCCACAACGACGTGCACTTTTGCGACATCAACTTCCAAAAGTGGTCCGAACATGGTGTGTTTTGTGCATTTTGATTTCGAAATGTGCTTCGCGCCACAATGGTGTACACTTTTTCGAATCCGAATGTGAAGTGTTTTGAAGCTTTTTCACTTGCAAATGTGCTTCGCGCCACAACGGCGTGCAATCTTTCATCTCTCATCTGGCCAGCTGGCTCCGCACCCGCCGCTTTAGCGAGCTACTTTTCGACCCTCCGGAGCCTAAAATCATTGGAAAAACACAGTGTTTTGCGACTTTCCTACCTTTTCGCGCACCTGTATCTTCTTTCTTCTGAGACTTTCTCTTTTTTGATATTATTTCTTCTTCTCTTCTCTTCTCTGACTCTTCCCATCTCTGCTTTTCATCTGTTCATATTGTCGGAAGTTTGACTTCTAAACTTCCTTCGGTTACAAATAAAAAGATATGTACATATATATATAAATACATATATATATATATTATACATACATATATATATAGAGAGAGAGAGAGAGGGACCCTAATATCCTTCATTGTTCGACCCCCCCAACGTTGCCAACGGTCACCCCACCGCTCTATCGCCGTTGCCGCGCGACTCAGAAAGTTGGCCCGTCCTTCGGACGGGCGGTCCACAGTCGCTGTCCGGTGCAACAGAATCGTGGACAGCTGCCTGATGGCGGTGATGAAAAGGTCAGCAATCATGTGTTATAGTATATAATATGTTGGAAGATTAAAGTAATATGTTAAAATATGTTGGAATATTGCAGCAACCATGTTTTGCTTGTTCTAACTACATGTTGGAAGAAACATGAAAAGGCTTTTTTTTAAATTCCCGAGAGCGCCTGCGAAGGGTTCTTCGTAAAAAAGCAGCCGTTATACTACATCTTCACACCTTCACATCTGCTGATCTACATCTTCACACCTTCACATCTGCTGATCTACATCTTCACACCCTCACATCTGCTGATCTAGATCTTCACACCTTCACACCTGCAGATCTAGATCTTCACACCTTCACACCTGCAGATCTAGATCTTCACACCTTCTGCAGATCTAGATCTTCACACCTGCAGATCTAGATCTTCACACCTCACACCTGCAGATCTAGATCTTCACATCCTCACACCTGCAGATCTAGATCTTCACACCCTCACACCTGCAGATCTAGATCTTCACACCTTCACACCTGCAGATCTAGATCTTCACACCTTCACACCTGCAGATCTAGATCTTCACACCCTCACATCTGCAGATCTAGATCTTCACACCTTCACACCTGCAGATCTAGATCTTCTTCACACCTGCAGATCTAGATCTTCACACCTTCACACCTGCAGATCTAGATCTTCACACCCTCACATCTGCAGATCTAGATCTTCACACCCTCACACCTGCAGATCTAGATCTTCACACCCTCACACCTGCAGATCTAGATCTTCACACCCTCACACCTGCAGATCTAGATCTTCACACCCTTCAGATCTATCTGCAGATCTCCTCTCGCTCTTCTTCTATTCTCTCTTAAGGCGGGGGCGGTGCCGCCGGAGCGCCACGAAACGCAACCCTTTCGCACGAAATGGACGTTGGACGTCCAAAACCTAGGTAAAATTGCGATTTCAACCCTTTCGCACGAAATGGACGTTGGACGTCAAAAACTGAGGAACAATTGCGACTTTGAGGTGTTAATCGCAACCTTTACGCACGAAACGGACAATGGACGCCAAAAACTGAGGAACAATTGCGACTTTGAGGTGTTAATCGCAACCCTTACGCACGAAATGGACGTTGGACGTCAAAAACTGAGGAAAAATTGCGACTTTGAGGTGTTAATCGCAACCTTTACGCACGAAACGGACAATGGACGCCAAAAACTGAGGAACAATTGCGACTTTGAGGTGTTAATCGCAACCCTTACGCACGAAATGGACGTTGGACGTCAAAAACTGAGGAAAAATTGCGACTTTGAGTTGTCAATCGCCACCCTTACGCACGAAATGGACGTTGGACGTCAAAAACTGAGGAAAATTTGCGATTTTTCTTAGTCAATCGCAACGCTTTCGTCTGTGTAAAAGTGTCTGTGTGTAAAAGCCTCTGTGTGTAAAAGCCTCTGTGTGTAAAAGTGTCTGTGTGTAAAAGCATCTGTGTGTAAAAGCGTCTGTGTGTCAAAGTGTTTGTGTGTAAAAGCGTCTGTCTGTAAAAGGGTCTGTGTGTAAAAGCGTCTGTGTGTAAAAGCGTCTGTGTTTCAAAGTGTCTGTGTAAGTGTCTGTTGTGTGTAAAAGCGTCTGTGTGTAAAAGCCTCTGTGTAAAAGCCTCTGTGTAAAAGCCTCTGTGTAAAAGCGTCTGTGTGTGAAAGTTTTGTTTTTGTGTAAAATCTTCTGTGTGTAAAAGCTTCTGTGTGTAAAAGCGTCTGTGTGTAAAGGAGTCTGTGTGTAAACGCTTCTGTGTGTGAAAGTGTTTGTGTGTAAAAGGGTCTGTGTGTAAAAGCGTCTATGTGCAAAAGTGTCTGTGTGTAAAAGCCTCTGTGTGTAAAGCGTTTGTGTGTAAAAGCTTTTGTGTGTGTAAAAGTGTCTGTGTGTAAAAGCGTCTGTGTGTAAAATCGTCTGTGTGTAAAAGCGTCTGTGTATAAAAGAGTCTGTGTGTAAAAGCGTTTGTGCAAAAGCGCTGTGTGTAAAAGTGTCTGTGTGTAAAAGCCTCTTTGTGTAAAAGTGTCTGTGTGTAAAAGTGTCTGTGTGTAAAAGTTTCCGTGTATAAAAGCCTCTCTGTGTAAAGGAGTCTGTGTGTAAAAGCGTCTGTGTGTAAAAGTGTCTGTGTGTAAAAGCGTTTGTGTGTAAAGGAGTCTCTTTGTAAAGGCTTCTGTGTGTAAAAGCCTCTGTGTGTGAACGTGTTTGTGTGTAAAAGCGTCTGTGTGTAAAAGTCCCTGTGCAAGCATCTGTGTGTAAAAGCCTCTGTGTGTGTGTAAAAGAAAAGCGTGTGTGTGTGTGCGTGTGTGTGTAAAAGCTTCTGTTGGCAAAAGTGTCTGTGTGTAAAAGTCTCTATGTAAAAGCTTCTGTGTGTAAGAGCGTCTGTGTGTAAAAGTGTCTGTGTGTAAAAGCTTCTGTGTGTAAGAGCTTCTGTGTGTAAAAGCCTCTGTGTGTGAAAGTGTTTGTGTGTAAGAGCGTCTGTGTGTAAAAGCGTCTGTGTATAAAAAGCCTCTGTGTAGTAGCCTCTGTGTGTGAAAGTGTGTGTGTAAGTGTGTGTGTGTAAAAGCGTCTGTGTGCAAAAAGCGTCTGCGTGTAAAAGCGTCTGTGTGTAAAATTGTCTGTGTGTAAAAGGGTCTGTGTGTAAAAGCGTCTGTGTGTAAAAGCGTCTGTGTGTAAAAGCGTTTGTGTGTAAAAGCGTCTGTGTGTAAAAGCCTCTTTGTGTAAAAGTGTCTGTGTGTAAAAGTGTCTGTGTGTAAAAGTTTCCGTGTATAAAAGCCTCTCTGTGTAAAGGAGTCTGTGTGTAAAAGCGTCTGTGTGTAAAAGTGTCTGTGTGTAAAAGCGTTTGTGTGTAAAGGAGTCTCTTTGTAAAGGCTTCTGTGTGTAAAAGCCTCTGTGTGTGAAAGGGTCTGTGTGTAAAAGCGTCTGTGAGTAAAAGCGTCTGTGTGTAAAATCGTCTGTGTGTAAAAGCGTTTGTATGTGAAAGTGTGTGTGTGTGTAAAAGCATCTGCGTGTAAAAGCGTTTGTGTGTAAAAGCCTCTGTGTATGACACAGGTCATTTCATTTTAGTATGGAAAATCCCACATGAATGGCCCAAAAAAGCTCGGTACCATGATGCTGCGTATGACACATGTTATTTCATTTTGTTATGGAAAATCCCACATAATTGGCCCAAGAAAGATCGGTACCATGATGCTGTAAATGACACATGTGACAATACTTCACTAGTGAAATGTCTGCAAACGTTTGCAACAGAGCTCGATGCCATCATGTGCTTGATGTCAAAAACAGAACAGTTTGAGTTCAGGACCATAAAATGTCATATAGAGACACTCTTCAAAAGCTTCTGTGTGTGTAAAAGCCTCTGTGTATGAAAGTGTGTGTGTGTGTAAAAGCTTCTGTGTAAAAGCCTCTGTGTGTAAAAGCGTCTGTGTGTAAAAGGGTCTGTGTGTAAAAGGGTCTGTGTGTAAAAGCGTTTGTGTGTAAAAGTGTCTGTGTATAAAAGCTTCCGTGTGTAAAAGCATCTGCGTGTAAAAGCTTCTGTGTGTAAAAGCGTCTGCGTGTAAAAGTGTCTGTGTGTAAAAGCGTCTGTGTGTAAAAGTCTCTGTGTGTAAACGCGTCTGTGAAAGCGTCTGTGTGTAAAGGAGTCTGTGTGTAAAAGCTTCTGTGTAAGAGCGTCTGCGTGTAAAAGTGTCTGTGTGTAAAAGTCTCTGTGTGTAAACGCGTCTGTGAAAGTGTTTGTGTGTAAAAGCGTCTGTGTGTAATTTCACAACTTTCCCCTCCATAGCTCATATCAAATTCACCAACCATTCACCGACTATTTTTTACGACTACCATACTCAGAGCTGCTTGAAGGACGTGTTTTTCGCTCTCGGGCCAACCGTCGTCTAGTGGTTCATACCATTTACTGGGGTAAGATTCCTGGTTATTCTTTATGATATCATGTTATAGCCATGCCATGTTCGCGGATGGATCCCATTGATCTCTGCACCTGGCATCCGTCAGGTTCAAATCTTCGTCCAATTCTACCACAGCATCACCTGCGGAGATATCTCAGAGGAAGGGCATCTATTATGAAACATCAATGGACATCTACATATCTATATAGAACCTAAATAAACATATGTATATATATATATGTACTGTCTATATATATATATATATGAATGCATATTATAGGACATGATATTTGAAAATATGTCAATTCAACTTAGATATGTCATGATACGTCATAGTATGTAGATTCTATCGTATGATCTGTGAGATATGATGTGCGATTAAATGACGCATAATATGTATGCATCAGTGCTTCGCAAATAAACAGGTCGATCTATTATATAGTAAATGGACAGGTATCAATAACTAACATAAATTGGCTTGCGCGTGAGGGCAAACTTGCTGCATTGTTGATGACAACCCATGGAAATTACGAAAAAAATGGCAATTCAGTACCATATTCAAATATTGATTATAATGTTTAATAACCATACATTACCATACGATATCATATTCCCAATATACATATATATATTAAATATTTATCGCTACCAAAGCAATCCTTGCTTCACTTGCGCCAGGTAAGCGCTTTGGGTTTGTGGGGTCTTTCCATGGCTGCGAAAGGAAAATCATGGGATGATAATCTGCTTGGTGGTGCAATGTGCCCATCTTGAAAAATGATGGAGTTCGTCAATGGGAATGATGATCCCATATATGAAATGGGAAATGAAAATCATGTTTGAAACCACCAAACAGATAATATATTATCAGTAACAATAACTATCATCAGTAACTATCAGTAACATTGTTTAACTATCTGTAACTATTATGTAAAAACTATGGCTAGGAAAATGCGGTAACATCGGGCAACTATCAGTAACTATCAGTAACTATCATCTACACAAGGTTATGTGATGTGAAATAATAGGGTATTTCAAAAGTAAATCATAGGTATATGGGTAAATCATAGGAAATCATTGTATGTTTTCCACTGCTATGTGAAAATTACCAGAAGGTACATGTGGGTCATGTGCTGATCCTTCCGGATGGCTGGCGATAGACAGGCAAACCAGAAATCAATCAAACCACTTCTGTCTGCTCAACAAGGTTGAGCCAGTATTTACTATTTCAGAATCAGTAATATACTCATACAACACCATACAACCAATTCAAAAGGTATGTAATAATCATCTACTTACATCTACTTACATCTACCCTCTGGTAAACTAACATAACTATGGAAAATCACAATTTTCAATGGGTAAATCCACTAAAAATTGCCATTATCAATAGCTATGTTTGTTTACCAGAGGGTACTTACCGTTTGAGGGTGTAGTCAATTGACTGTGAGAACAACGGCATTCCTTCGGTAGTTCAGAATCATCCCAGGTAGGAAGGAATTTCTTGTTATTTTTTGAACCACCGAAGAGATTTTTTGGTACAGCCTCTGTTTCCATTTTAAAAAACACGTGATATCCTGATATCCCTCGATTAATTTCTTATTAATTTCAAGATTAAACATGTACGCTGCAACCCTGACGTTGCTCCGCGTCTGACTTGAGGTGGCTATGAAGATAAAGTTGATATTATTACTCCAATCAACATATTGTTCATAGGGGGTGGTGATTTTTGATCCCTCATGGAGATATATTTGATGCTATTACCCCAATCAACATATTGCTCATAGGGGGTGGCGAATCTTGGTCCCTCATGGAGATATTAGTTGGTGTTATTACCCCAATCAACATATTTTTCAGAGGGGGTGGCGAATTTTGACACCCCTCATGAAGATATATTTGATGCTATTACCCCAACAACATATTGCTCATAGGGGGTGGCGAATGTTGATCCCTCATGGAGATATAGTTGGTGTTATTACCCCAATCAACATATTGTTCGAAGGGCGAATGTTGATCCCTCATCAAGATAAAGTTGATGTTACTACCCCGGTCAACATATTGTTCATAGGGGGTGGCAAATTTTGATCCCTCATGAAGATATATTTGATGCCATTGCCCCAATCAACATATTGCTCAAAGGGTTGACAAATTTTGATCCCTCATGAAGATATATTTGGTGTTTTTACCCCAACGCACATATTGTTCATAGGGGGTGGCAAATTTTGATCCCTCATGGAGATATATTTGATGCTAGTACCCCAATCGACATATTGCTCATAGGGGGTGGCGAATCTTGGTCCCTCATGGAGATATTAGTTGGTGTTATTACCCCAACGCACATATTTTTCAGAGGGGGTGGCGAATTTTGACACCCCTCATGAAGATATATTTGATGCTATTACCCCAACAACATATTGCTCATAGGGGGTGGCGAATGTTGATCCCTCATGGAGATATAGTTGGTGCTATTACCCCAATCAACATATTGTTCGAAGGGCGAATGTTGATCCCTCATCAAGATAAAGTTGATGTTACTACCCCGGTCAACATATTGTTCATAGGGAATGGCGAATTTTGATCACTCATGAAGATATATTTGATGCCATTGCCCCAATCAACATATTGCTCAAAGGGTTGACAAATTTTGATCCCTCATGAAGATATATTTGGTGTTTTTACCCCAACGCACATATTGTTCATAGGGGGTGGCAAATTTTGATCCCTCATGGAGATATATTTGATGCTAGTACCCCAATCGACATATTGCTCATAGGGGGTGGCGAATCTTGGTCCCTCATGGAGATATTAGTTGGTGTTATTACCCCAACGCACTTTTTTCTCAGAGGGGGTGGCGAATTTTGACACCCCTCATGAAGATAAAGATGATTATTATGATGATGATGATGGTGATGGTGATGGTGATGATGATGATAATGATGATGATGATGATGATGGTGATGATGATCATGACGATTGTAAGTGTGGAGCAACGTCCAGGTTGGTGCGAACATGTTTCAAGATGAATTTCATATGGAATGGTTTTGTCTCCACTGCAGACCCGTGTTATGTGGTATAACTTGGTATAACTTGGTATAACTTGGTATAACCGATAGATAAAACAAGAAATCTTGGTTATGATGGAGTTCCCATGTTGGATTACAACCAATCTCCGCTGACCCGGTTTTCCACAAAGGGTTTTCCACAAACGTCAAACATGTCCCCTCTCCTAAGATTCGAGTGCAAAAAACTGCTCGCTTTTCACCGCTTTCCACAACAAAAAGCGAAAGGTGGTAGCGCCCATCATTCATTGGATTGGTTTTGTTGGGAAAATCTGAAAACCGGAAACCAAAAAAAGGGGTTGCCGTTTTTGTTTATTTTCCATCCAATAAAAATTGGGAAACCATAGGGCCATAGGGGTTGTCAGGAAGAATATTTCCCACCCAATAAAAATTGAACCATAGTTCGATATCAACATGATCAACCTCTCCGAATCCGAACGCACCATGTGATGTTTTTAGGGCCCATTTCATATCCCCATTATGCTGGTTGGTGGTTTGAACCCCTCTCAAAAATGATGGAGTGAAAGTCAGTTGGGATGATGAAATTCCTAATATCATGGGGAAGTCATTGAAAATTCCATGATTCCAGTCACCACCAACCAGTTATATGCAAATATGTCTATCTATGTCTTCCTGCAGCAACTTTTCTGTCGGGGGATACCGGCCGCCACTTTTCCAATCCCATTATATCCCCAGCCTTAACCAGCCTTATATCGTTAAATCCCTCAACTAGATGATCAGAATCCCCAGTAAACCACTACAAGGTATTTTCTAGGCAATAACAAAATATAGCATAAGGCTATAACAATAGGCACAATACCATCAGTAAATCAGAATAATAGTACTATCACAACCAATCAACCGGGCTTTTTTATAGGCAATAACATATACCATAAGGTTAATCTCCAGCCAGCTTTTCACCTCCAGTTGGATTATTTTCCCAATCACCATGCAAACATTTGAAAAACCACCATCAATAAATCAACTACCCTGAAGATAGTTAACTCTCCATTAAACAACCAATCAACCAGGCTATTAAAAAACACTGTTTTGCAGCCATCATAGAGCCTGTGCTTTCCTACAAGGGGGTTCCGCCTCAATTAATGTTTGTTGGTTTATACACCATGGTAAGTATAGATATTATCTACGATAAACCCTGGATATTGGAGTTATGTTCACCAACTTAGCTAACTATGGGGCACCACCTTGTACTGTATGTCAAATATTATGGTTTGTGTTATACACTCAGCCAGGTGATGTGTACCTCGACCTCCCTTTCGACGAGAAACAGAAACCGTGTAGCAGCCTCGACACAGCCGACAACTCCACAGTACCTGGCCATGATCTGAGCGCCAGTGCATATTTATATATATATATATTTATCATGAACTATGATGTATCATGTATATATATATGTACATGCATGTATATGTTATATGCTATCACACTAAGAGATTTAACGCAACGGTTCTATTTGGTACATATTGATCTGTTTTTTGGATTGTGATACTGTTGTCGCCTAAAACTTGCTATTGTTTTTTTCTGTTTATTTGCTATAACTCATTCTTAGATCATTGGAACACAGGGTATCACTATACTCTCCAGTACATTAATATAGCCATTGTCCACCAATTGTGAGTCGAATGGAGGGATTTGAATGGATTTGCTGTGTATAGAGTGGATCATACGATATTCATACGATATATTCATGTATTGTATATACATGAACATATATCCAACAATTTGTTGTGGTTTGGTCCAACTCTTGACAAACAACTGCAGGAAACTATGTATGTATGCACGCATGTACGTAGGAAGGTAGGTAGGTAGGTAGGTAGATAGGTAGGTAGGTTGGTAGGTAGGTAGGTAGGTAGGAGTATGTATATATTTATGATGTATGTATGTATGTATGTATGTCTGTATGTCTGTATGTCTGTATGTCTGTATGTCTGTATGTCTGTATGTCTGTCTGTATGTCTGTATGTCTGTATGTATGTCTGTATGTCTGTATGTCTGTATGTATGTATGTCTGTATGTCTGTATGTCTGTATGTCTGTATGTCTGTATGTATGTATGTCTGTATGTCTGTATGATTCTGTATGTATGGTATGTCTGTATGTCTGTATGTCTGTATGTCGGTATGTCTGTATGTCTGTATGTCTGCATGTCTGCATGTCTGCATGTCTGCATGTCTGCATGTCTGCATGTCTGCATGCCTGCATGTCTGTATGTCTGTATGTCTGTATGTCTGTATGTCTGTATGTCTGTATGCCTGTAGGTCTGTATGTCTGTCTGTCTGTCTGTCTGTCTGTCTGCATGCCTGTATGTCTGCATGTCAGCATGTCTGCATGTCTGCATGTCTGTATGTCTGTCTGTATGTATGTACGTATGTATGTATGGTATGTATGGTATGTATGGTATGTATGGTATGTATGGTATGTATGGTATGTCTGTATGTCTGTATGTCTGTATGCCTGTATGTCTGTATGCCTGTATGTCTGCATGTCTGCATGTCTGCATGTCTGTATGTATGTCTGCATGTCTGTATGTCTGTATGCCTGTATGTCTGCATGTCTGCATGTCTGCATGTCTGCATGTCTGCATATCTGCATGTCTGCATGTCAGCATGTCTGCATGTCTGCATGTCTGCATGTCTGCATGTCTGTCTGTATGTATGTATGTATGTATGTATGTATGGTATGTATGGTATGTATGGTATGTATGGTATGTATGGTATGTATGGTATGTATGGTATGTATGGTATGTATGGTATGTCTGTATGTCTGTATGTCTGTATGTCTGTATGTCTGCATGTCTGTATGTCTGTGTGTCTGTGTGTCTGTAGGTCTGGGTGTAGGTCTGTAGGTCTGTAGGTCTGTAGGTCTGTAGGTCTGTAGGTCTCTAGGTCTGTAGGTCTGTAGGTCTGTAGGTCTGTAGGTGTGTAGGTCTGTATGTCTGTATGTCTGTATGTATGTATGTACGTATGAATGTATGTATGTCTGGATGGGATCTGCGTGCTTGGGGCTTACACATTACATGGAGGAATACCGGACTACGCGATGCAGTCTCATACACAATGCGTTCCCTTTATCTGCCGTGTTTGTGCGCCATATTGATCCATATCCTGCTATGGATGATGACTCGGACGAACCACTTTTTCGAAAACTACTGATTCCATCTGATTCCTATACATATATATATATATATTTACACTGATACACAGTATATATATCCATAACTATGTATATATACCCGTACATATACTATACCGACTATACCTATTTGCCTGGTCTGTAGCATTTCCATGACATCAGCTATCCACTCGTTTTCCGTGGCGAAAAACTGCGCCGAGGTGCTGGTCTTGAGCTTCAAACTCATTCGCACATGGCGGTAGAGGACCTGCCGGACCTGATCCCGGATCCACCGTGTAAACCCCAACGGCCCGGTACCATGATTCCGCAAGGGGGTGTTTCATATGAGTTTTAATGTGTTTAATGAGTTTAATGTGAATAGCGACCCCTTGTGGATCTTTCTAAAAATCTATTATTATCCTCTGGTAATTTAACATAGCTATGGAAAGTCACCATGTTTACTGGGTAAACTTATTAACTTTAAGTGGGGCATCTATACCATAGCTATGTTCACGGAGGATCAGAATTCAGGATGTTAAGTCTTTCAGAGACGGTTCCAAAACTCACCAGAATGACCTGTAAAAGTACGGTGGTTTTTTTTAACGGAGTGCGGCCAACATTGACCCCCCACCAAGATCGCAGGATTTCTGAAGTTTTGTGCTTCACTACCCTCTGGTGAACTAACATAGCAATGGAAAATCACCATTTTTCATGGGAAAATCCACTATAAATGGCCATTTTCCATTGCTATGTTAGTTCACCAGAGGGTAGAAGGGTTGGTCTTGTGTATCATCTCGTTACAAAACTCTGATTGTAGCTCCCCATATCTCCCCATTACAGAATCGAACTGCGAACTGGTGCGGAGATCATGTTATATTAACCATATATGAATCATATATTAACCATATATTAACCATCATTAACCATACATATTAACCATATATTAACCATTATTAAACCCAAAAAATGGTGAGAAATACCACTTATTTCCTTTGCGAACTTCCATGGTTTTTAGCCATTTGTTTTTTTGTTGGTTCCCCACGAAGGCGACGCTCCGCCGCCGCTAAGGAACCACGAAGGCGACGCTCATAATCAAAACCATCTCTGAAAAGCCACCCCCACCGGAAGCGTCCAGGATGGTTGTGGAGTTGTTGGACAAACGACTCTTGATAGTAACCTTGAGACCGGGGAGACTTTTTGGATATATCATATATCTGCCAGATTTATGGATGAGTGATGATAAATGAATAAATGGGGATATTTAATTAGTACCTTCGGGGATATGTCATGGACTTTCATATATAATATAACATTATATTATAACGCAACTTGATATGCATGATTTGAGATTGTAACATGAAAAATGGGAGACAAAACTATTCCGTCCAATGATGAATCATCATCGTTTAAAACAGACCCGGCAGCCATTCCACAACGCTGGGGGCTGCCTTGAGTAGGTCGAAGGTCTGGTCGGAACGGCATGTCCAGAAAGTGACTGTTTCAATCTGTTTGATGATGATGATGATGATGATGATGATGAGGCACATGCTCTGAGTGCCTCTACTTTTCAGAATCTTAAAGGAACAAAATGCAGGCTTGACATGCCTATTATCATGCTCATAAATTCATCAGGTCATTTGTTTTTCTTTGCAACAAATACACTGTTTTCAGGACAGCAACGGAGAGCCTACCACAACATATCCGGAAGAAACATGTCAGTGGTGCATCTTATTCGAGTGTGTGTCATGTGTATTTCAAAACTCTGACAAGCATGGGGTGCAAAGTAAACAAGCGGAATTCCGGAAAATGCTCGGCACACAACTATATGGAATCAATACAGCAGACAACTGCTGTACTGCAACGGAAATCTGACTTGGTGCGACATGAAATCAAAGGCTTCCCCATCGCATTAACTACGACGATTGGGTAACATTTGATGGCCTCGTCGTAGAACTAAGGCTAGCCCAGTTTATGGCTTCGTTAATGGGGAAAGTGAGGTTCCAAAGCGCGTATAATGTTCCACTAATAACCATGATAAACTATTATAAACTATAGATCACTATATATTATAGATCATTACTTATTTCAGTGATGAATCAATTTTAGAATTAAACCATGATAAACCACGGTGAAAGACAAGGGGCAGTGACATAGAAAAGTACATTCCATGCAGCTGAAAGCGCCCCATGCCTCACTGTCACAGACCTCGGCTGGGGGCGTTTCAGGAGGGCAGGGGTTTCAAGCTCATCCTTTGAATGTTGCATAGTCAACTGACCTTGGCTCTCTAAATTGTGTTGAAACTGTTTACTGTGTTTCTCACAGATGTGTCTCTTCTATATATCAACTTGATTACATCGTCAACCAATCCCAACGAGAGGTTGAGCATGACAAAATAAACAGTTCAGGCGATTGTGCCTCCCTATGTTGTATAAACCAACATTGTTGGTTGAAGACTCTTGGTACAGCAACTTTGACGCTTTGATGGCCATGCCGGCCATGCTATGTAGAAGACATGCTATGTGTGGACGTAAGTCCATAACATAAGCAATGTTCAATCTGGAATTCCATTGCACTGGTTGGCTGGACTGACAGAATTGATACCCTCTGGGTATAGCCCATAGAAACAGATACTTTTCCCAGAAACCTCCATTTATTTCATGGATTTTACATAGCTATGTAACAAATAACCAGATGGTAATCATAGATAATAACAATATTATTGGGTATTAACCATGTTATCATAGATAACAGATGGTAATCATAGATAACAATACAGATGGCAATATATTGGGTACTGTAATATAACCATGTTTGATCATCAACCAACAAGGACACCGAAACCGGAAAAGGGGGTCGCTAGTCGCCCAAAGCTTGACTGGAGGTTTGGAGGGTTGGCTAGGGGCAAATTTGGGGTTAGCTTAGGCTTAATTTAGAGTTCGTCTTGAGGTCGTTTAGGTTCGGATTATGGGTTGTTAGGATTCTGATTCCCCGGTTACTTAGGTCGTCGGGTTGATTGGGGGCTTTGGTTGTTCGAAAGCCTCCAAATTGCCATTTCAGTGTGATCGAAACTATCCAAATCCTTATGTTTCGATCACACTTTTGGCATCATTTATGTGATCTAAACCCCTAATTCCCTTCATAAGGATTTTTTCAGAGGGGTTTATGATAGTTTAGGCACCATCTTTGGTGGATCCAAAACGTCAGGAGCTTCAGGAGAGGTTTTTTTTTGTTTCCATGTTTTGCTTGTCCCTCATATGGAATCACAGAGATGTTGGGTCAATATCAACCCCAAAAAGGATTTTGTGTGTGCTCAACTGTTTGCTGATCTGATTGCTTCAGTGTCAAGGTATGTTTCTGACTGCAATTTAATGTCATGTACACTGGTACACTGCTGTAAATGCTATGTACTGTACGGTATATATCTGTTGCACTTCCTCTATTTCATGGTGCTGTAAACTTGCACTAATGTATTCTGCTGCATAGATATTTATATCAATCTATATATGTGTGCAGTGTTGTGTACGGTAGTGAAATGTAGGGCAACGTAGAGATACTTGACACTTTTCACCCATCTATGGCGGAAAAAAAACGAGGTTTTGGGGCAATGTCAAGGCCAGCAAGATAGTTCGTCAACTCCCTGGCACGATGCTATCCACTATAGGGAACTATAGCTGGATCTTTATTTTCTCCTGGAAATAGTAGGTTTGGACCCATCCCCGTGTTAGATGACCAATATGGTTCATGGATCGTTATCCCCCCTAATATGGTAACTGGTTGGTGGTTGACTAAACCATCTTGAAAAATGATGGAGTTCGTCAATGGGAAGGTTGACATCCCAGATATGAAATGGAAAATCAAATTCATGTTTGAAACCACCAACCAGGTACAAATAGGTTTTGACCTAACCCCATATGGCCCGTATGCTTGGGATTACTGGATCTTTCTTCCCCCAGCCATGGCCCAGATGACCAATCCCACAAGTTCCGGTCGCGGCGCAACAGGAGCCTTACCGGAAGAGTTCGTGCCAGACTCACGTTTGTTTCGTCGGTGAAAAGTGGAATGAACTGGATGCTAAAGAACCTGAGCTTCGGAAAATTTGGATTTTAATGGATTTTAATGGGATTTCATGCGAATTGAATGGGAATTCAATGGGGTTTAATGGGAATTTACACTCTGCTAAACTGACATAGCGAACGGGAAAATCACCAGTTTTAGTAGGTAGGTCAACTATAAATGGGTCATGTTCAACAGCTATGTTAAAATACAAGAGGGTGACAATGTTCAACTCCCACCACACAGTGAAAAAATCTTACGGCCCAAACAAAAGGGTTTAGCTCAAACCCCAAAAACCAATGATATATATATATATATATGGCAGTGTGTCAAAACCTTGTACCCCTGGTGAACATCAAAATAGCTGGTAATTCCATGTTCATCCCCCTAAAAATGGTATGTATAGGTATTGATCCATAGCCATATATATATATATATCTCATATAATATATGTGCTCATTTTCCTATGAAAACAGCGGCTCATTTTCACTTGGTGGCTGTTGCTCTCCTCAAAAAATCAAACGGAATCATCCCATGATACGGTGAAGAATATCAAACAAACCTGTTGGTAAAGGGATAAACAAACCCTTTGAAATTAATCAACCAACCCATGGGATTAATATGATGTTATATATATACATATATATATATATCATATGTATAAACGAAACCAGCCAGCATTAAATTTTAGCTGGTTCTGTTTTTTTCTTCCAAGTGGCAAGAAGGCCCAACAATCGATGGTGGAAGGTCTCACCAACGACTTGAATTCAATGCCAAAGAGTGCCCCGGCATAGAGGAGGAGGGCAGGAAGATGCAGGGAAGGTACCAGAAAGCCCTCCAGGCCCACCTGGGGCCGGTGTCACCGTGACATGGCTTCTACCCTCTGGTAAACTAACATAACTATTGAAAATGGTGATTTATAGTGGATTTCCCCATTAAAAATGGTGATTTTCCATAGTTATGTTAGTTTACCAGAGGGTAAATTGGAACAACAAATTGGTAGAATCCAGACTATCCAGATGTTTTTCTGTGAGAACCTTGAAGGATTTTGATTTCCCAGCGGAACATCAACCAAAAGGGTGTTATCCATTGATTTTTATGAGAACCATTGGTGGTTTTTGAGTATCTGATAGTATCTGGAGGAGATCAAAATCCAAAAGAATCATGGTTTAGATCGTGTTTTTTTCAGTCAGGAATCTCCCTGGATTTGCTCAACATATTTTCATCCGCCTTCGAAAGAACTCAACATATCCCACTGACATCCCACGTCGAAAGAATGGACATTGGCAAGTGTTTGTAGATGAAATCGTATTACAAAAGGGGTCTTCTTTTTCCTTGCACTTTTGGAAGTGGGCCCCAATTGTAAGTTGGTTTACAACCCCCATCTATAATCATCTATAGATATAGCCACCCCAACTATCCAGAATTCCTATGGTACTCGTAGCTATAGTTATAAAATCAAGAAAGAAACAGGGGACCCCGTCCACTGTTTACAGAACGGGTTCTTCGCGGGAGTGACTTTATCACCAAGCTTCGACGACCAAGATGGAGCGACAGAAGAGAAGCACTACGATTCCATGTCCAGCTCGCACTAAGAGTTGTGAAAGTTCCAACTGGAAAGCTTCCTGGCACTGCCACAGAACTTCCGCGTTGAACCCGGCCACAAATGTCGCAGACAGTGTGATGTTTTTGTTCCTTTGATCTACCGTAATAGACCCTCTGCCGACAATATTCGATAATTGCCCAAGAGTTTCTCATAGTTTTACCTTGTTACCAATCTTTATGGGTCAACCAAGGGTCTCAAGGTTGGTCAAGGACTAAGAGTATCCGCATGTTGCCGATTAAAACTTTAAAAGACTTGCCAAGGTTGCTATTTGATGTCTGGGCGTGCTGGAAAATATTCCTTTTCAGCAGAAAAAAATCATATGCAAATGGATATGGGTTTTCCAGGCAGTTGGCTAAATTCTCATGATTTATCATGTCCGGATACACTTGGGAAATCCGGCCCCCAAAAAGTGCATTGTTTACACTGATTACAAGCAGACGTGCATTTTTTCCAAAAGAAACACCTTGAACTTGACCTCCCAAACCCCTCAACGTCCTGCGTTTGTCGATCCAGTTTGGACAACTGCAGCTGAGAGTTGCAACAGAATGCAACCACACTGCTATAGCCACCTCAGTCACCATTTAGATGTAGTGATGGAACGTGGGTGATTGTACTAAAACAGTCCATTCATTGGTTTCATTTTTTCTTTCTACAAACAAATGCAAAAAAAACTTAGTTCCTAATGGTTCCTATCATCTCCCATTGCTTAAGTTGGTTCAAAAATAAACATGCGACTCGTCGTTCAACCTGGTCATGGCCATCTGGGTGCTGAACAGAAGGTCTCTGCTTATGGCCTTTTTAGGGGCATATCCCAAGCTGGTTGGTGGTTGAAAAAAAACATCTTGAAAAATATGAGTCAATTGGGGTGATTATCCCATATATATTATATTATGGAAAATGAAGCACCAGCCAGCCAAGAAATTGGTCAACGAAAATGGTAGATCCAGTGCCTCCATTTGGGCGGTGGGCAGTTGAAAAAATGAAAACACGTGACATTCACGGAGTTCCAACGCAACCTAACAACAACACACACAAGCCCACTGCCAAGTTCATCCGGTGTTTAAGTGGTAGCTTGGGTTGTTGGTTTGGATTTCTTATGATTCTTATGTTTGAATTCCTGAGGATACCCCATAATGATTGCCCGTATTGTCCTTGTTTGAGCCCCTGGAAATCAATCATGGCAAATTATGACCATGGACAGTTTCGAACTTCAATATGCATGTGTTGTTTTTGTTTCCATTCGATAAATGTTCTCTGGCAAAAAGCGGTTATGTGCCAAACAGGTTGGGTAGATTGCTACTAACTATTTGACTAGGTTTCGTGCTAGCTGGTTAATCTGCATAAATCAGATATGTATACATATGCAGACAAAAGTGAATCAATCCAGCTAAAAATAAAGTCACGGCATGATAAATTTGAATCAGCCGAGTGATAAACATGGTTTATTCATGTATATGATTTACATTATGTATATATACATATATGCATGATATGTATAATACATATGCAAGTCAAGGTGATATCAAGTTGTTGTTCTGTACATACAACAGTATACATATACATATATATATATATATATATCGTCTGTACGGACAGTTTAATTGTACGCATTATACATACAGTTCATATAATGTGTACACACTTGTCACACAGTATATAAAACATGTGACATGTATAATATATATACATACATATATAAATACATTATAATGAATTTCATGATAGTAGTATCTTTTCAAAAAAAACAATAGTATCTACTGTAAGCAATATGTGCATGTATCATAGTCCTATACAATCATATGTATATGTATATACATATATATATATATTAATATACATGAATGTGTAGTGTATGCTACAAAAGGTGAAACCACATGAATAATTCTGAAAAACATATATATATATTATCTTAATTGAACTATGTATAACATGTGGTGTATATATATATATATACACATGTATTTATTGAACTAGCTGTGTATATATATATACACATAAAACATACATACGTGTATGTATGTATGTATGTATGTACTGTATGTACTGTATGTACTAAATGTACTGTATGTACCGTATGTACCCTATGCACTGTATGTACCTTATGTACTGTATGTACTGTATGTACTGTATGTACTGTATGTACTGTATGTACTGTATGTACTGTATGTACTGTATGTACAGTATGTACTGTATGTATTGTATGTACTGTATGTACTGTATGTACTGTATGTACTGTATGTACTGTATGTACAGTATGTACTGTATGTATGTATGTATGTACTGTATGTACCGTATGTACCCTATGCACTGTATGTACCTTATGTACTGTATGTACTGTATGTACTGTATGTACTGTATGTACTGTATGTACAGTATGTACTGTATGTATGTATGTATGTATGTATGTATGCATGCATGTTTGTATGTATGTGTATGTGTATGTATGTGTATGTATGTGTATGTGTGTATGTGTGTATGTGTGTATGTGTGTATGTGTGTATGTGTGTATGCATGTATGCATGTATGCATGTATGCATGTATGCATGTATGCATGTATGCATGTATGCATGTATGCATGTATGCATGTATGCATGTATGCATGTATGCATGTATGTATGTATGTATGTATGTATGTATGTATGTATCAATATAAACATATATTTACATATATGTAATATGTACATAAACAGGGGTTAATTCAAACACCTAAACACCACTACAATCAGAGCATTGAGTTCTTTATCGATTAACAAAAAACAAATTGCGGATCTGATTTGAGTGCTGTGAGATCATTCGCAGCAAATGAAATTCCCAAGTTGACATAGCTGGGGTTCGTTCACCAAAGCACTACTTACCCTCTGGTTATTTCACGTAGCTATGGGAGATCATCATTGTTAATAGGTAAACCCAGGTAAACCATCTATAAATGGGCCATTTTCCATGGCTATGCTAAATAACCAGAGGGTAATCCGGTTCTAAATTAATGGGTAAATCCTCATTGTTAATAGGAACATGGCCCAGTCGAAATAGCTGATTTACCCATTAAAAAGGGTGGGTTTTTCATGGTTTTCTGACTGCTTGGTGGTTGCTGCTAACCCCTCTGAAAAATGATGGACTTCGCCAGTTGGGATGATGACATGACCCCAATATTAAAAAAAAAAACATGTTCCAGTCACCACCAAGCAGTGAATCTATTTCTATGGGCCATGACTTCCACAGCTCTTCAGTAAGAGGGTCATGGGATTCACCTCATGGATTGTGATGGTCTCCAAGACATATTGCTTAGTCTGGTTAGTATCCCCCAACGAATCATCAACCAACCATCATCTATCAGTTTTATATAATTGTATCCACTGAATATCTCTACATGGTTGACATATGTTGAAATATCGATTAATTCATTCTTTCATAACCAACCAGGCAACAAGGGTTTTGAACAGCAACTTGGAGCTTCAAGTTGAAAGGCTGGCGCCAAGTCACTTCGCAAGACGGCGCAGAGCTGGTGACGCTTCAGCAAGGACATGCAGATCGTCAATGTCATCAAGATCCCACAGGCCTCATAAAAGTGTCGAAGCGCAGATGGCATGCCGAATTGCGACTAGAAACCATAAAGGTGTCTACATATAATCTATATAGTATACATATATATATATATATTGCCAATTATGGCCATGATACAGTATGTATATATAAAATACATAATAGTTCAACAAAGTTCTTGTCTAGACTAAATGCATGGCTCCTTCAAATGATGCATCCCCATGCTTTGTTCCTTTCATACCATGTGGGTAGGGATGAAAATCCTGGTAATTATCCTGTATATCACATCCGGAAAATGAACAGGATGGTCTACTTGGGATGCTCATCAACTGAAAAAAATCGACATTGACCCGGGAAAACCTGGACCCTCCAAGTACCTCCAACACCTGGAATAACATCATGTAAAATACCCCTTGATATGGAGGTCCACATGGTTCTTTGGATTTTTCCATGAAATAAAACCATCCAGCTATGGAGGTACCTCCATGACTATGGAACCCCAGCTACGGAGGATCTAAGTTCGGGATTCACCCTGGCCATCGGTCGTCAGAAAACGAGGACATTGATCTGCTGCAGCTGCTCATCTGTCAGCTCCATGGCGCGAACGATCCAAGGTGATGTGTCCGCCAACTATAGGTACTCAATATATATATATATACACATATTATAGATACCCGGGAAAACCAAATAGATGCGGAAAACCAAAACCATCTACAAATGGGTGGGGTAAACCCACATTTATTGGCAGTTTACAGGAGGGTACTTGTCCACCTGTCCAATTTCGTGGTTTGAACACCAACTGTTATTATCGGTAACTATCCCAATTTCGCTGCAGTTATAGTATATACGTTACAGTATATAGCCACCAACTTACTCCACTTAGCGTATGGTTAGTTCAACCAACTTATATACCTCATCTGTTAGATGCCATAAGTTGCAGGCGATTGATGATGTCCCGTCATTTTCATGTTTGATATGGACACTCCACTCAAGCAACTCATTCCAAAAAGAATCAGCCAACCGGCTTGTCCAGTGAGGTTAGAAAATATGCATCATCTGTGGCAGTCTCTGCGCTTGTGGTTGAGCAGCCTTTCCAGATCTGCTGCGGAGATCAGGTCTTGTTGGACGCAACGAACTGCTCAAATTTCCAACTTTTGCCGAAACTTCGAACACATCGAAAAATCAAACGCCTCAAAATCATGAGATGTTGTTTTTGCAAAGGAGCCTTCGTGTTGGATAAGAAGCTCCCAAGACACTTTACCAGAAAAGCAGTGTCCGCAAAATTGGGAGCCTTGCCTACTTGGATCCCATTTAGTGGTTCATGACCCCGGTGAATAAATCAAGAACAAGTCTTAAGTCAGTGGGTCAAGCTATTTGTCATTGGTATATAAGCCCACTTACTACAGTAAGCATCATGGTCATCCATGACTTGGATGATTTGGGCCTACCCCCATGACGAAACGGAAAGCTCCAAATGTGTGGTGAGTGTGGAACCATCCAGTGTGTATATATAATATATTATACATATCCCAATAATTAATATCATCCAATATACTACAAGGTTAGTTATGGTGATATAAATGTTGATCATGGTTCTATGATACTTTGATATACTTAGATATAATGATCAGGTAAGGTCCCCAACCAGTTATGTTAGTAAAATATCTTGGATGATCACTGATCCAAGCATCTTAGGTCGCCTGCTTCTGGTAGCGTCGATGAAGTTCCCAGGCCAATTCTCCAAGCCAATAGTCCACCTGGATATTCGCTGGGACCGGCAACAAGATCAAACAACCCATAGCTATTGAAAATGACCATAGACCTAGCTGATGTACCGATGAAAAAATCTAATATTCCACAGTTATGTGAGTTTTTTTAACCCGAAATACCTGTTATTCTTATGGCTTCCGGGGTTACCATGCCATGGGGTGAAACCTTGCAGCGCCTCTGCCACGGACCTCAAGCGCTTTTCTCCGAAGAACGTCTTTCCGTTCGAGAGGCTCTTAACCAACTGCCTGTCCTGAAAGAAATCTTGCGGATATCCAAGGGGACTTGCAGGACCCAGGAATCTTAAGTGGTTGGTATATTTGCAAGTGGTTGGTGTATACATATAGATATACATGTTATTAACACACATGCAATTGTGGATATGCAATTGTGGGTAGTTGATATTAGATATTAAATATATAGCCACAATGATATCCCATACATTCCATATCCACAACTACAATTGTGACAATCCATAAATGGTTGGATATAACAACTAAAATTGTATTAATCAATTATTATATAGTTATCCATTATATATGTGTTGTGATTTATCACTTGTATAGTATTTGCATAATTCATAATCCACTATTATATTAGTTATTCTATGTGGTTCTTACCCACTTGCCAACTAAAATGAACCCCCCCGGATCACTATCCCCTTGGGATAAGACATAAAAAACAATCTATACGAAGATATACCAATCAAGGGGAGGTTGTAATATGTTGTAATACCCAAGATAATGTTATAGTAATATTGGTATATCAGATTCCCTTAGTGATACTTGTAGTATTAGTTGTAGTATCTTGCGGTTACCCCGTCATTATGTTGTTGGTTGCGCTTCAGCAAATCAACGCGAACATCCACCGTTTATAGATCATTGAGGAAAACCATTGGTTTTCCAAATGGCTATGTGTCAAAATGCTGAAAATAACAAACTATATGTGATCCTTGGGGCCTCAATATGTGACTCATGACTATTTTATGCCACTCATCTATTGCGAGTGGCATCTTCCCCTGATGGAAGATCCCGAAGCGCACCATCTACAAATCCGGGTTGGTGGTTTCAACCCTACCCCTCTGAAAAATATGACTTCGTCAGTTGGGATGATGAAATTCCCAATATGATGGGAAAGTCATTCAAAATTCCATGGTTCCAGTTACCACCAACCAGTAATCCCATTGTCAATCCCATTATTAATCCCATTACTAATCCCATCATTACCCATCTATATATCAACCATATCAGAATCATGTCCAAAACTACTCCCATTATTTTATGAAAATGACCAGTTGATCAAAATCCCAAAATCTTCATTTTCTCAAGGATCCATCCGACCAACCACTGACTCCACCAGCGGTGAACCGGTGAACCGAAAAAAAAATAATGCCGACGATTGGAATCAATGTGACATAAATATGCTATGTCCATGACTTGTTACTTAAGTTACATCCGGCATTTAAGGGTTTGTTAAACGAACACAGCTATGTATACATTGATGTGATAAAACATCATGCCTTGAAGATATGATTGTAATAGATTACCCTCTGGTAATTTAACATAGCGATGGAAAATCACATGTTTTAAATTGGTAAATCAAATCCACTATAAATGGGCCATGTTCCATAGTTATGTTAAATTACCAGAGGGTACGTTTTTTCAATGGATGAAACAGATCAACAAGAGCGTTCTTAAAATTGCCATCATTTCATCAGGGGACTCCCATGATTTTGGGGGCATGTGGTAAACCCAATGGCACAAACCATCCCAGCAAACATGCCCAATGAACATGAAGTATCGTTACATAAACCCACATTGAGATCATCAAATGTTCATTGATGAATTCCAAACATTATTCCAACAAGATAATCATCCCCAATCAATATCATAATCAGTTGAATGTTCAATGTGTTCAATATAAGAATCATCAAAATGTCATGAACAAAAACATTAAACCTTCAGTGGTTGAAATTGTCGAACTTCGTCCAAGCTTCCCCCAGACAAACTCCCATGATTTGGAGGTGGGGGGGTATAAACCATCCCCCAGTCATCACCATACATAGGTGATATAAACCATTCCAAAAAAATGGTTTATCATGGTCTATGACATTGTTTTACCATGTTTTACCCACATTAAACCCATTAAGATCATCAAATTCTCAAAGCTCCTTTCCCTTGACCCCCCCACGTCCACGGCCCAACGCCTTCACGGCTTCCGCTGCCGAATCTTCACCAGCTACAAGGGCCAGAAGCCACTCACCTACATCGGTCACGAGTCGGGAATGGGGGATATCGGGGATTAATCAGATGTGGAAATGGAAATGACAATCATGGGACCAGGTTGCTATCATGGGAATCTATGTTGGTATACAAACAATGGGATTATATATATATATATACAGATATATGTTGATGGGATGTTGATATCATGAGCAAAATTAGATTATATGGAATAGATTGGAATCAATATGGGGGAAACCAACCATTTCATGAGGGTTCAAAGGATTCGTGCCAGGAAACCCGGAAACCAATAATTTCTTTCACCTTTGGGATTCGAGCCACCCGGGATTCTTGGTGGTGTGGTTTCCTCTAGTTTTTGTGAATAGCCACACGAAAACAGAAATAGGAATGCTGGAGACCTGGAAATTAGACATTAAAGTCCAGAAATCATCTACAATGTGAGGCCCCCAAGATAGCTAAGTTGGTTTATAACTCCAATAACTATGGTTTATGGTATTTATAACTATAGTTACTGGGGCTTTTGTTAACCAACAAACATCACCGGGGGGCCTCACATCTACTATAGATATCTATAGCACCCTGGAAAAAAAAAAAAAAAACTATGGGAGAGTTTTATGTAGCGAAACCTAGCGAACCCACCTGGGGATGGTCGGATGGTCCGTAACAGCCGTCGTTTGTACAGCCCTGTTGATGGTTTATCCTTGGGTCTAGCATATACCCTCTGGTATTTTAACATAGCTATGGAAAATGGACCATTCCTGTATAATTTATGATGATATTTTCCTATTCATGGCATGGTGATATTTTCCATGGCGAACTGTTGGTCATAACCAGAGGCTACTTCGGGTATCATGACGGCAGGAGGTTTGTCCATCATCTCCTGACAGAGTTGATGAAACGTATCTTCCGTATGCCGTGCTACACCATTGCATCACCCGAAGGGCCAGAGATTCTTTTGATGATGGGCTAATACCCATAGGATCCATGGTGCTGGTATGTATGCTAACATTGGGGGTCTATTAATGGTAAATGTTACCATAATTTACCATATATGGCATACATGGATCCTATGGGATATGAAGTCCCACAACTGCTGAGGTGATGGCTATATTTATTTTTAGTCCTGTTAATGGTGAGGTGAGCATGTCCAGCATGCCCCCGAAATTCTGGGTACAAACGAGGAAATGTAACTTGACTTTTGGTGAACACATGGAGGTTTCCGAAAAGTCATGGGGTACCCCGGTACCATCATCCATTTGTCATGAACACTGATGATCTTAGTATTGAAACAACCATGGTGATTTTGCAATGCGAGGCCCCCCAGTTATAAGTTGGTTTAAAAGCCCCAGTAACTATAATTATAAGTACCATAAACCATAAACCATAGTTATTGGAGTTATAAACCAACTTAGATATCTTGGGGGCCTCACATTGTGGGTACCACCATCAGACCGGAGACGCCTCTCTGAGGAAAGTGCTTCATCACGTCCAGGCGAGACACCTGCAAGATAGGACTGAAATTCCCCCAGTCCCGCAAGGGATACACCGTTGTAACTGGTGTCCTTTGGTAATCCAACATGGCAACTGAACATTCACGAAAATCCTATATGGGAACATCAGCGATAAACTATACTGTAAATAATTAATTTTCCGTTGCCATGTTTGATTACAGGACGGTAACTATTGTGAGGAGCCCTTGCATCGATTTGGAATCTAGGGGACCTACCAGTTGCCTTGGATGCTCTGTTGCATTGTTTCGAACGAGGCCCCACAACACTCGCGCAAAATCATGTCTTTGGGGGGTCAGGCCATATACCCTCTGGAAGCAAGCATACCTATCGAAAGTCACCATCTTTCATAGGCAAAATCAAGCATCTAATAGACTGGTCATTATTCATTGCTATGTAAAATGACTGGAGAGTTTATGAGGTTTGTCAAAAAATAACCCCGAGCTTCTCAGTTGCCGCTTCAAACAGATTGGAATATGTCAGGCATGGGTATCAATGAACCCAGGCATGTACCATTGCTAAACTTAGACGCGCTGCAAAGGGTTAGATGATTAGATGTTTAGCTGGTCAGTATATATATATGTAGTTATAATATTATATAATTGTCCATGTGGTCTTGCGGTACCCGCAAACATCGCAAACCATCCAAGTCATGAACGACCTGATTAAACCATCCAGCCAAAGTTGATCGAGCTTTTGGGGGGTTCAGCATTGTGACCCAACAAAAACATCCAGTAAACGCACCGTTTGCTATGGAAAATTGTCTTTTTTAAACGGTAAATCATCGATCTAAATGGGCAATGTTTAACAGGTAAAACATAGCTATAGTAAACAGATTAAAACAGTAAAATGATGTAAAATCTTACTAAAATAGTATTACATGATGCCCAAAAATGCTCTATCGTATTTACCTTTTTGGGAGGTACTAGAACATCTACCATTTGGTTATTTAACATAGCCATGGAAAATGGCCCATTTATAGATGGTTTACTTATTGGAATGGTGATTTTCTATGGCTTGAAATAACCAGAGGGTATAAACAATGATGCACTGCATGTGTAGTGATCCCGCCTGCAGCAGTTGCCCAGCCGTTTCAACCTCAAAGCCTTGGTGCGTGGTTGCACTGCGGGTGGTTGAATCTTGGGGGTTGAGGTGAAGGAGAACCCAGTTGAGCAGGTTGAATCATGGTGCCGTGGGTGCTGCAAAAAGTACCAGAAGTGCGGAAGATTCGAATCTTCACTTAGCTGACTTGGTAAGAGTACCTGAAAAAACAAATCATCGAGGGAATCAAGTTGCATCTCAGATTGCTATCGCCAGGTCGCTAGCTATCACTCCTTAAACAACCTTTCTTCTGGCCTGGCCATCACCCAACGACCATTCACCAATCGTCGCGTCAGCGTCAAGTCGCGATGTTTCACAGCTTGACCAAAGTCGCCCCCAAGACCCGGCAGACGATCTAGTGGCAGATCCTCGATCAAAGGTCGACTGGTCCATGGACCGAACAGGTAACATAAGTGGTGCCCCCAACTTGGCGAATGTTTCTATAGTAGATTATAACTACGATAAGTAGGGTAGATACAATGTGTATACTCTATCCCAGATGCTCCATGGTGCTGGAATATTTACCTACATTTAGCCTAAACATGGCACAAATGTAGGAAAATATTCCAGCACCATGGTTCGCATCTGGGTATATCCAAGGAATTCTCAGGATGGGATGAAGCAACCGGGGAGCACCACCTTGTGATGATAGGAATCCCATGAATCCCAGATACATGGCCATGGCCCCATCCTGGCTAGGTCCCATTGCTTAACCACAATGTGAGGCCCCCCAGTCATGTTTGTTGGTTAACAAAAGCCCCAGTAACTATAGTTATAAATACCATAAATATCCATAAACCATATTGGAGTTATGTTCACCAACTGAACGCTATTTTGGGGGCCTCACTAATTGTAGGTCCCATTGGTTAACCATGATTTGGGGTAGGACTCAATCCTCACACACATCTTGGTCATTTTAGAGCCGGGAAATGGGTAGAAATTCTTTGTTGGGGGCTTCAGCATGTCGAACCACTCCGATCTCGGGGTGTAGATGTTATTCCGATTGTATCCCAGCTTTTGGTTGTCAACCAGTAAATACTATCCAAATATCTATCATCGAATGATTCACCGCCTACAATATAAGCTCCACCTATTGGTTGATCGTGTTTTTTTTCCCTCAGAAAACGCAACTACTTAAACTATATTGATCCTATTCATATTACCATCTTGCGAAATTTCAAGTGACACTCCCAACTGCATGGCCAGTGCGTGGCTCCTTGAGCAAGACTGGTGCAGCATGCGGCAGGAGCAGAGTCTGCCGCTGTGCGCTGTTTAAATCCCAGCTCACAGAATTGGATGATGGGAAAATTTACAGGAAAACCCTATATTTGATGCTAAAAAAACATGGTTTCCGGTAAAGATTTTCCCTTAAACCATTGACATCCATTGACATCCATTGACCAAAGGATCAAGGATCTTTCAAAACCTTGATTTTCCTTGAAACCTCCAACAAATATGTCCTTGAAACGTTGTTTTTCCCTTAAACCACTGAACAAAAAAAACATAAAACAAAACATGATTTCTTCCAGCAAGTCTTCGTCGCCCATTTTGCTGCTTCTGAAGGAAAAAAGGCGGCCAGTTTGCTTCTAAGTCTTGGTGACTTGGTGGGAAAAACGTACACCGTAACGCAATTGACCCTACATGAGCCTACGTATAGAATTATGTATGTATAATGCTACCCCCCTATAAAATAATGATAATAAACAAAAAACAATTAATAATAATAATAGTAATAAAAATAGTAACAATAATATATCAAATAATATTATATATATATATATATCATAATATATATATAACATAATATTATATATGTATATATCATTATATAATTATATATATATATATCCATATCATCAACCAACAGTTGGAAGGTGGTGCACCACCTTGTACATTGAGAAAAACACACAGAATTGCACTTAGACTGAGACTCATTCTTGTTTATTGGATTTTGCTTTGATTTGTTTTCCTCTGGTAATTTTCGTTATTCAGCTGGGAATAGGAATTCCTGATGCATCTCCAATACGTGTGTAAGCGCCTATAAATGACCTATTTTTCATTGTGAGGGCCAGGGTTCTGAGGGCGTACTCTCCAGTAAACCATTTTTTCCGACGATTACCTGATTCACAACTTGTCGCTAACCTCATTATTACGTAGATAGCCTAGATTCTTCGATCCCAGCAATCCTTTCTCTCCAGTTTGCCAAGACAAAGAAAAAAACAGTGGGAACTCCTTTGCCAAAGGATGAAGTTTCAGCAGACAACGCTTTCCCTCAGCGTCAAAGAATCAACGCAATTCGGGCACTATACTAGGGGTGCAACTGTTTTTAATGGGTATACAAGCACAGTTGCAGGAGTTATATCCCAACTCATGGAGGTCAAAAAACCATGGTATTGCCATGGTTATGAAGTCATTCCACCTCAACTGCACCCATTTCGTTAGGCCTTCAGATTTCGGGGTTCACTGGGATCTTTAGCTCCCATTATCGCTGGCTTCAGGGGGCAGAGATCGCACACAAGACTTGGGGGTGTAGCTCCAGTTTCATCACTAGATGCAGTCAGAGCCACAGGGTGGTATCCCAAGGTATGGAGGAAATTACCATGGTTAATGTGAGTAAAACAATGCCATGTTTACCAACCATGACTGGGCATGGTTTCTACAGACCATCTCTTTATAATGATTTTGGGGATGGTCCGTCTATGGCATTGTTTTACCCACAAAAAATACCCAATGCACCCCCAAATACCAATAGCCAAATGTTGAACTTCGCAAACGCAACGCACCTGTTGGTTTGGCTTGTGGAGTCCACAGCCCAACCTTGGTCGTTCATGTGAAACAATGAAGCCAGGTTGCTACAACATTTATGTCATAGGTGTAATTATATAAACTATATGATTATAGCCATAATATAAACATATGCCATCGATTATGCATATTCATATAAATGTTTTTCTTTCTAATCTGATATTGAATGTCCTCTATAATATTACAATTATGTAAAATAACATCTATAATCTATTCTAATAGATAATAGATAAATATAGATGTGTACTATTCTATAATATTCTACAGTACCCAACATCTAATCTATTCTAATCCTATCTATAGTAGTACTATCATATAAATACTTCCTGGCTACGGGTCATCGTACGCGTACTCAAAAAAATCCGAAGGATTGATCGCTGCCGGGTCACGGCAAGGTTGACAAAAATTGCGCCATTTGGGCCATACCATACTGAAATAAAACACATGTATATATTATACATATCTTAATATGATATATTCAATATGGCAAAATCTAATATGTGCATAAATATATATATATATATATATCAACTAATAATAAATGTTAATATTATAATTATGATATATATTAAAAACAAATAGGTTCACAAATAATATATATATATATAACCGGCGTTTGCCCAAACCTTTTGTAGCTTCAATCCCTACGAATTCACCTGCTATCGATGAAAAAACCTGGTTTTGTTTCTTTAAAGATTCGAAGAATTCCCAAAAGAAAACATGGGTTAAGTAAGTTATATAAGTATGTACTTAATTTCTATATATCTATCAATATATCTATCTATACATGTATATATAATCTATAATCTATATGTTTCCATTCATTTCCAGACGTGGAATTTCTCAAAGATTCCCGGTACCGGGACAAGATATAGGGCTGGTCACATGCTGGTCCCCTGGGCGGTCCCCTGGGCTGCGCAGCTTCGCAAGGATCTTGTTGGTCGCCACTCCGCCTGAACAAGTGAAGCCCAACATGGATTCCACCTGGCGCTGTCGACTCGGAGAACCAGCGCCGGTGCCGCAAAGGGCTATGAATATGTGGTGTCCAGAAACCCGAAATAGTAATTTCATGTAAACACGATGATGAATCATGATGAATCATGATGAATCATGATGAATCATGATGCATCATGATGCATCATGATGATTCATTGGATTTGGGGAGGGTTTCAACCACAATTACTCGCGTATGAAACCAACCGTAATGGGAATCTCATGGCATCATGTTAGTAAGCTATATTTGGATGGGGAATTGACGTCAAATCTATGGCCATGCTATGCCATGCTGGGAAAATGATTCTAAAACATGGGATGGAATGGGGTCAACTTCCGTGAACATAGGGGCCATAGAAGGTCTTCAGTGTGCTGGGACGGGAACAAAATGGAACAAACGCAAAACCACCAACAAGTCATTGTTGGAACACTTCCCGCAAATCAGGATGACAATCACACAAGAGTTCCGGATATTGTGGACATATGATTTTTGTTGCCAACATGTTTTATGTCAACGTCTGACCATATATTTGTTTTGATCCAACAAATAAATATGCGTTTAAACATTTTAAAGCTCCATATCATCTGCATGTATAAACAACATATAAATAAAAAACAATGGGTACCATTTAGATTTAGCCGTATTACATTGAGATGTCAATAATTGACAACATATGACGATATCAAACAGACTGAAAAAAAATAAAATCTGGACTCAAAGTAAATTACTTTCTCAAAAATTAACAGTTCGACCCTGAAAATAATCAGTCGATGTTTAGTGGAAACTACTGTAATCTTCCAACCCCCAACAAATGGCAGGGTCTATGTGTATTTGAGGGAGGGGTGTATCAAATATCAAATATTCCCATTAAATTCCAACCAATAGACTTACCCTCTGCTTATTCAACGTAGGTATGGAAAATCATCATTTGAAATAGGTAAGTCATCAAAAATCATCGAACAAAAAAAGGGCCATGGTTTCCAGCCGTTGAATAACAAGAAGGTAACATGACAGATATCAAACACCTTATTGGTGCTAAACCCATGATTACCCTCTGGTTATTTAACATAGCCATGGAAAAATCCACCATGCTATTAATAGGTAAACCATCTATTTCTATGGACCATCTATACCATGGTTATGTAACAAATAACCAGTAAGTAGATGGATTATCCCATGCATTATGGAAAATAAAATTCATGTTCGATTCCAAACCACCAACCAGCATGATTAAATGTCATGTTAAGTCAGTGTCACACAGTAACTGAACCTTCCCAGTCAATACCTTTGGGATCCAACACAACTCACATCTCCTAGGTCATGGCTTCCATCAACCATACATCGGCAAATTTCCACAGCTATGTTGAACAACCAGAGGGTAAACCTTGATTTTATCAGAATTTCATTGGAGATATCACCTAAAAAACAGGTAACATGACTGTATATCAGGTACCGAAACATACCTAAATTATATATAGCACCTATAAAAATGGTGACTTGGGGGATGGTTTATTATTGTTTTACCCGCATTATACATAATATAAACATAGTTTAGCAAAACATATACCCTCTGGTAAATTAACATAGCTATGGAATATATATATATATATAGATATCAATGTGACATATTTCAACCACTATCTATCTATCTATCTACCTACCTACCTATCTATCTATCTATCTATCAATCATATAAGATACAACCTATATAGAAGATGGGCTACCAAAATGGTGGCTGAATATCTTTTATGTTTGAAGTATGTAATATATATATATATATCAACCATTCACCATGGCTCCCTACCTTCCGATTTTTCCAACGGCCGCCTCGGCGCGCAAGTCGTTGACCACCACGGCCCCGGCGATGAGGCGCTGCACCGTGAGATCCGTCGCGAAGCGTTGGAAGACTTCCTGGGGAAACCGTTAAATCAACCCTGGGATTCTCAAGGAATATACCATTAATGGGTTTGAATGGGAATAGATGGGATTTAATGGGAAATAAATGGGATTTAAAAGGAAATTCATGGGATTTATGGGAAATAAATGGAAATATGATGGATATGTGATATATGTATATATAATACCCTCTGGTAAACTGACAGTTTGCCATTGATGGCCATAGAAATAATTGATTTATCGGTTAATAGCATGGTGATTTTCCATAGTTATGTTAGTTTACCAGAAGGTAATGGGAATGAATGTGGATTTCATGGGAATATCATGGATATACTGTGATATACCATGAATATTTTTCATGGGTGGGGATCTAATGATATCAATTATATCAAAGGTTACCATTCAGAAAAAGCCATTTACAATGGGATTCAATGGGGATCTAGCAAATACATTCATTCTATTAGCCATTTACAATGGGATTAAATGGGGATCTAGCAAATACATTCATTCTATTAGCCACTTACAATGGGATTCAATGGGGATCTGGCAAATACATTCATTCTATTAGCCACTTACAATGGGATTCAATGGGGATCTGGCAAATACATTCATTCTATTAGCCACTTAAATTGGGATTCAATGGGGATCTGGCAAATACATTGACTTTACCATATAATCTAGTAATATCAATGGGAAATTTCGCGGACACCATCATCATCATAGCACTTAATTTCATGGGGATTCGGTGATTGGGGTCCATTCGAAAAATATGAACATTGTAAAGGTTAGAAATATCCCCTAACTCTGGTATTCTTAAAACATGATGAAAATAGGGATTTGGTTGGAATATCATAGTCCATTATATTAATGGAAATGAATTATCATATTCCATTATATTAATGGGAATGAATGGGGATTTTAAGGGGAATCTGTCAACATAGGAGTACCATAAAATATTTGACAGTTGTCATTTCCACACGGATTGCAACCCCAAACAAAAAGCTGAACTGGGATGGCTATAGCGAGGATTGATATAATAGGGATATCCAGTCACTGAGTGGGTTAGTTACCCAGAATCACAACTGTACCAAACCTGATGTGGGGATTTAACTCACCAACATATGATGGGGATATGAATTGTAAATGATGGTGCTCCAGTGAGTTAAATGCAGCTGAATCGTAAATTTGGCAAACATAACTCCAATAACATCCAATAACTGTTAGCTTTATGGATGTTGATGGTAGATATCATGCTTGTAAGATCGGGTTGTTTTCAGCAAGAAGCTAAACCAGCACCACCTTCTACGAAACCAGCACTTAAATGTGGATTTGATGAATTGAGGTGATTTTATATGGAGATGAATCAAAAACATGTGGATCTGTGAAGTCTGTGAAGCACAAAAAAAAAAACGTTGCAAGTGAGGTTTTAATAGGTAAAATCTAAAAACCCTCAGTTGACCCATATAGGTAAAAGGATTCACATTATGAGATTAAAAAAAGACCTTTGATGGGTGAATTTTTGGGTTTAGGTATCCGCAAAACATGACTGGTTTTGATGGCAATTTACTGTCAACTGGAATATTATATATATATATTACCAGTATTTGAAACTGGGATGTGGCGGGATAATGTGTGACATATGTGACATACATCAACTACCAACCCCTTTTTGCGGCCCTAAGCCAAGCTCAGGCATTCCAATAGGTGGGCTGCAGATGCCGACCGTCACTTCAAGAGATACGTGGAGCTCCGCTCCAGAATTTGCGATGTTCATCCATGTCCAAACACAATCTTCTACTTTTGGGGGGGCATCATCCCTAAGTTTTCAGGAGAGCCACCCATGGAACCCGCACGCCTCCCATCCATCTGCCAATTCTGAAACATTCCTGCGCATGGTCCAAAGGATGCGGGAACTTCGGGAACAGGATGCCGCGGTATGCTTCAAACCGAAGGAACAAACGGAAAAAACAAGTCCGTCAAAGCAGTGGGACAAGAGACGAAAGATCCATATCTATAAAGTGTGTGTATATATATATATGTATATATATATACATATATACATATATACAGTATGTATGTATTTATATATATACATACGATACATATATATATATATATATTTATAAAAAGCCTGATGCTTCTTTTTTGGGGAAGACGTCAAAGGAAACCAGTGAAACATGCTGTGAACGACAAAATCAAAAGGAAATGGACACCATCATCTGAACTTCGTCCTGGCTTGCTGCTTCTGATGTCCTTGTCTTGCTTCACCTACGCCACTCCGGATGAATTTATAGGAATGTGAAAATGGTTGGGCTGTGGGTCTTCAGTGATGATCAATTTACCTTATATGGCTATACCCCAAACTTAGGATTGCAATCTGTACTTCCTACATCTTCCTACTCACTTGTCATCTTTCCAGATCGAAGATGCTCATTGATGTTTCCGTAAGATGGATCCATTAAATGTACACTCAACTGGATAACTTCATCAGACTGCTGGGACCCCGGTTCCCTGCGGACAACTCCTGGATCTTATCCGTTTCTAGTCATTTGATGCTCTTTCAATCCTCTTGATTTGTCGCTAAGATATTATACGTATAAATATATATATATACATATATATAGTATACATGTATAAATATATATATATATAATAGTTATATCTATCATTATATGCATATATAATTAAAATATATTATAATATTGTATACAATATCACCAGCCAAGCAGAAGAAAGACAACACCGATTTATATAAAAACCCAGGAAATCCAGCTCAACAATGACCATGTCCTGCGGTTTGCCTCAGTCTCCCCAGCCAACTACAGTGACAGTAGGACATTCCCGATGGATCCAAACACTGTCTGAGAACGTACTTAAGATCTTAAGCCTCCAATTTATAGTAAATTATAAACCCTTAAACACTTCCTAAGAAGATAGGACTGGATCCATAGTGTAACGGTGTATGATTTACACATATCTACACTGATTCACTGGTTCACCCTGAACAACACCACAGATTCATTCAATGTTCCACTGCTGATTCTGGCGCAAAGTCTCCCTAAGTCCTCCCAAGACCCTTAAATCCTCCGAACAAACATCACCCCCACCAGAAAAAAAAACATCAAATCCCCAAATTTCTGGCCAAAATATGGTCAATTTTTAAAAAAATATCCAGTTCATTCAATATATCCAAGCCTTGAAACCCAACAACAAAAATCCTAAAAATCTCGAAAAAAACTCAGCAGATTCACCACATCATCCGCCAGGTCCGCCAGGTCGCTCCGCGTCACGTTGGCCGCCGCTTTGCTCAGCGCCGAGTCCGCGAGATGCGACGCACGCTGCGCGCGGCAGCGGAGTTCCGCGAAGTCCACGGTGCTCAGCAGGCGCTGTGATTCGCTGCTGATGTCGATGGCCACCTCGAGACACATCACGTTTTTATGGGTTTGCTATGGTTTAATATGGATTTTTTTATAGGATTTAAATATGGATGATCATGGGATAATGATGGGATAAGACTGGGGAGATTTAATGGGATTTAACCATTGGCATATGGTGATTTTTCTGGGTTTTGATGGTGATTTAACCATCATCAAATGGTGATTCAATGGGATTTGATGGATATTGTATAGATATTGTATGGATACCCTCTGGTAAACTAACAGTTTGCTATGGAAAGATCTACTATTTTGAATGGGTAAATCCCCTATTTCTATGGCCATTTTCAATAGCTATGTTTGTTTGAGGGTATATTCAAAGAGGAATTTGGGATGATAGTATGGTATGGCATCATAGAGTATGAATATATCATATATCGATATTATTTAAAAATGAGAATGTATGGCAACTAGTATCATATTATGGTATCATATGGCTATTAATAATATGGTATCATCTACGATTGAATATCCATAAGGTACAAAAATATCACAAACACATTAAAACAAGGAACTGTTTGAACATAAACCAGTATACAATATGGCACTATGATATAATATGGTAGGGCTATGACGGCTATGACCAATCAACCAGGCTATTTTTGATGGCTCACCTGAAGCAGGGCTGGGGAAGAAACCCAAGAATTTCTTCGGGATTTCCCGGATTTTTTTTTGGAAAATCGACACATGGTAGATTTGACCTGAATACGTTACCCTCTGGTTATGACTAACATAGCCATGGGAAATCATCTTTTTTAATAGGTAAACCCAGGTAAACCATCTATTTCTATGGGCCATTTTCCATGGCTATGTTGGATAACCAGAGGGTATCTTACTGGAGGCAACCACTCTGGGAGAGGATCACATGACTACTGGCCGTATGGGGTCAGTAGCCACAACAAGTCATCCCTGGAGTTTTGCTTCCGGAAATCTAACAGTTTGCTATTGGAAATGGCCCATTTATAGTTGATGAAACACCTACCTACATATATACAATGAAAATTGTCCATAGCAATGTTAGTTTACCAGAGGATAGATGTACATCCATCCTCTGCACATAAAAACCACTGATTAAATCCATTGAAACCCCAAACAGGGGCTGAATTTGGGTTTTTGCTCGTGGTTTTTGGAATAAACATTTGTGTTGTGTGTGTGTGACCGACCCATTTAAAGTAGTCTACATCCAAATATACCAAATTTGTAGTTTATATAGTATGTCATTGATTATCATCCTAAGCCCTCCAAAGTACCCATCAAAATGGGCCAAAATCCTGAAATCACGCGTCTCTTTTACCATATCAATACATTTTTCAAATCGCAAATGGATGATTATTAAAAACCAGTTAACTATAGTTAAATCATATCCCATTCAAATCCCACTTATTAACAGTTTAAATCGTGTTTAACGTCTCCCATTAAACTATGAAAATGGATCCACTGGGTGCACCTCGTCCACGGAGCGCTTCTCAGTGGCATCACACTTTTGGGCCAGGAGCTCTACCACCGCGTCGCCCGCTTCCTGCATGGGGGGAGATGGTAAGGGGATGGTAAAGGGGAGATGTTGGGAACAAAGTTAGGTTTGGGGGATCATATCTTCATTTATATATCATGATATATTATGAATGTAATATGTGGGCTATAAAAAATGAACTGCAAAAGATAGTATTGTAGTTTTAGATTAGAAAGAAACTAAAGGTTAGCATGGATGGAATATTGAAAACGATCCTTGGGAAATAGCTTGCAAAACTGTGGCATTGTTTGCTCCAAAGTACCCCAAACATTGGGATATGTTTGAGATTCCAGCTCGTATCTTCCGAGATGTAGAGGGATATGTTTGGAAGATTTCAGGGGGTATGTTTGAAAGATTTCATTCGGTATTTTTGTAGACGTCAAGAAGTATTTTTGGATCTGCCAAGGGGCATGTGTATACCCACGGACAACTTGCACTAACCGTCTAAAGAGGCGAGTCTAGTTGCTGATAGAAACAAACCCTAACACACACATATGTATATATATATGTATATGTATATGTATATGTATCTGTATATGTATATATATATGTATATGTATATATATATATGTATATGTATATGTATATATGTATGTATATGTATATGTATATGAATATGTGTGTGTATGTGTATATGTATATGTATGTGTATATGTATATGTATATGTATGTATATATATATATGTATCTATTATGTTTCAACACTAAAATATGTGAGAGTTCATTAATGTTCATATGACAATGAATAATTCACATTAAGCAACAATAACCTTTGAAACATGGGGTACTAGACACCCGTGATGTTGTTTCTTTTGACATACTTCTACTTTGCCCATCCTCATGGATACAACTGGAAGGTCCTCATGGGGACAGGAAACTCATGGGGATGATTTCCAGTCATCCCAAAAAACGCCCGAGGAATTACCCTCTGGTTATTTAACATAGCCATGGCAAATTCCGGGATGGAGGTTTTTATGGGAAAATCATCTATAAGTCACCATTTTTAATAGGTAAACATAGGTAGACCATCTATTTCGATTAGGGCCATGGCTTCCATGGCGAACTGTAAACGTCATAACCAGATGGAATTACACGAGACTTCGTCGCCACGGTGTTGATCCGGGGATGTTCCGTACGACTTCGTCGCCTTGTAGATTTGCAGGTCTGCCTTTCCAAAGGCTGTTGGCACCTGCACCAAGATGATCTCTGGGCAGACCTACAGCAGGTGAACCCGGAAGAGTCATGGCACTTGGGAATTTATACTGGGATATAAGGAAATTATATCCTAATGGGATATGAATGGGATGCAATCACATATTAATGGGATATTTTCATAGGATATCATATCAGACTGATAGATAGATGCATATATGCATACTATATATAATATTATACAGATTCAAAAAGTAGTATATATAGTAGTATGACATATAAAATTACACATATAATATATATATATATGTATGTATATGTATGTATATGTACATATAGAGATATCTACTTTATCTCAAATATATATATATATATATAAAACCCTACAGATCCAAGTACCTTCTTAGGAAGTGTTTGGGGTATAATTTACTAAAAATGGGAGGCTTACGTACCTTCTCAGACAGTGTTTGGATCCATAGGGTATATATATATATATGTAAATAATAATGATTCGCGAACCTGAAATAAGGCCTCCCACCTGAAATAAAGCCATTTTGGGATGATTCCCCTTACTAACCATCACTTCCAGTGAGGGAGAACAGTGAGGTCGTTATAATTTACCCAGATATATAACCATGATTTATGGTGAATATAGCCATAGATAACCATAGATAGTGGGATATAAAATTCAAAAAAAAATATAATGTGGTTTTAACTGAGTATTAGGCATGGCTTATGGTGGAACATGATATAATCATAGTATTCCTATAGACAGGGGTTGGTCAATATCCAAATTGAACTATGATATCACCAGCAAATACTTGAAAGTGATGGGGATATCCTAATTTTTCACTATTGGGGATATTACCAACAAATACTTGTTTTAGTGATGTGAAACAAATCCCCAAACCAGGACATTTACCAAGCCCTGAGGCGCCTTCTTGGCTTCGTGGCCAGACATCTGCCGCGTGACGCCCTTGGCTCTCGCCTCGTAAGAGACAGCGATGATGCCACCCATGGCGCCTACCGAGGCAATCCGCGACGAAAACGATGGAAATCGGTGGATTTCTGGGACATGATGTAAAAATGCTGGTTTTGCATGTTTTTTTTCATGTTTTTTTTTCGTATCTATCTCAGTTGACTGGAGGCTACTTGGATTTATTCACGTAGTTGAAACTATGATATTTCTTTGCACCAGCAAATATATTGTTTTTATCCCGTGAACTATAGTTTTTTTTGGTAAGATTTCCTTTCATCCAATTCTGGGATAGATCACACATGGCCACAAAAACTCTGCACCCAAGCTACAATGGGATGATAAGTACTCACATCTCCTTACTAGTAAATACCATCCATATGTTAGGCCTAAAGTGAATAGGGCTGGCACTATACCAGGGGTTGCTGCTTGGGTGTATGTCTTGTGTCCGGGGACATACCACTATATCGTATCATCTGTACAGTAGGCAACATAGAATTATTGTTTACCATGATTTTGATCTTGATGTGTTCATTATCATTCACTTTGATGATTGAATTGTATTATCATTTCTATCGTTATCAATATGACTATTACCAAAAAACATAATGTATCATGATTCATATAATACAAAGTGGGCCCCTAGATAGCAAAGCTGGTGTTTAACTCCAATGACTATGGTGTCTGATAGATAAGTTACATATAGTTGTAAACCAGCTTCTAACTGGCTGGGCGGCATGGTACCAAGAGACAAATCGCATCCACTTACATGTGGGTAAAATCGCAAACAGAAGTGGACACACTTATTTAGAAAAAAACAACAGCAACAACAACAACAACAATATGTATAATACACCAAAAAAGTTAGGGATACTAAACAATTTCCCATAATTTATATGTTGGTCCAGTGAGTCAAATCCATGTGACATGGCACGTTAGTCCATAATAATTTGTTATTTACACATATATGGACTAATATTAATATATATATATATTCTGGACTAATAGTAATTTGTTATTTACACTATTATTATTGTTAGTCCAGACATATTTACACATATATGTTTGTCATTATTATTGTTCTTCTTACTACAGTATAATTATTGTTATATACTTTCTTAGTACCATTCATTACTAATCAAAAATAATCACTGATGTTATTGTAAAGTTAAACATGCAAACCTTGCACACAATCAAAGCAAGGGTGAGCAATTGGAAGGTCTGACTTTGCAGCCTTCAAAGCCCAACAAACCCACATGTAAACATCTGATGATGTCAAACAACAAATAGGTTCGCCTAGTATGAGCAGGCGAAGAAAGAATGCTATGGACAGAGGGTGCGAGTCAATCTGCACAGTTCAGACATCTATGAGGTCCGAACCACCAACAGCAGGGAATTAGGAGGACGGCTGAGGAAGTGGACAGGAGCGGCAAGCTAAGGCTAAGGCCACTCTCAGAATGCAAACTTCAGAAGAGGAAGAAAATGATGAATGATTCGGTCCTTGGATGATTCTTGATATGATTGGATGCTTATTGTAATTTTAAAATCACATAATTATACTGGATGGTTGATCACTACCAGTAATGACTCCATTATAAATGATTGGATGGTTACTATCATGATCATTGATCTTATTGTTCTCATTAGATCATTGCTTGATCATGGTCATGGATCATTGCGACATTCATTTTACGAAATTTGATGTTGATAGTGCAATAGATGCTATTAGCTGCTTGCCCTGCTTGCCAACTTCTGATGCCATAAAAATGATTAGCTGCTTGCCCTGCTTGCCAGGTTATTATATACAACCATAATGAGATAGGTTGTTATAACCATTACTGGTTGGTGGTACACCTACCCTCTAAAAAATGATGGAGTTCATCAGTTGGGAGTATGACATTCCCAAGATATGGAAAGTCATTCAAAATTCCATGGTTCCAAACCACCAACCAGGGATTAATAATGGTTAATAATGGTTAAAAGATTTTATATGGGACTAAGACTGGTTAATAATTATTAATAATGTGGTTAATAAGCCCTACTTACTATAACCAGTATATAATCCCATTATTAATCCCATTATTAACCATCATTGGCTGATTGGCACCTGCCGTTCTCCAACGATCGTCTTCCGGGCGCAGGTCGGGGCGTCCCCGCTGCCCCGTGGGGTACTGCACCACCTGAAACCAAGGTCCGACCCCCATGGAGAGGAGACGAAAAATGGCGGGTTGAAATGGGTTGAAGCAACAAACATGTGGAAGTTAAGCCAGTTCAGAAAACAATGGATTATTCCCAGGAGTTTTATCAGGACTTAACATGATTTTTCACGTAGTTGAACTAAGACTTGAATTGGGATTCGATCACCAAAAATGGGAGACTTTCATGGATTCCCAGTGGTTGACTTTGTGACAAGATAAGTAAGGTCAGTTGGGGAATGAAAATAAACCAGCACACATAGAAAGCATCTGTCAGTGGAATAACTTCACTGACGATGGATAACATGGTTTCATAATGTTTACCTGGAACATAACAATGTGGCTTCCAATCTACCTCGAATGTACTTTTTAAACTAGAGACTTCATAAAACTTCTAGTTTGGGACATTTTGGAAGCCCATATCATTCATTGGATATCATTGGACTAGTATTTCTATCTGCATGGTTTGGGGCAATGGAAGCCATACCAAGGCCTGGGGTTTCAGAAATCGACAACGCCTGCAACATAGGAAGTTTCGAAGAGGCTGAAGTGCGGTCTAGATATGGCAGCCAGCATTGGTGACATGGGAGATGATTATGGGCTTGCCTGAAATAGGGTAGCCACAAATCCATTCATCAATCATCATTGGCCCTACAATGTCTTGAAATGGCATTGAAGTGGCAGATTGGGGGTATGATATACAGATCGTTTTCAGACAGACCCAAATAAGCTATCGACAGCATCATCCAAGCATTTCGCAACCTGTTGGTTTGTTCACCTCAGTTTTCCACGGATTCCCCAAACAACGAGTCAACGAGGCCCCCACAGCACAGGGCTTTCCATGAAGTCTCTTGTCACGCGCTCGCCTGTGTCACGGTGAGCGAAGCCAAGGATTAAAGCCATGAAGGAACCATGGAGGCCTGTCCATCCATCCGACAAAACCATATTCGATCTGGATATCCCATAGGATCCATGGTGCTGCTATATATGGTAACATTTACCATTAATATACCCCAAATGTTAGCATATATATATATACCATACATGGATCCTATGGGATATCTGGATATCGTTTTCTAAAACAACTTGAAAAAACCCTGCAGTCTTGTTGCGTCCTGCATGGTTTCACGCAAAATCAAGCGTTAATGGATTACACTGTGCATTTTCGATTGAAACATATATAAATATAAATATATATATATATATATATACATGTATATATAATATAAAATAATGTATATTATATTAAATTATATCTATCTATCTATATATATGTATTGAGATACATAACCGAAATCTCAAAAACTCTACAAATGATCCAGCAAAAACACATGTTCTACTCCCAGCATTAATCACTCAGTATGTACAGCCACAGCAACCCCTGATGTCAACCAAAAAGATCCAAAAAATCCCACAGGTCCAAGTGTCTCCACAGCCACGTAGAAGCAATCCATGTCGATGAAACCAACCACTGGGGGTCCCGAAGATCCTGCAGGATGGAAACTGACGACCCCTCAAGAGGATGTCATTCATAGTGCTGAGAATACTGGAATTATCGAATAACGGAAAAATCTGAGAACATGTATAATACATGTTACCGAAGCAAGCATAAGCAAACTATACATATATATATAAGACATAATACGCACTGGTAACTTATAACCATGAAGAATGACCCATTTCTAGATGATTTACATATCAAACGTGGCGAGTCTAAATGGCAAACTGTTAGATTCTCAGCGGGTATACCATCATACTATCATATCATATCATATTCCTATGTGGTAAAATCATTCATATTATATCATTCATATTATATTATATCCCATTCAGCCGCGGATTGGGATGATTATAAAATAAACCTATCATATTATATTATATTATATTATATCCTATCATTCATATGAAATATCCTATTCATATCTTATATAATAAAACCATCCCCCATCCCCAGCCGATGGGGTCCTCGAGATGGACTCATCTTTCGGTGCCATTTACGCAGCAGTGTGTCACATGATTCTCCGTCACTGACTGATAGCGCACGAAATCGCGCACAATCAATACACAAAAAAATGGTTGTTCTCTCTACTGTAGCAAAGTCCTGATGTTCACCGGTCTGCTACAAATTACTTTACTTCGTGTGATCCCCACCATGACATTTATACATTTTGTTACTGGCAAATCTTCTGGTATTCTATCTGACATATCATCTGGTATTCTATCTGGTATTCTATCTGGCATATCTTCTGGCATTCTACCTGGCATATCTTCTGGCATATGTTCTGACATATCTTCTGGTATTCTATCTGGCATTCTATCTGGCATATCTTCTGGCATTCTACCTGGCATATCTTCTGGCATATCTTCTGGCATTCTATCTGGCATATCTGGCAGATCTGGCATATCTGGCATATCTTCTGGCATATTATCTGGCAAATCTTCTGGCATATGTCCTGGCATATTATCTGGCATTCTATCTGGCATTCTATCTGACATATCTTCTGGTATTCTATCTGGCATTCTATCTCGCATATCTTCTTGCATTCTATCTGGCATATCTTCTGGCATATGTTCTGACATATCTTCTGGTATTCTATCTGACGTTCTATCTGGCATATCTTCTGGCATTCTATCTGGCAAATCTTCTGGCGTTCTCTCTGGCATACCTTCTGGCATTCTATCTGGCATATCTTCTAACATTTTATCTGGCATATCTTCTGGCATTCTATCTGGCATATCTCATGGCATTTTATCTGGCATATCTTCTGACATTCTATCTGACATTCTATCTGGCATATCTTCTGGCATTCTATCTGGCCGTTGAGGTCCAGCGGTGCACACTGAGCTGGGCAGGTCCCAGGTTGAGGTTCAGCGGTGCACACTGAGCTGGGAAGGTCCCAGGTTGAGGTCCAGCGGTGCACACTGAGCTGGGCAGGTCCCAGGTTGAGGTCCAGCGGTGCAGCGGTGCACACTGAGCTGGGAAGGTCCCAGGTTGAGGTCTACCGGTGCACACTGAGCTGGGCAGGTCCCAGGTTGAGGTCCAGCGGTGCACACTGAGCTGGGCAGGTCCAGGTTGAGGTCCAGTGGTGCACACTGAGCTGGGAAGGTCCCAAGTTGAGGTCCAGCGGTGCACGCTGAGCTGGGAAGGTTCCAGGTTGAGGTCCAGCAGTGCACACTGGAGAAACTGGAGGAGGAGGAGGAGGTGGAGGCGGAGGAGGAGGAGGACGAGGAGGAGGAGGAGGACAGCTCTGATAAAATCTAACAACCCTCACCTGGCAGGTGGGGAAAAAGACTGCATCTCCGGCATATCCATGAAACCATTTTCCCACGTGTCAACTTGTCGCATACTTCGGTGATTCTCAGGATGGAAGATGAACATCTTCCAAACTTTGGACTTGAAGGCCGCAGCTTTGAAACCTACTGGTGCCTACTGATCCAAAATAGGTACGGTACCGATGTTTGAGGATGCAGACCCAAGCGTACTTCCGTACCCTTCAACTTTGGCGTCAAAGCTTGAACATGAACAGCCACACAGCGCAATCGATGCTGTTTGGATCAGCTTTGGACGTGCAATGGAATCAACCAATGTTCAACATTCATCCAAGCACCAAGCACTGTCAGATTCTTGGAGAATTGAAATCAAAATCTATGGTGTATAATCATGTATCCAACTCGCTTTGGATACTCCTTTTGACATAATAGTAGTTGAGTGGTTTAGAAACTGGTGTTGAATTTCAACATGGATCCACATTTCCTGGTGGGCGAAGTGCATTTGTCTCGTCTCCCTCATTGCTGCGGTCAATCCTGACCACCGAAGCATCCAACCGCTGGGATACCTAAGAGTGAACTGTTTCATGTGGGAAACAATCAGTGCTTCTCACTCAATCTTCACTTTTAATTAGATGATGCTAGTAGCTGCTAGTGCTGAGAGCAGAAAGGAAATGATAGACTAGATCATAGGGGCAATTCTTGTCCAACAGGCAAAGTGAACTATCCAATAGTGACAAGTGTAGCCATAACCCCTCAAACTTCACAGTGATGAGCTACAAATAACTGACGTGGTAGTGAATTTAAATCGTTTTTTTCCACCCAACAAGGATCTAGAACATACTTCAAAGTACCGACAACAAGGGGTGCCCCATATGCGCTAAAAACTGAGGATTTGGTAGCGATATCAGGCGATATCATTGAAACCTAACATGAGTTGTCTGACTAGCAAGTTCCGGAGGTTCAAAGCCCTTTATGTCAGTAAAAACACGTAAATTCGAGTTTCAACGCCAAACATGTCCAAGGTCCAAAAGCAGTTGAAACATCGAAATATCTGTCGATTGGATCCAGTGATAAGCGAACAAAACAAACAATGTCCAAACCAACGACCAACCGTCTCGGGGCCTCGTGGCGGGGGTACACCGGCAGGTGCAAAGTAGCCACGACAAAGGACCTGGGTCCCCTGGGTGGAGTGGATGATTCAGGCGTTTTTTTTTGGTAAAAAAAAACACGGTTTATATTGTGAATTTTCATGGTGAATGATGACTGATAATGGTAAGTGATATTGATCAATGGTATATCAATGATAATGGTTCATAATGTATCAGAACGGCAATTTATGTGGGACAGCCATTAATAAACCGACCACTTGGGAATGGTTTAGGCATTGGGCTTACCACCACGACAAGTGCTACGATTCCAAACATGTATGCCAGCCCTATTATACTAAAACATTTAAAACATTTTAAAACTATTTATGGATTTGATGAGGATGAAATTGGTGGCGAGGTAGCTGGTTTGACCAGAAGCAACCAATGTAGGACACATGGTCAAGCCTGATGTAATTGGGAGATGATTTAGCTGCTTCACCACAAAATCATAAATTGCACTTTCTTGAAAAGACCTGGTATACATATTGAACAAAATAAACATCAGGATGGTGAAACGTTGGTATCTCTTAACTTACAAAAAAATAACATGTTCGTGAGATCATCATATGTTGTGAGATCATCAGGGCGTTAGTGAAGATGTGCTTCGACATGATTGGCACAGCATGCGTTTTTTTTTGTCAGAAGTTTTCTATGGGTCTTAGTAAACAGCGGCTAAGACTGAATTGCATACCTTTAATTACCTTAAACATACTACATCGAACTTCTTTGGCGATGAAAGTGGTGGGAAAGTGCACCCAGTAGCGGTGAAACAACGGGACCATAAAATTCGATGGGATTTCCGGAGTGTTCCCGCGCTGAGGCAGCAACGAGCTCCAGATTGCCAGAAGATGCTCCTCCTGTTAAAACCTGGACATAGCAGCTGCGAGTTGTTCATGATATCCGTCCTAAACAGATGGACAAGTAAATCCCTACAGTAATTTTGTGATAATATGTGATGATCTATTTGAGGGCACAGTTCAAAGCCGGGGAGAATATCTGCTTATATCTGCTTTGAATCTGGAGGGATTGCTGCTTTGAAGATCTAAGCATGTGCATGATGGAGGCTACTTACTAATTATGCCATCACCAAAGTGAATCCTAATTGAATATCCGTCTGGAACCCTAACAGCAACAAAATCAAGACTAAACATATACACATCCATTTTCGGTCTAGTCTTGTTGTAGAGCGTCGGCAAATCGATCTTTTGGAAGGCTCACTCTTGCGCGACTTGTAGCTATTGCAGATGATTGGAAAAGCGGCCTGGCAACAGCCTTCGCATGAAATTGTCTGTACATGTGTGCCTATAATTGTACATGATGTGCGTTCCAACATCCTTGGTACCCGCTTAAAAGACCGCTAAATTCTCCGAACAAAAACTACTCGGAAAAATGTACAACGAATTGCAACGATAGTTTCGTTACCTGTCGTGAGATCTTGCAAAATTAATTAATTTCTGACCTTGCCTGATCGATGGTCAAGTCTACTCGTACCTCTTCAACTGGATCGCAAGTCTTTCTGTACAATCCCAGGCCGAAACCAAACAAGAACGAGTAGTTGGACATGATGTGCACCCATGCTGCAACTGTTGTGCTAGCAACAAGCAATGCCTCGCCCCCTTCCTGGTAGGCCTGCACGGCACAGGCCTCATAGCCTCGATTGAAGGTGATGTTTCTTGCGGTGGACGTCCAGATCTCTGGCAAATATTCGCCAAGCACCAGATCTGTTAAGGTGCTGCAGCCTTTGCCTCCCAGAAACAAATTCACAAGAGGCCAGGCTACAATCAACACCATGGCACAAATCATCGAGCCATTTGCCAAAGCGAGACGGAAACCAAAGGTTGCTAAGGCAGGGTAGCCAAAGGGGATGTAGAAGATCATGCAGAGCTCCGCCCATCCTACGCACTGATTGTAGTTACCTGTTCCAAGGATGAACCAAGGGATGCGCCAAACAAGTGCTGTGCATAGCACGAGGGCAACATCAGGCCGGAATATATTGGCCCGGCCGCAGTAACCTGTGTATACCCATTGGTCGCCATACCTCTCCACTAAGATGGACTCATCGCCCATCCAAATGCTCGCAGCCTTGAATTCTGCGCGACGAGTGAGAACCCCAAGTTCCCTCTCAGATTTCTTGGCACTTAGCTTTGTGAGCGTTCCTGTCAAAGGCAGCCTGGTCATCTCAGTCGGCACTGTGCGGCCGCAAAAGGCCCAGCTAGCGTAAGTAAACACGCCCACTGACCAGACCACCCAGTTGGAAGTCATCAGAACATTGCAGGAAAAGGCCATGGCAAACATCAAAGCGGTCACCAAAATGTGCTTCAGGCGTGTCTTTGGTGTGAAGACTGGGTTCACTACATGCCGGAGCAGTGTCGCACTGAAGGCGTAGCAAGAGAAACAGAAGATGGAAGGAAGAAGAACGGCCAGACTGTTCAGTGCAACCTGGACATCTCCAGACCGAACCCTCTGAAAACTGACTACCTGCCCAGGCTCCCCGGGCATGTCCCACCGAAGCCACAACCTTCGTTGCGTGTGATGCCATGTGTAACAAATGATCCAAAATGCAAACCCTCCAAGCAGTTTTTGGAGAAAGCCTGGTTGTCTCGTAGGGGTCACTCCTAACGTATAGAGCCATGCAAATTGCACATCTGTGTTGGTGATAGGATACACGCGAGCGATAGCATCAAACCCGAAGGTTGGGAGCAACTTCATGACTAGAAGCTTCGGCGGGAGTCGAACCAGCTTGAGCCTTACGACCTAAGTCGAAAGCAATCAAAGGTTGCAGTCTGGCCCAAACTTGAATGCCGCAGTACAGCTTTCAGCCGATCATCATCTCAATGGTTGCACTAGCATGTACATTCCCAATACTCCTTCGTTGTACCTCCAGTCCATTGACGTGACAATATGTGGCAATGAGAATCTCACATCACCTCCTGCCAATACCATGCCTCATATCATACGATGTTTGTTCAATATATCTTGCTACTGTCTTCAAGTGGCCGAAACCACATTCATCAACTGTGTTTCCAACCCCGCCTGCGAAGCCGTCAGCGGCTCCCGGACCACAGGACTGGGTTCGTGGGATCGGGAGCGCACAGAAGCAACGGCCTGAGAGGGAAAAAAAGGGGTTTTTCTGGCGATTTTCTGGCTGATCAGCTAACTCAGTCAGGTTATATCATACATTTATCAATGTGTCATTTGTAGATGGTTTCATTATTGATAACTTATGATAAGCTGATTGAGTGATCAATTAGAGTAATTGTCACTGACTGAACAATAGCTAGTAAAGTGTGATGTTTAAGAATGAGAGTGGGACACAACTAGGTTGATATTGGTGATAGAATGGGATACCAGTTTTTTTTTGCAACCATGAATATGATAGGTAGGTGTGTCTGAACATGTTTAGTATACCACCAATCTATGGCAACCAAATGAGAATCATGATACCCTCTGGTAAACCTACAAAAAGCTATTGAAAATGGCCCAGTCGAAATAGTGGATTTACCCATCAAAAACAGTGGATCTTTCCATAGCTATGTGAACGTTTACCAGAGGGTATCAAAGCATTGTATTTGGGGGGTAATTCATATCACCCCAGACTCTGCTGATTCTGCCGTTGATCATTCAGGGGATATCCCTGATCCTGAATCAACCAGGCTTGATCAATCTCGGAACGACTGGATAGTGGGGCAATATGTATATGAGAAATGCTGTAACTATGGCTTGCTTAAAACTTATTATGTTATGTGTGGTTTCGTGTTGGGACATGTTTTTTGGACATTGACCTTACCCCGCTATGTAGGAACGTTTAAGAAACCTGGTGGTTGCAGTTGCGGGCAATTCATTTTGAAACCATGAGCAGCTCCTCCATTTATCATTGTTTTATGAACAGGATATACCTAAACAATCTGCAACATCATGTTAGACACATACCATGTTATAGATACAATACTGTTTTGTATATCATACCCAGTCAAAAAAGACTTGGCTGTGAACATTTGCAAATGGATATATATATATATATATTATATTATATATACACATGTATACATGCCTTTTAGACAAACCCTTCTTGGTAATGGTAGGTTTGAACCAAGCTTCCAGATCGTCAACCATATCTAGTTTACATACTATCCACCTATCCAATCATCTACAGCTCTATCCCCATCATGTGTGGTGTTCCACCCATGATCATCCAGTTCAACAATCAGACTATCTCAGTATTCATACCTATCTCAGTTTCATCCTTAATCATCCAGTTTTCTCATCTTTAGCAATGGCACGTTCATGTTATTGTTGTTTGGTGAAGATGGGAAAAGATTATCCATCATATTCTGCTGCATCAGACACATGTCCTGAGAAATGAACATAGAAAGATATTATGAAATATCTGAAATATCCATGTTTTGTCTCCAGAACTGATCTGTGAATGGTGGATAGATCTTTCATGGATTGTTTTGTTTCAAACACATATACGATGTGGGTCCCCAGCTATGTTTGTCGGTTTGTAAACCCAATGAATACTATAGGTATCGGTATAAGTATAAGTATCTTGAACCATATATTGGAGTGAAGAAAACCAACTTAGCTATCTAGGGCTATATTGGGGGGCCAACTTTGTATCTATGTTACCTAATGGGTCGCCGCACCTTCCGTCGCGCACCCAGCAACAACCGAGCACGCTCGTCCTGGGGCAGTGCTGCTGGTCATGGGAATGGGCCAAAATGAATCGAATACCATCAGTATCCTCTGGTAATCAAACCTGGCAACGGCAAATTCCCCATGAATGGAAATGTTTATGGGAAAATCCATCAACATCGTCTATAAATGGTTGATTTTCGATTGCCAAGTTACGATAACCGGAGGTTCATCCGCCTGTTTGCCCTCTGTGGGTGGCTCTTAGGTCTGGCCTTCATGGACCATGTCTGATGCCAACTATACTACATGTAATATAGTTATACACACACACACTTGGAACAACAAACATGGATTTGTCTGAAAATATGGTAAATTACCCTAAATCCATATTGATTCATTGATTAATTACCGCTACATACCTACAACAAATTGCCATAACTGGGTGGTATACACACCGTGACTGAACTGAGCTGACTTGACGACTTGAAATGCCCTGAATTGGGCCTGAAGCTGCACGCTTTCATCCTCAATGTTCTTGCACAGCCTCAAGGGGTGACGAGAGCTGTGAACCCCGTAGGCACTGGAGGATCACCCCTGTAACCGGTACAAGGTGGTGGCCCTCCAGTGATGTTTGTTGGTTTATAAACCATGGTAAGTATAGATATATCTACCATAAACCCTAGATATTGGAGTTATGTTCACCAACTTAGCTAACTATGGGGCACCACCTTGTAGTAAGTTGTTAGTCATAACCCAACTATAACATGTTATAAATGAGATAAATCCTTTAGGGGACTTCTTAACCAGGCTTATTAACCAGCTACTTTGCTGGGATGATACCCCAATTGTTTCGTTACACATGTGTGGTATCAAAAAGCGTTTTGAAAGTCTGCAAGGGTCATCTATACATATACATGTACATATACATATACATATACATATGCATTTGCATATGCATATACATATACATATGCAAATGCATATATATATATACATATACGTATGCATATGCATCTGCAAATGCATATGCATAATACATACATACATACATATATATATATATATATATACATATGCGTATGCATATGCATATATATATATATATATACATATCCATATACATATGCATATGCATATACACATATATATATATATATACACATATGCATATGCATATGCATATGCACATGCATATACATAGACATATATATATATATATACATATGCATATACATATACATATATATATATACATACACGTTACATCATATTCACTTAACCAATGGATCACAGTACAAACCGCTAAGTCCATACTACATGGTGGTGCCTGCCGGGTATAGTACTACAACCATGTAAATATTACCTTCCATATACCCTAGTGAATGGAGTCAGAAGAGCAAACTTGCCAAACGAACTAAGGCTAACCATTTTTTATCGTTGCGGGACATCCATGTTGTCTGGGTAACTTAGAATAGTTCACTAACCCGAAACTTGCGGCCATTTGGGGATGATTCCCGCAATGAATTCCCATGATTCCAGGGTTCGGTCACGACGTGAGATCACTACAATTTGCCCAGAGAAATGTAGCCATATCCAGAATTGCCATATATCATTATTCCATAATGGTATACTAAGATATCATACCATATCATTCCCAGTGGATCCAGTCGTACCTTCTGAAAGGAAGTGTTTTTCAGGGTATAATTTACTCTAATTCCCCACCTGCCAGGTGAGGGTTGTTAGATTTTATGTCAGTTGCCTGGTCCTCCTCCTCCTCTCCTCTCCTCTCCTCTCCTCTCCTCCTCTCCTCTCCTCCTCTCCTCCTCTCCTCCTCCTCCTCTCCTCTCCTCCTCTCCTCTCCTCCTGCTCCCTGCCGGACCTCAACCACGACCATCCACGCCCAGTGTGCCCTGCCGGACCTCAACCACGACCATCACCGCCCAGTGTTCCCTGCCGGACCTCAACCGCGAGTATCCCCGCCCAGTGTTCCCTGCCGGACCTCAACCGCGAGTATCCCCGCCCAGCGTTCCCTGCCGGACCTCAACCACGACCATCCACGCCCAGTGTTCCCTGCCGGACCTCAACCGCGAGTATCCCCGCCCAGTGTTCCCTGCCGGACCTCAACCGCGAGTATCCACGCCCAGTGTTCCCTGCCGGACCTCAACCGCGAGTGTCCACGCCAAGTGTTCCCTGCCGGACCTCATGTAGGAAGATATGGGACAAAGAATGTGCAGAAGAAAGAAAGAATGTCAGAAGATATGCCAGATAGAGATGCCAAATAGAATGCCAGATAGAATGCCAGAAGATATGTCAGAATATATGCCAGAAGATATGCCAGATAGAATGCCAGATAATATGCCAGAAGATATGCCAGATAGCCCAGAAGATATGCCAATGCCAGAAGATATGTCAGAATATGCCAGAAGATATGTCAGATAGAGATATGCCAGAAGAATGCCAGAAGAATGCCAGAAGATATGCCAGATAGAATGCCAGAAGATATGTCAGATATATGCCAGAAGATATGCCAGATAGAATGCCAGAAGATATGTCAGATAGAGTGCCAGAAGATATGCCAGATAGAATGCCAGAAGATTTGCCAGATAGAATGCCAGAAGATATGCCAGAAGATATGCCAGATCATATGCCAGAAGATATGCCAGATAGAATGCCAAATAGAATGTCAGAAGATATGTCAGATAGAATGCCAGAAGATTTGCCAGTAAGAAAATGTATAAATGTCATCGTGGGGATCACACGAAGTAAAGTAATTTCGAGGCTTTTGTGTACCATCTCAGACAGTGGCCATGGATCCCTAGCGATTACCCTCTGGTTATTTAGCATAGCCATGGAAGCCATGGCCCATAGAAAAAGATGGTTTACCTATTAATAGCATGGTGATTTTCCATGGCTATGTTAGTCATAACCAGATGGTATATTTATATATATATATATCTTATGGGAAAATAACCAGATGGTATATATATATATATATATATATCCATGGCCCATCTATACCATGGCTATGTTAGTCATAACCAGGTGGTATTTCATAGCTCTTCCCAGGCCAATCATCAGGCGCAACTCGCCTCTGCAACTCCAGTCCTCGGCGCTGCAGCGCTTTTTGGCGGCCGCGCGCCGCCTCCAAGCGCTGCCTGTTTTTTGGCGGTGGAGATCTACCAAAAAACCCAGGGATTTAAGCCAGAAAGTTAAGATATGTCGAGATAAGAATTGAAAGCAGGGATATAACAAGCATTAACAAGCCATCAAACGCAGAATTTGATGACAACAAACGTGGAAAATCAGTTGAGAACCAAAATTTGGGATTTATAAATCTACAACTAGCAGCAGATCTTACAAATGGAGGGAGGCTTTGAACCAACAAATAGAGGGTGTTTTATCACTTGGTTTAACCTTCAAATCTAAACAATTGATAACAAACCAAACTTTGAATAATTGAGATGCTGATTAGGCCAACTGTGAGGTCAGCCTCTCTCGAACCATGCCCATCTGAACATCTGGAAATCTGCAAACATGATGATGAGACAGTTCAGCAACAACTTTAGGACATTTTAGTGTATTACTGAATAGAAATGTGACAAACAAACACTGTACATTGAACAAAGATCGAAAATTTGACGCGACAAACGTCAATGCTCACTTTGTTCGGAGACTTACAGTACTAGTGAACACAAAATGCTCATGCATCCATGCGTCTCCGACTCTCAACCATCAGCAAAAACTTCACGAATCGTGACCCATTGGAACCCAAACATGAAACTATATGACTAATATGACTATATGACACAACCTGGTGTTGACCCATCTGCACGACATGGCTTGTACCATAGGGTACCCCAAAAAAATGTTCCTTTGGTCAATCATCAGAGTCATGACAGCTTAAACGAAAACTGCCATCTTTTGTTTTGGGTCTGGCCCATTCAATGGCCATTTCAGGAACCTACTATAAATTGGAGGTACCTACCATACATAAGGCCTAAATTTCAGGGAATATCCCCAGAAAATATGGCCCAAAATATGGTACATTACCTCCATTTTAGGATCCTGAAATTCCCATTGACCCATTGACTCCCAATCCTGGCCTGGCAAAGGCCTCCTTTTGATTCTCAATGACCTTGCCCCGTTTCGCTTCGGCCACCTGCCATCCAAGTCAATGGGTTTCATTCGCGGTCCCCAATAACATCTAGCCACATCTAACCTGAAAAAGCCTGTGAATGGCACTATGGCATTGAAGAATCCTCATGAAGATAGAGTCCTTTCCAATCCTGTCATTTTTTTTGGTCCATAACACTGGGATTTTCCAGCCGGACATAGCCAGATTAGATTCACGGCTGAAATGCCTTGTGCTCCAGGCTCTCGGTCTCTGCAATGGCGCAGCTCAGCGTGTTTTCAAAGGCATCGCACTGGTCCTGCTGGAAGAAGTGAGTGTACTAACTCACTGACTGTGTACTTATGGACTTGTTCACATGTATTTCAAATGTCAACCGATGTCAAAAAAATGTGTACTAAATGCTTGTGGGTCGTTTCACCCTGACATGTGGTTGACATTCCAAAGATGTTGCCAGAATAGTCTTGATTTGGATGTGAAGTATTGCAGGCTGCCAACATGCACATCAAAATAAAGTCCCCATAGTTCTTTGTCCTGCTAGACATTCAATCAAATCTATTCAGATATTGAATCGAATCTAAACCTTGCGTGAACGACTAGCAGGACAAGTGAGCAAATTGATGCAAATTGTAACTAGTGAATCTTCATGTTTACCCATACTCAAATCTTGAATCCTTGTCATTTTTTTGCACATCCAGCTGTCCTCCAAGTTGAAAAGATCAGCATGAATCTGCGCCACCTTACAGCACGTCCCGGGCAGTCCCAAAGACTGGTGAGAACCTGAAGGAGGGTTGGTTCAAAAGTTGTGGATTTACCCCCGCGGTCATTGGGTATAATTTGTTTATGAAAAAAAAACCTGATGACCAACAATTCTAACATTTGGGGATGGCATGGGATGGCATAGGTGTTTTTTGCCGCCGTTGCCCGTCCAGTTTTCCCATCGCTACCAACTGGTGGTCAAAACCCTGGTGCCGTGTTCACCCTCAAAAAAACCTGGGATTTATGGCTGCTCATCCCATCAAATAGTAGCTCCAGCTTTGACGGTGCCTGGTTCTTCTGCAGCTGCTTCTTGTGATCGAAAAGATGTTCCTGCGGAAACTGCAGATCAAAAAAACATAAAAAAAGGTTCGACTGAAAATACGGGATACCCACTTAAATAGCAATCATTTTAATAATGAACATCTTTGAAAACTATAAGAATCAATTGTAATTGGGGGGGTGCCCCATTTTTTTCACAAACCCAGACTACAGTCTGCACCACTTTGGCAGGAAAACCATCCATGCCTGGATGGAACTGCTGATAAGCCATCCAATGAAGAACCACCATTTTGAAGGCTTGTTTACGTGTGTTTTCACATCTATACGCAGGGTTAGATCCATTTTGTGAAGAGAGCCGCTTCAGCCAGCTTTTTTGAACGATTCATTACACTTTATATCTTTCTAACCTCCCAACTTTTTTGACTCTGCTTCCAAACAACATTTTCAGTGGATTTTCCCATGATTTTTTCCCATGATTTTCCTAAAAAACCTCCATTGTTCATCGCCACACGGCCCGTATCCCGCCCACCTTGGAGCCGTGGTGCACCTCCGTCGCCGTCCGCGTCTTCTCAGCCAAGTCGTGGGCCGAGTGGAGCGGCTGGAGGATGGACCTTGATCGAAAGGAGGGGATTTCAAGGGAACTCTTCGATTTTCACCATATATAGATATATACCATCTGGTTATGACTAACATAGCCATGGAAAATCGCCATGCTATTAATAGGTACACCATCTATAACTGTTCGATGTTCATAGTCCCTATGGATCCGTGGCCACTGTCTGAGATGGTACATACTTAAGCCTCCAAATTATAGTAACTTATACCCCAAACACTTTCTAAGAAGGTACTTGGATCCATAGGAGTGATATTTTAATAACATTCATATTATTCATGATCCTTGATTTGTGGGGATTGATATCATTTATAAGGATTAACCCATAACGGATGTTATTAGGTGATATTACATGCATATTCAAAATAGGATATTATTATGATAAAATATGATCCAAATCATATTCATTGATGATTCATTAATGATATATCAATGTATATGATTGTAAATGATTGATATAAGATTGATATAAGGGTTGAGAAGACCTTGATATAATCCGTAAGGGAGTCCCTATTGAACGGATTGATATCAGTATAAGGATGATGAATATCAATGTTAATCATGTTGTTAAGGATATTTTAAAATCCCATATTTCACCGATAGCATTCATTGATTTAGCGTTCGGACATGCCAGGACTATATTGAATCAAAGGGAATTGTGAGATATTTTTTTTGCACCATTGAAATCATTGAAAATTTAAAATATGGGATTTCAAATGATTTAAATAATGCTTAAAAACTTACAGGCGATCACCATCCTCCCAGTGACATGCAGTTGTCAAGGTTTCACAAAAACTAGGGACCCTCAACTGACACGTGGATACATGTGAGGAGTCTAATCCATTGAGAAAAAACATATTTGATAATACTTGCATAAAATTAATTCCGGTTCTGATTTGGTTCCATGTATCCACCATAAATCATACATCCACCATAAATCGCCTGGATAAAATCAGCATTTTGCCTATCTGGCCACACATGGTAGGAATCACACGCCAGATGATGGGAATTTCAACTCGCGAACGAGGAACTTCACCCGAGTATGGGATTTAAGTCACCGTAGAATGAGGAGTGGACCCCAAAAAGATTGGAGTTCAAAAGCCAACCATGTGGATTTTTTATACCACAAAAACTTGGGACTTGGGACTTGGGAGTTAAACTCAATAAACATCCACCAAATCTTCAATCTTAAGCCTGACTTCAGCCACCATGGAGGACCGCCGAAACGGGACATGTTATATGTTCGAAGCATGTTGAGTTGGAATATCTACCAACAAATGTTCTACATAGATCAATCTGAATAGCTATGTATATATATATAATCATATATATATAATAATCATACATATATGTATTTTGTGTATTTATAATGGATAAATAAAAAAAACATAAACATATTGATGTGTGCATACATATCCGAAAGAACAGTAGTTTGGTGGATCATGCGATCCAAAAATCGATGGGAACGTTGCAGGTCATCCAAACCTGGGCGTTCCAAAATTCAATGGTCAATAGAAATATTACCTATTGTAAAAGGTCATTTGGGGGATATACTGACCATTTTCAGACATACCTGAAAAAACATATTGTTGGTGATACCTGGAATGTATCCCATGAAATATCCGATAAAACATCCCCATTAAGACACCATTTATGCTCAATTCCATATTGCTCATTATTAAATCATCATTGCAACACATTAAACCATCCTTAAATCAACATTAAAATAAATCAACTAATAATAACTGTTGTCTGTACCCATAGTGCAGAGTGGTTCGAAAACCAATAAGACAAGCCACTGCATCCGTGCATGGTGCTGTGAACCTTCCTGGTGTGACCCCAAGATCCAAGTTGAAAGTTTCAAGATGGGATGACAAGATAAACCATCTAAAAATTGGACGTAACCCAAGAAATATAAATATATTGATGCAAATGATCTGAAATAACTTTACTCCATTTTTTCGAAGTTCCACTCATGGCCAAAACATCCTTGCTGGTGAAACTGTAACATTTTGGAACCACCCAGGACAAGTTGAATTCGGACCACAACCACCTGAAGAACTCTGATCATATGATGGGTCAATCTCACAATACATGCCGGAATTGTTTTCAAAAACAGATAACTAATCTAATCTATATCAATGAACCTATTGGAAGCTTTCACCTGATACAAATTGATTTTCCAATGAAACATGGTGCCTCCTGTGGTTTGGTCTGAAAATATGGTACTGTAGAATCTGGTGGTAAATCGATGTAAATCATATAGTTTCCATTTGCATGCCATAAATTTAATGGGGTGTACAGTACTCATTCACCAATTTTAAACGCCCACAGCTTGTCGATCTTCAAACGACATCCCAACTAAAAACTTTATCTGGGCAAAACACAATAATTTCAAAACTACAAGGCGGTGACCCCCCAGTTACGTTCGTGGGTTTGTAGCCCCCTTTGGTTAGTTCATTATTATGTTTTCTTGCTGCCACCGGATCAGAAATACTCTTTGAATTAAACTTGACTTCGACGTGTACGTCTACGTAAAAACAGATGTTGGATTCCTCGAGATTTCAGCAAGCAGTCGGAAATGGTTTCTAGTTTCTGTGACGGTCCTTTGCAAATGTGTTTTTTTTTGCGTAACAGCACACGTAAAAATATCTTGTGGATGATGTTGCGTTCGGGATGTGGGGAAAGGACTCTTCCTTTCCCCGTATGTACGGGCATATATGTCAGAAAGGTTGCGGTATGGAGGATTTGCAATCAAGCACATTGAAAAGCGAAGTTAGCGCCAAAAAAAAACGATATACAGGACAAGCAGATAAACTGTCACATTTTAAACAAATATGAAACATACTCAGGTACAAGTAAAACTTAAACATGCAAGCGGCTATCATATTTATCATATTTTCATTAGCATTGCAAAAGTTCCTTTTTGAGGGCAAGGTGAATGACAACTCTGGCATGTTGAGACCTGAAAAAATAATGTGGAGTTTGGTTTATGTATATGTGAGAATGTGTGCCCTGTCCTTTTTTGGAGGGAGGTTACATGTGACCAAAATACAACGTGATTGCTCCGTTTCACTTCTTGAAGGGTTCATCAGTCATGACAAAGCAAGAATCCGATAGACACATATAACGGTTTAAACTGAAATGTGTTCTTGCGCCCCCACTTGTTTTAAACAAATTATTTGTCAAAAGATGTCCATGATGGCTTCAAACCTGATGAAACTAATTGTTGTCTGAGTATGGACACAAATTACGGTGACCCCCGGCACCCCAAATTTTAGCTGGTTAATGGATGTGTTGATTCGATTCGATAATGATAGGTTTTGGCTTGACCCGTCCCATACATCTTTACCCAGGATCGTTTCCAACATATTATTAAATGTACATGTGATATAACGATCACTATGAATGATTTCATTTCTGTTTCCACTTTTCAATACCTTACTATACCCTATCATTTTTGGAAATGATCATACCCTAATATATATATATACATACCTTACTATTGGCATGCTATATTCGCTATATTAACGATCATTTCCAAAATGCCAATAGCCACTGCAGCCTCCACACGCTGTCGCACATCCAACAGGGATTGCGCGTCGCACTCCTCGCACGGCGACGATTTCCCCGTCGTCAGTTTGTCACCAGAGATGGGTTACGGGAGGTATATTCATGCATCTCTATATTAAATATATGTTTGTTTGAATATGTGTGGTTTGTTTTTTGATTTTTGTTTTTCGTGAAGTTAAGTTGGCCGAAAGGTCCGCAAACCAATTCGCAACTGCACAATCTGGGTGTACCACGCAGTGTAAATGTTAACTTTTCTGCAAGACGACGTCACCCAGACCTACCATATATATGTGCTGTTATTTATACCCACCAGTCACTGATATATACCCCGTCATTATTGGAAACGATGTATAGTGGATGAGTGGATACTAGTATATACCCTCTGGTAATTTAACGAATGACTAACGTAGCTATTGAAAATGGCCCAGTCGAAATAGTGGTTTTACCCATTGATAGCATGGTGCATCTTTCCAGTTCGTTCTGTGACAGTTTACCAGAGGGTACTCACTTATTTCCAGGGTTTCAACCATCCAAGGTGGTGCAGGATTTCGCAACCATCCACCGTAGTATATACTCACTATAGAACTACCCTCTGGTAAATAGCAGTTTGCTATTGAAAATGGCCCAGTCGAAATAGTGAGTTTTAACCATTCCCATATGCTCCATGTATGCTATATTTACCTACAAAACTGGGCGATTTTAGGGTAAATACGGTAAATGTTGTTAAATATTCCATGCATGGAGCATATGGGATTAATTTTCCATGGTGGATCTTTCCATCGTTTTTTCTTCGCGTTTACCAGGCCGGGTAATCCAACTTAGCGAAGCGCCAAGCGCGGAACATTGTTGAACTCCTCCTGGAGTTGAAGGCACTCAGATTGCAAGCGATGGCGCTCCACGAGTTTCTTCTCCTCGCTGGGACCACAATGACCACAACCAGCGAAAATATTAGGATGGTTTACAATGGAAAATCTATCTACAAATGGAACCATCCATATTTCCATCATATTTAAACCATCCAGATATTTTATATGTCCATATATTTTATGGGGTACCCCAATAGCTGGATGGTTTGGAAAGGGAACAACCATCTATAAATGGATGATTTTGGGGTAGCCCTATGACTTAGGAAACCACCATATCTCAACATTGATACCTTTTTGTCCTGTCATTGTTGATCTCAATTTATCATCATTTGCCAAACTGAAACGTTGAGTGATCGTATTGGGTCTTCATTGTTACTGTATATAATTCATATAATTGTGTATCCATCTATCTATACACAAATACTTCAAACTATCAAACAGCTTGGGATATTTTTTCGTGATACTTCTCAATTTACCCTCTGGTAATTTAACATAGCTATTGAAAATCACCATTTATAGTGAATTTTCCCATGAAAAATTGTGATTTTCCATAGTTATGTTAAATTACCAGAGGGTATGGCGAAATAAACAAATCTCCCATGCAGATTTTTCGGCCGACGGGCCGACTCTGCTGGAGTCAGTCCACGAGTCCACGAGGCTTTCAGTGCCATGTTTTCTGTAAATCCCAAGCTACAAATGGTGAACATTATACTCCCCCTATGGATCCAAGTACCTTCTTAGGAAGTGGGACTGGGGTATAATCTACTATAATTTGGAGGCTTTTTTGTACCTTCTCAGACAGTGTTTGGATCCATAGGGTCCAATGTTATCTGGTTGGTGGTTGAGCCCTACCCCTCTGAAAAATATGAGTTCGTCAAACTTGGGATGATGAAATTCCCAATGTATGGAAAAATAAAAAATGTTCCAAACCACCAACCAGTTTTGTAAATATGTAAATCCTAATGTTATGAAAATCCCACAACCCTTTTTTGTCAGACTACAAAACTGATCAAAATTCTCCCCCAATCTTTGGTGCTATTGATATGTATTGATCCCAATGTTTGCCAAGTGTCACTCTCCTCACGCAGCTCCTAGCAAGGATTCGTGGCTAGCATAAACTATGCCAAGCCAGCAAAGTTAGTAAGCTTTAGTAAGCAATCAAGGGGAATCCTTGTTTTAGTTGTTTAGATTTGTTTAGCAATGTGCCCTTCCAAGTTCAAAAAGATGATTTTTGGGCATGGGAATTGCCTTGTCAAATATGGAGTTTCAAACCTCAAAAATGTCTGGGAAACCTCTGGAAAAGAAGAATCTGACGTTTCGTCCACCCGTTGAAGATGTCAGCGGAACTTCATATCTTTCAGTGGGGATGACACAGGAAATTCATGAGAGCCCTTCACCAGTTACGTCACAATGAACCAAAACCAAAACACTCTGTAGTCACAGTTTGGTTCTAAAACAACTTCATGATATTTAAGTGGTGTTTTAAGTGGTTCTAGCCCAACCAACTATTTTCTCCCATAGAACAGGGTGTATCCTCACCTTCCAAAATCACCAGGGATCAATTGGATCAGCAAATCCTGGGAACGTCGCCATATGAAAGTCATGGGAAATCATGAACATCTAATGAATAGACGATCGGAAACCATCCATTACCCATAACCATCAGATTCCAATATAGATGGAGATATTTGGGTTGTGATACATGACTACTTAAGTTTACTAATTAAGGTATACAAAAAAGCTATTTCTAACACTGTTTCCATTGATTACTTGGCTCTTACATAATTCAGTTGAATCAGTTGAATCCCAACCATTTTTTTCGGATTGTGAACTCCCCGAGATGATAGGTTAAACCCAAACAAGGGATATACCCGGCCTGGTAAACGTTCACAAACAACGAACTGGAAAGATCCACCATGTTTTTCATGGGTAAATCCACATAAATCCACTATTTCGACTGGGTCATGTTCAATAGCGAACTGTAAAAGTTTTCCAGAGGGTATAGAATATAATCCCAAAGGTACCAGGCTGACTGCGAAAAAAAAACAACTCTGATTGAAGCACTATTTAGTTTGGTCAATGGGATACATTGACTCTTAATCCCTTGAGGAAACCATCCATCCCTGAAGGTCAGTAATGATTAATGATTGATGGTTTAACAAGACAAGAAACAAAAACACATATTTATGTGATGTATTTCAAATTCAATAGTTATCATCCCATTTTTGGTTAGTTAACTCTCGTTCTTTCTAGATTACAAATTCAGTAGTTATCATCCCATTTTTGGTTAGTTCACTCTCGTTCTTTCTAGATTAAACCCATGCAATGAATATTTTGAACAGTGAACAAACCCATATTTTGTTAGTTATACATCCCAGTTAAAACTTGGTGTCCAGTTGAAACATCTATCCCTTAGTTCGCTAGCTCCGTCCTATCCTCGGCTTAATCCAGCCAGTCAATTTTTTCTTTTCGCTCATGAATCCTTTAAGTAGCCAGTCGGATCCCTCCGTAAGGTCAAGAAACTCTCCAGTTGAACAAGTTGAATCAGTAAATCCCCCTTTTTTGTGGGAAAAACGCCCATCTTCCATGGATATTAGGCTTCATGATTCCGTCGTAGCCATCAGAATATTTTCTGGGGAGACTCCGTGAAATTTAGAGCTAGAAAATCGGCCTTGTGGTACGGACCATCAACCCAAGATATCTAAGTTGGTTTATAACTCCAATAACTATGGTTTATGGTACTTATAACTATAGTTCCTGGGGTTTATAAACCAACTTATAACTGGGGGGCCTCACATTGTAACTGAAATGGCCATGTTTTATCGCTCCTTAAGCTGAATCACAATTGTTTGGTCAATTTTCCACTATACCACCATTTTTGTGCTATCAACCCGGGTTTACTATTCTACCACCACATTCCCATTATACCAGCATAATCCAATTATCAACCCATTATAAACCCTACCCTGTGGTAAGTTGACATAGCTATGGAAAATCACCATTATTCATAAATAAATCAACTATATATAAATCACCATGTTTAATAGCTATGTTAAATTACCAGAGGCTAAACTATCCCCCAAATCACCATAAATAGATGGTATAAACCATTCCCAAATGGCGGATTATTATTGTTTTGCCCACATTATAAACCCATTTATAAACCCTTTGAATCCATCGCTCCTTGAGCTCATGTTCATGTTGCACCACCGTTCGCCGTAGATCGCGGCACAGCTCTTGCCAGGCATCGCGGTGCCGCGTTAAGCGCTCCACCGCCGCCTGGAAAAGATGCCAGGCAAACAAATCGGATAACTTAGAATCAACTGTCACGAAAATGTAATGTATACTGTTTTACTGTTGGCTTCCTTTGGTAAACTAACATATTGTCATTACTGTCAATATCTGTCATAGAATCCTGTCATAGAATCCTGTCAATGGAATTTTCACGATTCTAAAATGGAGGTACGCTTCAGCACTTTTCATGCCATATCTGGGGATCCTCCCTTACAATTAACCCTAGAGATAGGTCTTATAATTACATGGTACCTCCGATTTAGGTTCCTGAAATGGCCGTTTGTACTCTGGATGGACAACATCTTAAGCACCAGTTGGTAACTATTGGCAATTATGAAACACTGTAAATAATAGGAATATAATGGGGATACACCATCTACCAACTGAATATCTATTGAATATCACGGGAATATCATGATACGGTATATGATGGAGGTATAATGGAACATGAATGGAATATTCATAGGATTTTCTTATGTCATCCGGTAAACCAACAGTTTGCTATTGAAAATGGCCAATGTATACTTGATGTGACAGCAGTGATTTTCCATAGCAATGTTGGCTTTTCAGAGGGTAGTTATGGATAAAGGCTGGGGTATCTAAAACAGGGATAGTCAACAGTTGAATACTAAGAAATGTCTGAAACTATGGTTTTCTGGGTCTCATGTTTTGACTTAAAGTAATGTGCCATTGTCAAGTTACATATAATTAATAGATTACGTGTGTGTGCCATGGTCAAGTTACATTTTACCAATGTGGTATGGTCATCACACCAACATGAAAGCAATTCTCATGATTGGTATCTTTATCCCCAATCTTAGGACATGGATTTGGTAGTTTCTTGGACTGGGACACACCAAAATCATCCAGCTGGTTTGTTGTTTTTAAAGGGGACAACAGCTGGTTTGAGGCGGTACTGCCTCAAAGAAATTCGAAATGAATATAATGATACCAGTAAACTGTATATATATATATATTATTATGATGATACATATATATATGGATACATTATGATATCCAATCGACCTAGATTGGGGATAACAAGACCCCAAACATGGGAACCAACATAGACCAAGGAGATAGCAAGATATTACTGGCAAAAATAACCATACGTATATATGTAGCAGCATCAACTTTGGAAATTCAGCCACGCAAATGGCACTGCAACCGACACAAAACTGCACAAAGTGTATTCATGGACCAACAAACTTGGTTCTTTCCAGTACCCAACTCGCCCAACTCCAACCACTGATGGTGGTTCCATAAATCCTTTGGAACCACTCCAAAGAATTTGGTCATCAAATCGTGCCCTGCCAAAGAAACATGCCAGCCTCCAATGATGGACGTTGATCCGTGGTCCACTGCTCCTGAAAAACAAAGGTTTTCGGATAGACGGAACTGCCATGAAACATGTCCCAATGTGTGGTAGATGATCTCTCATTTCCATGGCTTCCATGCTTATGTTAGACTCTCTTAGACTGTCAAGGGTATTGGATAGTGAATACAGTACCTCTACCAACAATATTCAACTATCATTCACAAACCTGTCTTCCCCCAAGCCTACTGGTTCAGTATGTGGATAAATCCATAAATCCGGCTAGAGCAGCCATAGTACAACCTTTAACATCGCCATAGCCTTCCAGTGAAAATCCTCATATTGCCGATGATTATCCCATTGATCTGTCCGATGACCAGCGGGTATTCCAAACTTGACTGGCGGGTGGTTGACCTACCCCTCTGAAAAATATGAGTACGTCAATGGGAAGGTTGACATCCCATATATGCAAAAACAAAAAACAAAAAATAAAAAAAAAAACACCAAGCAGTTGATAAAGCCGGTGGTGAAAGGTTTTGAGCGATCCACTGATGTCAGCTCCTCTGAAGCTGCTTTGGCTTCAGTCTCCCTCTTCAACGCTTCACTTCTTTGTACCTCCTGCCGCATTCAGCCCATTTCTACATGACATTGAGGGGTAAGATAGGCAGGACAAAGCAGTGTATTGATCACTTTGGGGTGCTGTGGGCCCCTGACTTCTGAACATAGTCTAGTACCTCTGCGGCAAATGCAAAGCATTTGGTGGGTTCTTGCAAACATATTTGAAAGAGAAACACTTATGATTCAAGTTATCCGATCGGTATCACACGTGCTCATATATCATCATGCATCTAGCCATGGCCAATCTTATATACTAGTGCTCCGCACAATTCCAAATATTCCTATTATTCCTGGGAAACAATATTAGAATCTTACCCATTTTCAGTCATGGCCATTTTTTTCATCCCCATTTCGTACCCTAAAAAGGTTGGTACCCACACAGTCGGTTTCTCAGCACCACACCTCTTCGAGCGTCTGTTTCCGATGTTCCATTCGCTTTCTCAGCTGCACAGCTTCGGCAATGATTTACCCTCTGGTAAACCAATAGTTTGCTGTGGATAATCACCATCTTAAATAGGTAAATCAACTAGAAATGGACCATTTTCAATAGCTATATGTAACAAATCACCAGAGGGTACCGCTATTCTAAGGAGGTTTGCTTCATATTAATTTTCTTGGGGGTTGCTTACCAACCACGGAATGGCTCAAAAGATGCGCTGATCCTTCCCAACTACTGAACAATATCCCAGGAGAAACTGAATCACACGCTGTCAGATTCTAGAACAAATCCAGTCAAACCTTGAATACTCCGAAATTTGTGGGTGCAACTCCAAATATAACTGGATCAATATAACCATTGTAGGGGCCGTATCTCCATTGTTCCACCCCTGTCCTGCACCGCCAAGTGTGATATTCAATATCGCCATAGAATCTCATTAAATTCCAGTAGATTCCGATCAATCCCATGAATACCTATATGTGAATCCGTTCAATCCGATCAATCCCATTAAAACCCCTTCAAGTACGTGAGCAAAAAAAACATGAAAAACCCAAAATCCGGTTTTAAATCCCAGCCCAAAAGCCCCGTTAAATCCCAACTCCCCATGGAGCTTTCCCAACCAGGCAGGACCCAAGGATCTTCTTAGCGACCAGGACTTGACAGCGCTCTTCAAGGTCGCTGCAGCGTTCCATCGCGGCCACCAATTTGGCCGTCAAATTGAACTTCTCCTGGCAGGTCATGGGGATTGTTTTGATATGAATGGGATATCTACTATTATAAATAAATATATATATATATATATACATTATAGTAAAAAGCAAAATGAATACATATATACATATATATATATATATTATATATACACATACATATACGTATACATAAATGGGTGCGAGTCAAAAATCGGGTATGGATCGCTCCGCGGTGATCCGTGCTATGGATCGGGAGTGCTTACGTAAGGTGCCTGATCCGTACCCTTTCGCAAGGGCTCATCATAGCATACAAACAGTGCTGATACCCCTACTATCTCCTGCTTGCTATTACTTCTCTTCCTGCTACTGTTGCTGCTAAAACTGCTACCACTGCTAGGAGAGGGAGCAGAAAAATTACTTTACTTCGTGTGATCCCCACCATGACATTTATACATGTTCTTACTGGCACATCTTCTGGCATTCTATCTGACATATCTTCTGACATTCTATTTGGCATTCTATCTGGCATATCTTCTGGCATATCTTCTGGCATTCTATCTGACAAATCTTCTGGCATTCTATCTGGCATATCTTCTGGCATTCTATCTGACATATCTTCTGGCATTCTATCTGGCATTCTATTTGGCATATCTTCTGGCATATATTCTGACATATCTTCTGGCATTCTATCTGGCATTCTATCTGGCATTCTATCTGGCATATCTTCTGGCATATCTTCTGGCATATCTATCTGGCATATCTTCTGGCATATTTTCTGGCATTCTACCTGGCAAATCTTCTGGCACTCTATCTGACATTTTATCTTCCTACATGAGGTCCAGCAGGGAACACTTGGCGTGGATACTCGCGGTTGAGGTCCGGCAGGGAACACTGGGCGTGGATGGTCGTGGTTGAGGTCCGGCAGGGAACACTGGGCGGGGATGGTCGCGGTTGAGGTCCGGCAGGGAACACTGGGCGTGGATGGTCGTGGTTGAGGTCCGGCAGGGAACACTGGGCGTGGATGGTCGTGGTTGAGGTCCGGCAGAAAACACTGTGGATCGCGGGTCGCAGTTGGACGAGGACGACGAGGACGACGAGGACGACGAGGACGACGAGGACGACAAGGACGACAAGGATGACAAGGAGGTTGAGGAGGACGAGGAGGAGAGGAGGAGGAGGACGAGGCAGGAGGCAGGAGGCAGGAGGAGGCAGGAGGAGGAGGCAACTGACATAAAATCTAACAACCCTCACCTGGCAGGTGGGGAAAAAACAGCACCAGCAGCAGTAGTGGCAATAGAATGAGGAGATGTAGAAGAAGTAGAAATAGCAGTAGCAGTAACAGTAGCACTAGTAAAAATCATAGTAATAATAGTATCTAATGGCAGTAGCAGCAGCAGCTGCAGTTGTACTAGTACTAGTACTAGTAGTAGTAGTTACTACTACTACTAATAATAATAGTAGTAGTAGTACTAATAATAATAGTAGTAGCAGCAGTAGTAGAAGTAGAGGTAGAAGTAGAGGTAGAAGTAGAGGTAGAAGTAGAAGTAGAAGTAGTAGTAGTAGTAGTAGTAATAGAATCGGACTTTCATATTGGCATTTGTTGTGGCGTGACCGGGTTCGGGTATGGATCGGGTATGGAACGGGTATGGATCGGGGTATGGATCGGGACACGCTATTTGGGCCGGCTTTCCCGCTATGGCCCATGGCTATGAAGGAAGAGAGCGGGGTATTTCTAGTCTGGTCTAGTTCTACACGTGCCAGGCAAAGCAGAAACAGAAGGACTTGTAATCATAGCGCCACTATAGAAGTACAAGAAGCACCTAGTGGAACTAGAACCGGTCTTAGTAGCCTCCCAAGGTGCACTTGCAGTATTGCTAGTAGCTAGTCAACTAGTTGCATTTGTCCAACTAGCAGAAGCACACGGAGGAAGTGAACCAGCACCAGCAGCGGGAGCAGGACCAGCAGGAGCAGCAGCAGAAGCGACAACAGTAGCAGCAGCTCCTGCGAGGAAGGTGACTAGTAGGGGCAGCAGCAGCAGCACCAGCAGCAGCACGGAGGCAGCGGAGGCAGCGGAGGCAGCGAGCGTCAGGCAGCGGAGGCAGCAGAGGCAGCAGTAGAAGCAACGGTAGTAGCAACGGGAGTAGCAGTACGAGGACCAGAAGCAGTATTAGGATAAAAAGCAGCATCAGGGCCAGCATCAGTCTTTCTTCAACGAGAAAGGGGTACGGATCAGGGGTATGGATCAGGGGTATGGATCAGGGGTATGGATCAAGGGTATGGATCATGCAGTATCATGGGGTATGGATCAAGGTATGGATCGGGGGGTATGGATCGTGTGTGGGTCCGGGGCCTTGATCCATACCTTGTATTTTGGCTTGTACCCATATATATATATAATTATACATATTATAGTAAAAATCAATATATATAAATATATATATATACATATTATAGTAAACATCAATATATATATATGTATACATGTATATATATATATACATATATATATACATATTTCTATACATATATATATATATATACAAATTAAATATATATACAATTATATATATATATATATATACATATATATATATACAATTATATATATATATATATATTATATGTGGCAGGGACCTTTTGGTATAATGCGACCGTCCTCCTTTCTGATCCCATTTGTTTCCATACTTGTCTCCTTGTCTGTTCCCAACTTGTCTCCTTATTTCTTTATCTCCATTGCGATTCTTCTCTCTGGGCGCTTTCGGTCAAAGGAATCTCCTTGTCTCCCGTTTCTCGCTTCTCTCTCCATTGCTCAGTGTTCTTCGTTCTGGTGGCTTTCGGGATAGGACTCAAGTCCCATCTGTTTTGGTACTCGTCTCTACTTCACTCTCATATGTGGCTGTTCTCTCTGGGTGCTTCAGGGGCACAGTATGCTCCTTGTCCTCTGTCTGTCTCCGTGCTTGTCCCCCTTGTTCTCTCCAACTCGTGCCCTTACTGCTCCCCCTCTCTCTCTCTCTTGTTCTTCTCTCTAGGTGCTTCTTTGGACACATGATTCTCTCCGGTTCCTCACTTGTCCTCCCTTGTCCTCGTTTGTTCCCTCCAACATGTATCCTTAATTCCCTCCTCATTGCTGCTGCTGCTTGGGAAAGAACGGATTTCCTGGCCTCTTGTGTTTCTCCTTAACTTTTCTTCCTTTGTTCAGGTCACATTCCCTTACCCTCGGTCTCTACCACATGTTACCCTACTTACCTTCCTACTTGTCTCCAACTTGTCTCCTTATCCTCTCTCCACTACCGTGCTTCTTTCCAGGTCTCCAGCATTTGGGACAGAGAGGATAGTTTTTCTCCTCTTTCCTTTCTTTCCTTCCTTGTCCCAGCGCTTTCTTCACTTCTCTCCTCATTCCTGTTGTTCTCGCTTTTGGGACCCAAGATTCTCCTTGTCTCCCATGTGTTCCCATCTGTGTCCTTGTTCAGCCAGTTTTTTCCTACTTGCTGTGTGGTCTAGGCTTTGGGACCTTCAGGTGCTTTGGGGCCATAAACATTACCGAGTCCCTCATTTGTGTCCCTTCCGTCACCGCCTTGTTGCAGTCTCCTCTCTTCATTTCTTTTTGTCCCCCCTCCCTGCTACTGTTCTTCTTCCTGGGTGCTTCTGGCACAGGATACTCTTCATGACTCTTCGTGGTTGCTCGATGGCAAAGGATTCTTCTTGCCTCCCATTTGTTTCCATACTTGTCTCCTTGTCTGTTCCCAACTTGTCTCCTTATTTCTCTATCTACATTGCGATTCAATTCTTCTCTCTGGGTGCTTTCGGTCAAAGGAATCTCCTTGTCTCCCGTTCCTCACTTCTCTCTCCATTGCTCAGTGTTCTTCGTTCTGGTGGCTTTGGGGACAGGACTCAAGTCCCATCTGTTTTGGTACTCGTCTCTCTACTTCACTCTCACATGTGGCTGTTCTCTCTGGGTGCTTCCGGGGCACAGTATGCTCCTTGTCCTCTTGTTCTCTCCAACTCGTGCCCTTACTTCTCTCTCTCTCTCTCTTGCTGTTCTTCTCTCTAGGTGCTTATTTGGACACACGATTCTCTCTGGTTCCTCATTTGTCCTCCCTTGTCCTCGTTTGTTCCCTCCAACATGTATCCTTAATTCCTTCCTCATTGCTGCTGCTGCTGCTTGGGAAAGAACGGATTTCCTGGCCTCTTGTGTTTCTCCTTAACTTTCCTTCCTTTGTTCAGGTCACATTCCCTTACCCTCGGTCTCTACCACATGTTACCCTACTTACCTTCCTACTTGTCTTCAACTTGTCTCCTTATCCTCTCTCCACTACCGTGCTTCTTTCCAGGTCTCCAGCATTTGGGACGGAGCGGGTAGTTTTTCTCCTCTTTCCTTTCTTTCCTTCCTTGTCCCTGTAGTCTTTCCCAGCGCTTTCTTCACTTCTCTCCTCATTCCTGTTGTTCTCGCTTTTGGGACCCAAGATTCTCCTTGTCTCCCATGTGTTCCCATCTGTGTCCTTATTCAGCCAATTTTTTCCTACTTGCTGTGTGGTCTAGGCTTTAGGACCTCTTCATTTCTTTTTGTCCCTCCCTGCTACTGTTCTTCTTCCTGGGTGCTTCTGGCACAGGATACTCTTCATGACTCTTCGTGGTTGCTCGATGGCAAAGGATTCTTCTTGCCTCCCATTTGTTTCCATACTTGTCTCCTTGTCTGTTCCCAACTTGTCTCCTTATTTCTCTATCTCCATTGCGATTCAATTCTTCTCTCTGGGTGCTTTCGGTCAAAGGAATCTCCTTGTCTCCCGTTCCTCACTTCTCTCTCCATTGCTCAGTGTTCTTCGTTCTGGTGGCTTTGGGGACAGGACTCAAGTCCCATCTGTTTTGGTACTCGTCTCTCTACTTCACTCTCACATGTGGCTGTTCTCTCTGGGTGCTTCCGGGGCACAGTATGCTCCTTGTCCTCTTGTTCTCTCCAACTCGTGCCCTTACTTCTCTCTCTCTCTCTCTCTTGCTGTTCTTCTCTCTAGGTGCTTATTTGGACACATGATTCTCTC